GTGTGTGTGTGTGTGTGTGTGTGTGTGTGTGTGTGTGTGTGTGTGTGTGTGTGTGTGTGTGTGTGTGTGTGTGTGTGTGTGTGTGTGTGTGTGTATCCATGTGTGGTATTCCGTATCTCCATTGCAGAGGGCTATTATGTGCATATGAGGCGACTCCACACTGAGTGCCTGGTGCCTGCATTGTATATCATGAGAGTCTTTGTGATTGGTTGCAGCACAATTCTTAGGGGATATGTACGATGCTCGAGCGTAGCGTAATGGTATATATGTAGTGTCTAGGACTACTGGTCGTTGCTGGATGTAAGTAGTGTGTTCACTGCTTATGCACTTCGTCTTCCTGCATGGAATGAGAAAATCGTGGTGATATTATCACCGTCCACAAGAAATGGACGAGAAACAAGGGGGTGGAGGGTTAGTGGCATCCTTCAAGTGCATTACCAAGCGCCATACCACGACGTCGCCGTGCCCCTAGATATCCTTAACAACTTCAATGTTGTCAGGCACCGGATCAAATCTGCTTGTGAGATCCCATCCTTCCAGCGCCGCAACTGTAGCAAGAAATGACACCATCGATATTTTGCGAGCATAAAAACCATCTTTCAACTTCAGCGCTTTTTTCTCGTCCCTCTCGTACTGGGCTAACTGGACTACCTTCTCCTCGACGAATACATCCATTTCTGGACCGGCGGATTGCTGAAGGAGAGCACCCCACTTCTTACTGCCGATATGCTGTTCCAGCTGCACGCATGGGAGGTTTTTAGGGTGGTTGAAGCCGACGGAGAGGAGCATATGGAGCCACATTGCCCCCGAGCTTTCAGACCACTGTACGAGTTTCGAAAGCTCATTTCTTCGATCATAGCCCGGCATTCGAGCCTCTTCCTCGCCGAGGACACGCTTGAAGATTTCGAGGTACTTCAGATACCGAGCGGTCGTCTCGGGGTGGTCCTCGTCGTAGCGGGTATCTACGTCGACGAGTCGTCTCCCGAGAAGCCACCATGGCGCCGAGCCGAACAGTTGTGCTGGTCCAATATACGACCATTCGAGGTCGACTATCCCGACGATGGTGAGGTCGTCCTCGCTTCTTACAATCACGTTCGCGAGGCTGAGGTCGTCGCAGATGATCTTGAACGGGCCGCGATCGTAGTCTGGGTGGATGAGACTTGGGAGCAATGTCCGTAAGGCGCGCTAAGCGATTCGTATTTCGTTCTAGCAGTGTCATTGCCTTTGACCGAGTTCCGCTGCTTGATGAGCTGTTCCCAGTCTTGCGAGAGCACATACTGGAAGTACTCTGTTGTTGTGGCGAAGCCCTTGCTTCGGTCACCTTGATCGTGTCTGGTAAGTCGATATAATAGTAAAGGGATAGAAAAAGACTGGGCGCCTTACCGAAAGTGCTCACCCCTCCTGCTTGTAGAATGTCATGTGCCTTGAATGTTAGCGGGCGAATCGGGACATCAAAGCCAGTCTTCAACGCTGGCAGGCTACCGATCCTTTCAAAGTCGTGCTGGAAAAGCTGGAGGAGAATATTCGCAAACTGTCTATAGAGGGTCTCGAGGGTCTCATCATCGACATCCTCCCGAACATGGCTGAACTGTAACTCAGGATCACGTTTAATCAGAAAGCTAGTAAGAGACACGCCCTCGATATAATCCATAATAATAAACGGGCCTACCCCCAGCGGATTCGCCCTCGAAAGACCCCAATGCCTGATCCGCGGCACCGGGATCGTAGTCTTCTCGCGGATAAACGTCATCATCTCGACTTCCATGGCCACCTTTTCGTCGGTGTATCGAAGGGCGTTATTCCCGAACAGAGGGAAGCGCACCACCCAGCTCGTGCCGTCGCTAAACGTCACCTTCTGGCGAAAGTTGTATGAGCCATAAAAGAGGTTGCCGTCTGACTCGCACGCGAGCTTCTGCGGATGGAGGCTTGTGACCCAGGCAAGCATCTGTTGGCGCTTCTGGATTACTACGTTGAGCCATCCTGCACACTCCGTCTCACTCAGCAGTGTGCTGGGCTTGTGGCAGTCCATTGTAGAAGAGGTGAGCTCGTTTGCTGAGAGCTTGAGAGTGGACTTTTTCAGTTTGAGGAGCTGTCTTGAGGATCAAATATGGGAAATGAGAAGAGGAGAGGGAGGGGAGGAACCTAGAAGAGAGTTGAGGTCTACAAGTTCCGGAGGTCAAGCAAGGGACGTGCACGTGGATGTTCCGGCCTGTCGCTGTGCCACACTGCAGCATATGCAATGCACATCTGCGAAAGCATGACTAGGCTATCAGACTTGGTATCAAGCTGTGGGTTAGTTCATACGAGTGCGCAGGAGACAGAGTTCTCGAGTTATAGCACTAGCCAAGATGCTATGCACACTGGGTATTACTAGTTCTTACAGTGGGTGACATAGAACTATTTCGGAGCTGCACGAAACTTGAAAGTATGCCAAAAGTCAAATATAAGTTGTTCAGCCCTACAGAATGAATGAAGTTCAGACCCACTCAGGGCCGTTCCGAGCCCCCCGCTCCTAGTGTAAGAATAGAGAACACCACACGAAAAGCTTGCTTTGCTTCCTGGTCTGCCTTTTCATTCGCCTCTTGAGTTGCGTTTAGTTTACTATCAAGCTTATCATCCACGCCCTGAAGCGTCTCACTATTCTTCTCTAATTGATCCCAGGCAAAGCATGCGAACGCAACTGCTCCAGGGCCAGGCTGGTCGTTTACGTTGCTAATGTCCCAGTGACCTTGATAAGGGTCAGATATAGTGGACAGAGGTACAACAGTGATCTTGAAAGCTGGACAGATGACGAAATCACAGTATTCCAGAACAGGGAGATAATGTGCCCATGAATGAGGACTGGGTCTTCGAACTATCAAAATAGCGCTCCATGAGCCAGATATCTTATACTTTTTGGAAGTGGCTAGGCTTGCATTCAAGAAATGCAGATCCAAGGTTGAACCGGGCACTGGGGCCCGAATTCTTGTTACAACAGTGGCCAAAGGGCAAGCCATGAGGTAGAAAACTTGTTTCGAGCGTCCGTGCCCTGAGACTAGCATTGTTGATACAAAGGAGACCAACCTAAAAGGCATCAGGTAGACAGCTTTGTTTCGACCATGGCTGTGCAAAAGACATAGCAGCCTACCCGCCATGTCTTTTGTGTTGGCGACACTCCGCGGATTCAACAAGCCGTTGGAGTGGGACTATTCGAAAGAATGTTCCGCGTGTTCAACCATGGGTGTTGGCGTGGTAATGGTCAGCCGGTAAATAGAGTGCCACCATAATATGCACTTCACAAGGCGTTGTGGCCGTGAGGTGAATGGTACGTGCTTGAGACATGCGCCCAACTCGCATTCTCAGCCTGTCTTTTTGCGCTAATTGAGTGGAATCCGTCGACCTACTCGTTCGTTGAACAGGTATGGCCCTAATCAATCTCACAGAGTCTATGAGATTGCGTCATTGATCTCCGTGATTGCCTGAAATGATATAAGTGAGTCAGAACTCATAAGAAAAGGTCTACTTAGTAGCTATACCTTTATTCTATATCTAAGTCATGATAATATAGGAGATGTAGATTGCGCATTACCTAACAGGAATATATGATATACTAATGATTTACCTATCAAAAATCATACAGTCAAGGTAGAAACAAAGGTAAATGTAAACATGTCTAGGTCAAGTGTCCTATAAATAGCTTGCTGTGGTACCTAAGGCTAGAGTAGTGTTAAAATGAATTTAACATCCCTTAACAGGTAAGCGTCGAATATTATCACATGAATGGAGCAATCGGTATACAAACCTGAGGTGAAAATATCATGTGTCTAGACATATGTCTAGCGGTGTACATCTTAAATGAAGTTGGTTAGCACTCTTGTACTATACCATACTAATAAGAGACCGCAATGCAACACCATATGGCTGAATTAGTGCTCTAATATCACGTTCTGGTTCTCGGCCTCGGTACACCGGAACGGTTCCTACAACGGCTACAACGGGCGGCGGAAGAACCCGACTAGCGCAACATAAACATTGTGGGGTAAACCATGATATAAGGTGTGTGGAAGTTCTAGGAGATAGACCGAAGCAAATCCTTTAATTGTCAAAGAAAATCCATAATGCACGTCTCATATGCCGCATCAATCACCCTGGCGCTTGCATTGGCCAAGACGCAAGCATTTGATATCAGAGATGCTCTGACACCTTTAACGTTCAATGACCCGAATGTTGATCCTGACGCCAACCATTACTATCTAGGCTATCGAGGAGATGACTTCGATCACCCTTGGTCGAAGTACTTTAATGACTCCGAGGTAGCACTCAACAAGGAGTTCACAGAGGGATTGGCGGTACTTACGCTCCTTGACCTCCCTCTTCATCTATCCCATGCTAATATAACCCGGAAGAACTCGCCATTCCCTGCTGAATCAGGCGTTGAATTCTCAGATGCCGGCGCAGCATTGAGCCAACCAGGCTACCTGCCATTAGAGAATGGCTTCACGACTCTTAAGGACGGATCACTATACATGGCGATCCGCAGCGACGTCCCGGAGACATTCACCGGCGAACAGTAAGACCTCTCACCAACATCAAAGCATCCTCCTCTCACCTATGCCCAGATACGACTTTTGGTTCTCATGGCACGTCAACGACACGACCAAATATAAGCTCTGGCACCCGCACGCCCACCAATACGCTGCCGTCAACAAAGCGGAACTTGCTGGTAATGCTGCAAAAGTAAGCTTAATCTCCCCAGACATACATACACATATTCAATGACCACCTCACTATTACAGTCCGACTACCGCTCGCGCTACTGGAACCTCACCTCCTTCATCGACGAATACATCGGCGCCACAGCCTACAAGATCTCCATCGGCTTCTTCGATCCACGCATGCAACACTTTGAACTCGAGAACAGCGCTACCGGCATCGAGACGATAGTCACGGGCTTTGTACGACTATTCGCGTACAACGATCAAGATCCCGCATCGGAAGCCCGCGCAGGACTTACACCGTTTGATATTATCCTGGCACATCAGGTAAGGAGGAAACCAGTGGGTGGTGGTAAGGAGATTCGATCGAGGTTCTGGGTGGGACCGGGACTGAAGGCGCTTGTCAATGTGGTCATGAAACCGGAGCAGTTGGCAAGGGATCTGAGTACGCATTGTGCGGTGGAGATGACGCATCTGGGTACTTTCTTGCCGGCTTTGTTTGCGGAGTTTAAAGATGATCTGGCTGTTGTTTCGTGAGCGGGTTGAAACAGTACTAGGACGTGAGTTGTGGGGATCTTGCGGGTGGGTATGGTTGTTGTGATGCATCACTGAAGAATGTTGTTTGAGATAGGAGCTTTACCAGCCAGGCTCTTCTCGACTGCCATCAACCCATCACGAAACCTACAGGTCTGCCTACGCCATATATCAGCCCAATTACAGAGTACACAGTAAGATTACACTTATATGACGCACTTAAATGAAAAGTACTACCAACCATAGTCTTACGACTATGACAGAAGTGTATCATGCTAGCAACCTCATCTCTGTCAGGGGTCCAATACTAATAGCTTTGTATCTCTCAAGGGTAAGCATAGTCGATAGGCGGAAGTTGAGATAACATTGAGTTAGGAGGGACATTAGGAATAATGGTCGTCTGGAAAGCTTCAGCTTGGCAGGGAAGCTCGCAGTACATGAATGGTATCCAAACATGTCTGCGTGGAAAACGGTAATTTGAAGTATAATATTACAACCATCATATTATAACACAATGGCATGCAGGCATCTCACCACCCCTTCAGCTCGGTCAGAAGAGCCCATGTCCCACCCTTTGGCTTATTTGTCAACTCTGCTATAATCTGCAAAGTGTCATCGCCAGGCACAGGCAGCATGTCGAATCTACCAACAAGGCTCGCCAGCAGACACTGAAACTCGGCCTTTGCAAACGCTTGTCCGATGCAGCTCCGTGGCCCGTGCAAAAATGTCATAGATGCATAGTTACTCTCTGCACCACCGCTATTCGCTTGTCCAGCGGCCATCCATCGGTCGGGGTTGAAATCTCCTGCGTCTTGGCCCCAGAGCTCTTTGTTCTGGTTGAAGGCCCAGATGGGCAGGATAATCACAACACCCTTGGGGATAAACGACCCGGCGATAGTTGTATCTTTTGTAGTTTCGCGCATGGCAAAAGGTACGGGCGGATATATGCGTAGTACCTCGTTGCAGACGGCATTGAGATACGGCATGTTGTCGAACACCGTGGCAGTAGCCTTGCTTGTGTCCTGGAGAAGCGAAGATGGGATCTTTTCACGAATTTCATCCCTGAGACGTTGTTGCACATTCGGATGTCGACATAGGAGCCACGTCGCGAACATCATGGCAGTTGCGGTTGTCTCGTGACCAGCTGCAAGGAAAGTCATGAGTTGATTGACGAGATCTTCTTCGCTGAAACCACCCGAGTCAAGAGCGACCGATATGATGTCGTTGCCAGGCTGCTCTTTGTCCCCCAGCTTAATCTGCTTTGAGCGGATGATATTGCGTGCGGTTCTTCGAATCACACGAATCGCAGCAGCGGTATCGGTGTTGCGTTTCATAGGCAGCATTCGAAGCAGGTTTGTGGGGATAAACTGACGGATATGGTGAAGCTGTACTGACATTGGCTTTGGGGAGAACACATTCTTGTATACTTGATGGAGTTCGCCTTGTGGTTCGTCGATTGCATTGAAGCTCTGACCAAATCCTGCAGCGCCAATGATGTCGAGAGTTGCGCGAGTCACCCAGTCTGAAACCAAGACCTTGCTCTGGGACTCTTTCATGTCAATGGCCATAGCATCCGCCATCCTTTTCGAATGCTCCCAGAACACTGGATAGAGATCCTTGATATGCCGGTAATGAAACGCGGGCATCAAAGCCTTCCGCTGACGCTTGTGCTCCTCTCCTTCTGCGAGAAGCACTCCTATGCCCAGTATAGGCGCCAAGAAATCTCGAGAGTTTTGCGGCCGGATGAAATCGTAGGATTTCGTGGTCTGTACCTCACTCGCGGCTTTTACAGATGTCGTCATGATCCGAGGCGTGTTCCAGGCCATCTTATAGTACAAGAGGCCATCATTTGGAATGCTTTCCATCCATTTGATGAATGGTAGACCCAAGGGATGGGGCAGTAGTTGTAAAGCATGTCCCATAAGGGGGTGTGCTCCCTAAAACACTGTTATTTTTCTGGTCAGCATCCGGGTGGAAATACCTACAGGAGGCGAGGGCAGATTCCTGAGCGGACTTAGGAATAGCGGGTAGATTACGACCCTATACAGCCATCTCGATCCGCTCAAAAGAGCGTATGTCACTAGAAACACCCATAGTGTCGACCATCGGAAAGTGGTCTGCGAATTATATCTGGTAATTCCCACGCTGAGGATAAGTGAAACAATGGCGAGAAAGCTGTTGCTGGCCATTGTAAGTCAATCGATGCATCAAAAGAACGGGATACAGAGTGATAAATAGTAATCCAGTATATCTCTGAGCAGTGTTACAAATTGCTTATTGATCATTTGGCTAGTGTTGGTGCTATGCGGGGTTGTAAAGTTAAATGAGATGTGAGCCACGCAAATACCAACAATTCAAACCGTAGCGTGGGGTCCGGAGTTCGGGTCGGACTTGTCTATAATCTTAAATTGTGCTCCATTTTACACGATTCATATTCTGCTTCTCGGGCAGATGTTTGTATACAGCGACAGGCAAGTGTTGGAATTACTGGATCAAGAAGTAGTTCCTCTTTTGATGTCCAATGGAAACGCATTATTATGACAGCGGCTCAAACGTCCTATGTTCAGTCCCTGGTCCAGCCACCAGCACAACTTCAGAATATCAGCGAATACAACCCAGTCACAGCTGCACTCAACGGCAACGCAGCTCGAAACACATTCTTCACTCCCCACTCCTTCAACAACCCATCCACCTCGCCCACCCTCCCCTCATCTCCCTTCTTCACCTCCTCACCAATCTCCCCGACCCGATCATTGACTGGAAAGATTGCAATTCTCTCAAAGGGCCATGCGAATGCCACGATTCCTAGTGCAGCAGCCCAGATCCTCCACTTCGCAGCGATGGCAGGATTTGGATGCTGAGATACCAGGTATGTAATGGTGGCTAGGGAGGCACCTTGCAGTTGGCTGAAATGGTGTAGGTATTTCCATCCCTTCTCAATGGTCAGAGAGAATTGAGTGGTCTGGGTTTGGGCCTCTCGCGCAGTGCGGATCACAGGGATTACCCAGGCTGTCAGACAGATTGAGACCCCGGAAATGATAGAGAGCGAGGTTATTGTTGTAGCTTGAAGGACCGGGAGGACATTCGGTCGAGAGGCGAGAAAGCTTGCTGTGGATGACATATTGTATGAGTATGGAGATCCGATCTTTGGTAAGGGTTTGGTGTTGCGACAGGACGTGCGAGCGGCTCGAGTGTATATATGTGTTTACTTGTAGATTCAGGCACGCTACGTAAGTTCACGCCCAGTAGGCGTTTCCAGAAGCCGCCGTGACATCATCGCTCGACGCCATTTATCGATGCCAACTGTTGGTAACGATATCATCACAAACTGACCCATTTCCCAGCGCTGATATCATCCATGGATATCCTCCGATGTGGACATACTCACGATCGACAAGCGCATGTTTGTACCAGGCCGGTACTCGAGGCTAGAGAAACCCAACTCTGCGTCGATGAATGCGATTGCAACAAGCATTCGAAGATTGACTTGATCAACGCCCCCAAGATTTGAACATCAGTTACCAAACGACCTGCCATTGACAGCCACTATACCCTACAATCTGTGAGAAAACCTCGTCTCTCTTGTCTACGCTACAAAGTACTCTTTCTACCTCATCCTTGCCCGTAATTTTCAGATCCTGTCCAGAGTCGCTTTGGAAAAGTTCGGGCACGTTCTTGGTCGCGATACGATCAAGCTTCTCCAGCTTCCGCATCTCGGCATACGGCACCGTCCAATGCATATTTGTGATCTTGGACACAAATACGATGGAGTCGGACTGCACAACGATGCGGCCATTGATATTCTCGTAGTGTGCGGTGTATGAGCCGTAGTGTTCTGCTTCAGACATACGCTCGGAATCTGGGATCTCGTTCATACGATCGTTGACGAATGCACCGCTCGCTTGGATGTATTTGATTGCCCATTCGGCTGCAATTGTCAGCGACTGACTCGATGTCTCGAAGGTTCAATGATGACAACTTACCATGTGTAGGTATGTTCCATAGTAGACGTTTCGACGGTGACACTAGCAATCGATACTCAGGAAAGTTCGTCGCGAGCGGAAACAGCCCAAAGAAGGTAATCATAGCACTCAGTGTCATGGCCTTGACCAAGATCCGAAGTGGCACAAAAACGGTAAGCGGAACAGTCAATACGAGTAATACAAGGGAGACCATTGTGCGAGATGGAACTCTCCACTCATAGAAGCTGCGTTTTGTTAGAAAGTCTGATGAAGAACGGTATATATCAATACTGACTTGCGCATGCTCTCAAAAGAGTTCGCTAGATCTGCCAGCTGGATCATAGACCACGAACCCAATCCTGCAGTAAGCTCGTCTACCCACTTCTCGTCACCTTCCTTGACAATCAGTTCTGTGATTGACCTGGCTGTGATTGCGGCATCTTCTCGACGCTTGATGTCCTCGCGCAATGCTCCGAGTGTGACACCGTGGTACCGACGCTCGAGGACCAGATAGATCGCCCAAGAAATCTTGTATCGTCAATTCAGTGTCCTACGGCAATCAAGAGACGAGGAATGCGGGCACGACAGTACTTACAGCACCCGGAAGCAGTAAATCAAACCACCACAATCCACAGCACACGGAAAGATACTTTATCGTCTCGAGAGGACTTTCCCACCGATATACTCTCCTAATCGTCATAATCAGCTCCTGCAGCGGCAAAGATGCAATCATAAGACGCTCGATGTTCGGCATGATCGTCTTCTTTGATGGTGGCGGTGGATCTGATCCATAGCCCACATATTGCCCGCCATACCGATGCGCGTAGTAATCCGACATCTAAAGGTAATCAGTCAACCGTCAAATACCTCTTAAATCGTATACTCACCCGCTCTGCGTATCCCCTCCAATCAATAACGCGTCCCTCCCCATGTACATCAGTCTCGAAGTCTACCAAAGTCGGCTTCTCCCTCTTTGGCAGGACTCTCAGCTTAGACACATGCCGATCCAATGTCCATCGCGCGTATGTCGTCTGTCTCTCCCGCAATAATCTCTCGAGAACCCCCTTGGCCACCCTCGACTCATCCTCTGTCTGCGCCCCACTTAAACCCGTCTCCGCATTCATCAAATCGACTTCCTGCCCATGCGGAATCTCCTTGGCCGCCATGTTGGCAGCAACTTCATGGCTCCCTTGGCCTGTAACCTTCGCCTTTGCCGTAGCGATTGGCGAATGCAGCATTTCCTTTACTGTATGTTTCTCGGTGTGTGGCAAGGCGTGAACTAGGCGGGCGTCGGATTGCGCGTCGGCATCTTGTGCGAGTACGGTTCGGTCGGCAGGGATAACGTGGTCGGATGGTTTACTCATATGCAGTACCTTACGCAGCTTGACAACTGCGTGGTGGCGTTTCTCTTTGGATGTTACGCTGGGAGGATCGGTGGGGGTGGATCGTGTAGAGACATTGATGGCGATGGCAGGACCTCCGACGGGCAATTGAAGTTGGCCTTGCGAGTCAATATCTGCGCGATCGAGTGCCATTTGGAGTACCTGAGTTCTTGGCGCTGTGTTATTGTGTTTGAGGGACATGTTTGGATGATGTCGGTTGGATATGGAGTACGAGTGTGTTTTGAAGTTTAGGTGCAGTTTCGTAGGCTTTTTTCGAACATGTCACATGTGTGTTCTGCGCTTGACAGGTTCAGGTTTTTTATTTCGATGGTAAAGTCCTGCGCAAGTGTATTACATTGTTTGCCTGCGCATCGTCATAAGTCTGTCACAGCGGTAGTGTAGCGAGTCACAGACAAGCATGCTTGTTCCTGTACCACCGCTCGCAACATAAACGTAACGTGAAACAAACTAGCGATTTCCATTATATATCGTTCACTAGATCGGAACTTGGGTTGTTTTGAAGATGTGGCTAAAATAAAGTGATAACCTCCGTGAAGTGAACGTTATATAGTGTCGTTTGTACCCACCCAATCGTCTGCATTTCTAGCGCCGCCGTAGTGGTAGACGCAGTGTCTTACCCTCCGGTCATGGTATCTCTCTCTGCATGACAGTGACTGCTTCTGCCAATACTCAGTAAACACTGCATGCAGTCATCTTCTTTCGTCGTGCGTGCCTGGTATAACAGCTGTCTTTGGCATAGCTCATCAGTACCTGTCAGAAATTATGTGGCCTGTAGAACGGTTATTTGAAATCGAAATTTGGACAGACTGTGGAACAATTCCTATTTAGTCCACTTGAGAACCCTTACATGTGGCAGTCAACATCTCCGTGTACCAGCCGTTGGATGGACACCATTTGTACCGATGAAATCAGATGCCAGCAGTTTCAATGCTTTCGTTAGTCCGGTAGGTAATTCAAACGAAATAATGAGAACTTGAGATTGGTCTTACTACTTACTTCTTTTATCATATTTGGGATCTATCTCACGTGTTGGGCTACGATGGTGAGCGAAATTAAAACATAGACACTAGCTTACACATAACATAGTGTGGTAGCCGTTGTCTTCTAGGCCTTGTTTCTCGTGATATACACGTCCAAGCCTTCCTGCACCACGAAGAATGTTGTATGTGCCGTCAACTCTGCGTCAGGCCTCGCAAGCTTGAACGTGTACTCCCTCAATAAGTGAGGTAACACCTTGTTTATCTCTAGTAGCGCCAAGTTGCGTCCAATGCAGACATGAGAACCCCCGCCAAAGTGAAACAGATATCGCTCCATGTTCTTGGCATTTTCTTTGTCATCTAGCCACCGCTCAGGTCTGAAGACATCGACATCGTCTCCGAATATGGTCTTGTCGCGATGTAGCACCCATCCGTTCACAGCGATTTCAGTCCCAGCTGCATATTTGACACCGTCTATCTCCGCCCCCCCAACGGGAACGGCGCGTGTGATGTTGAGACCTACGGCTGGACGCATACGGAACGTCTCCTTAAGACACGCTTGGAAGTAAGGGAGCTGTTGGGCTTCAGACCATTGTACTTTAGCGGAGATAGTCCCACTGCGCGCGGCGGTCTCAATCTCGGACTGAAGCTTGGCGTATATCGGGGCATTCTTCAGAACATGATAGAAGAAAGATTGCATTGTCGAAGCAGTCGAGTCGGAGCCGGCGAAGCTACAAGATATCAGTGGGTAGTATGTAGAAGCATCGATTGGGACATACATTGCGCCATGTGCAACGGCAAAGACGTCGCCTGTGCTGAACTTGCTTGGATCCTTGAGATGACCCTTGATCAGACTCGCCAACAAATCTTGGCGATCACTCTTCTCGATGTTCTCGAAAGGCTTCCTCTTGTCCATCTCTGACAATGCAATTCTCGTGATCAGTCCAGGTCCCGTGTTTGGAAGAAGGCTCCAGATCGGATTCCTCCGAAAAACGTAATCTAGCTCTGGAATCTGCCCAATGAGACCGTTGTACCATTGTGAATCATCGATTGTCTTGATGGCCTTTTCTACGTCTACGCCTTGCTCCAAGAAACCAAATTTGCGAGAAAAGGCTACTTCGCCCAGCACATCGAATGCAAAATAATGCAGCCAGGCACCAAGATCGACCGTGGTATCGTTAGCGTGAGTAAAACCATCTAGCTTCTCAAAGAACATGTCGATGGTATCCTCAATGAAGGGCGCGAGCTGCTGCATTGCAGCCATACTGTATGGAACATTGGCAACACGCTTCTTCTGCGCATGAACATGCTCGCGTATCTCCGTAAAGATGTCCGGATTTGACGGTGGTGGGAAGACCCAATAAAAGGATGTCTTGTGAAAGCCTTTACCTGCACTAAGAAGTTGTCGTGCTGCTTCGGGAGACGCCAGCGAAACTTCGTTTGGAGCGATGCGCACGATTGGCCCGTATTTGTCGTGGAGAGCTGGGAGATCTATATGGCTGCGGCCCCTTGATGTCAAGTAGAGCTTCCAAAGACGTGTTACTGACGCCCAAAATGGTCCCGGATGCTTGCTTAGAAGGGAGAGGTAGCGGCGTTTCACGGCGATACATGCGAGCGACACCGGTATTATCAGATAACAGTACTCGTACAGTATACTAAAGGCGGACCGTATTGAAAATTCAGTGTTGGTGAGCATCGCGGTATTCTGATGTGCGTGGCTTGCCCGAGGTTTGGATTCAAGTATCCACAAGACGTCGACACATTGTCAACACCCAGATGTTGTACATGCGAGGATCGCAGTACGCGTCATTAACGGACCCCATCGAGCGGAACTTGACTAATTGCTGGGATTTGTGGTTCCTGTTAGCCCGTGACACAGAAGACTATTTGTAGATATGCCAGGGGTAACCGCACAACGAATTACCGATTTGCCGATATGATGACTGGCTCCACATTATAATTACGCCGTATGTGATACTTCACGTAGCATTATATGATCCGAGATTAACTCGCTATCCCCTATATTGACACAAATCAAGTCTTACCGGTGACTCAACTGAGCAGTTTCACGACCTCTGGGGGCAACCGACTGGGTATTTCTTTCGCACGACATCGGTCTGGCACACTGTAATCCAGGCGTGAGGATCGCAGACTAAGGGCTTACAGCACCTCGACACAATACACCAGAGGTTTAAAATGACTTCCATGATGAGGCAAGGATGAAAAGTAGATGACATGATGATCTCGCATGAAAGGAAAGAATCAGGAGGTCATGGCAAAGACGAGGCTGAGCACGTGACGCCTCCAGGCACATATCATGCCTCAGGCAGAAACCCCGCAAGCATCAACAGTCAGGCATGGATCGAGTAACCGACATGCATTCTTCCAATGCATAACATCGCAGTCTAAGACCCGTCGGAACATTACACTACATGGTTGCATCAGCCATCCTTTCTGCATCATCACGAGGGGCCTGATGCGGGGTTGTCTGCTCTTAAGGTTCATCTGTTGCTAATGATACCATGAAGAGCGTCTCCTGTCATCCAGGTCTGTGGACCATTGTTTTTTTCATCCTTCTACTGCAAATAGCGATGACTTTCGTCCTCTTATCAATGCTGCTTGGCCAGTTGCCAGCCATGGTATGGTCTACAGTTCAAGATCCAGCAATACAGCCACGCCCCCCGATGGGATTCAACAACTGGGCACGCTTCATGTGCGACCTCAATCAGACGCTTTTCACTGATACTGCAGATGCCATGCTTGAGAATGGCTTGCTTGACGCTGGCTATGAATACATCAATATTGATGACTGTTGGTTGGAATACTCCAGAGCTGAGAATGGATCACTCGTCTGGAACTCGACGCTCTTTCCGGATGGACTAATCTGGCTTGGCGAGTACTTACACGAGCGTGGGTTTAAATATGGTATCTACCAAGATGCTGGTAATCTTACTTGTGGAGGCTATCCTGGATCAAGAGACTATGAGGACCTCGATGCAAAAACGTTTGAAGCTTGGGGCATCGACTATCTAAAGCTCGACGGCTGCAATGTCATCAATAACACAGACCCTCGACCTAAGGTCGAGCAGTATCGCGTCTTGTATGAAAAATGGCACAAAGCATTGGAAGCATTAGATAAGCCATTAGTGTTTTCTGAGTCTGCACCTGCATACTTCTCTCCAGATTTTCAAACGCCTCCACACAGCAATAACACTGACTGGTACACGATCATGAAGTACATGCCCGAGTACGGCGAGCTAGCACGGCACTCCAACGATGTGAAGATATGGGGCTTTGACGGGATTTTTGAGCCGGGCGGTCATTGGGACAGTATCATGACCAACTACGGCCATAATACCGAACTTGCGCGATACCAGCAAAAGTGTGGCTTCTACAACGACCCCGACTTTCTGATTCCTTTTCCGGATCTGACTGAAGAAGAAAAACGGTCGCATTTCTCGCTGTGGGCCAGTTTCTCGGCACCACTAATCATTTCAGCGTACATTCCAGAGCTACCCGAAAGTGATATCAAATACCTGAGCAACAAGGACATCATCGCCGTAGACCAAGACTCTCTGTGCTTGCAAGCTACATTGGTCTCTCAGGATGGCTACTGGGATGTTCTGACCAAAAGCCTCGAGAACGGTGACCGACTGCTTACCGTACTGAATCGTGGCAACAACACAAACTCAACATTGATTCCTCTCGAGCGGGTTGGGATATCCCCTGATCATTCTTATAGCGTGAAAGATCTCTGGACAGGCAAAACATTTACTGTATCGAAGTCCATCTCGCTGCACGAGAGACCCTCACATTCGACAGCTGTGCTTCGCATCCGAGGCAGACACGCACCCAAACTCGACATTACCCCAACGGGAATGATATTCAACACCTACACAGGCCATTGTCTGACTACCACACGGTTAGGCGCACAATTCGAGACCTGTAACGCTAGCGACGAACAGATCTGGCAGACGACAGCCCAAGGCGCTCTTACCACTCTTGGAGCCAGAGATACTTGCTTGGGCCACAATGAACGCGGCAACTTGAAAGCCACAGCATGTCATGCAGAAACCGGAAATGTATGGACCTATTATCAGACAGGAAATCTGATGGCTGGGAATTCGGCCTTGTGCCTGGCTGAGGCACCCAGTGGGCAAGCAGTGCTTGAGCCTTGTCATCCGAAGGCCGATCCTCAGGTTCTTGAACTACCTGGGGGCGTGACGATACACTGACCTCGGAATATATATAGTAATGTCGAATATTCAATGATAACCGTATTGAATCTCGGTCGGATCAATATATTATGCCATGTTGTTCTGATTAATCTGGAGCCACGGTCATATCAGCTCATACACATTCTAACGATAACGAATATAGTCCAAATGACCAGCTATCATAACTTAGAACAAAAGCTGTCGAACAGCATAAAACACAGCTACAGGCGTCGCCAGAGCAGCCAACCAATACGCCAGCCCCCTAACAAGCAAGAACTTCTGAATAAACAGTATATCCGCCGTCTCATTCGTCCTCGGAAACGGCTCCGCCGGAACATCCTTGCCCAAAAACTTGCATATCGGCTCATACCCATCAGCCGGCTCCCACTCCAACACCTCCTTCCCATGCTTCCTTGCTACCCTCCTCACCAACTCGGAATGCCGATCCATCATCTCAGGACACCAATCCTCCACCCCATACCTCTCCGGCAACTGACTATAGAACACGCGAAACAGGTTGACCTGCTCGCGATCCGTCTCCACCAGCCACGCAGCCCACGCATACACCCCATTCGGGACCGAGAACCAGTATATCGTGTCCATGAACGACTTGTGCCACTCGGTGCCGCTGCGCCGCTTATTGAGGATAATCTGTGCGTCTGGATACATCTCCACCAGATCTTCGATGAACCACATCCCGGGGAAGTCGGCCGAGGAGTTGACCACGTCGAAGAGTGTGCGTAGCATGGCTTGCCGGGTGGCCTTGTCCCGCTCGAGTGCCATGCTGCGGACGAGACGCAGGCGCTCGGCGTATGGCGCGATGCGCGCGAAGTGCATGCATGGCCCGTAGCCGAGATGTTGCTCGAAGGAGGTCTGGAGGGAGCTTGTGGCACAGCGGGGGAGGCCTGCGGCGATGACCTTGGGGCCGGTGCCTGTGGGGTAGGTGTCTTGGGGTTTGGACACGAAGCGCATTGTGAGAGTTGTTGAAGGGTATGTTTGTGGTTGTTCTGGGTTGAATTTGAGGCTTTATATGTATTGCTGGAATGTAGCTAGTTCACTGGATCCTGACGATGTGTGAGATTGTACCATAAACGTTCACTTTCCCGGCGCTAATGTAAAGGTCATGGATCCTTACCCCTGGCTATTGGTCGGCTCGCTTATGCTAAAGCCGGATCCGAAGGCCTATAGGATGATATCTGGATCTCGGGTCAGCACTCAGGCCCCCAAGTACAACAACAGAAAGTGTTACCCATCAGCCTGCCATTGGACTGACTGATTCGCCATCAATCTACGACCAGGTTGTGTTGCAAGTCAATGACTGGACCGAGCCAGTTACATGCCCAACATTATATAATGGTATATGTTACCATCATGTTGGGGTATGGCCTTGAAGAAACAGATGCTATAGTATAGACATCGTTTGTATCCTCCTGTCGGGCATGGAGACAGACCAATTCATTGTCTCTCCAGAAAGGAGACTTCTGCTTGATACTAGCCAGTTATATAGCCTCAAACGTCCTCTCTGTGAAATGCTCAGAACTATTGTATGTCCGATCCTTGAGCATTTCCACAGCCTCGCCTTGCATTATGCCATGTACGTAGCATGGGCCGATAACTTCATAACAGTCGCTCTGATCCGGCAGATCCTTCTTTCGCAGTATGATAGGTACACTACATCCTCTGAGAATACATATCACTGCTTGTGGTTAGGAGGGTTCTGATAACGAATCTTGGCAAAGCAAAATAACTTACGGTCACCCTCCTCGCAATCCTCAGGCGCAAGACCGAGGAGCTCAGGACCACTGTTTGAAGTTGCTAGGATCAACCTTCGTCGAAAGAGAACCACAGCGATACGTCTCTTTAACTCACTGGTGAAGGTAGATTCACCGGGGCGCCAATACAAGGCCTGACCCGACTGGTTGTTGAACTCAAATGTATGCTCGGAACTCATGATTGAAGAGAATGCCTCGCTGTAGTAGTCCTGTACTTCATCCTGTGTATCCCATCGATTCGCGATCAGTGTGCGCCAGAAACGTTCTGGGTGCTCGGATTCTGACACTGGCCAGTTTGCTAGTTCAATCCAGTCCTTCGGGATGCTGAGACTTTGCAGACGATGCCTCATGTGGGTACTAACTTTCGTCACTGAGCCGACTGAGAAACCGTGCAGATTCAAACTTCGTATGGTATGATGACACGTTATGTCAATGCCAGAAAATGGCATGCCTGACGAAGCTTCATATGGATATCTTGGCGGTACTAGCCTGCCATTGGCATCCTCGTATGTGCCCACAAGATGATAGTAAGTATAAATCTGATTGGAAGGTCGTAGTCTAGGTCCGCCGGGTTTGTATCGATATGTAAGCCGTTTTATAGCGAGACGTCTCTTTGGCATCCACGATGGGAGATCATTGCCGTCTTGTGGCGAGATCCAGGGAAGAAATAGGACGTCCAGAGAGTTACATTTCTGGATCGCATAAGAGAGGAAGTTTCTGCAAGTGGCCTCGAACGAGAGTCCATAGTCGATTGGCAATAACGGTTTCGTCGTCTCGGTCGCCGCAACGGCTTTTGGAGCATCCCGTGCCAACGCAAGGACTCCAAATATATGGTCATGTAAGACCGTGACTTTCAGTTTAGCTAGAAGAGGCACTACGGTGTCAAGATCGTAGCGCAGGCGCCTTGTCACGCCATCACGCCGAGAAAGTGATTCCACCATTGCTATCAGTACGATTGCACCGCTGCGGTCCATCGACGTAATAGCTTCATAGCTTCCGGTGTATCGCATAAGCTTCTCACTTCGCCGTTTGGTCAACTGATTAATGTTGCAGAACAGCTTCCATGATATGGTAGACGCCCCGTAATGTATGGTGGCGCACTTCGCGAGCGCGACCTCTTGCACGACCCATTTTCGTGAGAACCAAGGCGAACGCATCATGGTAGCCAGGGAATTCCATTTCTCCCCGTAACAGGCCCGCTCTAGGAAATCGTCGAGGTTGTCCAAGTTCTCGTGTATAGTATGCAGAAAGGGTATGGCATCTATATCCCCTGTCTTTGGCTCACCTAACCATATCACCACACCATCTGCGTCCTGGTATATGTGAGCCATTTGTGGTACCTGATCATTCTTCTCTGGCTCACTGTCCTGGTCAATGCAGATAGCGTCGACCCACAAGTGTCGAGACTCGCTCGAATGCCTGAGATGACGCAAAGCTGTGTGTAGATTGGGACGTATCGCTATTGATATGCCGTCTTGTAGACATATGCTTGGGTACTCGCTAGACTGAGCTTCTCCCCAGCACCAAGAAACGGCTTCGTACTTGGTCTGGTCGACTCGAAGACGTAGCTCGCCCCGTAAGGGTGTTTCGATTGTTCCTGGATATAGTTCCAAAAGTCGTAACGAATGTTGCCCAAGTTGTAAAGGGACTTGAGGGTAGATACTTTTCATAGTCATAGTAGAGTCTTCCGAGGTCGCCATCCCGGGTCTGAGATCTCCAGGGCGTGACAGGAGCTCCTCTCTCATTAGTTGCAGCCGTAGCTACTAGATATGCAGAAGTTGTACTCGCTAGTGATACATATACATACTGAGCTTACAGCCACAACAGAAAAGAGTTGCGGAGGTCGTCAGTGCCTGCGAGCTGTAGTGAGAGTACTCGTGAAAGGTGTCGGCACTTTTTCAGCCTTGGGAGAATCTAGCTTAGGCTTAGCGGCCCTGAGGCTTAGGTCTAGCGGCCCTGATAATACGCCTATAAGGCTGAACTTATAGCCCCCTTGCGTTCATGTTGCAGGCAGATCCCATAAGATAAACCCCGCAGCCGAGAAGATCTTCGAGGTACAATTCGATATATTTATGCTTTCAAACACAGACCTCCAACGACATTGCCTTGCCTCAAGATTCCTCGTTCAGTTTGAACCAAATCCCTGATGCAATATGAGCCAAAACACCCCCACAACAGTGAAAATGTCGAATTCTGTGGAGAAAGAGTTGGCGGTGAAGACGTTTGGCAAAACAGGAGAGCAGGAACATCATCATGGTATATCAAATCAATCATACACGGAGCCAGGAGCCCGGCCGGACCCAGTAATACCATACACAGTCTTCACAAAATGCGAACGACTCGTTATAACATACTTAATCGGCTGCAGCATGTTCTTCTCCCCATTCACCGCAAACATATACTTCCCGTGCCTCAAACAGCTAGCTCAAGCCGTTCATGTCGACTCCAGCCGCATCAATCTCACCATCACCACGTATCTCATCGTGCAAGGAATCGCCCCTGCGTTCTGTGGCGATTTAGCAGACAATCTGGGCCGCCGTCCGGTGTACCTTTTCACGTTTAGTATCTACGTGGCAGCGAATCTAGCATTGGCGCTACAGAGGCACTATGCTGCACTTATGGTCCTGCGAAGCCTGCAAAGCTTAGGATGCTCCGCAACTGTCGCTATAAGCTACGGCGTCATCGCAGACGTGGCCACACCTGCAACACGGGGCAGTATGCTGGGTCCGGCAATGATAGCGACCAATCTGGGTCCAACTCTTGGGCCATTGATTGGCGGGGTCGTGGTTGCTGAAGCTGGGTGGAAATGGGTGTTTTGGTTGTTGGTGATGGTTGGAGCAGTCTTTCTTGCCGTTCTCGCGACAGTGTTCCCAGAGACTGGACGAAGTGTCGTTGGCAATGGAAGTATTGCTGCGCCAGCTTGGAATCGGCCCCTGGTACAGACACGTACACAGCGGAAGAGGCATGAGGCAGTCGATGTGACCGTGCCAGGACAACCTCAATTTGTGGCGCCGAACCCCTTTAAGGCTCTTTTGGTTTGTTTCCATAAGGATACATCTGTCGTACTCACCATTAGTGCAGTATCATATGCCGTCTACTATTGTGTCCAGGCTTCCATACCTGAGATCTATACGGACCTTTATGGCTTGAGTGAACTTGAAGTAGGGCTTTGCTACTTACCCATAGGAGCGGGTGTAATAGTAGGCGGTCTTGTTAACGGAAAGCTGTTGGACTGGAACTACAGAGTAGTTGCTAAAGAGAATAGCATTGTCATCGACAAAGTGGTAGGTGACAACATGTCAACATTCCCAATCGAGAATGCTCGTTCTCGAATGTCGTGGCTGCTCATTCCTTTCTCGACGGTCATCTTAGTGGCTTATGCTTGGGTTCTCGAAGAGAGGGTTCATATCAGTGCTGCTTTAGTACTGTTGTTTCTGCATGGGTTTGTCGCGACATGTTTATGCCAGGTAATCGGTGTCGCGTGAGTTCCAGAGTTCTGCTAAGCATAAAGTTCAGACGCACAACACTCTTATAGTGGACATATGTCCTGAATATGCTAGCACAGCGGCAGCAGCAGGAAATATTACACGCTGTGGGCTTTCCGCTGCTGTGGTAGCCGGCATGCAGCCTCTCTTGAATAGTATAGGTACAGGGTATTTCTTCACAGCTTTGGCTATCAGCTCCGGACTGTTGAGTGTGGTCATGACCTTTATCCTGCGATGGAAAGGGATGAATTGGCGGAATGCAAGGCAGACCCGTAAGACAGTAGACAACGTGGCACGGCAGATAATCAATGAATAGGATCTGCCAAGACTACCTAAACAAATCTGGCCATTGATTCTTGACGGCAGTAAGTAAATTTCTCACGCACCAGCTGCAGGTTGGCTGTTGCTCGCCACATAGCCTTCGTAGCCATCTGGATATTTTGTGACTAGACGACGCATTTCATTGATGGCACTGTGATTCATCAGTCATTGGACACGTTATGAGTAGCACGGATACATACAGCTGCCGTGTGGATTTTGTATTTTTCCAGCAACACGACACCAAAAGGTCGTTCTTCAACGCATACAACGCATTTCTGTCATCATGATCCTCCACTGGCTCAGATATATCCACCAGCTTGTGATAAGCACGCAGATGAGTCTTGTCGAAACGGTAGCGCGTCGCGCGCCACGGGCCAGCATCATATTCTCCGTGTCCGTAGAAGCTCCCAGCATCATAAAAGATCGGGTCACCAGAGACATTATCGATGCTCACGTTGCCATGCCATAGATCACCGTGCAGCAACACTGGCTTGATTCGTTTGCCAGCTGTCTCCATTGGCCGTAGGAGTCGAGGCACGACATGTGACATTAGCTTGGCAGATAACTCGGTCATTTCCGGGTCAGAACCTTGGATGCTACGTTCCCTATCAATCATATCCTGCAGACCGCGAGCGAAGTATTCTTCCCAAGTGTGGGTCCAGCTGTTGTTCTGCGGAATGTTGCCTTGGAATGTAGTTATATGGAATCCAAATTGCCCGTCCGGTGACTGCTTTGCGTGGAACTTGGACAGAACGGTGACGAAGTTGTCTACTTCAGGAAGATCTTCATTCATGTCACAGAATACTTGGACGTAGAAGAATCGCTGAGCATCTGATGCAAAGGAGCCATACCCAATAGGCTCAGGCACGTTCTGAGGGGAAATAGCATAGAGTGCCGCCGTAGACTCATACTCGGCCTTGACCATTGCTTCTGCGTTTACGTCGCGATACTCCTTGAGGAAGAATGATTTCTCTTCACCATTGACGATCGTGTCAATCTTGGTAGATATCGACCAATGCGTCGCGCCATATGTAGATACCCAAATGACATCTACACCCTCAGGGAGACCTTCATTGAATTAGCAAGCCCTGTCACAGGAGAGATTCACTTACTAGCAGCAATATTGGCATCAATCTCTCGACCCTCGTACTTGTCCTCTTCCTTCAACTCCGCCACAGTGAACTCCGGTGGAATCACAGTCATGTTTGTCAAGATACTTCACGTTAGCCATTTCTACTGATGAGCGATCAAGGCGTGTAAGTACAAACGCCGCATGCAAGGACAAGCTGTGAACATCCGCCTGAAACTTTTCGTGGGGAGTGGGGTCATGAATCAGCCAATCGGCGGGACGGTCGGAGTTGCTTTTGTTGTAGCCGCTGGCGTCGTCCCAAACACGGCACACTGCATATTACCATGGATGTGTAATCTTTCCAATGACCAACATCAATGTCCTGCTCAACAATGGCATTATGGACTGCGCACGTAAACGGCCGGCTGCCTGACTGACCCCACCCGGTTAATTGGGAGTTGAGGGCTTGCGGCTTGGGCTGTCGGCGTCTGTCATGACCTCTCTCTCTCTATGCTAGAACGTAGGATAACGACCAGTCTCTCAGCATCTGTTCAGAAATGTAAGGCGGTCATGGAACATGGTTGACGAAGTATGATACTTTTTCGCTACCGTGGGTTCTCGTGCTCCGACTGACGACGTGGTCAACAGGATACAGATCGTGTAGTTCCTCCTACATACGACAGGTGCCGTTCCAGTGGAACCTCATCGCGACTCTCCAGTAAGAATGGTTTCTCGCTCCAGCGTTCCTTCAGCATATTATCCAGAACAAAGTCCGAGGACACACTTGTAAGCGACGATGTTGGTCCCTACGGACTAACCCTTCTCCACGAACCCCCGGAGCCCCTCATCGATTTCATATTCGTCCACGGTTTGCGCGGTGGCTCTGTGAAGACATGGAGAAAGGAAAGCGATGACCAATACTTCTGGCCGCAGGCCTGGCTTCCGCAGGAGCAGAGGATGCAGCACGCACGGATACACACATTTGGCTACAACAGCGACTGGGGAGAGCGCAGAGAGAGTTTTCTGAATGTGCACGACTTTGGAAGATATCTGCTGGGGGAAATGAGCACCTCGCCTTACTTAAGATCTTCCCCGGACTCTCCGATTGTCTTGATAGGCCATAGTATGGGAGGATTAGGTAAGCACTGTCTTAGATCCTTTTACTAGTTGCCTTCGTTTTGAAATACTTAAGACTGATGATATATGATCGTTTTGTAGTGATAAAAAAGGCTTATATTCTCGCGCGAAGAGATAAAGAGACAAAGGAATTGGCGGCGCGCATACAATGCCTCATTTTCCTCGCAACTCCGCACCGGGGCGCTAGTCTGGCCTCCCTTCTCAATAATATGCTTCGGGCTACTGGCGTGTTTAGTGTTAAGCCCTTTCTTGCCGATTTGGAGAAGAATTCGCCAGGATTAGACATGATAAATGATGACTTCAGACATTATGCGGACGAAGTCCGCCTATGGTCGTTCTATGAGACCGTGAAACTGAACCTCGGAATCCAGTCAGCTCTCGTCGTGGAAAGAGACTCCGCAACAATTGGATTGAAACATGAACGTGTGCAGCTTCTCAATGCCGATCATCGATCCGTGTGCAAATACGATAGCACGCATGACCCAAACTATGTGGCAGTAAAGAACGCTCTTATTGCAATTGCCGAAGATATCCTTGGAGCCACAATTACTAAACGGTTTGACGACCAAAAGCAGCAGCTGTCTGATCTTCAGACGTACCTTGCAGTCCGCGACAAACCGATTGACGAGCTGAATACCGAACAAGACATACAGGCCCCTGGCTCATGCTCTTGGATTCAGGAGCGACAAAGTTTCCAGACTTGGATAGAGACTCCGCAGGGCGAATTATACTGGGTCCATGCGCAGCCAGCTACTGGCAAGACAATCCTAACTGGACATGTCATTACAGAGCTACTGAATGCAGGTCATGACTGCTGCTATTACTTCTTTAAGACGGGACAAAAAGGGAAGAATACAATCAGTGCAATGCTTCGCTCATTTGCTTTCCAGATGGGACTAATGCATCCAATTGTGCGCTTGGAATTGGCAAAATCACAAGAACGCAACCCATTTTTCGACAGAGATGATGAGAGAGCCATCTGGAGAAAGTTCTTTGCCGGAGGTATATTAAAGTTACCGCTGGGACGGCCGCAATACTGGATCATTGATGGCCTGGACGAATGCATCGATCCAACAAGAATCTTTCCTCTTATCTCCCGTATCGAAAGTTCCTACCCAGTCCAATTTTTCATCACGAGTCGGCCCTGGCTAGAATTCGACCGACAATTCGCTCGCCTGGGAAAAAGAGTTATCATTGATCCTATATCCATTGAAAACACTATTGGAGATATCAAACTGTTCATCGAAGACAACATGAACAGCCTTCCGGTTAATGGGGAGGCAGATAGAGAGCGACTCGTGCAAAATCTGATAGATAAATCTGGCGGATGCTTCTTGTGGGCTCACCTTATCTTAAAAGAGCTCCAATCTGTGTACAGCGAAGAGTACATCGAAAGAACTATCGACGAACTCCCAACCGAAATGAGCTCGATGTATGAGAGGATTCTGCAGGAAATGTCTTGCAATGTTAGAGAGAAACGTTTGGCTAAATCACTTCTCGTCTGGACGATGTGCGCGGTCCGATCGCTGCGAATTGACGAACTTGCCAGCGCCATCAAGACTGATGCAGATATCAATGTACGAAACATAGAAAAATCGATCCAAGGTCTTTGTGGGCAGCTTTTGCGCACTGATAAGGCTGGTTGCGTTCAGCCGATGCATATGACTATAAAAGCATTCTTGACTGATCGTTCACTACAATCGGAGTTTGCTGTCTCGAAAGAGGCCGGGAACAATCAATTAGCTCTGGCATGCCTCCGATATCTTTCCGGTGAAGAGATGAAACCTCCCCGTCATAGAACAATCATTAACGTCTCTCGGCCAACAAAGAGCGCCATTGCGGACTATGCATGTGTAGCATTTTCCGACCACCTTGCATCAGCATCCTCGATGGACCATGACTTGTTTCTGGTCCTCGAAAGATTTCTTCGCACGAATATCCTTACTTGGATCGAATATATCGCTGGCATCAAGAAAAATCTCTACTATCTCATCAGGACTGCAAAGAACTTGCAAAAGTATCTTCACCGACGTGCAAAACATACACCCCCCTTTGGTGATGCTTTCCAATGTGCTTCTCAGTGGTCGACCGACCTGGTTCGACTGGTCGCAAAATTCGGAGCAAATCTGCTAAATGTCCCAAGCTCCATATATTACCTCATCACACCCTTTTGCCCACGCACTTCATCGATATATCGTTACTTTTCCGACACTTGCAGCGGCCTCACTGTTCATGGCCTCGAAAATGATTCATGGGAGGATTCGATTTGCTACATCGACTTTCGAGAACATCGCGCAATGTCGGTAGCAGCCGGCGACAACACGTTCGCCATTGGCACAAAATCTGGTCGCATATTCTTATATTGGCAAGTCACCTGCCAAGAGAGGCTGATTCTGAACCATGGGGAAGCCGCTCGATGTCTTCGATTCGACAATAACAACCGTATAGCTTGCGCGGGACCTCACGAAATCCAATTGTGGGACATAAATAGTCGCGAGCTACTTTGGACATACGTGATGAAGGACACTCCAGTATTGCTGCAATTTTCCGGATCGGATGAAGTTCTCATAGCAGCGACAAGACAGAGCCATGCAGTAAAGATTGACTGTAAAGATGGTTGCGTTGTGTCTGATCAGGCCTACCCGAATAGACAAGCACCGCTCGACATCGCTATATCACCCGATCAAAGCATAATTGCCTTTGCTTACCGAGGGAAACCCGTGCTTTTGTGGAGTCTAGATAACGATCGCCTCTTGGGAGCTTGTGGTGGGACTGCTGGTGCCGAAGCGCAAGCTATGATATCTGACACTTCTCCCGAGAAGGTGATCTTCAATTCGAATCCCGCAGTAGAACTGATGGTGGTAACGTTTCAAAATGGTAGTATGGTGTTGTATGAGACTTGGAATCAAAGAGCTGTCAAAGCGGCTCAACAAGACTGTCACTACCTGGCATGCTCCCCCGACGGACGAACCCTTGCTACTGGCTCAAGCTGGGGGTACATCGGTCTTTGGGATTTCGAAACATTATCCTTGTTATATCAAATTAACACTCGTGAAACTCTCGGGAAAGCCTTGTCTTTCACTGGAGATGGCACACGTATCATCGAACTGAAAGACCGGAAAGCCAAGATATGGGAACCGGCTGCCCTGGTTCGCAAGGTCGTTGAAGAGGAGTCCAATATCAGTGAATCTGTCAGCATGCCACCACTTCTCGTTGGGACCGGGAACGACATTGTGCCAATAACATCTACTCGAGTACACTCTATTGAGGAAGTGATATTGGTTGGAAAAGATGATGGTTCGATGAGTCTGTACTCGTCTGTGAACGGTCAAAAGATGACAGACCTGTATAGCCACAAGCAGGACATCTTTGTTCGGTATGTTGCTGTTGGTCCTGGAAGAATGGTTGCTTCAGTCGATGCTAGCAACCGGGTGCTCGTGTATGATATCGAAATGAGCACCAATGAGAGCAGCGTCTCGACCCAACGACTCCTGCTTGACTCAAAGTTCGATGATAGTGTTCAACAAATTGTTTTCAATGAGACAGAAGATAAGTTGCTGGTCTCCACGACTTGTCGCGACTATCTTTTCGTTCGGATAACGAAAGAGCACACTTTCAAGCACGTCACTGTGATAGAGGCATCGGCTCGCACACTATGGAGATGGCTCTCCTCTATCCGTGTTCCGGGTACTATAGTACTTGTGACTGATTGCATCATTCGGCGCTATGCGTGGGACACCCTAGAGGTGGTTCATACAGGTCAATCTGATACCAGAATAGACGTTGGAGCGACAGCCTTGACGGGAGCAGATCTAGCTTTCAAGAATCTTGTGACGGACCACCGAGGATCATTCCTGATTGCAGAGTTTGCTCACAAGCTGGGGAGCAAAGCAACCGAAAGATTGGTGGTATGGCGTACATCCTCCATGGTGACGCAAGTTCCATCGCCAGGGAGCGGTGGCGCAGACGCCACGTTGATACTGACATCGAAGGACATCAACCACTTTCTGGGATGTTTCGAACAGCGTATAGTGTTCCTGGATCATAATCTCTGGGTCTGTTCGATCGACCTATCGCAGCTACATGGCACACAGTCTAGTCTTGATGGTCTCATCAAAAAGCATTTCTTTATTCCGCGTGAGTTCGTCGGTGGCAATGAAGGTAACATGGGGTCTGTAACTCGCCGAGGTAGTATTGTCTTTCCAAAAGAAGGAGAAATTGCAGTCGTGTCTAATGGACTACAATGGACACCTTAGTATTACAGCTCGGTATATATAGAGCTACGTAATTACCTCTACATCCTCGTAGAACGAGACGGTATGTATACCACGAATAGCACGCTGTATTAGGTCAAGGAAGTGCGCATACGTAACGGTAAGAGATAGACTATACACGCCTGATATCTATTAAGTGGCTTGATACTATGGATAGAAAGCAGGTACATAATATCCATCGCCTGTTTCGCATAGCTCTCCTGGCTATCACGTGCTTGACAAGGATTGAGGCTACAGTGCCATATCCAATCCAAGTAGAATCTATTACATTACTTTCGGTCCAGACGAGAGCACATGCAGACGGTCAGCTAGTGGTATTGTTGTGTTATGATTTTGCACAATAGCGATTATCGACGAAAGTGAGAATACACCATCGGACGAAGTCCATCACTATATATCATTGAGCCACTGCACAGACGAGACCGAAAAGAAATCTCACGCCAGCAACTACTCGACCATCTCATCTATTTGCACAATACGCCCGGACAACATTCCCCAACATCCTCCTCGTACGCCTCTTGTCAAAAACCTGCGCATGATCTAAGCCCTCAAACCACAATACACGTAGCCCCGCATCTTCCACCCCATTTTTGCCTCCCTCAAGATATTTCCTCACAGCCGCCGTATCCACAATCAGATCGCGCTCCCCAATTGCGACACTGACGAGATGCTGCTGAATATCCTCTTTCCACAGTATGTTGTCGCTCCAGAAGAAGCGCCGACCGAGCGCGTGTGCCACGCCAGGGTCTTTGGCGCCGAAGTAGTATAGTTGCCATTCGTTGGCGCGGCGCGGCGTTTTGCATGTCTGGTACGGTATGTCAGACATGGGAGACCTGGTGAAGATAGTGGGCACTTACAAAATTGTAGGCGACGTCAGGCAGGTGCAGCAGGAAGGAGACAGGGTCGATGAAGAGGATCGGACCGATGCGGGCTGCGAAGCGAGGGCTGCGCAGGAGATGCGTTGAGATGACGCTGCCGTAACTGGGTGTGGAGTGAGTCACCTTGTACGCAACAAGCTATGGACGAAGACTCACGAGTGCGATACCAGGACAAATTTGTCCCAATTGTGGGCGTTCAGGATGGATTCGATTTCATCGCACATGTGCTCTTTCGATAATGCCTCACCGGTGATGCGAAAGCTGACGGACATGATCTCGACTGCGATGATGCCGATTTGGCCATCAGAAGAATCTGTAGTGTCATCGGAAGTGAGTTCGGCTAAGAAGTTCTTATAAGGGTAGAGGCCGATGCCGATTCCGTGTATGAATAGGATAGGGAGTCGAGTCTTAGACGTATGAGGACGATGCCAGTAGGTCAAGTGTGGAGCAGGAGAGTGATGGGAGCTCAGTAGATGGAGAGGGCGGGGTGGAAAGACGGTGTAGAATTGAGATAGAGGATTGCGGTGGAAGTAGAATCCTTGAAACCGTAGGTAAATCGATGCTAGGGTGTCGACGACGAAGACGCACTAGAAAAAGAGGTAGATTAGCAACGAAGGTCAACGACTGAGCATGCCGCTCATGTCTATAGTATTTCAGCGCGTACCATGTACCAAGTCAGACTCCGGTGTAGCATGTCGACTTTGTCTACTGTCAACCTGATGCACCTCGCTTTTCCTGTGCCCTTCTCCAGCTTTCTCCCCAACAGCTCTTCCAAGTGGCCGACATATTCGCTTAGTTCTTCCTCATATTCCGCACATGGTTCCGCAGCATTGAAGAATGCCCAGTTGAGGAACTCTTTCACGTTGTTGCGTTTGATCTCAGACGAAGGAGCGCCCATGAACCATCTCGACAAATATTCCTCTGGATCGGGGATGTTATCGTGACAGCGCCTGAATAGCTCGCGACGACGCTCACAGTCGACTGGCGGAGGATGAGCAGCTGCTCTCTGGAGGTACAGTCTGTGCGGAAAGTATACGAGGACGAAGAACGCGGTTTCGACGGCAGCGGTGACTTGCAGAGCTTTCGGCACGGCATAGGGTGGAGTGTAGCAGAGAGAGACAACGCAGTAAAGAGCGCTAAGAGGAGCGATCGAATGTAAGAAAAACACGCAGGCTCTGATGAACACGTACGCCGGGAGTGAGGTTCCTATCATCGAGGAAGGGTAGACGTCGTCACCACTCGAACAGTCGTGCGAAATCCAACACTGTTTGCTGCGCACAAAGCGAGTAGAGTGCGCGAGCCTTTAGATTTTCATGATTACGCTGCCGACTGCGCGTCCCAACAATTCGTCGAGATCGCTACATGGGAACAAGAAGCCGAGGGACGCGATGGCGAAGTTTGTATCATATGGTCCCCAACAAAAGAAGGAGGGAGCCAACCAGCCAGGGTTGATGCTGCAGCGCCATTCGCAGGGCTGCTCAATGCTAACCTGATACTGCTGGATTGTAGCAGTAGGGTAATCGGTTCTCCGTTCTTGTTGGCGAGAAGGCAATTCCACAATTGAGTGATATCAAAAGGGAGCATTTGCTTGCAGATATGACGTTGGACGCGCGCGTTTGACTTTCACATGTCGGAGAAAAGGATTGGGAACGGCCCCACTTAAAAGTCTCCGTATCGGGATATTATTAGAATACGGAGCATACTCCGTAGGTCCGTGCCTCGGCCATACGCCCGCCATTCCAAAACATCAAACATGACATTCCAGCGACAAAATAAATCACAATCCCATCACACCGAAAAACCTTCCGCCTCCCGCCTTCATCGCAAACTGTCTCCGCGACTTCATTCTAGTGGACACGTTCACTCCCTTTCGCGCGCGCAACGTCGAGTATGCACTTAGGTAGTACTATAAGAATCATGAATTACCACTCCGTCCCTCTGACCGACAGCCAACTCACATCTTACAATAAGCCAATAGTCACGTCACCCTTGACCCTTGCGTAGATCTCGACCTGCAGGAACACTACATCAACCCAATGGTCACGTCTCCCTTGACGCGGGCGTAGATCTCTACCTCGACTTCCAGATCCAGCTCGATCTTGATCTTCAGGCTACTGTCCTTCTCGCCCACCTTGGCCGGCCGGTCTGCGATACGTGACTGATGCACGGGCACCATGCGTCGGCCACCGCTGCGTCGTGGTGGTGGGATGGCGGGTTCGGCCACGTCGTTCAGGTCTTCGGTTGTTTCGCTCTCCGGCTCCACCGGGGGCGTAGAGCGCTGTAGCTGTTGGTTGTTGATCTTCTTAGGCTTCTTGCGATCTGGAGATTCAGCTGTGTTGGTCCCAGCTGGGTGGTCAGTAACCGGAGCTCTGCAAAGATTATTAGTGACAGGTTCGAGGTGAGATGCAAGGTTGTTATTCACGCTTGGGACATCGCTACACCCGAGTCGTTCCTTTTCAAGTCTGGAGAGTCGTTCGTTATGATAGGAGGGGGTCTATTTGGCCCAAACGCGAGGATGTAATATCGCCAACCATCAGCGAAACGCAGTCATCTTAAGTCCTAAAGAGCACGAGACGCTACTGCCCTTGGCAGAATGACGGAACGCGCACTGTACTTTCATAAGACGCGCAATGGACGCGAACACGGCGAATCACAGTAGAGCGTATCGTTCAAGAGGGCGGATGATGGATAAGCGTCGGTCGTGGGCTGATTTAAATGCTGATGACCAGCATGCAAGCAGGATTACGCCAAAATGTACAAGGATGCATAGAAGCAAAGCAGGTTTGAGGGAGTATTTACGGTTTCCATGCTGACATAGGCGTCTGTCGTGACAGCTACCGGAGATGATTCCGCATACGACCAGGTAGTGGGCATGCAGGCGGACGTCATGTCAAAGGCTGTGTCCCATGCAAACTCACTGCTAAGGCCCAGCTGTGGTCTCCCGGACGGTATCGTTTTCCCTCATACTTGGAATCTACGCAATACATCCTCGCATCACATCGCACTCCGCCCTGTTACGATACTCTAGCTACATACTAACCCGACGTCATCCTCTTCACATCCCATCTCACGGGGCACCAGTCCCCCAAAGCCATGATTCTCGGCATTATAACTGCAATCGCTACCTGGTCCGACATAATTGACACCACAATCTGTCCCACAATGTTAGCGCCATCTCAGCCCAAGGAAAAAAAAAACTTTCACCACCATCAAGTCCTTCTCGGTCGCCGTCAAGGTCGTGCACCGCTGCTAGATCATACTCAGCGGAGAACCAAAGGGGATGAGGATCAGGCGTCACTTTGGTGATATTCACCATCACTAGAAATGAAATGATGAGACCCGTACGTGCATTTGAGTAAACTGCCAGATAAGCTCGCCGCTACTTTCATTCCACATCCATCAAGATGCGTTGGTACACTAACAAAATATCCCTGTTTTCCCTCCCTGGCTGTGCCATTATGACCCCAACAATCTGCCTACTTCGACGGGGTCTCCATCGAGTAAAAGACCCATGTGGGAGTTCTTGTACCTCTGCCCCTTCCTTCGGCATGTCGCCAACTTGCGCAAAAGTTCAACTGGACTTTTATGTATGCTACATTGCTTTGCCATTCTCTCGTCATAAAGTAAGCGGTCCTCGGTGTCTTCAATAAAGCCTTCAGGTGACATCGTTACGCCGTCGCAGGGGCCTCGGAATGCTAGACCCAGGAAACAACAGGTGGCTTCGTACATGGTTTGGGACTCGAAGTATAGCTGGCCTGCGAATAGATTCAGCTGGACCTTGGTTGCTTGGTTGGCAGCGACTGCTTGTGGAGTCTTCTGCTGTGCTGTAAGACTGGGAACGACGCAATACTGGAGGTTCTCCATCCGGTGGAGTAGATCCATTGTTCGGGATGCGCCTGCGGAATCGCGGATTCGGGGTGTGTAGATGTGCAAAGTCAATTTATGGGCCTTTTGGATCTCAGGTAACAGGCTGTTTGCTTCAAAGGCACTGATTAACACGCAGGTTTCTGTCTCTGGCCACCGTAAGAGCCATTGCGGTGACCGAACAAAATAATCTTGCCTATCGGTAGGAACTGCTCGTACTGTGCGGGCAAAGTCTTTCGTCGCCCACAATCCGGTAGGCCATGTAGATAGATCGAAGACTTGCGCCATCTTTGTCACTTGGAGTGTTTTAAATGCCGGGATCAACGATACTGAGCTGGTATTGAGTCTGCCTTCACGGACCATCACGACGATATCCCGGTGGAGACTATGTCGTACTGGATCCGTAGTGGGCGGGACCTCACGTTGTCTTTGCAATTCGCACTCTGGTGAGAGTTCCCGCTCTTGCTCTTCATGAAGGGCCGCATCATCGATTGACGACGTCTCAAAGTCTTTCATCTTACGCTGGATCTTTTGAACTTCGCGTGATCTCTGCGAGAGCACGTCTGGACCATATCTCTGCAGCCAGTCTGGGTGATCAGGCTGACCTACCACACCATACCAGTCCTCCAGAGACTTCGACTCTGGCTCGAGCAACACTTGCGAATTGCCTTCGCCGCTCCAGACCACCTTCCGACGCTGGTGTCGCATGCCTTGAATAGCCCATAGTGGAACACACTTTTTGGTGTAGTGATGCGTGTTCTGAATGCTCCAAAGCAGAACATCCTCAACGTCAAGGGCAGCTCCGCTCACCTTCTTCGCGTGCTGGCGAATCTTACGCTCAATCTCCATTGGAGCACACAGCATGACAGACTGACCGTGTGCAAGCTTCCTCATTCTCATGCAGGCTAGAAAACATATTAGACAAGCTGATGTATAGAGGAGAGGTGTACTCACCTTGTACAAGTCTGTCCTTGGACAACCCAAGTCCAAGCGTGGCCGCTGCGCGGTAGTCGGACGGGAGTTTCAGGTCAGTACCACGTGTGTGCGCTTCATCAAGATAAACGAGACAAGTGTCCATCTGCTTTTGCATAGGAGACTCCTGAAGCAACTGTATCCGCCCATCTCGGGTGAGTACCATGACTTCGTCGTTCTCATCGAAGTACACAACGCCCTCAATCCGGTCAGACGGAATACGCTCTAACCAATTGCGAGCCATCTCATCGTTCCTCCATTCGAGTACGAGAGCACCAACGTCGAGAATGACCCGTATTTCCGGTTGCGCGCCAACGACGAGATCAAGCAAAGATTTAGCATTACCTGCCCCAGGAATGACTTGGTAGGTGTTATGTGGTTGCAGTATGCACTCCAGCACAGTCGCATTGGTGTGCACTTGGTCCGGAATGTCATACTGCTGGACGGAGAGTGGCAACAAGTATCTGGAGTCGTTGGTCCCCGAGAATCCTGTCGTCGGATGCCGCTTCACTTGCGCAATGTCCCATCCCGATGATGATAGCTTGCTCGGGAACTCTTTCATTTCATTCGGGAACACCAAACGCGACATAAAGAAGTCAACGACAGCTTTGGAGTTCCTGATTCTTGGAAACAGTTCCATAGTGCATTGCAACCTGTCCTTGAGATTCACCCCTGAAAGTGCGCGAAATGCATCAGGCATACTGCTGACCTCCGAAGTCCATGATGCATATTGACCAGTTGAATCGTCAGATCTTAGGAGTTCATCAAAGCACTGGAACAATTGATCGTTGGTCAGGCCCTTATAGTAGTAACTCAGACATGTGAGCAGAATCGTTGCATCTGGATGGCTGAATTCAGCTCGAGATGCAGGAAGATCCTTTGCTCTGTACGGTACTGCGAGCAGACTTCTCGAGAAGTCATGCCCGTAGTTTACGCGCCATCGTTTTTGTTGGAACACAAAGAGCAGGACACCGTGTCCGAAGAGCCCTTTTAGTAAAAGCAGTATGGAACGCGTCTCAGGGGAGCTGAAGATTCTCTCCAATGCGATACTCTTACTGGGCCCGGGAGCTTTTGGATCCAATATGTAGTGGATCAGTGACTGTCTCTCGCTGCTATTGAGGCTTAAGAGTGGAAGACCCTGCACTCCTCCTTCGGTGATCAAGTCGTAGACCACGCGCTTCATGAGATCTTCACCGTCGTTTTGCTCTAGAATTTGAAGGCGAGGGAAACCCTCTGGTCTTGTGTCCTGGACAGATAAGCCTTCGGGCTGCTTCCCGGCCCTCGCATCATCCCTCAGGCGATGTCTCAGTCTACGAAGAACGCTGGCAATGACTTCCCAGCGTTGTGGACTGAAGTCAATAGCAGTCTGCTGGCCCATGGTGTAGATCAACTCAAATTTGACGTTGAGAATCTCATCACTCTCATCAAGAATGTCACGCGTATTTTCATCGATCCACCGCTGTGTCTTGACTAAAGTGGACGCGAGCGGTGTAATAATGGTGCTGTTGGACTTCTCAATGCCCATAAGATCGAACGATAAGATGTGCTCCGGCTGGCAAAGCACAATGCATCGCTCTCGCAGGAGCCTTTCATACATTTCGTGGATCACGAGTGCTTCATCAGATGACATTGGCGTTGAACGAGAGAAGGGAACTCCGACAACCCGGTGACCCATCAACCCGCCTAGCTTTTCTCGCAGAAGATGAAACATTTGGGCAAAGAGCGATGGCAGAACAATCATCCGGGGTAGATATTGCCCTTTGGCGAGTGTCGCAGCGACTATGGGCGCAATCACTGATGACTTGCCCTCTCCCATGTTCAATTGCATAACACAATTACTCTTGCAGCTGGGCTTGAGCATCTCCTTGGCTACTTGAGCCTGCTCAGGCCGTATGAGGAGATTATTCTCAATTTCAAACAATAGCCATTCCGGGTACTGAGCTGGGTCCCACCCATCGTGACCAACGTTCTTGAACTCTTTGAGAAACTCCGCTGTGCCTAGTGGAAGGGCGCTGAGGCGTCTATAGTACTGCCATCTTGTGATCAATATTCCATACTGGAGGATGGCGTTCGTCCAACCAGGACTCAGCGTATCTTGTTGAGTGAGGTGTTTCAGCAAGGCAGTGGGCTGCATACGCGGCCAGGTAGTGACCAAGGCGGCAATGGAATCTGACCATGAATCTCTACGGATAGTTGCCTTTCTTACCGCCTCTAATGCCGTGTCGACCTTGCTTTCCATATCAATACAGGCGTCTCCCAGGGCTTCGCGTAGTAGATCTTCCTTGGCACGATCCAGGTGACTTCCCGGTGGGATTGTTCGTAGGTGGTCTAAGCTACGAAGCATATCCCTCATATAATTCGTCTCATAAGTACCAATGCAATCCAGTCGACCCCGCTCGATAAGTCTTCTAACCCGCTGGCAGTCTCGCATAGAAGCACTGGGCCTCAAAAACAACGACATATCGATCCCTCCCGTGGCCTCTATGCTAGGTGGCTCTCCCGAGAACAAATGTTTCCAGTCTAAGTGCGTAGTCTGCTTCCGAGATATCTGGGGTAGGCGAGAGAAGTTGTAAGGTGCAGTATGTCTAGGTGAAGTCCGATGGCGGTTGAGAATTGACTGAGCCTGGGATATAAAGGTCTTGAATTTCCTGTTCCGGAACCAGCTGGCGAATCTAGTATTTGCACTTTCAGAAATTTGGTCTAGGTTAAAATGTGTTGCAAAAATGCTTCGATTCGCGATGTTGATTGTATCGGTAGGCCATAGTAAAAGTAGCTGATCCACGAGTTGATTTGCCTTGCTCTCTTTAGCCTCAGTGTGTAGGCCACGTCTTCGATCATTACTTTGCCACTTTTTCTCGAATCTGAGAGCCGGCAACAAGGCTTCCGGGCATTGGCTGAAGTCCTTCGCGGCACTGTTGATCAAATATTTTAGAGCGGTTTGTGTAGGCTCATATCCCTCTCCCAAGTTGTACGTACTGTAATGCGGCATTACCAGGGCTCGAAGTTCTGGTAGCGTTGCAAAACCCAGAAGAGCTTCGCATAGAGGGTTCATGTTCATATCGGAATATACGAGGGTACTAAGACTGATAGCCATGCGATATTTATGCTGCTCCTCTCGAGCATGTGAAAGGAGATGAAGAAGCTCGCAAAACGAATTCAACATTATATCCGGTGTTCCTTTCCAGGTGTGGTTATATCTCAGAGAATCGTGGTGAGAAGATGCGTTCTGCCCTCTGAGTGTACCCTCCCAGTCCTCAATGATGCTTAGAAGGGTACTCGGAGGACTCAACCGGTTAGGCCACGCATTCACCAAGGATGTCAGCCCACAGACACTTGCCTCTTTGGTTTTTGTGCTCTCTTGGTACGCCTTGTCATGAACAGTACTATGCTTCTCACCTCCATAGTCGATTCCTCTAAAGATGGAGTTGCGGATCTCTGCCCTAGCTAAGAGAGCTGGCTCACCGAATCTACCTTCGTCTGGCAAACCTTCGGTGGTGTAGAACATTTTCTGTGCCCGTGCACACTTGAATATGTCAGAAACTAAACTGTAAAAAGATTCATGTTGCGACAGAGGTGGCAGAACCGTATGCCACTTTACCTCTTGCATTACTGCCATGTGCTGAGGATAGTAGACCCGATGCGGAGTGAGCTGTCCAATCCGCACCAAGATCTGAATTTCTTCTGAACTCAAGGTGCGGAACGATAACGTGCTTGCATCTTTGAGATTGGCAATCGCCTGTTCAGTACCTGTTCTACCAGTGAAGCAGTCCGGTAGGCAATGACTTGAGGTAGCATGAAGCAGAGTTCGAAATAAACAGCTTTTCATGCTATCATTATCTTTCAGACGACGCAGCGTGATGTCTAGTTCGTAATAAAAATACTCAATGTCGCTTTCACTACTAGTCTCCACCTGGACCTCGGTATGGTTCTCTCGTGATACTAGCTTGACTTCCCCGAATGGGACGATAATGCAGCGATGTGAGTCTTTGTTCGAGCGGAGAATCAACTTATTGCGAACACCTGTGAATGTACCGCAAGACTGATTTTTGTCTACTTCCATATTTCGACGTTGTCTGCATTCGAGTACCCCGCTTCCGTTGATAAAGAAGTCGAGGCGTAGGCGTATAAGATGGACGTCCACAGATTGGGAGGCTGGATGATAGGAAATGTGGATGTGTTCCCTACGTTCAATCGGGCTCAGCACCTGGTAAATGCGGTGAGCAGTGATTGTATGCATGTCGATGTGTAAAAGCTTTTCCGCAGTAATTGTAGGCATGTCGAGGTGTAAAAGTTTTTCCAATGACAGAATGTTGGTTGCGTCCCCTAAACTTTGTATCCTCCAGTTTGACTTGCATGTGACCCAAGGGTTGGTAATAGGGCGAAATTCCAATTCTTTTGTCGAAAGGTTCAGCCAATGGGAGTATCCACTGATAAAAGCGGGAGGGAAATCGTCAAACAACAGGTCCGTGGGTAGAATACGAAAGGTTTCACTCTCCTTTCTTGCACAAATTACAAGGTTTGGACCATCAAGTAAGAAATGTACCTTGCGGAACAAATCAGTATGTCGGCGCGAGCTGCGTACTTACAGGAGATCTTACCTGATATCCGAATACAGACGTTCGACTTTCATACCGCATCCCCCGCATAGTTGACGGTATCACAGTGATATACATCTATGATAATATCAGTCTCCATCTCCTATGGACATGCATGTTCTTACCTTAGAGAATAGCCTTAGGTAGGATGCATTTCGCTCGTAAGTAGTAGGAAGCCGCGTAAGAGGTGACCCATTCACAAGTAGACTCCCTGTCAGTAGATTGAAGTACACTGGTACCGTGCCAGAGTCTGTTGTCTCGGCCGTTTTTGTCATCAACCATTCACGCTGCCCGCGTACAGCTATCTGCCAGGGACTACCAGGGCTGTAGGACTCCCATAAACTAGTGATACTCCGATTCAGTCCATTGCCGTTTCGAAGGATGACCCTGCACAGAACTTCCTCCACAATCTGTGCTACCCTAGAAAATCTAAGAAGAGAGCTTCTCATGTGTCGAGGAAGTTTACCAATTGATGTTGGACGTAGTTCATCGATTGTAATCATGCATTCGGTCAGTTTTGCGACAAGATCCTCAGAAGTAAGTAACAATTCGATGTCCGGAAGATCCAATGCAAAAGTACTGTAACAGCAAAGTGCAATTTCGATGCTGACGTCCATCCATTGCTTCCGTTCGTTTTCCTCAAAGCAGGTCGAGAGCTTCTCTTTCAGCTTCCGAGTCCATGCGAAAGTCACATTACGCGCTTCACAAAGAATGTCAAGGCACTTCTGTCGGACATCTTTATGCGACGCTAGGCTTAGGATCCGGCTTGTAAGGGTGACAAGGATTTGAATGGACATGATACCTTGCCAATTCTCTTTTGTGTTGGACAAAAGCTCCTCGAGAGCATCAAGCAGGTCAAGACAAAAAGGGGGAGCGCTTAGCGTTCCATGGGAGGCCCGCATGGTTGGATCATCCTCAGCGCAACATGGACCAGCCTGCCATGCGCATTGGGCAAGGATAACACTCACTGCTTCTGTATTAAAGTTCAAGGTGCCGTCGATCAGCGCCCGCGCAATGTTATGCCACTGTAGATAGGGACCAGAGCGGAGGTGTCCAAACGAGAGGTATTCATGAACAGACAATTCGAGCGGACACTCTGACTGCTTCGCAATCACCTCATTGGGTTGATGCGTCGTGTTGTCAACCCAGGACTGTAAGCCTTCATAGTTCTTGTCCATTATTGGTTGCGAACATGCTTTGCGAACATCCGCGTACCCGATAAACTTATGTGCAGCTTTCTCGTTTCTAGAATCATGAATATCGTATTGCATCGCGTGCTCGACGCATATCGACTGTTCTGTAGCACTTGAAATATCTGCGTCTCGGTAATGCGATACATGAATCGGTTTCGTGGCAGACCTGATGACAATGCGGTTCTGGTCCGAGATGAAATGAGCCCGCAATGCGTCGTAATTTTCCAGTCCATACTTTCCAGTGGCTGGAACATCGCGTGGCAAGTTCTGGGGACTTGTGAGGACGTCAACCATAACAAAGTAGGTCATGTCCCTCCATACACTGATCGCTTTAGGACAATCTAGCTCGAAGACAGCTGTTTTGGCTTCCGCTAATTTGGATGGCAAAGGCCACTCATGTCGTCTAATCTTTAATCCTGCGGCTTCTTTCTCCCACCGGCATTTTTGGCAATGAGGGCAAGCATTCTCCTCCCAGCTTATGGTCTCCTCATTGTACCAGTCCCATCCCGACTTCTGAATTCGTTCATGGGAAGCCTGGTTAGCTTTCCTTGACAAGTCGTTGTAGCGGTGACGTTCTGCTCGGAAAAGTTCTAACCTGCTTGCTCGGACAGTATTGGCTTCTCTTTCGATGGTTCTGTGTAGCTCTTGGTGCTTCTCAGACCCGTCAAAATACCGAACAGGCAAAGAATTACTATCGCCAAAGGCATTAAATATAGAAGGATACTGGGCACGGCAGCTCTGACGTCTCGAAGTCAGATAGCTTTCAACAGCAGCAAGTCTTGCCATTTGAGACTTCGAAGGCAGGAGAAGAGGATCAAACAGATCTGGCGCGAAACCTATTGGATGATCAAGCAGCATCGGTTCGTGTCTAGTGACAATTCTATCCAGACACACCCAAAGCTCCATAACGACAAGAAACATTCGCGAGAGCCCTTCCTGGTCATCGACATAGCAGGCTCGACCGGCTGTTGAATATGCAGTCATCAGTGTGGCAAGATCGGAGCAGACGTCTGATTTGCTCAAGTTGCAGTCTGTCCAGTCGACCAGGCAATCCTGGATCCACATTTCAATATCGCACAGTAGGATGCGCTGTGCTTGACCAGTTGACTGTGCCAATGCATTTATATTAGGCAAGGAGTTTGGGATCTTAGAGATGCGGGCGGAAAATCCGATATCAGCTTCCCTTGTGTTATAGCTCTGGGGTGGACGGTGTAACACCGCGTCGAGAGACGATCTCAGAGTCTTGATCTTGAGATATGTATCATCCTGGAACGACAACCGTGATACATCCCAGGCACTCTGCGTCTTGAAAGGATCGGCACATGATTCCAACTGATGCCATCTACATTTCAAAGCCTTATAGCTGGCTTCAATGGTATTCTCAATATGCGAACCCCATGTAGATTTACCTGCCAGTGAAGTGAAGGACTCAGTTTCGTTCATCTCGGATAACTTATGCAACCGTCGAACAATCTTTCTATGCATTGTATAAAGAATATCGCTACACATGTTGCCACGTGTCGCTTGCATGAGCAGCCGGGTCATGAAATGGATCATGAATGCCTTGTACACTGCGCAGCCACGATCTGGACCAATCTGTCGCATGAGGGTAGTCTGAATAGCGACCTAGATAGCATGGATTAGTTCAGCTTCTTTGACTGCATCAGTGCTTAGAGTGATAACTTACACGTAGCACGGTCCACAATGGTGACCTCCGCCAGCAGCAATAAGTGTCTGACCAGAGGACTTCGTCTTGGGCCCGCTTTTCAATGCGTGGAATCTCTACTGGAGTGCCTATGCCACGAAGTATTCCGAATGCGAGCTCAGTAAAGTATCGGGGATCAATTACGTCTCGTATTTCTGGTAGATTACGTTGAGCCTTCCGGGAAATCTTGTAGGCGTCTTCAGGTGTCGTTTTAGCCAAATCAACAAGCATATCAGAGAACGGCAGCCGAAATGCTGGATCGCTCATGATGCTAGAAGAGATCATGATGGCTTCTTGCGGGAAGATTCTGTTCAGGCGGCCCTTAGTTCCTGTAACACTCGCGTTTGGACACGAAACCTCAAAGGCCTCAAAGATGTACTTTGATTCGTGACAACGTATCAGGAGCGCTGCATTCTGAGCCTTCACATTGAATGCTAACACATCTGTTCCGGTCATAAGCTGAATAATCGAGTGTGAGGGACAACATCAGCGGGATTTACATACCGTTTACCATCATACTATTCATCTGCTTCTCGACCAGATTTTCCAGAGGTGTTCCATTTGGTGCCGCAGATATCATCCGGTCGATCATGCTGGTGGTTATTTTTAAGGTAGCCGATACCTCAAGGTCATTGAGACACACCGAAAAGTCCTTTAGGGCTTCTAGGACAGCAGTGATAAGTTTGAGGTCATTGTCTACGGAGAGATCATCCTCTTGTGGAAGCTTCGGAGGCAAGAAAACATGATTGATGATGTGTTGGAGACTCTCGGTTGAGAGCCTACCAGGGACGAAACGGCTTTCCATCGTGTCAAGATTTCGAATAAGGACAAGTCAATGGAAGATTGAATCTTGATACAGTTTGACTAAAGATTTTCGGAAAGGGTAGTGAGAAAACTCTGATGAGTTCTAAAAGGTGAGCCTGAAGAATATATTTGCGTGCTACGCCACGAACAGGGGCGCAGTGAATAAATAACGCACAGATTCTAGGTGAAAAGATATAAACCACTAAAAAATGAGCAGGTCTTTGCATTCGACCGGTTATAAGGAGATCCCGAGCCAGTGAATCACTTGATGTTCTACAAGCAATTGAGCAGGTACTATATTTGATCTTCAACAAGTGAATTGCACGGAATCTCCAGGTGAGTTGTGGGTACCGACGTCGCTTCAGAGACTCAAACGATACGAGCTGAAGCTTTAAAGTGTTGTGGTGTAACCCGAATTCAAATCATAAGATCCTAAACCGCCCAACAAAAGGATACAAGAATTCGAGAAGCAGTTAGGAAAAAGCACCGACACGTTTTGATGCGTAACACGACTCTTCGTCCAAGCTTACTTCCGGGCACAGATCGATGTGCGACTTGCATGGTAATTGGGAAAAAGAAAACATCGACATCTTGATTTGATTGCTGGGATAATCCTCGCATGGAAGCGAGTGTACAGGACTGTATGATTGGAAATACCATCGGAAGCTTCATATTTCGGGTCTGAGGTACCTACGACTGCCAATAGGCTTGTCGTCAAGCTGATGATGTGTACAATTAATGCACTGCGCAAGGCTTCCATGGTGCTTCTTTGCCTTGACACCTGGACCAGCACCATACGTCCATAGCGACGCATGTGCCACAATTAGGCACCGGTCGCTTAAGAAGGTCCTCTTTTTGCTGCATGATATTGAATGGTCTACGTTCCTCTGGAAAGTATTGTGGCTGTGTAACTGCACATTCCCCACCACACTTAATCCAGATAGAGCATTCTCCTCGCGTTTTTCTGCAACGCACTCTGCTCAATTCGTCATTGTCAGTACCTCTAGAATTTTTCACTGTTACTCAGCTCAATGGAGTCTATTCTCGCAGCAGGCAAGACCGTCGGAGACTACATCGTCGAAAATCCTGGGAGGACCGCCCTATACGCCGCCCAAGGAGTCGCAATTATCGCGCCATCTGTGGTTTTTACACCAGTACTGGGCGCAGTAGGCTTTGGAGTCGCGGGTCCAATCGCAAGTAAGTGCTCCTCATCTCTCAATAATATGCACGGCAGCTTAGGACAGAATAGACTCCATCGCAGCTGGTTGCCAGACCGCTACTACGGCGACCGGCAGCATCTTTGCTGTGGCCCAAAGCGCTGCTATGGGAGGAGCTGGGACTGCGACTGCAGGGTTGATCACCCAGGGAGTCATCGTTGGAGGTAATGCGGTGGTGCGCGGTGGACAACTTGCAGCGCGCTTCTGGCGCTGGGCCTAGGGCTTACGAGATATGCAACAAACATCGAGCGATGTTCGGCTGCTGGGGTGGAGATTATGTTACTTTATATGAACGTGTGCGACGAGTAGCAATATATGCGACTCTTGTTACGGGTGTTGAGATAGAGATGGATGGGTTGAGATGAGGTCGTCACGCTTGTGGGAGACTGCCCCATAGCTTCCGAAATACAGATCCTACATACATCCAGGCCCACTGGCACGGTCACAGGCACATCATTCAACAATCCTGATCTTTTTTTCTGAGCTTAGACTCTTATTTTAGTATCGGGTGTAATAAATTGTCAGGGCCCATGCTAGGCAGATCAGCGAATGTAGCGTCAGCCAATCTGATTGCCCAGTTCATGACAATCTTGGGTTGTATCTATAATTTCAGTGTTGTCTTGATTTGCAAATCATCTCTCGTTAGCTCTGGCAGTGAATAGTTGCACTGCAAAATGTTAGTCTCGTAGCCTAATCTACGTGCACGCTTTGATTGCGAAACTCAAAGGACCCTGATATGGTTGATACATGTCCGACTTCCCAGGTCAGAAGTGGTGTATACAGCGAAGTAGGAAGTATTAACTACGGGAATGTGTTTCAACTCTGAGTTCATGATTCATTTGAGAGGTCGTGCCTTGCAGAAGCTAGATCGCTCCAGCGCGAGTTTCTGGATTTCAAAGACTGGCTCAGCCATCTTGACGTAAGCATCCCCAAAATTCCCCAAGACCTTCATGATCTCCTCCTCTGTGTCATATTCAGTCAACGGGCCTTCAAAGGTAGCAGCTTTCCAGGCTTCTCTCCACTTCATGATTGCGTCCAAGGCAGCGCTACTCTCGGATCTCACATTCTTTGCCACTAGGTAGAATGAGGACTGTATAGCATGATATGGCTTGGGCTTGAAAAAACAGATGTCTGAAAACTGTTGAAAGGTAGACAGGACTTGAATGTTATCCCACGCTTCTATCTTATGAAGCAGCATAATCAGTGTTCCGCCAGGAGTGAGCCTCTGCAGGGCTATTATCAACTGACTCAAGGCAAGCCTTTTAGGCTCGCTGGACTGTCGATACTCTGCCCGCTGATGGGTCCGAAGTACTTGTCCGTCACAGATGACCAAGTCAAATTTTTGCGTGGAGTAGGGCCATTGGCTTCGAAGCTGCTCAGCTTCAATATGATCCTTTACAGACTCTGATTGATCGCTCGCGCCTCCAAGGATCTCGTCCATCAGCATAGTAACGTCCTGAAACGTGACTTCTAGCCAATTTTGTCGTAGATCGAGCAACACCTCATGACCACCAGATGATTTTGGAAGACTGAACCCCCATACCTTCGAATTCGGGATGGAATTCTTGAAATACTTTGCAAAACCACCTGGCGCTAGACAAAGATCCAGTATGTGAAACTCTCGGCGGGTAGCTTCATTGTTCCCTATGATATCCATCTTGGCGTCCATTTGTTCAGCAATTTCTTGCATTATGTTCAAAAACGCAAGCTTAGTTTTTGCGTCGGCATTGTCAGCTACTTGACGTCGTTTCTTGAAGAACGTGTCCCCTGCAGGGTTTTCCCAACCCTATCAATGAATCAGATACATCATTAAGGGCTTAAAAAGCGTCTCACCCTCTTTCTCAATATCATTAGTTCGTTGAAGACTGTCGAACGCTCGCGAATGAAGGTTGAGATGATCTCAGCTCTCCAATCACATATCTCCACCATAGCCTTGTGGCTTTCCGTATGCATGAGCTCGGCTTTCATCTTGAGTTTGACTCCGGAAAATAGTAAAGATCTGCTCTGGGGCCAGGTCTCTTCGCTGTCTTAGCTGTAAAAGAGCATCGACAATACGTACAGTGGATGGTTGGACCGGGCATCCTACATATGCTGTCTGATATTGCCAACAGGCTGTGCAATGGCCAGCTGTATGGCGGGCTGCATGTGTCGTAGCTGCCACTCAGCCCTCGTTTCTATGTTTGGCTGCCTCTAACATGTTGAGCCCCCAGACGTGTCAATGGTCATGTAGACACTAAGCCAATGCGCATGACTTCCATGTGAGCTTCTCGCTGACCTTGATTAATTAATCAATCAAGAGTGAAGCGCATCACCTCTACCCGAAGCGCTCATACCCAATCGATACAAGTGATGGCTTTCTTGCATGACTGCAAAGCAGCGGTCCGGGGACGCTAAAACGCCGTACGGTATCTTGAGACAGCCTTGCTTGCTCATACTTAATTCGTTATACAGGTAGTCGCTGCACTGATGACGTTGGTGTGCTTAATGTACCAGGGAAGGCGGTCGTGGCGCACGGTAAGGCAGACACGCTGTTATTGCTATTCACCTGTACGACACGTGAAACTTTCGCGCGTGTCCATAGAGCAAACCCAGGATCTGGCCCACCTCGACCATCGGGGCACTCTGCAGAAGATGGTCGCGGCCTGGGTCGCGTCGCGCTGCGTCTTTCATGACTTGCGAGACATCAACGTAAACTTCTGCGTTAAGCGAGCATGTGACGCATGCCGCGTCATCGAAGGAGACCAACAAGACCAGGACTTATCGTTTCCGCCGTAATCAGTTGTGGTAGCTAAGGTAGCTAAGAATTGCAGCAAAGGAATTCAATCAGAGCTGGGCAGGCTCGGAATCCATTTCGGGGCCTTAAAGGGATGAATTAATAGATCCTAATTAAGCCTAGCTTCAATCATACGGACTCAGTTAGACCACCACCCATTGTCAGGATGGACGACCTACAAATTCCTGGGCAAGCACGATATCTTCAACAGTTCTGCACTCCTATAGCCATGATAGAAGGAAAGAAGAGGATTATCGTCGTCTTCGACTCACGGCACAAGACAGCCGTAGAAAGCAAGTGGTGACATGGCGATTGTGCTCGCCGATTTTGGGCTATAGACTTCTATAGCGTTCATAACTCAATTATTGAACTTATGACTTCATCAGTTTGATTCAATAAGCGTCAACTTTCAGATATCGACTCTGTCGGACAGACTTTCCGGAAAAGATGTATGCCAATGCACAACGCCTCGCCGTATCACACATCACTTCCCTTTCATCTGAACATAATGGGGATGCAGAACTCATGAGCTCCTAAACCATCTAAGATTTCCTCATCTGGTTAGGGGGTCCAAGATGCCCACCGACGAACTGCTGTAGGTCCAGTGAGTGATTCGTACTTCTGTTTTTGTCAATTTGACCTTCTCGAATACCAGCGACAATAGGCTCGTGCATAACCATCAAACAGGACGGCAGGCTGTAGATAAGCAAGGCTGTGCATGTTTCATGCTATACAACGACATCTTTACTGAAAATTTATGGATACTACTCCAAGGAAATTTCGCTTGAGTACTACATGTATGCTGGTGAGACGATTGATGAGCTTGATATTTGAGCACTACGTTTGTATCTGGCCATATTAAATGCAGAAGAGTGAGGCTTTAGGCTATGAAAACGTAGTTCGGTCATCCTGTAACACCATAGACCTCCTGGCTGCACACATGAAGTCAGTAGCGAGGTATTTCAGGCAGTTTCGCTATCGTGGAATTCTTCTAAGGGTCAAAAGGTCATTAATAGGCATTGCAAAAGGGAGATGGGTGTGAGCTTTACATATCTGGAGATTTCTATCCTTGGGAGACGTGGATTTAATGATATTGAAAGCATACTCGGGGGGGACTTATCACGATTGCACTGCGTTGCTGTAGATTCTCGAGATGATGCGACCCCACAATCATGCCCTTGGCAATTTTGTACCACCAGTCACACTTTTTCGGGTCACTGAAGTTGCTACATCGTGAGACTTTCGTAACGGTGAAGGAGACCTGTGAAAAGTTCTGATGGTGTTGAAAGGGAGTACGATCACATGACGTACCCCTTGCTTCATTCATAAACGGACAAATTCTTCATGCGTATCAGACCCATCCCACTCGCCCTTTGAGAGTGTCATACTAGCCTCCCAATCATCCTGTCAACGACGTTCTCACCATTGCTCCTGTGCTCTACCCACCCGAGGTCCCCTACAGCCACGATGCGCCCGATATCCTCCTACAAATCGCTCAAAGAACGCATCTTCATGCGATGGTTATCAATTCTCAAGCTTCCTCGACAGTCTGACTTGTCATGGCACCAGAATCGCCTCCACGAGGAAGTTGAAGAGCTACACGAAGCTCAGACCCGACTCGAGAAGTACAGCGAGACGAGCGATGTCATCTTCTTGGTGTATCGCGCACGCCACGATGGATTCGATCTTTCTCAGCCCCAGTTCAATGACAACCTTCGTCCTTCCTTAGTACATCTGTACATGGTCGCCAAATACACTTCTCGATACGGATTTTACAAAATGACAGCCTGGCTTTGCAAAAGTGGTCGAAAGGGAGCTGTGAACGAAGTCACGAACGCGAGCAAGGATGAAAAGCTGGAGGCAGTTGCACGTCGGCATGAAATGGACGTGCAGGAGTTTGTCACAGTTGCACGACGCTTGAGACGCATTTGGCCTTTATTTCCTTAGTCTATCTCTACGGAGAGACGATATAGAATGATAGATACGAAGACATCACCATATCCTGCGAACCAGTCAATAGCCCGATCTAGAAGTGATCTCGTTGCAACTCCTAATGACGTGATGCTTAGTCGAGGTGAGTGGTGTTGAACAAGCGGTTCCCAGTGTCGGTAGTTCCCTGTCCAGTGAACTTCGTCTTAGAAAGACGCAAGCCAATGACTTCGAGACGGAAGTCCTTAGGGAGCTCAGCAAGAAGACTACTCTTCGCAATCGCATCGGCCTGGATCACCCCTGCGACTACTACTATGCGGACTTTGGTGTTGATACCGCGGACATGGGTAACGAATTCAACGAGAGACTTTCCGGTATTGATAACGGAGTCAACTAAAATTACGGTAGAGCAATCCTGTAGATGAAGCTCAGTGATATCGGGTGGATTTTTAGCGTGGACGAAACTAGCCTTCGGGAAGACATCGTTCACACCAAAGGCCATCGGTTCTCCTCCACGCATCAGGGGGACAATTAGAGTCTTTCTCTCATGAAGGAGGCAATAACCGTGGTCTTGATGACCGAGTACATGTCGGATCTCGCATTCCTCAAGTCCAACGATCTTGGACACGAATTGGGCGGCCAAGTAGAATCCTGCTCGGCGATGTCTTTCGCGAAGCTCTGGACCGCCGACAGATGCATCTCGCATTGATGTCGCAAGTACTTTAGCGGCTGCATTGGATGTCGCATGATGAAGTTTAAGACCTGTACCTGAATGGAAGATAGCGCGATTAAGCTCAAGGTTGTCGAAATTGATGACTGGGAGTTTGTTCACGTCCAGACGTGGTACTACTTCTGGAGGCAGGGGTATCTGTACAGCGTTGAGCCTGTACTCATCATTCTCGAGAATAGACGTGAGATTAGTATCCATAGATCGGCTTCGAGTTTTTTCGTCGCCAACAATTATAACAGCTTTATCGGCCTGGCATAGCATCGGTATGTCGAGGGGACTGTCTCCGAAGGCCACAACGAAGAGACCACGCTGCTTCTGAGCATGAAGCACGAGCGATCGTTTGACTTCTGGTGTGATTACAAGATCATGGGACAACCGTCCGCCACCGATGACGTTGACTTTGGCACCTAATTCCAACTTTTTCAGTACAGTCTCCCACACGCGGCTCAGACCACACGTTAAAACAACTGCGCGTGTATGAGTAGAGTTGGATATCTCTTTGAGCAAGGAAACAAACTCAGGATGACAGTCAACATCCTTCGCTATGGAGTCGCAGAGATCGTCGAAATCTTTCTGACCAAGTGCTTCATCATGAAGCAGTGCGACTTGTCGGAAGGCCTCATATGAGTAACCAAGAGGCCCTGAATGAACTGATGTTGGGGTCCAGGCTTCCTTCCAGGACAGCTTCTGAATACAGTAGCGGTCCCAGAACATCTGACCAGCATCTTGTGGAGCCAGAGTTTTGTCACCGTCGATAACGACAAGTGTGTCGAGTTTGCCATCACTTTCAGAGAGGGCCATGTCGAGCTTGGCAGACGCCTTTTCAAGGTTGCGAGCCTCCGTATGTGTGGCGAAGTCTTGAATCAATGGGACGACTCTCTGTAGCATATCCGGATAAGGAAAGGCTCTGGTGAAAATTATGCCGTGGGTTCCACAGAGCTTGCGAAGTCGATCCTCTTCAGTCTCCTTCCAGCGGTGGATATGGTCGAGACATACATTTTCACGGTCTCTGACAGTGTCATTCTGTCGTCTTGTGGAGATGACGGATGTGATCTCGTCCAGATAGATAATGTGGGAAAAGGTTTCTGCATCAGCAGCAGTCCAGACCTCATTCGCCTCCTCCTCACCTCCACTCCAGAACATGAAGTGACCCGTGACAACCCCGACTGCTTTGAGAGACTTGCACTGCTCTTTGATAGAGATTCCCGCAGCATGTCGATACTTGGTCTGGTCCTCCTGACTGAGTCGCTTGAAGGCATCGAGACCTCCCGGGGTTAAAGTTGCAATCACTTCCGAACCTTCAAAGAAGAGGAAGTCGGTCTCACTGAGCTTCTCCTTGAGCTGCCTCATGAGATATGATTTGCCGGCTCCAGGTAGCCCATAGATGCCAATGATGACAGGCTTCTCGAGAGACATGATTGTGTACGAGCTTTCTTTGGATTCTAGAGGGCTTGAAAAGTGTGAATGTGATGATGATAGCCTTACGTTGAGGATTGGTGGAGTATAGAGGGCGGATGGGGGACCATAGAGTTCTTATAGATCCTTGTGCGTGAACTTGTGTGATCAGGTAAACACTCTTAAGGTGGAAACATGCAACTGGCTTGCAATTGTGAATTGCCATGCTGCGCCTAGCTTTGCTTTGGTCACAACTGCATGGCTGAAATTGGTCTTTATGAGCCGGCTAGTGGGCCGCACAAACAGTTGGTAGTGAAGCTTACAGGATGTAACACAGCCCCCCGCAGTCTAAGCTTCATGGGCTCGGATATTACAAGGAACAATAGAAAACCAAGGCTCTTGCCAAATGTGGTAGGATGCCTGCCCATCAAACCCGTCACAGGCTATACAAATTTCCATCATTCCGGAGTTTGATCCAATCTCAACGGCAAGGAAAGCAGGGATGCTTGATATTGACTAAGACGAAATCCTTGTCACCAGACATTCGGCCAACTTCTCGCAGTGGTGAACAAGGCAGAATCTCAAAGTTGAGTCTCACAGTCGTGAAGAAGCAAACTCACTCAACCGACCATAACCTCTCTCCCTTTCCAGTCGTGCAATATAATGGTTTGTAAAGCTCCCACACCCAAATAACGCACTAGATTGACTCGCTATTACACAGAGCTTGACCAACACCGGTAGATTCATCACCTATAGCTCAAAAGTCACTACTTGGCTTGACTCTCCAGAGCCTATGCCATTACAAAATTGGTATCCAATGGGAGCACCAAATACTGGACTATGAGCCCACTAAAGTCAGTGGAAACAAAGTTTAGCTACCATATCAAACCCAGGAACGCTGTGTACAATATACGCATGTAGACTAGCCACTAGTAAAAGCTGTCACTGGACTCATGGACCCGATCATCGTGGCAGGGACTATTATTTCTTCCACGATTCCGATTCGATCGGTTCTCGGTCTGTCAAATACCCTTCCGGAGTTTTGCACAGAAGCTCACCAGTCCAATTCCTTCTGGTCACTCTGTTCAACTGAGCCACAACTCGAGCCAGTAGCCTGCCAGTCATATATCCCTCCGCGCTCCTTGAAGCTTTCTACGTCCCAGAAGACACTCTTGAGTGCTTTCTGTACCCCCACCTCCAGGATAGACTTGGAAGGTTGCCGTCCATCACGATCCAGGAACCGCATGTATTCGTCAAGGATAAGGTAAGACTTAGCCATGACACGGTTTGATTCTGGAACTATTGACTTTTGACCCGCGTGCCTTGTGATGAACTGCTGATATTGTTCATTCGTGATTAGAAAATTAGTGGCGTCACGTAGTCGCTCGGGTGAGTCGTTTTCTCCATTGACGATGAGGACTTGGAAGCATTTCCACCGAAAGGGGGCCAGCGCCGAAATATGCTTGTTCATATCCTCCTGCCAATTGAGGTTGCACACTACAGTGTTGAGCTTGAACTTGATTCCAAACTCCTTGCACCATTCCTTGACTCTGTATAGCTGCTCTACGTTGTTGCCTGTTCCGCGACCGATCTTGATATTAGTCGGCTCGTCGAATGAATCACAGGAAATGGCAAGGATGTCAATGTGCTTCCCGTGCTTCTCGAGGAATCGTCGTGTAACCTTACTGCCGTTGCTGACAATAGAGACAGATTCAACTTTGATATCTTTGCAGTAATCGATGATCGTCCCAAGGAACTTTGGGTAGAGGAATGGCTCGCCTCCAGCAAAGTTGATTTTGCGCATCCCCGCGTCTTTGAGGGCCTTGATACCCTGCATAGCCTTTTCGGTGCTCTGCATGTCTGATGTTGTGGCAGTGTGGAAACAGAACCCGCAAGTCATGTTACATTTTCGAGTGAAATGATAGTTGACGGAGACCGGTACACTGTCCGTATCCAAATTAACCTTCGAATGTACAGACCAAAGTGCAGACGAATGCCCGTGTCCTGGAAAGAGAAAGATGGAGAGAAGGACGGCGAAGAAGATCGCTCCAGCAAGATAAATTGAGATCATTGTGTTCATGGAAACGCTCAGTGTGTATCGTTCTTCGATGGCGCAAAGTCAATATAGCAAGAGAACGCCGGCCTCTGGGCAAGGGACAGTATTATATATCTCTTGCTTCACGCACATTAGTGTAGGATGAACGATTTGTAATCTGACCGCCAAACACCATGCAGAGAAAGAGTGATTGCTTGCCAAAGCTTTCGTCAATAGCACGTCATCCTCTAACGTAACCAACACAATAAGTACTGTTCAGGTTAGAAACGTTTGCGGCTGTAACATAGAAAGGTTCATCTGGTATTGTACACTCGTCATTACTTGTCATGCCCCCAATTCTGTCGGCGCTTCACTCAGAATAGCAAAGATGACCAAACGTGACGGTAAGCTTGATCTTGTACGACTTGAGCTCATGCTCTTCCCCTGCTCCAGCTGACAAACAGGTTTTAGACCTTCTTCACCAGGCAAGTAGCCTATTCTGCTCTATAGTTTCCTTCCTTCCCCTACGGGGAGCTCCACTTCTGCTTGGTTTCTACCCGACACCCCAGTCCGTACTCAAATTATAGTATCCTCAAGCGCGATTTGGGCGTTCTATTCTTACACGTCACCTCCTCACAAGATTGGCAGTATCAATCAATCCCATTTCCGTTACCAATCAGTTCCTCTTTCAAACTTATTTTTCATCAAACATGACGAAGTACCTTGTCTTTGTGATCGGTAAGCATATGATTTCCGTCCACCAAGTTACACTCATTAATTTGGACTTTCAGGGGCCCCAGGCTCTGGCAAAGGTAGCCTTTGCCACAAACTCAGAGATGATTTTGGCTACTCCCACTTGTCGATCGGGGATCATCTTCGAGAGATGGTTGCTTCCGATAGTGACACTATTTCCAAAGAAGTCATGAATTGCATTGCCGACAACGAGCTACTAGATATCACGGACCTAGAACCAATAATGACTAGAGCTATCAATACCCTTTACTCTAACGGAGCTAAAGTGGTGCTTTTGGACGGCTTTCCGCGGGAATTGAACCAGGCTCTCCATATGGAAAAGTGTTTCAGGGCCCCTGACCTGGTGCTACATCTTCAGTGCGAAGAGCCTTTGGTTCATCAGCGTTATCTGACCAGAGCCATCCCCGGACGTAACGATACAACAGACGTTTTTAAGAAGAGATACAAAGAGTTCGTTAGGCTCAACAGTCCGATCCTTGCGGAATATAATCATAGGGGAATTCTTGTCACGGTGACTTTGTTGTCCTTTTTCTCATGTGTTTCAATCACTAACTCACGTTTAGGTCGACTCAAGTGGTGATGTTAATGCCACCTACCAGAAACTGTTATCGGCACTTAGGGAGACTGTTCTTGATCCCGACCGTGACAATTAGACCGTGGAGAATTTAGGAACATTGAGAAGGCTATGCAAACTGGAAGACAACGTATCATGATGTCGTTGAACGAATCATAAGGCAAATGCTATGGACTAGGGGTCGAGACGATGAGGATGTCTATTACCAATAGCCTAGAGAACAAGAACAATAACCATTAAAGTACTTTCTTCTCCGCTATGTTTCGTAAAACCACATATTCAAGTCCTCTATACTACTACTCGGACATTAGCATACGCTCTAATTACTTCATGAATGTTAAAACTTCAGTACAAACTATGTGATTCTAACATTCCAAAATTGTATTTAGACGCTAGAGCTCCGTCATGCGAGAGTCTATGTTGCATAAGTCGAAAGACTTATATTAGTATATGCTACGATAACGACACTAACCATCATGTAAACGTTTGAGGTTTATCAGAGAAAGGTAGAGAATTAGAAGTCAATGTAGAAACAAAAGCATCGTCCCATAGAGACGTATACTAGATCTATAATGTATGGCCTTATGATTTACCATGACACGATGATCCATCGCTACGTGGGCGACGTCTCTAAATGCCACGAGAGTATAGAGAAGCCTAGCCCCCATAAAGCATTGTCATTTGATTACGATAGTAGGTCTTGAAAAATGGATGGCACGTACCTTATAGTTCTTAATTTAATGGACCTCAGTCACAAAGCTAGTGAGATAGATTTAGAGCAGTTGGTAACAGCACCTGTTGGAGACTTCTAGCATCATTCTTTAGACTCAGAAAGCGGAGAGCACTCGAAAAACGAATTTGAGATTGAATTCTATATAAAGCAGAAGTCCTCTGTAAGCCTTTTTCGTCAGAAAACCTAACGGCAAGTTGGCGGCCTGCAGGCGTGATCACTTTGTAGATGACACAAGCAATCTATATTGACAAGACTAGCCGATTGCGTTATGTCTCATGCACTGGTATCCGTTTCGGTGTACATTCTCTCAAACTTCCGAATAACGAAATTGACCCTCTCACCAATCTTCGTAATTGACTTTTCCAGGAGAAAAAATTTGATATCGGTCTCCTCTAGAAGAGTGATGTATCTCGTATGCATATTATGCCAGTTATGCGATTCCGAATGGGAGATTCGGGCAGTGTCCAACTTGAACCAGTCTGGGTTACCAGCTTCACATAGGATGACGAGACTATTTTTCATCCGTTGCTGCGATGCCGCCCAGCTAGCTGACTCTTTCATTGCCTGCGCGTCGTTCGTCTCCTGAAGTTGTGCATAGATAATTGGGTCTAATCCAGAACGGTCAGAAATGTACCATTGGTCGGTGAGCTTTTCCTCGGCCAAACACTGCGCCTCCAGCGTGAGACGCTGTAGGATTTGCCATCTGGTATCCTTAATATCGCTGGCAGAGAAGCCTTCAAGTTCCATGACTTCGCGTACAACCTCGGGGATTATAGCTGGAGGGTCGAATGCTCCAGCTTCGCTTCTGGTACGGTTGTTGGGATCAGAGAAGAAAGCTTGTAGCGCTGCCAGCAGGGTCGTCTTTCCAGTACATTGTGCACCAATTAGGTATATGTTCGGGGGATTGGTTGCTTTCGTCGGCATGATGGTACTAGACAGATATTTTGAAGTCGATAGTCTTGTCATATAATGAGCTTGGAAATCTGTCGAAAAGGCGTCTTTCGTTATGGAGTCTTCGATTTATATAATAATAACACAGTTCGACACGTGTGAGAGGGCAAGGCTAGGGCTCATACAAATGACCCACTGCAGAACTGTGAAATAACAAGAGGTGTGTAGCAATCTAAACTTCCATAATATCGCGCGTTTTTTTGTGTGTCATAGGGAACCACCATCTGTCATATGGAACAAAATCCGAGCAAGCCAACATGAAGAAGCAAACACCTTTTGGTGTACTTATTTAAGCTTTGGCCAATCTCTTCACCTGACTCCCACGTCCGAAAATCCCCTACATCCCTCCCCCTGATTGATTTAGGTCTCTTCATTTGGCGTCTTTTCACTTTCCAAAGCTTTTCCCGTTGTCTCGTGTTGTACCCTGCCTCTTCATATAGCTCGTTAGTCATGTGTGATCGATGTCATAGTCATTGATCTTGGTCCCGTTAGTCTCCCAATCGGCAGACCCCCCTCTTGCATCCTTCACATAAACTCCTCTCATGCGGCGGGCCTTCCTTTCCATTATATACCGGACGCTCCGCGTGGACTCCTGCCCACTTTTTGACCCTGTACGCCACTCGCTCCACGTAAGACTCCTCGTCTAGTTCCAGCAAGCCGAGATTATTGCATGATTTACAACGCTGACCAAAGACTTCAGCGTTGTAGCCGTTGTTCGAGAAGCCTCGAATCAGTATAGCCACCTTCTTACTACTCCAACATGTAGCGTCGCAGGCCACATTGACGCATCTAAACTTGCCCATAACATGTGTCTGATATTCGTTTTCTGGAATCTGCCGATTCTTGGCCCCGCAAAACCAGGCGTGGTTGATATCGTATGATATGGCTTCAAGGATATTTTGGTGAAGAGATGTGAACGTGTATGTAGCCTTGGTACCACGGGACCTGTGATGCTTATTTCGAGCCATGTTATCAGGGTAATGTTCTTGAGTGAATGGGTGGTGAAAGAGAGTACGGTGTGCCAAGGTGTGTGTAAGGTTAGCCGAAGCTCTGCTTGGGGCCCAGCACGATTAAAAGGGGCCCATAATGGCTAGGCGACGGCCCAGACACCTCGTATCTTGATACGAGTCCTGACGCATGGTGCAAAGGGCATTTGCATATCACGCTCTACGTCTAATCTGCATGCCGATCTCCCCATAACACAGATGAGATCATACAGTAATGAAAGTGCACGGATTCTGTCCTAATCAGAAAGAGATCATGTTCCAGATCTGTACATATGTGCAAGGATTGTAATATAACCTGGGTCTTGTTTCACGAATAGCGGCTGGGTAGTATTCGCTATTGTACAACACGCGATTTCCCGCAACCCCAGCTCCTCTTGAATCAATCATCATCCGAAGTTAAGGACAGCTCCGGCTCCCCTACGCCAATGAAATCTACCCTATTAGGAAGCAGAGTAGTATAGGAGGGATCGACAAGGCCAAAGGACATTAAGATTGATTGAATGCTTACAAACATCAAGGCATCACTGAGCGACGGTGGTAAAATGTCATTCTGCAAGAAATACTCTTAGCCAACGCTTAGTGATGGAAAACTAATAGCCCTACTACTACTAATACTACTACTACTGCTGCTGCTGGTAAAATTGGGTGTATTGAGTATCCCATAGTGGATACTGAAGTGTGCTCGGATCGAAACTATACGTTGCATTTGATACCATTGGTGGAACCAGTGAAGGGTTGGGATTGGGAGTAGGTGTGGCTCCCATTGAGTCACACCAAGGTCGACTTTGAAACTGTTCAATCTTGGCTGAAATAATCTTGTTCCTCAAATTCCCGTAGCTTGCGGCTTGCGTGTCCATTCCCAATTTTCTCATGTGCCTAATCACATCCTTCGCTCTCGGGGTGCTTTTTGTAAGCAATTTTGTCCAACTTCGAGATGTGAGCTAAGAGGTTCACAATGACTGAGAATGCCACTCTACTTACTACGTTTCCGCCAGTTCTAGGCCTAGGATCAAACAGATGTTTGGGCCCAATTCTTTCTCAAGATTGATATACCGACTGCCCTGGTCGAGCATTGTCGTAAATTTCTTCTCGATAACCGAAAAAGACTCTCCAGTAATGCCAGAGTACTGGATCTGGTAGATCGTATCCTTGTCAGGTGTCCCAGAGAGGCCTTGTTTGTGTCTCCATTCGACGAGGGCTATGCAGGAAAACCTTAAGAGCAGGCGCGACTAAGCAGTGTCTTGCTTTGCTCCAAGGTAGCTGTGAAAGAGTACCACTTCAAGTGAAATTGCGGCAGTAGAAGATACTGGGGAGCTCGTACCATCCCAGAAAGAGGCGGGGTTATCGTTCCATGAGGAGACATTCGATTGCAAAAAGTTCCATGTGCAATCATCTGTCCCACCATATTGAACAAAGTTTTTGCAACGGTTTTTGTCATTTTCATTCTTTTCTTTGACGGTGTACTTTAATAAGGCTGCTAGTCGCTTATCCCTCGCAATTCGTCCATGCACCATCATGAGATGATCGTTGAGCCAATTAGCAACCTTTGACATCGGTTAGACTGAAATAATGTTACTTGACATCAAAGACTCACCTCATGAGAATCGCCCTGAAGCGATAGTGCAAATGCGGAGGAGTCACCCATAGTAGTACCCGAGAGACTAAAGGTGAGGTGTAACTTCTCGCCTGGCCTTTAGGGCATGACCCCGAAGAATTTATAGAACATGCTACTTGAGTGCAATATATAGTGTGTTTGTGAGGAAAGCCACTGCAGGACACTCGTCTCTGTGCTCAAAAGAGATGCATACAAGGCTGAAAACGCCTAATCAGCACTGGTCTGCCGTCGGTTATTTTAGCGCCTATGCATGCAAACAATCGTAGCAATATATGCAGAAACACACCGGTCAATTGTTTAGCCCCTCGGGCATCTGATCAATGTTCGAATGATATGCAGTTAATGTCTTTATGGAAGCAGCCTACAGCTAATCTAACCTTACTGACTCCGGGGCTGAAGCTCAAGTAAGAGCTCGAAGCAGGCATATTCTAGAGACCTATAACGTACTGCATTATACATTGGTGTATGGGTGCGCCCCAGTACGGGCATCGGTATGGTATTATGTGAATCACTGTTCTGACTATGGCACACTAAGCAATCTGGATAGCGTTCTGGCAGGGCTCTCAGTTATCCGTATCTACTCTAACATTCCTTATTCATAGTCTAGAAGACTGATCCCTCCGCCCTCCTCATCATCAGAGCTTTCTAAGTCGCTCAGTCGAATGTCATCGCTGTAGTCACCAACACACGAGGCAATGTCTCCAGCGAGAGATAACCGCTCAAGTTCGTGCGACAAATCTGGTATTGAAGCGTGCCCAAGGTTGGCAGATTCCGTGATCCCAGTGTTAGAGTCTGGATGAGATTGGCGTGGAGGAGATCTCTCAAGAATTTGTTGTAGAGCCTCTTGTCGGATATCGGGAATCATGGCGAATAACATGTGGCGTGGGTGATCGCGTACCGAGTTCTTGAAGTGCTCTCCTACGAATTGAGGTGGACGCCAGTTCAAGTAGATGTTACAATGAGTGGCGGGTTCTGAGGGCATCAATGGGTGGTGCTTAAAGTAAAGATGACAGCAATAGCATGATGGCTTGCTGGTCGCAATGAATTTGTCGTTATCCACGAATCTAAATTTTTGCGTGAAGAAGTACTCGAGGACTTTGATTTCAGCATGTACGCCGGCAGATCTTCTTTTGTCCGACGTAGAATACTTCCGATCAGTGTACAGCTCGAGATACCGCTTCGTGAGGCCGAACTTGTCATCCATAGCCTGCAGGTTTTCCTGCATAGAAGGCAATGCCACTGCATTGTTAGGCATCATTCGTACCAAGATACCATCAAGCTTAGTTTTCGAATCTGCATCTGGCATCTCACCTGGTGGCATAGGTGCAACGATTCGAACTTCGTAGCTGGTCAAGAGCGTCGCAAGGGGGCGTGCAGAATTGAGCAAGGCCTTTGCAACACAGAAGTGATACCCCAGTCGCCCGATGTAATGTCGGACAGAATGCAGTATGTTGTAGATTGAATCTCGGTTGCCAGAACGATTTTGCTTCTCGCCCAAATTTCGAAGTACGCGTATGTTTTCGGACCTTCTTGCGTCGTAGGCTAAACGGCACACATCTTCCGAATATACATTAGTCCGCCACGAGTTCAACCAGTCTAAGATATCGCTATCTAGGGCACATTAAAATACTTCAAGCTGATATCTGGCTGCAAGATACTCACTTTCTACAGCGTCTCGCCTCTGAAGATAGTCAATAGCCCGTGGCAGAACAGTTCGCAGATGACTCCGATACCCATTGATTCTCTTTTTAGCAAACACAATGATCTTCTCGGACAATTCAGTAGCCAATCGCTCTTTGTGTTCGGGACTTGGTTCAGCGGATTCAGCCGAGACTCTCGACAGATCTGATAGAACCGACATGAGGAATTCATGGCTTTTGAGAACTTTCTTCTCTGAATTCGACGCGACCCAGTATATTGGTCCATCTGCGCAATCTTGCAGAGCGATGGATGTAACGGTATCGCCCCCTGTGTTGAAGTCGCAGATATAGGCGAGGTTATTCAAGAACTTCCGCCTTTCCGAGAAAGTGCCAGTTGATACAACGGAATTCTGTGTACGGTCGCCTCGGCTTCTACCGAGGGTGTGTAGAAGGACTAGAGGTTCATAGAATCTCATAAGTTGTTTTTCCTCTTTGCTGCGAAAATGTGGTTTAGGCATGTTGTGGAGCTCAGATGTCATTCCTGATTCTGTCTAGCTTCTTCTTATTTGTGTTATCGCTGTTTCATGGAAATGAAGTAAATGCAATCTTTGGCTGATAGTGGATACGATTCGATGCGACCTCCTGCAACTTTATTGCATTTTTTTAAGTCGGGTCAGCGCAGGCACTAGGGCCAGGCCAGGCCAGGGCACCAGACGCACGTATGTGAATTATGCGGACAGGTCAAATCTATCGATGTCCAAAAAACAGCGCGGACGGTATCCATTGGATCTCGAAAGGGCTCTCAGCATATGCCAAGGATTTTACTGTATCACCCATCAAATGTGGAATGACAGGGGTGTTGTCGTTGGGCCGGCTGGCGTGCGATCGACATCCAAGCATGTCTGTCTTACTTGATCTACGACTCTTATAATCCTAATGACGAGATAAGCGGAGTTGCAGGAATGCTCCCGCTTCTACATACCCCCGGCTTCGAGCTGGTTCCACGGCCGACTTGTAGTTCAACCAACCCCGGCCCCACTGGAATCCAAGCTGGAGTGGCGCTCTGCATCGCTATGTGAATGGGGTGGTCTAGCAATGGAGCGGCATGGGAAAATTCGAAGATGAGAACATACAAGAAACAACATACTCTGAGAGAACAGAGGTTGGGAGGCAGTTCAAGGACCCTGGCCAGTCTAGCCGGTGGCTTAGCGCTGGATCTAAAATGCCGTTCGGTTTTTTAGCGTATCCACTCTCTCGGGCCGCCCTAGCCGGCCTATGAATTTCTATGGATTAGCGGGTCTAGGCAGCCCCTGTTCGCGGGGCAAGCGCGTAGTAAAATTCAACCTCTCACTCGTTGTTTGCAAATTCCTGGCTGTGCTCAAACGTGCAGATAGATATACACGAGACTCTCCCCAGTCCGAAAACCCTGTGTATTTGCCTTATTTCTTCAGTCTGGGCCCGCCGAGGCTGACTTGTGCGCCCCCTGAGCCCAGTTGCAGCGAGACACGATGGCAGTCACACATCTTGATTCTGCACCGATGCAGCTAATTCACTTTCGCGTATTGCAACGCACCTGTGCCCATGTGCCCCCAAAAAGAATGATTCTGGCCCGAGACAGAAGTCCATGGCTGTCTATACTTTGTGGAATTCTCTTACCAATACACGCAAGGCTTGGTAGAAACCATGCACCCTTGACACGCATGGCGAAGTCGAATAAAGCCTTAGGCACCGTGAAGGAGATGACTTTAGCATACAGCCCGAGCACGGTCATTTGTATATGTTAGGCCGGAGCACCGAACATAGCGACACAGTCATGGTATAGGACTTTATTGAGATCTGAGCATATACTAATCGAGGTGTACAGATGGAAGAAATCAAAGCAAGTTACAAAAATGCCACACTGGCTCCGTCTTTGCTATGTAGTGTAGCGTAGTTACAAACCAAGAGCAGAGCCTAGTCGACATGTAGTATCACAGTTGAAGACTAATGCGTGTAGAATTCTGCACGACCGTTAACCGTGGTTTTTAGACTATTTCATTTGCCAACCCATCAAGGTTTGTACCACGATTGCTCAAGCTGCGGGAAACATGAGCATTAGCCCCGACAACAGACTACTACGACCCATACGCTGGATGGCCTCCGCCGATGAACTTGAACAAGTGTCCGCCAAAGTTACATACAAGGCTGAAATAGTCAAACAAGACGCCACCAACACGCCGAAGACAATGACTCGCCTGATATTTTGTCTCGAATGAGTGGCAGCACGTAGAGAGAGAGTCCGATTTGCTCGCGTTCAAGGTTGGGTGAGTCATAATGAAGCCAGGGAGGTTGCCTGCTTCTCAATCCACAATTGGCCCATTAGCACCGGAAAAGAAAGATGGGACAACACTTCAAAGATTATCGTAATCTCCCTGTGTGCGGTCACAAAGTAGATCATTCTCATCAAGCGTACCCAACGATAGAGACCTTCTCAACACCGGCCACAGTAGCCGCAAACTTCTGAACAATTCGTAAAATCTGCATTGGAGTCCTCATCAGATGAACCATCCAAATCTCCATCGCCGAGAGTCTTAGTATTTTCTTGGCCGCTACCAGGCGCCATGTTTTCGAAGGTCGACTTCCCGCTTTGTTTAAGGGTTGTTCCGGGGAGAGGAGGAGTATCTTGGGGATCAGACAACCACTTTTCTTTCAAACCAGCAGACAGAACTTCGTGATCGTCACCAAGTTGTTCTCTGAGCTCGAGCGACCCATCATCTTTGCGATAAACCTCGAGTTTCTCATTAGTACGAGATGCGCTTATTGCGAGGATCATGCGAATCAGAGAGCCTAGTTGACGAAGGCTATCTTGGTTCTCTCTCTCCCACTTGCGTACTTCTTCGCCGGTCTCCATAATTTCGATTTCGTTGAAAACGCCCTGCTCGTGGCGGGCAAGAATGAGATTGGAAATTTGAGCTGCCCAAAAACGAGGCCTCTCTTCTTCGAAGACATTCTGGAATGGACTACGTACTGATCGCGTCTTGAGGTCAAAGATGGCGGATTGTGGGACGCGAGAACCAGCGTGCTTGATAGTCCAGGTCCTAGAACCTACTGAAGGTTCAATATCAGAACTGTCGATTCGGAAACCGTTGAGCGAAGATTCGAGTTCGTTTGGAGCTTCACTGGCCGCTGAAGTAGTCATGTGTGCTTGTTCAACCTTGGAAGGGAGGTAGCCGTCAGCTTCGAAGCGCAACACAACGTTAAGCCCAGCAAATCTGTATCTGAGGAGTCTCTGATGTGAGGTTGAACCTCTCACATCTTTCGACCAGGTAGTATAGGCTTCCGGAAATGCATGCCCATATCCTTTGACGTTGGAAATCAACTCAGTGGGCGAATTCTCGCGCCGGATGAAGAAAGCGGTGTTCCCTAAGGTTTGAACAAAGAATCGGACGCTCTTGTCAACTCCCAGTACAAACCGAAGTAGGCCTCCAAATGTGCTTGAACATGCAAAGAGGTCGATGTCCTGTCCTCGGAAATCCTCATTCTCTTCAAATAATGCCCGCACAGCTGGCTCCAAGGGATGTACTGGAGATTGGGCGGCGTTGCGATCGCGGAGATACTTGCCACTATCAGGTGCTAATTTGCGTGCTTCTTGTATGGGAGTCCACGCTGGGGGACATCCTTCGCCAAATTTAATTTAATCCATTCGATGTGATGTAATACATGCATACCTGGAATTATAAGGACTTCCTCTTGAGTAGTCCAGTTATACGAGGCAAGATACTCGACATTTGTGATATAAGCATCGGCGACCTCGTACTCGCCCATGGAAATCTCAGAGATCAACTCGTCTCTAGTCACGGTCTCCAGCAGCGGACCCAAGGGAGGTGATGGGGGCCTTTCCTCAGTAGCTCGACGCCAACGATTTTGACTGACGTTGAAGATACCTCGAGAGCTAGCTCCACTACCCCTAGAGAAGGAAGTACTAGGCCGGTAAGCTCGGTCGGGGCGGCTTTCGTACCTCATTTCCAGTTCTGTATTCGATTCTGCGATGCTCGGGTGAGAGAAGCAGGAGATTTCCACGCGAAACAGTAGAAGGTAAACCTTCGATGCTAGCTGACGACATATATGCGTGTGTGTGTGTCCCGTGTAATTGTTGGGGGGGCATGTGTGCACTTATCGATTACGAGTGTGTGCCTATCCGTGTAATTATGATGGTAATGACCATGAGGATGGTTATATATGCATTACATGGCATTAGGAGCTTTGCACCACACAACGCACCGCTATTTTCAGGGTAGTGATAGATCCCTGCTGATGTGCTAGAGCATCTCCGGTCGCACACACCTGGCACGACAGAGAGTTCACAAAGACTCATTCATGCATACTGTTCTACCCGACACCAGCGGAGCCTTACCTTCATGAGAAGGCTAGCTTAATGAGAAGGCTAGTTGGAGAAAGGATCGACCATTAGGTATATTTCATTCTGCGCTGGCACAGGCTGGGGTTGTCAGGCTGTGTCCCATGGTCCATGGGATGCGTATACACTATGGACCTGTATCACCTTAGTTGTTTTTCTATGCTGATGTAGTGAGAGATTGCAACACGGCTGGGGTTGGTATAGGTATCTTATCCTACTCATTGGATTATATTGCAACCAGAGTTGGCTTCACAGTGTCGTTTAGCACTCAATCACAACTCATTCTTTGAAACAATGTCGAACGAAACTGCTTCAGCTATTGACGTGGCTAGGCTACGCAAAGTATTCTTGAGCTTTGTTGGCGGGTCCAGAGCGATTAAAAGTTCCAATGAAGCAGAACTGTTCGTTCGGTCGCTCCTTGGAGCAGAAGATAGGATCAGCTCGTTCGAAAGGCTTGCGGCATCGCAGAACGGTCTGCAGGCGCTGAAGATGACCCTTCGTGTGAACATCACGCCGCAATTCATGAATGAGACAGGCTCTCAGCTCCTCTTGTCTCTCGCATCCGACGAAATCAAACAACTTTGTGGTGGACAGCTGTTGCGAGATCTGCTGATGGTCGTGGTTGACCCGCCGACGTTTTGGGTGGCGCTAGTAGGAGCTTTCCGCAACCGAGGCCTTTCAGAAAACGGCACAAAGGCGTTTGCGACCCTTCTTCATTTGCTCTTAATCTCATTCTCGACTGTTTCCATTCCATCAGATATCATTGAAATATCCCAAGAATCTCTCACAGCTGGGGGCGGGCTATTAGCCTCATCAAATTCTGACATTCGCAGTGTCGCGTACAAAATTCAAGATGTGCTCAACAGCAAACGATCAGGAGTTTACTCCGGGGCTATCATCAAGCCTGGCGGCCGTCACGACAACGACTTTGAGGACTATCGCAAGATTGCTATCTTCCCAACCGCTGATGAGTTTCTCTCAAGGGACCCGGCGTACTACTTGCAAGCTGATTCAGTTCTCGCTGTAGAACCTGATAAGCGGGCGGCCGTCCATGTTGACAACCAGTTTCGTCTCCTGAGAGAGGATATGCTGGCAGAATTACGCGAGGAGCTAAAAGTTGCGATGGGACGTAAACAAGGGCGGCGAGCCTCTGTGAGTCTGGGAGGATTGGTGTTTCACGGGATACAATGCGGCAGCGACACCAGAAGAAGGCCTGCTTCGATTGCGCTGCGGTGCTACAAAGGATTTCCTAAGCTGCCCTACGATCTGGAGGCTCGTAAGCGCTTCTTTGAAGAGAATAAAAACATACTGAAACACGACTCTTTCGGTTGCATTCTCGCGTCAAATGAGATTGTTGCATTTGCCATTGTAGAACGAAATACGGACTTCCTAGCAAAGAGCCCCCCAGTACTATTACTGCAAGTATTCGGGGGGTCCGCAATGCTTAAAACACTACTCACTCTAAAGATGACTCATCAAGACAACCTCCAGTTCGTTCAAGTCGACACACCGTACTTCGCGTACGACCCAATTCTCAGGAGGCTACAACAGATCACATCATTGCCATTATCCGGTCAGCTCCTCCAAAGCGATGACATCCGTAGCGTAGCTCAATCACCCTTTGCTCCCCTTGACCTCATTGAAGATATTGAATCGTGTTCTGGTCAAAATCTGCGTACGCTCCTCCGTCTCTGTATCGACGTGTATCTAGATCCTTCGCAGATACAATCCCTTATCTCCGGTTTGAAGAACCAGGTGAGCCTGATTCAAGGACCTCCAGGTAAGGCTTAAGCATTTATTTTAGGCCACTCTAACTGTGCTCTACAGGCACTGGTAAATCGTTCATTGGCGCACTACTGATTATGGTCCTGTTTCACCATACCGATGAGAAAATACTAGTTCTGACGTATACGAATCATGCACTGGATCAATTTCTCGCCGACATTATGAAGATTGGCGTTCCTGAAAGTGTAATGCTTCGCCTTGGATCGAAGTCGACGGAGGCAACTAAGCAATTATCCCTCTATGAGCAATCCTCGTCTTATCGTCGAACCCATGACCAGTGGCATACATTCAACTCCCGTCGGGAAAGAGTAGACAATCTCGACGACAGGCTTGAAAAGCAGTCCGCAGATTTCAGGAACTTGAGAGCACCTAAAGAGGAAATCATGAATTATCTCGAGTGTTCAGATGACTATCACTTCTACAATGCCCTGAGTGTTCCGAGTAGCGATGACGGAATGAGAAGAATAGGGCGAAAAGGGAAAGAAGTTGACCAATTCTACCTTCTGGACCAATGGTTGGCAGGTCAAGATCGAGGGATCTTCAATGATGCCTCGAATACAGAATTCGAAAACGTCTGGCGCATGGATGTTGCTGCTCGAAGGGAATGCTACGATAGATGGACACTTGAATTCTATAAGGAAGGGGCCACTCTCCTGCAAGATGTGCTACATGATTACAGTGAAGCTTATGAACAGTTCACTGAATCAAAAGGACAGAAACATGCCGAGATCATTGCATCAAAGCGAATTATTGGCTGTACTACAACTGCTGCGGCAAAATACTCAAAGGAGCTGCTCAGTGCAAAACCTGGAATTGTGTTGGTTGAAGAAGCCGGAGAGATACTTGAAGCGCATATCCTTACAGCACTTTCTGCAAAGACGAAGCATCTAGTACTGATTGGCGACCACAAGCAACTTCGTCCAAAGGTGAACAACTATGCCCTGACTATCGAGAAAGGTGACGGATACGACCTCAATAGATCTCTCTTCGAACGCCTAGTCTTGAATGGCTTCCCGCATTCCACTTTGGCTAAACAGCATCGCATGCGCCCTGAGATTTCTACTTTAGTTAGACGACTTACATATCCGAACCTCGAAGACGCAACTAGCACGATGAACCGGCCATCCATCCGTGGACTTCAGTCAAACGTTGTGTTTCTCAAGCATTCTGTGCCTGAACTCCAACAAGATAAGATTAGGGATCGACGCGATGAGGGGTCAAAAGTCAGCCGCCAGAATTTGTATGAGGCTGAAATGGTCCTTAAAGTCGTCCGATATTTGGCGCAGCAAGGCTATGGCACCGATCAACAAGTCGTTCTCACGCCGTATTTGGGTCAACTAGGTCTTCTGTTGAAATTGCTCCTGACAGAACATGATCCGGTACTGAACGATCTGGATTCATTTGATCTTGTCAGAGCTGGGTTAGTGCCCAAGGCGAGCGCATCTGCGAAGAAGACAAAATTGCGTGTGTCTACAATTGGTGAGTCAAGATTGTGATATATGGCTTGATTCAGTCGGGGATTTTCTAAGCCGTGCCAGACAACTTCCAAGGCGAGGAGAGCGATCTCATCATAGTGTGTCTTACACGTAGCAACCCGGAAGGCGATATCGGATTCATGTCTGCACCTGAGCGGCTTAACGTGCTTCTTTCTCGCGCACGGGATGGTCTCATAATGATAGGCAATAGTGATACCTTTGTGAGCAGCAGGAAAGGCAAGTCGGTTTGGGGCCCTTTCATGCAGCAGTTGAGTGATGCTGGCCAAGTTTTTGATGGCTTACCTGTGAGATGCCAGCGACACCCTGCCAAAGCTACGGTCTTGAAAACTGGCGAAGACTTTGAGAACGAATGCCCTGATGGAGGATGCTCTGAACCTTGGTACGTCGTCTTCTACGTATATATGGGTTTTCATCTTATAACACATGACAATAGTACCGTCATACTTAATTGCGGAATACACATTTGCCCCCAAAAGTGCCATCAGCTGGCTGATCACTCTAAGGTTGAATGTACTCATGTAATCCATGATAAATGCTCGAAAGGCCACAAAATGTCGTGGCAATGCTCGAAAAACACAGCACGTTGCCGGAAATGTGCAGTCGAGGATGCAATACGTGAAAAACAGCGTCAGCGGGACGAAAGACTTACTGCCGAAAGGCAAAGAAGACAAGACGCTTATGCCCGCGAGTTGGCCACGGTTGACGACGAGATCGCTCATGAGCGGCGCTTGCAGAGAGAATTGAGAGAAGAAACCGAAGAGCAGCGTCACCTACGGCAACGCAAGAAAGATCTTGAAGAGGCAAAGAAACTCACCACTACATCTTTGACAACGAAGTCCATGGCGAAAGAGAAAGATCAAGTTAGCAGGGTCCAGGACACGCAGGCCCAGTCATCTACTAGTAATAACGCTGGGACTATGGACGACCAGGTGATTGCGAGCACTTCAGACAAACATAGCACTAAGCCTCACTCTAAAGCACGCGAAGAGTGGGAGTACCAGAAGAAGCATGAAAATGCAGACAGCAAAGATCTCGATGACTTGATGGGGATGAGTGGGCTAGAGAGCGTCAAAAATCAGGTGCTTACTATCAAAACCAAAATTGACACCTGTATAAGACAAGGAACTGACTTAAGGAGCGAGCGTTTCGGTGTGTCGCTACTTGGGAATCCCGGGACAGGTATGTAGTCCCGGAACTAACACCCCATTCCGTGTGGAGCATACTGACAGTTGTCATGAACATAGGAAAGACGACGCTTGCAAGACTGTACGCTCGGTTTCTTGGGAGCGTAGGCGTTCTGCCGGGTACAACCATCAAGGAGACGACAGGCGCCAGACTTGCCAATAGCGGAGTATCTGGATGTCAAAAGCTTATCGAAGATGTTCTCAACGAAGGTGGTGGAGCTGTCTTCATTGACGAAGCTTATCAACTGACTTCGGGATCCGGTATCGGCGGTACCAGCGTGCTGGACTTCCTCTTAGCTGAGATTGAAAATCTCACTGGTAAAATCGTCTTCATCTTAGCTGGATACAACAAACCAATGGAAAAGTTCTTTGCTCACAACGAGGGTCTTCCAAGCAGATTCCCCTACTCTTTCGCCTTTGGGGACTATAGTGATGAGGAGCTTCGACAGATCTTCGTCTATCAGATACAAAAGCGGTACAATGGACGAATGAAGGTTCAAGATGGCTTGGACGGCCTGTTCGCTCGCATATTTGCACGACGTATCGGGTACCTACGAGGCAAAGAAGGCTTTGGCAATGCTCGCGCCGTCGAAAACGCCCTTTCGAAGGCTCTTGGCCGTCAGGCTGAACGACTGAAATTAGAGAGGCGTGGTGGAACCCAACCTGATGACAATTTTTTATCAAATGAAGACCTGCTAGGACCTAACCCCGGGGAAAAGTTAGAAGATTGCCAAGCATGGAAGAAGCTCAAAGCAATGATCGGATTGCAATCAGTCAAAGAAACTATCAGTGCACTGATGGAGAGCATTCAATCCAACTATGAGAGGGAGTTGGCCGAAAAGCCTCTTATCAAATTCAATCTCAATCGTATCTTGATAGGTTCGCCAGGTACAGGAAAAACAACTGCCGCGAAACTGTACGGTCAAGTCTTGGCTGACATTGGCATGCTCTCAAGTAGCGATGGTAAGCAATAATATACAAGTGCCATATAGTATAACGCTAATGGGTTTAGTCGTCATCAAAAATCCATCAGATTTTGTTGGTGATGTACTTGGAGCATCAGAAAGGAATACTAAGGCCATTCTGGCAGCGACTCAGGGGAAAGTCCTAGTCATTGACGAGGCTTATGGTCTTTCTAGTGGTGGCAGCAACAGCGGCAGCGGAGGAGGTTCCGATATCTACAAAAGTGCTGTTATTGATACCATAGTGGCGGAAGTACAGAGCGTTCCAGGAGAGGATCGTTCTGTGCTACTTCTAGGATACAAAGAGGAAATGGAGACTATGCTCCAGAGCGTAAATCCGGGGCTCAGTCGCCGCTTTCCCATGGACGAGGCCTTCGTGTTCGAAGACTTTTCTGACGCGGAATTGGAACAGATTTTCGAGTTGAAGCTCAATGCCTCGAGTTTCAGTACTAGTGCACTTGGGAAAGAGACTGCCATGGGGGTTTTGAAACTAGCACGAAACCGTCCCAACTTCGGTAATGGTGGAGCAGTCGACATTTTGTTAAATACTGCAATGGGTCGTCACCAACAACGACGTCGGAGAAACCAGATCAAGGACAAAACAACGCAGTACATCTTGGAACCCACCGATTTTGACCCAGACTACAAACGTGGAGGCTCTGTTACTACCAATGTGCGCATGTTGTTTCAAGATGTAGTTGGGTGCGAAGATCTCATTGCAAAGTTTGAAGGGTATCAGCGTATTACTGCAAACCTCAACTCGCTAGGTGAAGACCCACGCGAAAGTTTACCATTCAATTTTCGCTTCTGTGGACCTCCTGGTATGACATCAGCTTTATTATCATTGTATAGCAACAACTAAATTCTTACTAGGGACCGGAAAAACTTCTACAGCTAGGAAGATGGGCAAGATCTACTACGATATGGGTTTCTTAGCCACAGCTGAGGTTTTGGAAGTCTCCGCCACTGATCTTGTTGGTCGGTATGTCGGAGAAACGGGGCCAAAGACAAGGACGTTATTTGAGAAAGCCCTAGGCAAAATTCTCTTTATCGACGAAGCATATCGCCTTGGCGAGGGATCATTCGCTACTGAGGCCATGGACGAAATCGTTGACTTGCTAACAAAACCAGCTTTTGCGCAGAAGTTGATTGTAATCCTAGCAGGTTATGATACACACATCAAGAAATTAATGCAATCTAACCCGGGGCTCTTGAGCCGCTTTCCCGAGACCGTTCATTTCAAAGGTCTGGAAGTCGAGGACTGCGTCAACCTTCTTTCTGCCAGGCTAAAGAGGAAGAAACACGTCGATGTTCGAGTCCTAGAGCTACCGGATAAGAAATTTGAGACCCAGCTGAAGGCGCGGATTGGTGATCTTACAAACACGGATGGATGGGCAAACGCGCGGGATGTCGAGACCTTAGCAAAGAACGTCTACCGGGACGCCATCAACACAAAGGACATACAGGGCCAAACTTCTCTCGTCCTAACCGAAGACATGATTCTCAATGCTGTTAAAAGGATGCTTGCGGAACGCTCTTGTCTTCCTTCTGCTGTACGAGAAGGTCAATGTCCCAGTCCAGGGGATTTGCCACCAATTGAGCCTCAACGGCCATTAGAGCCTCCTAGGCCTCCAATATTCTCTACAGCTCCTCTGGCTTCGACTGAAGTGACGCATCAAGAACCGCCTCCTCCTACTCCAGAGAATCAAACAGATGAGTCCTCAACAAATCGGGACAGTGGTGTCTCGGATATTGTGTGGGCTGAGCTGCAACGGGCGATCAAAGCTGCTGAGGTACAGAATGCGTCTTTTCACGAGCTGATTACAGAGTTCGAGACGTTGCACGCGCAAGTTGAATGTCTGAAGAAGCAAGAAACAGAAAATAATCAGCGACGGCAGCATGCTGAGAATGCCGCTATATCGCATGAAGACGATGCTGAACGTCGTAGATTCGAACTTGAGCGGATACAGCGTGTTAAAAAGATGCAAGAAATGGAAGAGCAACTGCGAAGGAAAGAGCAGGAACGAAGAAAGATTGAGGAGCAGAGACAGAAAGAAGCTCAGGCGCAACGGAAGCTGAAGCAAATGGGGGTATGTGTCGCAGGTTTCCGATGGATCAAGCTGGCAGATGGGTACAGATGTGCAGGTGGTACTCATTGGGTTTCCGACGCAGCGCTTGGCTTATCGTAATGACTGCATGTTCTATCCATGTAAGTAAGTGTGGGGTCCGGTCATTGAGCAATACATCAATACGTTCGGGTCGTCCTGATACCCTCTGCTGTCACCTTGGTCCATTTGTGCATCACGATCTCCGATATTTAGGGCATAATTTTTCATCGATCTCAGGATCTGCTACTATAGCCCCACTCTCGACGACACGCACATCCCGATAATCCGGAACGAGATCTAGGGTTCGACCCGTACTTGTTCCGACCTTCCGTTAATTACCCAATAGCGTAAGAATGCCACACTCCCTTCGGAGTATGGCGCCTAGTCCATTCACTTGTGTTGTGCTTAATGAACATACCCCCACGAAAAGTAGCGCTTGGCTTACTTCTGCTAATGCAGATGTGAGCATTTTGAGCTTCTTGTCTTGCTCACTAGTCTCGGAGTCAAGACCAATAATCACACTTTGCGAGCTCACAAAATATTATCTGTTCTAAGTGTCGGAGTACGACTCATGTATGCTGTTACCAGGATATAGTACCTTGATGAATGAAAAGATGATATAAATTCTTCTTTGAGAACACCAGAACCAACACTCAACCCTCACATCCTTATGCTCGCGTGTCAGCTTTATTATCATCGAAGTACCTAGACGAATCATCTCAGGCTCAACTATCACGAGCCAGACTCGCACTAGAATGGCTTCTTACTACCCCGAGGGTGAATGCTTCTTTCTCCGATCGACGCTGAAATACAACGATGATTTTGCTCCGTTCTCTGCAGAAGACCCTAAGGATTTCTACAGTCACGTTCTTATCGAGTATCAGTGGAATGGATGGGTCGTTGCCAACAACGATGACTATGGCCATCCACGATCTGATCTCAAAACTGGATATGGCAGTCAATATGATACACAATTTGGCAACTGGGACAGATTCTGGGTAGGTGAGACCAAGGACACTGATCCCTCGAAGATGCTTGCAATCACCACCTATCCGAACAGCCTGAACTGGAACGAGATGCGTGACCGAGACAATGGTGGCCCGAGGAAGTACATCCTTCGTCCGGTCAGAATCAAAGACCCGAAAACGCAGTGGCTATGGATCGATGCAACCATTCCAATCCGAGCAATCTATTTCCCCGTATGTCAGAAAACTGACGAAGCTTATCCCAACTACTGTACGTACGTGGTGATTGACTTCAAAGCGCGAACCAAGATCGAATCTTATAACACAGTCGGCGAGCTTCGTACGCATGAATGCACTCGAGAGCTCGGGCTCGGCCTCAACCGTGGTCTTTGTTGGCTCTTCAAGGTCCCTGATATCATCACGTATCTAGTCATTCCTCGAAAGCTGCGCAATCCAAGCTATGGAGTCTACAGATCTAAGACCAAGGGCGATGAGATGGTTTTACAAGCCTGGGCGGGTCTGAAATGGAAATGTGACAGTAACTCCCTGAATCACATGCCATCCAATTCATTCTGCCGCCAGATCGACTTAGCGCAGGTGATGAGTGCAACTTTTGGTGTGGAAGTCGGTTGGCGACCGTACAAGTACTCTTCTTTCATCTTAGACATCGTAAAGCAGGTTGTCACCCTTGGACTTGGTTTTGTTCCTGGAGCCGGCGCAATCTTGTCCGTAGCTTTCGGCATGGGCCTCCAACTTCTTGACAATCCTGACTCTTTCAAAACAAGCAATGTCCTGGATTTAAGCTCTGCTCTCTTGGCAACATTAGTCGCGTCTGCGGGCAAGTCGAAGAAGTACATCGCACCAGGCTTTCTTCCCAGTGGTGCTGGAGGACTGGGTGGATCATCCTCAGGACTACCAAAGCTTGGTGGAGCTCCGAAGAAGGGCGGTCTGCTGGACAATGCAGAGAACGCTCTAGATGACATCTTGCATGCCGATCTCGGCGACGCATTGGAAGATCTTACGGGAGGAGGCAAGCAGGCACGGAAAAAGGCTGGGGATGCTGAGAACAGCGAGCTTACAGCAAGCGCTCGTGAACTACCGATCGAGCTTGTATCCCTAGCAGAAGAAAATCATGGTCGGGGCTTCTCTGATGATGGGGCCGGGCCAGGTAACGGCGAAAATGAGGCGGGCGAGGTTAGCGAAGGCATGAGTGGGTAATCCGTCGTTTTCCTAGAACCTGACGAGCTAGGACTGGTACACGCGTGTTCTCCCCCTAATCTTCCTATAATAAGCCTTTTCTACTTTTACGCTTATCTATAAGTCTATAAGAGTATTAAAAGTAGATATAATAGATAATTAGGTAGATCTCTATCTAGCTATAAGCTTATTTTATCTTTATAAGGCCTCTTTAAAGAGATAGAGAAGAATCTTTAAATATTCTTAGAAGTTCTTAGAAGAGGGCCCGTGCGAAAACCGCGTCAGGTTCTAGGAAAACTACCCTCTTCCTCTTCTCTAAGAAATTAAACCCTCTTATTATAGACTAAATTAAAGAGTTTAGAGCTTAAAAGTTATATAGGAATTATCGTCTTACTCTACTCTATAAGTCTATATAGATATTATAATATATAAACCTCTATATAGAGGTAGAGAGGTAAAATAACCATCGAAGATTTGGGGTGAGAACACACGCGTGAGATGGAAAATGCCAAGCTCGTCAGGTTCTAGGAAAACGACGGATGGATCCGCCAAATATGCAGTGTGGCATATCTTCATGCTCAACCATGATGCCGCTAGGCCTAAATGGTTGACCAAATTGATAAAGCTAAATTCATACAGCGAGCTGCGTTCTTGTATGAAAACTTCCTCTCGTTTAGATTCGATTATTAAGACTCTCAAAATACCCTATAAACCGACTGGAAATGAGTTCATCGCGCGAACTGGAACTAAAGGTACACTTCCTAGCTTCCCAGCCTAAATCTTGCTTACATCGATCCGAGAATCGTGCTGAGAATTTACCGTTACATAGCTTAGTCTTCCTGTGTATGTGACCGTTATGGGACTCACAGATATAGACCGTTGTACTCAGCTTATTAGTATATGATGCGTTTAGTAGATCATAGTGCGTTCTCTAGTATATATAGCTAACTGCCAGTCTATATCTCTTCATGCAGAAAGAAGTTAGCCCTACTAGAACTACACTTAGTCTGTTTATTATAGAACACTAGGTTCCATTCTACCTATTATCTACCATAGGTATAGAGATCCTTACCATTACTACTTTTAAAACATTACTTAGATAGATAAGGTATTATTACAACCAGGGCATGGCAATATAGAGATCCCATAGTATAGAGAATAGAAATGTTCCTAGTTACTATTAATTTCTACTTAGTAGTTCTATCATACGAAATATTCTAGAGTCCTTTAATATTAATCCTTAGGGAGGAAAGATTTTCCCATTTTAATACACTTACTATACAGTAGCTAGAACTTCTTAAAAAGTTCTTATAAGTATTATAATAAGTTCTTTAACTACTTATAATTCCTTCTAATCTATTTATACTATTCTTGAATACTATATAGCTATAGCTATACAATTTAATCTAATCTTCAAACGGCGAGAAATATCTCTATACTACTCTTATGGATACTAAATCCGTTTTAATTAGTATCTATAGCGCTAGTTAATAGCTATGCGCCTTATATAGTAAGAGAAGACTCGATCTATATTATTACCTATTTATAATATAAAACATACTAGCCCTCGATCGAAAAGAGTTACTCCTACCGCCTAGCGCCGTTTCTCTACTTTCATGCTTTCAAAGCTAGGTAAATGTGCGCTAACGAGCTCGGCTATAGTAAGTTCTACCATTGCTAAACGCCATGCCAAATACTTCACTCTAGATCTTGATTGGTGTTCTGTGCCACACTACTAGTGTTCTCGGGTATTCTTTGATTTCCTAAGCATCTAATATTCCATTCACTCTGTCGTGGGACGGCTTGGATCCGCTATATCCCTACATACTTTAGAAGGCCGTATCCCGCAGGGCTATAATTATAAGAACATACTTAGATTAGAGAGATGGCCACCAGGAAAGAAGAATATTGAAGCTCTACACCTTATAATACACCCTCTGGAACTCTGTAAATTAGTCTATAGCTATTTCCGCTTTCCGCCAGACAAGGAAGCCTTCACTCACCATGCTAGTATGAAGCTAGAATAATGCTTTTAGACTCGTTAGAGAGCATACAACCTGTTATTAGTAACTCGAACCTACGTAATTTGTAATCCCTCAGCGGATCCAAGTCATGGGGCCTCATTACCACTATGCTAGATTGTCTTTCGAAACACTATTACTCTAATACATAGGGAGTGAAGTAAAGGATTTAGTGTGTAGAGCCAGGAATCTAATTTCGATTAAAATAGACCATGTTCTTACGTTTAGATTGCTTCGGGTTACGCGTAATATCTTTAATAAACTGGTTTATTGTTGTTTCCAAGATGCTGTAAGCGAGCTACAAAGTATCTATCAGTAGTGTTGTTGGTTTTGTTATGTAGACACTGCTAGTTTGTAGGTAATGTAAACTGCAAACTCTGCTTCACTACAGAGGTCGGAAACTGGTGATTTCAACTCCCTATTAGAACATACATCACGTGAATTCATGGCGCACTCCTGTTATACAAGCATAATCGATAATTGCCTTACCTTCCTCTTTCCTCTATCTACCTTATTCCTTCTCTTACCTAATACCTTGCTTCTTCTACCAAGTTCAATACTCTTTTAGTGGTAGGTCGAACAATTTACCAACCTCACAGCTCTAACAAATTTAGTCTCACCTACGATTGCATATCAACGAGGCGTACTCTAATATAACAATTAAGATGGCCTTCCACACCCCAGAGGACAGCATCTTCGATCAAGAAGATAGAGTATCACCAGAACCTGGATCTCCCGCCACCCTTGAAGCAGACCAAGGCTATGCAAGCGCTGGTCCTTACAGTGGGGGTAAATTCTACATCATGCATCGCGACACGGGCAAATGTCTTACCCTAACTGGTGGTCGCCTCGGTCTAGAGAGTTGCTACAGTCTACAAGGACATTGTCTCTGGGAGTGTGTAGAAGATCGAGGTCGTCTTGGATTTCGTAACACCGCATCTCATACCTATATCGGACACGATGGAATAGATGGAACTATGATAGCGACAGCTAGACAGCATGGCGTGTTTGAATGGATCAATGTCCTTCCACTGGAAGCTGGGGGATTCAAAATCATGTCGGAGTACATGTCTGCTTATAACCCTATCGCTGTGCGGGATGACGAACGTAGTGTAGGTCAGACTACTGGAGAGCCAAGTGGCTGGGATTTCATTCGTGTTGATCCCGAACTACTCTGATGTAGGGAATTCCGTTAGTATACTAGATTGAATTTCATATTTTGATCTTTGCTCTTCAATTTAGCAAAGAGATAGAACTCCAATTAGTGTTATGGACTGCATCTTTGTTACTAGTGCTTAGACCGTGAACGAAATAGATCCCAGAACCCCACCTCGTATCAAAATTCCACGATGAAGAACATCTTAACATACGTGCATATCTCGGCCCGTTCCAATGATCAATGCTGGAGATATCTACGCCGAGAGACTTTTAAACTGAGCCCTTAGACAAACATCACAGCTTCATAATAGGGGAAGAAAAAGAAGCTTAAGTTCCTCCATGAAATGCGTGCACTTTTCAATGCCTATGCTCAAGACCGACGTGATCCAGGTAGCTTGCGATGACTTTTGCAGCTCTATTATATCTAATACGATGCACTTCTAACAGCCAAGCGTTCTTGAACCTCTAGATCCTTTGCTGAATTCATGTTTCTAGGATCTAAACTTATAGGCGTGAATCAGTAGTAAACTAATTCTACCTAGTATAGAATCAGAATATGACCATATATCCACGCCAGGGAATGGTATGAGAACACTACATACTGTGCGTAGTACAAATGGTGCCGTCTATCTCAACATCATGGGCTTATGATGTTAAGCATGAGATTAGAGGCCTGGCTACGCTCATGACCTAGTATCTTGTCATATACGACTGTGTGCGTTCCTCAGACATACTAACATACTTGCCTTTCCCTAGCCTTGCACCACTACCAGCCTCATAGGGTGATGAACAGGTAGAGCCGATTAGACAAAGTCGAATTGATGGAAAGAATCGTCCATCTCACTTTATCGAGCCATCATTATAAATCAAGCATTGAAATGATCTTCACTCTACTCTGAACTAAACCCTCTGTCATGGTGGGATAAGTAGTGTATTACATGGAATATAGCATCGATCTCACTATGTATGTCCCCAAAGTCTGCGGCCAAACTAATACTAGGCATATCTCCTGGAGGCAAATTAAAACCTTGGGTCTAATACTTGTGTTTGAAATCTATGATGTGTGAGCCATTTGCTGAGATCCTGAAATCAGCGGTTATTTTAATAGTTCACTGCGATATGCCTACATGACTTCTTTCGAGAGACCTACGACCACGAGAAGGTAGAATTGATCTCTTCTTTAACGCTAATAGTATGGTATCTGATTTATATTTCGATACCCTGTTCAACGCCGTACCATGCTTCAATATCTACAAGATAGACATTCACAAGACAGACATCTCAACCTCTTGTTCGTCCTTGAGACATGTTCAGAACATATTGAGGTGTTGGGAATTTCGTCGGCTCCTAAAGTAGCTCAAAATCAATTCAGAGCTCCTAGTAAACTATGCGGTAGCTTATCGATTATAACATAGAGGTTGCTAGTCAGTCTTCAAAGGAATGAAGATCTGTATTCGATGAAAGAATCAGCCAGACTTAAAAACCAATACAATTGTCATCGACTAGAGTACGCGGTACGTGAATGACCCCAGTTCTCTGTCCTGGAGCCAGTTCCTACGACTACCACTATGTTTGGCTTCGCACGTTCCTTTTGCAAAATGCAGCGAAGTTACAACGATTTCTGTCTGTCATTCACAGATATGGCAGAATCTTACCACATCCTGGACATTCTGGGGCAGATTCTATGAGTAAATAAGTGATTTATGCGTACCAAACCAATGACTTTCAATCATTCGGTTCGATCGTTACTGGCGGCTTGCGAGTCGTTTGGGATGACCAAGGCTGCATATGGCTACTCTTTCATTGGGAAAGCTCGGCGGTGGCGCCAGTGACATACCAACAATGGTGATGTTCTAGACATATACTGAGAATGTTGACATCTGTATATTTCTGATCTGACCGATGGCCTGGTGCAGGATGGGTACTCTAATTATCGGACTCAGGGTAACTGTCCACGCAATACTGGGAAGATATAAGACAATCTCAAATTAAGCATATAGCCGATAGTTGTACCTTGTAAACTGTCCTCTGTAATCAACATTTCGCCGAGATTATCCCTGTATCTAAGTATAGTGCACGGGATTTTAAGTCGTTCCAACTTGGCCATAGTTGACGCTACAAGGCTAGTCAACTGTAGAGCTAGCTGTAGGAACTAGGAACAACACGAAGCCTACGTATTCGTAGAGAGTGAAACGATACGGGACCCGTGCCATCTAGCCATCCATATGTTTATCTGTCGATAACTTCCTCTCATTGTGTTGTCTCAACATAAATGACGGCCTATAGCCTTTCGACTCCAAGTCCTCGAAAGTAACCAATGGGCGCTCATCAGCTGTAGCCTGATGCTCCTTGTCACCATATATGATGAACAGTACATAGTTATCTGGATCTTTCTCGATGCCGTATTTAGCCAGACATGCGCGGAGTACGGTCTCGTATGAAGCGCTTCGTGGGACGCCAAGATGCTTGCATGAGGCTGGAGGTTCATCGTCTGTTGGATTGGAGGGGAGATCCGAGGAGGTGGTCTGTGATATAGGAGACATTGTCCTGGAAGGCTCTTGCGAGGGATTGCCCGCCGTATTGGGTTTCAAATCAATGTAAGTTGGAAAAACCGATACATTGTCCACTTTTCTGCGATTGCCTCGAAAAACTGACATTGGCGAAGTCACGGGGCGGCACGGGTAGCGTCTCACCACGTTTCAGATTCCATCCTTCTACCCCGCTCACTTGCATGTACACGTCCGAGCTCAATTAAATGAGGCATAGATGATATTACCGATGAAGTTGGTTGTCCTTGATCAGCTTTAGATCTTTCGCTGTATCTTAGACCAATATCGTGCATTGGTCCCTTCTACGGACGGAATCCTTATCATTCCACCAATGCTAGCAACAACCTATCTGTCTTTAGAGGTATGTAGCTCACATGACGGTGATAACTCATACGCATGCAAGATTGTACACATCCACCAGGACAAGTTGTACTTCTAAAAAATCAATGTCTCCGCCCTGGCCAGTATCATACAAGTTATACCTAGAGGTCTACAAAGTCCCGTAACGAGCTTAAAGAACCAAAGCTCAACGTCCGTCGGAGACTGCCAAGACCTTGCAAGCTTAATCTAATCAGCGGGATTACTTCCATGTGTTGGTTGTTGGGCCACTTATACCCACTTTTCGTTAGATGAGCGCCCACTTCTCGCGTTCTAAATTTAGCTTTAAGCTCGCATGCTGGGAACAATATAGCTCTCTAAGTGGGCTATTTTAATCGGGCAATCTCGAAAGCTTTATTCGCTCATGGTGACTGACGAAGCATAGAATCTCAATCTGGGTAAACGAAAAGTACGTATGTTTGGCAAGGTTGCTCGCCCTAATGATGCGCCCAAGCACTCCGCTATTTCATCACGTCAGGGCAGCTCCATTTTGATATATTAAGCTGTAGACCGTCTCTGGTGGACCAGGTGATTGTACAGTAGAAAGACATAGAGATGACTGACCTTGTCTCTCGCAGGGCATGAACGATAGATCTGAACATGAACGCACAGAAGATACCTCTTAGGGCTTGCTGTTGGGTCTGCTTTGGCGACGACGGCAAGGGCGATGGTATTTACGATAGTACGACTTCAGACATGATCATGCAACTCTTGGAGGGCTCTTTTCCTGGCCCTTTTGGACTTGAGTAAGATGTTCAGATCAGTAATGGTCTCAACTTTCGCGAGAAGGTCAACACAGCGATCAGCAGACCTTCAGATACATCGGCACCCTTGATGTCAAAAGAGCCAAGGCTCATGAATTTCTGGCCATGATATATGACTTGATGAGCAAGCAGCCTTCCAAGTGCTAGCCTAACCATGGATCCACAGGCGGCATGAATTTACGCATGTAGCTGCAACGGTATTCCCTTCTTCCAACGATTTTGATGACATCAGACTACTCCTCTGCAGTGTTACGACATTAGTCCACTTTGATGTCAATATAGCATCTCAAACACCCATGTAGCGCCATATAAGGAGTATTTATAGAAATTCCTGGAAGGTTTCTGGAGAACCTCTTCTGTGGACCCATGCTAGAGTCCACGTGGAAGGATAAGGATGATGGATAGAGCAAAAATTGGCGCATGGAGGCTGAAGGTCTACCTCGGATCTCCCTCCACATCCCCTAGAGAATAACTCTTAGGGTACTCGAATCCGCTATATAGTGACTCACCCTTTCATCTCTGACACTGTCCACTTACACATCTCGTCGATAAATCGCATCGACGTCATTGCCAATTTATGATGGCGAAGTCATAGAAGTTCTCAATGGGTATCCCTGTCTACTAACAACAGCTCATACCTCTTGAAAAGACGCTCTTTTAGCCTTCAGTAGTCCTTGAGTCTGAAGATCGTTCAGGCTTTATTTTATGTATTGGGCTGTCGTGGAAGCAGTCAGGAGATAGGATTAAGTTAAGGAGACTGTTACACGAGATGATCAAGTCGTTCTCCTTCTGATGTCGGTCGTGACTTTCGTTGTTCTCGTCCATTCAGCATGATGAATGTCACCACGACTCGGACTGACAGCTTTTCGTCCATAATTATTTGATTTCACAACATTTCACGGCTTTTCATTCGCTACTAATCAGTTCGTTCTCTGGTACTCTAGAGGGTAATATACTCTAAGGCTACAGGGGTATCATTAGTTGTTTCCATTCTATCTATTAGACCACGCTGACATGCTACATTCGGCATAGGATAAATCCCGATACGAAGGTCTCGTATGTATTTCGTGATGTAGACTAGCATTGGCCGAAAAGCCAAGATAGTAGGTTCAAGTTTGGCTCGGTCCCCAAGAACTAGTACTAAGTTTCTAGAAGGGGTGACAACGTCTGTGTTCTCATGTGGGGTGACCTGCTGTTTCTAGAATGTTTCGCATCACGGGTGGCGGGCGGTCACTAAGCGTATCCGATTAGTTCCTCTGGTGTTGGGCTATGAGAACAAGCAACTCAAAGTCAATAGTTCCTATAAAGGTGTAAGCTTAGGCCTTTTAGATCCTTTACCCATTGTGGAAAGGAGTGAGGTGCTCTGTATTAGTCATTGGCAAGACACTTGATCATACCACACTCTAGCATTGATTTAGGTCTAGTCAGTACCAGAGTAGGCAGGACGGTGAGTTGTCATAAGCATCGACTAAAACCAACACTTAGGCAACCTATCGGTTGTGGCGTAATACTCTGGATACCGTCTGCACGGGTAGGCCGTTGTCAGGTGTTTTGGACGCCTTGTTGTCTGTGTCATGCATATGAGATGTGATTGGCACGGAGCATTCGGCGTTATTATGATCCATCTATAAGTACGTAGACCAGGCTCACCTGTCAATTCTTGATTGCAGAGATGCTGACAGGACTATAGACTAGAGATTCAGATTAGAGTAGGTTCTAGGGCGTGGTCTGATCAAACATACTGTCTGACTTTCATCTTGTTCGATCAGATATCGCGACATTGCGTGCGTCACATTGCGACTTTCGTGGCATGTAGCCAGATAAGCCAATAGAAAAGTAAAACTGTCGGGCCGATAGGCATTCACACCGCAAGTTCCAGCAATATGTTACCGATGCGGCATGGCCCGAGAAGTGGCTCCGAGCGTTTGCCCGTCTAAGAGATATGATAATACTGCAATCGCACCGTAGCCTCGCGCTCGATATATACATGAAGATTTCCTTGTTGAGGTAAACCTCACTCCAGCCAGATGGCAGATATTGAGCCGAACTATGGACCACTTGTTGGTATTCTGAGCTGGATGCTTCTTTCTTGGACATTCGTCACTTTAGCGATTCGGATAGTCTCAAGACTCTACAAATTTCGTCATTTCGATACCGATGATTACTTCATTATTATCAGCTCTGTGAGTTCATGACCTGTCAGTGTAAAAGAATCCATCTGACATCAGGAAGGTGTTCGCTATAGCACAAACAGCATTGGTCTTCGAATCGACACACAATGGCTTTGGTCAGCCTCATGCAGCAGTGGACCCTGCAGCCATGTCTACACAGCTTCAGGTATGCGTACATGTCGATGGATAAGACATCGCAAACTGCGTTGCCCATCAGCTAATTTGACCAGACCCAGTATGTAGCAGGCTTGCTGTATATTGTCAGCCTCTGTTTTGCGAAACTATCTATGGCGGCCATGATCTATTCGTTGACCCCCAAGGCCCATGCTCGTCATTATGCTGTTGCCACTGCAGTATTTGTCGCCATATGGGCTCTGACATCAGGGCTGGTTCTTGCATTTGAGTGTGATCCACCTCGAAGTTGGGATTACATTGATGGGAAATGTATCAACAGCGTAGGTCCAAACCTTATAGAAGGCTCTACAGACACTGATATGTAGCCAGTATGCAGCACGAGTCTACATAGAAACAGCTAATATTTTCACGGAAGTAGCATTAATGATCCTCCCATGCCCCATCATAGCTCAACTAAACATGCCTACGAAGAAGCGAATCTCGCTAGCTTCAACCTTCTTCTGCAGAACCAGGTCAGACCTCACAAACGCAAATCGCTCAACGAGCATTCTAACCCTAGGTAGTGTTATAGGATCTCTCATCGCGGAGATAGTCTGCCTTGGACGGGTTGACTATCAAGGTGATCGTCTTTACACCTTCTGGCCAGTGATAGTCTGCCAGCAATTCGCACAATTCACCTGCATCGTCTCGACCTGTGTCGTATATCTACGGCCTTTTGTCACAAGTCTAGAGTCGGGCTTCATACGGGTGGATGATGCGAGGCGGAGAGGCGAGAGTCGACTAAGTAGATCTGCTCCTTCACAAATCAGTAAAAGTTATGGTGTTTGGTCGCAGCAGATTGTAAACAAGCACGCGAATCACTCAAACACGCATGATACAGTGCTTGAAATGGATTATCTCAGCAAAACCTCTATTAGTAGACAGACTAACCACAGCTCCGTCGGGGTAGAAGCTACTCGAGATCGTGTGGAGAGGTCATGCTAGTTATTATAATGAATAATGAATCACGCATTTTCTACTTGATTCTCAGGCTTTGACTGATATTGTTATGTGAGCATTCATTTCATCACAGATTCAATGCGCCCATGAGAACAATTCAATGAGTAGCTTTCGCAGAAAAATGATAAAATTCAAATCCTTCAAAGTATGTTACCTATAAGGCTCACGATACCAGTATACTGATGCCTGATAACCCTGTGGTTTCATGGCAGACGGGACTGTATTCAGCCCCGTGAAGCGATTGTGGCATCACTAACATCCAAGTCAGAATAGGAAGCTGTTGAATATTGCAGAGATGGGCTAAGATATGAAGTGGTCTTCGCCTCCGATCGTGGGTGGCGTGATATTTAATCCCTTGTTCAACTGTGGCACGGACTCACACTCCGCGCACTGTAGTATTCTAGTCGGTTTGACTTGTAAAGGTGGCCCTGCACAAGATCTGTGCGTCATCTCTACCCTCGTCACAAAAAAGGGCCCATCGGGTTCGCCGACCTTTTCCACGACCCTTCGACGCAGTATAATCTGGGTATCCCCGCTTTTGCGGTCCTACCCTGGCATTATTGCTTACATTCCAGGCTACGAGTTCGTTCATTTCTTACGCAAGGCTTTGAGGCTGTCTTCCTTTCTTTCTGGATTTGCACGACCGCAAGGCAAGATGGCGGATGTACCTGGCGGACAGCTGCAGAAAGGTTCCGGTGATGAAAGAGAATATGTACCATTGTCTCTGGATGTTCGGGATAATGCTGCCCTTACTCGCCTGGGAAAAAAGGCTGTGCTGAAGGTTCGAATCACCGGTCACATTGGATAGTAGAGAGGTACTGACACGATCGACAGAGGAAGTTTGGTTTTATGTCTATCTTGGGATTTTCATGCACTATATTGATCACATGGGAGGGCTTTCTAGCGTCAGTCTAGCATTATCACTGAGATTGTGTTTTGAAACTTGAGACTGACTCTTTGTGCAGTCTTTTCAATACAGGATACGCGAAGTGAGTGGCATATGCGAGAACCAGTCATCACCTGCTGAGACGCATACTAGTGGAGGGCCTGCGGGAGTTATATATGGCTACCTTCTTGTGTGGGCTGGGACATTCTCGACCTTCGTTACGCTCTCTGAAATGGCTTCAATGTAAGATTACGACAAGAAATGCTCCTTTCGGAGAACCAATGCTCAACGATATTCAGGGCGCCCACATCTGGTGGACAGTATCACTGGGTCGCAATGCTTGCCCCTGAGAGCTGCCAGCAGTTCTTGAGCTACACCACAGGTACTTGGCCGCAGATGGATATGCCATTTACGATAGCTGCTGATCAAATTCTAGGATGGCTTACCGTGCTAGGATGGCAAACTGTTGTTGCCTCTACAGCCAACCTCGCAGCCACGATGATACAAGGTATCATAATCTTGAGTAGTCCGACCTCCTACGCGCCAAAGACGTGGCATGCTGTATTACTATACTTCGGATGCATACTGTATTCCTTGGTCATCAACACCGCTCCAGCTGGCATTCTACCCAAATTTGAGAGCTCTACATTCATCCTACATAGTGCCGGATTTTTCGCGATTCTAATACCACTGGTAATCATGGGCCCTCACGGATCGGCATCGGATGTCTTCCTGACATTTAAAAATGGGGGTAATTGGCCTACCCAGGGAGTGTCATTTTTTGTTGGTCTTATGGGTAATGTCTTTGCGTTCTTTGGTAAGTCAAGAGTGCATTTCAATGGTTGATAATACTGATAGTGTTTAGGTGCTGACGGAGCCATACACGTAAGTAGTGCCTATATCTTGTGATTATAACTCACATTTGTGCAGATGTGCGAAGAGATTAAGAATGCGCAAATAGTCGTTCCACGTTCGATTTTGACAGCGATAGGGATCAACGGATCTCTAGGATTTGCCATTGCGATTGCGGCACTCTTCTGCATCGGCGAGGTTGAATTGACGAGCCCTACAGGCTATGGATTTATGGAAATCTTCTTACTAGCTGTCAAGTCGAGAGCTGGGGCTGCGGCCATGTCGTCTTTGATTGCGCTCATGATGCTCCATGCTCTGGTGGGAATAATGGCATCTGCGTCGCGTCTACTCTGGTCGTTTTCTCGAGATCGAATGATTCCAGGATGGAGGTACTTAGAGCATGTAAGCAAGACTATGCTTCGGTTCGTCTGAATCAGCCACTGATTAACATCACAGATCAACCCTCGCACCTCTATTCCCCTGCCTGCTGTAGCAACCACTGCCATTCTAGCGTGTCTCCAAGCGCTCATCATCCTCGGATCTACCATCGTATTCACACACATAGTCTCCCTCGCAGTCGCGGCCATATTCGCTTCCTACCTCATAGTCACGGCACTATTTCTCTGGCGCAGACTACGAGGCGACATATATTCGCCCAACAAGCTCACTACGGACCCCGGCCTCATCAACATTCCTGGCTCGAAGCTCACGTGGGGACCATGGCGCTTCAACAACCTTGGTGGCACTTTGAACAATATATTTTGCGTTGCATACATCGGAGTCGTCTTTTTCTTCTCTTTCTGGCCGTCGCAGACCCCCGTGGCGGCCAACACAATGAACTACAGCTGTCTAATGCTGGGCGGAACTATGATCTTCAGCACTGTATATTATGTTGTATACGCCCACAAAGCGTACAGGGGCCCAATAGTGGAGGTTTGATGCCTGTTAGGGGAAGGATGCTTTAGGATATGCGACGGTATGCTGAGAGGCCTGTCAAAGTCGTATGTTGTAGTAGTATGAGCCGTCTATACCGGAGTCGGTAAAGAGTCAGGCTGCCATCATGTGACCCAAGAAGTGTAAATACTGAATTGTAAAGTAGTGTTAGCCTGGTCTTGTAGCAACAAACCCATTGATATCATAACCATCGCATCAAAGAATATCTCGTTGGACTGTTCCAACTTTTTGTATCTTCAAACAACCTCCGTCTCGAATCAAACACGAGATTAGACCACCAGTTGCGAGTGACCATGTGAGTGACCCGCCGGATTCGTATGCTATGATGCATCGGGCCTTTTGCCGGAGGATTCTAGTCTTATACATCAAAGAAATTGGACGGATGTCCCCACGGTCTGAGCTCTAAAGTCTGTTTCCTGATCGGACATAGCGCCCCACGATCTCCACATGAGACCTTTTTTTCTCAACAGTCAAATAGCCTGTGACATGGTTTGATGTCAATAAAAAGAAGTCATCATGAATGTTCCTCGGCAATGAAAGACCACTAGAGCTTTCACAAGGTATGATCGAGTTGTACATCCATCACAATATCATCTGGAAATATGTGTATAGGGGTAGCTCGGAGGAAGATCCGATAGGGACGAATTGAGCCGCGGTCTGTATCAGATAATAATATTGGGTTGATGACGAATCGATACATAGCCAGCCTGCCATGAGGTGAACTGATGCATATGTAAACCATTCAGGATTACATACGGACTTGCGTGTCGCCATTTATAGGTATGTTGTTTTTCAACAGCAGGGTGGAGCCGCAGTTCGTGCCGGCCGCGCGTTTCGGTCCACAGGCGAGCAGCTCTTTATAGTCGCTGCATCCCCACACGCTCCCCTTGTCCCCTCCTCCCTCCGTCCCACACTCACTTTCCACATTGTCAATTTCCATCCCCTACTGCAATCATGCAATGCCGTTTCTGTAATCGCTCATTTAGCAAGGGCGAGCACCTAAGGGCAAGTATCGCGGATTTCCTGAGCCTGGGAACGACCACTGACGAGCTTCGTAGAGACACGAGCGAACCCGTAAGCAAACTCCCCTGATCGTGAAGAAAATTGTCCAATATGGCAGTCTTGATCAAACGTGCAAGATATAAACACATCGGCACTCTAGCTGTGTCCTCACTCGTGAAGACGCTGATCGAAAAAAGAATTCCGAACTAAGTTTGCGTAGACACTGGCTCGAAACCGTTCTCCTGCAAACAATGCAAACGCGCCTTTAATCGACAGGACTCGCTGATGCGACATGAGAAACTGCATTCACGTCCATCAGTCCACGGTTCGCAGCCACTGTCCCCAGTTGATCCAAGAGACAAAGACAAGCCCGCAACACCCGAGAGTATCCAGTCCAGCTCGCGCGAAAGCTACAGCTCGGAAATCCCGAATCCGCCAAATCCGACTCTGCAACACCAGCAGCAGCCGAACTTTGACTCGGAAGTCACACAGCAGTGGCCGGAGCTAGACTTTGAGTTGATCTGGCCAGACGCAGAAGATCTGTTCCAGAGCATCAACTCGCAGCATATCTCGGACTGGCAAATGCCGGGACACTCGCTGCCTTTACCGTTCGACACAAACAGCTATGGCAACTCACATCCAGCTGAAGCGAGTAGCCAACGCTATCATGGATCAGCAGGAGCTCCTGGGCCCACCGGTCCCGTCACCAGCGGAGGCGGAGGCAATCAAGCTGTACAAGGTGTGAGCGACATGATCTCGAATCTGTCGTCGAGTGTCACGATGCAGGCTGGACCTACCTCGATTGATTCGACTTTTCTCGATGAGAGTCTCCACATGTTTTTCGTCAAGTTCGTACCCACATTTCCTGTGTTACACAGAAGCACGTTTGTGTTTAAGGACTGTCTACACCCCTTACTTTTGAACGCCATCGCTATCGGGTCGTTGTACTTGGGGCCTAAGGATTCAATAGCAAAGGGAGAAGCCCTCTGGCGGCTGGCCCACACAGCGATTGCAACATCATGGCAGAGCCTCTTGAAGCATCAAGGGCCGTACGACCCATGCCCAGGCGTTCAGCTACTCATTGGCATGCTCCTGGGTAAGATGTATGGTCTGTTGTCCAAGGTGAGCAAGCATACCCTATCATTGATTTAGTTGCGAACTCCACCACTCTGGTATAAATATCGCGCAGATATGAGGCCTATGGTATGATTCATTACAAGGACAATCGCTAAGATCCCTGCAGAACCGCCAGATCCGGACGACAGCGCAGGCATTCCACTCCCTTGGCTTCTTCTGCGCAAGCCATTCGGGAATGCTAGATTGTAGACCTTACGACATCGCCAACCTCCCGACCGCCGATTCAACAAAGGAAGAGAAGGAGAACCAATTCAAGCTCTGGACAGCTCTGGAGATCCAAAGACGCGCGATTCTGGCTCACTACATACTGGATGGCATCAAGTCACACATGCTGGGCGAGTCGACAGCGGTCCGACACGTCGCAAACCAGCTCCAACTCCCGAACGCAGACCTCCTATTCGAAGCCGGTAGCGCGGACGAATGGCTTGTACGAATGTACTCACAGCAGACCCTCCCACCAACAACCACCTTCTCCTCCATCTACAACCTCCTCTTCGCCCACGACAACACGCGCTACTCCGACCTCAGTTCCACCCTCTCCACCTTCACCCTTCGCGTCCTCCTCGAAGGCCTCCAATCCCTCGCCGCCGAGTCCCCACACGACACATCCCAATCCCCCCTCGGCGTGCCCTCCAAATACGAAATCCGCCGCGCCCTGACCCGGCTCTACGCCAGCATCGCCACAAACTTCCTCGCCGCCCCCGCCGAGAAGATGGAGACGTGTCTACGCTGGCACTCCATCTGCCTCGACCTCATTACCCCTTCGTCCATCCTCTGCCGCTTCGTGTGCGTGCGCCAGAACATCACCCAGCACGTCTGGTCCACGCCCAAGAGCCCGCACCGCGACCTCGACCTGATCGCCTGGGCGCACTCGTCCGATGGCCGCCGCGCCCTGCTGCACGCCGCCGCGATCCAAGATATCGTCGAGCAGCTGCCGCGCGGGCGCGCTCACGCCATTCACATGCCGTCGGCGCTGCTCGCGGCCGCGACGGTGTACTGCGTGTTTGCGATCGCGGGCGTCATCACGGTGCGGCTGCCGTGCGTGACGGACTGGAAGGATGCGCTGGATGAGGTCGACGACGCGGCTGTGCAGCTGGCCGAGCTGTCCGGGACGCCGATTACGTCGGAGACGACGCGGTTTGTGCTCGGGGGCTTGCCGCAGGGGGTTGGGTATGGGGCGGTTGGGGGCATGCGCAATGTGCGGTATGAGCTGAATTCGCTGCAGAAACTGTTCGGCTGCCTGGGGACGCAGTGGGGGATTGCGAAGGATATGGAACAGGTCGTTGGGGACTGGAATGCGATGTGTCACTGATGGGTTGTGCGAGAGCCCTTTTGGGCGATCCATGGCATTTTTGGTATCCTTGTTGTGTCTGGATCATTTGGGGATGCGTATATCGCAGACGCGGCACAGCCTTGTGAATTGCGACACACCGAGAAGAACGCCGACCCGGTGCTCTGGCACCAGAACGCTTGCATCATGGCCAAGGATGCCTATACTGGTCACTGGCCGTCTTATCTCAAACCTTGCAACACACGACAATATACATCTCAGCCAGGTCATGGGAACCTAGCCTAACACAGTCTTCGACGTCACCAACAACATCATTCATATCGTCCAAGCATCAGCTCCAAGAAAGTCGCCGGCCGGTCGAGGCAAAAACTGCCGGGTACCCTTACCTATCTATCTCCTTACCTTCCAGGACCAGTTCTATCGTCTCCATTACCATCACCCACAATCACACCAGACATACACATCACGCAGCTCACAAAAGAACAAACAACCACACAACTTTCACACCAAAAAATAATCTCGCATTACTGCGACATACCATCCTACCCCAACCTATTTTACTCTGTCCTATTCCCCCTACGACATACTCCCCTTCGCCGCAATAACACTCCCCAACATAACCACCGGCTCGACATTACTAAACTTTGGAATATCGCCAAGCACAATCTTTGCTGCCTCACTCTTCAGTGCATCAAGCGCATGCGCATCACTCTCCCAGGTGAGCACGGCGGCGATGGAGAATTTGGGCTCATTGCCGTCTGCGCTGTTGTTTTTGTTAGATACATATTTACCGTTGTATTTGTATATATAACACTTTGTGGAAGGGAAGGGGATGTGTGTATGTGTATGGATGTATATGCTTGTATATAAAAACCAAAACAACATACGTGACATATTTTGTAATCGTCCAGCCCTTCAACCCTTTCGGTCCCCAATGCTCGTCGACAAGTGGCATGTGCGTCTTGAGGTAGTACTCGAGATCGAAGGTGCTGGCGTCAGTGTTGGGGTACAGCACCGTTGCTTGGCTGGTGTTTGGGGAGGTAGTGCTGGCCATGGCTCTTGTGTCGTGGTGTGATGAGCTGTGCTGTGGTGTGTTGTGCTCGTCTTCGTCTTTCGTCTCGTGGTGTTTGTGCCTCTATGTTTCGCGAGTGTCTGAGTTTATGTGTAGTGTAGGGGTTGTGGACATGGGGGCTGGTTGGGGGATCTTTATGTTTTTGATGACCTCCGGAGAGGGGAGGAGAGGGGACCTCGGACGACTGGTTGGGACTGCGGGGTCTGTTTGCGCTGAGCGGTCGATCAACTGCCCCGCATGAATGGATTGATAGAGCTGTCCGGTTGGTGTGATATAGTGTGTTGATTATGTGGGGTACATGGATAGATATGGATTAGGTCGCTGCGTCGTGCGTCAGGGGCAGGAGTCCGGGTCCGGGTGTTGACAGGGGACGTGCTTCATGCTTCATTGCAAGGGTGAGATATCAGGAGACTGTTAATCGAGAGGATTGCGACGTTGGTCGTGATGATGTGGCTAGTCGGGACGCATTCAGCAATGAGTGCAGAACAGCTGCGAAGCAGGATGCGAAAGGGAGCGAAATAGGATATCTATGTCGATCACTTCTCTTTGTCAGATGTAGCATACAACTCAACACCATCCTCATGCCCTCACTATCGTCTATATTATCTATTGATGTCCAATCGGCTTCGATTTTGGCTGCCACGCAATCTGAGCAGACGCAGCGACCAACATTGGCGACACGCCCGTCTCAGTCGGATCGTCCGAGATAAAGCTCATTGGGAAACCAAGATCAAACGGCTTCACCTTTTCAATCTCCTCGATCTGCGCGTCACTCAGATGCAAGCTCAGCGCCTTGATATTATCATCCAGATGCTCCGTCTTGCGCCCGCCCACCAGTGGGAATACACCGCGCGTCTTCTGCATTGTGTACGCAAGCGCAACGGCCGAGAGACTGGCACCAAGCTCATTTCCAATCTTCTCTAGAGTGGCTGACGCCTTGGCTTCTTCCTCTGTTTGCTCGCCGCCGACAAAGCTGCGGATCTTTGAGCCGGACTTTTCGAGCTCCTCCATCTGCTTTGACGACTTGAAGCGGCCGCCTCCGATAACGTCCCAAGGGCACAGCGCCATGCCATAGTGACGCGCCATGGGAATAATATCGCGCTCGAAATCTCGTGCTAGGATATTCCATCGTCCTTGGTAAACGGAGAAGGGCGTCTTTGCATTTGCTTTCGCATACTCGTTGCACGCGCTGACGACCCATGCAGGTGTGTCGGAGATACCAAGATATAGCACTTTACCTTGCTCTACGAGCATGTGTAACGAGTCCATGATCTCGGGGATTGATGTGGTCCAGTCCCACCAATGTAGGTAGAGGAGGTCGATGTAGTCCGTCTTCAACTTCTTGAGTGACTCGCGGACGGACAAGTGCAGTGACTTTCTGTGGTTGCCCGAGTAGTTTGCACTGTTACCTTTGCCGATCTTGTAGCCTCGAAAGTCGGTGGTGTACTTCGTGGCAATGAACATTTGATCGCGAATCTCTCGTTCGGCCATCCAGTCGCCAATCCATTCTTCAGACTCCTCGTCTTGGTAGTTGTTGGCTGAGCAGATGTTAGCTTCGTGACGATTGCCGCAGAGAGCCCTACTTACCCGTGTCAATGAAGTTACCTCCTTTGGCGACATAGTGGTCGAAAAGTTTGTAGGAAGCTTCTTTGCTCATGCTTTAAAAACGTCAGCTATAGCCTTCCAAGTCGTTACGAATACTTACCTTCCCATCTGCTTTTCCCATGCCTTACCGATGGACATGGCTCCAATGGCGAGGGGAGACACCCGCACGCCGGCGGTGGAGGAGAGGATGCGGTAGCGACCAAGCTCCGACGGAGGCTCTGGTGCAGGCTGGAACGTGTGAGACATGATGATATGCCGATGATATTTCTTGGAGGCCTGAGGTGGCTTGTTGATATCTGGTTGGGGATGAACGATCCGGCAGGGCAGATGTCGGGCTCTATATATGCCCACATCATCTGATGCATTACTCGGATATGTGACGTTACAGCAACGTCAGCAGGGATTGTACATGGGACTGCTAATTCTTGCCAAGTTGCCGTTGCTGTTTAGAATTGAGCACCCTGTGAAAGGCATGGCCACTGTGATGCTGGCTCCGAAATAGGTGCTTAACCCCGGCGTAGTTAACGGAGATAATAGATCAAACACTTCATTCACACGCAACCCTATTGAGAAGAGGGAGCAGTTTTCCGAGCTGTACGGTCTGTCTGTGATGTCACACGAGTGGGGAAATGCAGCGCCACTGTCCAGTGTTTGGTATCCGACCATCATAGTGGGGCCTGAAGATTGCGGCACAAACACAGAATTCCAATTGCTTGTGAAATGGTTCTTGTGACAGAAGATCAGTGTATGTCGCACTTCATATGGCCCAGCATATTGTGCGACTACGTCGTTGTTGAACCACTCGCCGACTGCTGCGCAATCTGCATCTTTACCATCGTCTCCAAATTGTCCATCTGCGGCGCCTCAATCTTATTGTTATCCCTCTCCTCATACAACGTACCTCCTTCAGTCCAAATCCGTCGCAGCGTATACACCGTCGCTTTCGGATCGCCATCTGCCCACGCCTTCTCCTCAGTCGCCTTCAGCTTCTCCAGCGGAATGAGGCTCGAGTTCCAATTTGCGCCTGTCTGAGTCACGTACTCATTCAGTATTTCAGCCGGACTGGTTGTGAATGAATTGACCTTCAAGGCCCGGTTCTTACTCTCCTCGGGATGCTTGAGCGCCGCAACGAGCAGTTTTCCGACATCCGCCATCGTCGTAAGACTAATTCGCCCTTGGCCGTCGCCTAGCAAAGTGGCTTCTTTTGCTACGACATCAAAGTCGCCGGCATCTTTGGGTCCCCGACCAATGTAGAAGTCTGCATAAGGCCCGGTGACAAGGTAGGTGTATTCCAGCCTCTTGACGTTGTCCTTGATGTATTTGCGCACTTTCAATTTGAGCTGGTGCGGTTTTTCCGTGTTCGAGTGCGGGAAGTACTCGATGTCGGTACCGTATTCGGATGGGAAGAAGCGGTTTATGCTGCTCGACTGTTCAGCGAGGCGGATGAGGTTGATTTGGGAATCGATCACGTTCCGGCCGACGGCTGAGACGACTGTGTCGAAGCCTGTGGTCGAACGTCAGAGGACCATATCCGTATTTTGTGATATACTAACCTTTGTATGCATCGAGAATATCGTCATCTTTCGTGATGTCGCCAGTTATGAGTTCAAGACCTCGTGCCTTCCATGGTTCAAGCAGGTCGGACTTGTCTTTCACTGTTCTTTCTGAGGTAAAGAGCGCGACGCGACCAAAGTCTTTCTTGGAGTCAAGAATTGCGCCAGTGATAGGTTTTCCAATGGCTCCAGTGCCGCCGATAATGAGGATGTTTGTGGTTGTTGCTGCGGGCATCGTGAATGTTGAACTGAGTGACTGCTGAGGGGACCTGAGGCTCGGAATTCAGCCGCTTCAAGGGATGCCTGACCCCGCCAAGTGGGGGCGGTGGCAGCCTGAGCTAGTTTGTCAGGCACCCTCGTGTCCCCAGCCCATATCTGGTCTGGTACACAACACACTCACACAACATCGTCTCTTGAGTCACACCACTGCATATCATCCCGTTATGATCAGGCACAATAGCATCACAAGAAAGGTCTCACGTATCCATCACTGTCACAGCGTCTACCTACAACTTCGGCGTCGCATCAAATGTGAACAGATTGACCCCCTCTGTCTCCTTGTCTGGAAACACCCGACCGGTCCTCCCAATAGGCTCAACTCTATCGCTTGCCAACTGGCGTAGGGTATGCTCATCAGCATGATTCGCAATAAATCGATGTCCGGTATCAAGAACTCGTCCTACCACGAAGCCGTTTCCAGGCGTACCATCCCGGTTGTATTCGACGGTGTATGTCTGCTCTTTCATTAGCATAACCACGCATATGCATTGAAGAAGACCTACCTCGACTACTGCTGCGCCATCAGCTGCTTCGTCGACTTCCGGTGAAGGCACGTCGATGTGTGCTGATAAGGGTGCCTTTGACGGATATGCCGCCCCGTCTACTCGTGGGGTGGACGAGAGGCATACGACATGCTGATATGACAGGACACCACCGTTCGCCAGTATCAGACCGGTCGTCCCTTTTTTCGCTCTCAATTGCCGCACCATTTCGGAGATTGCGTGCATGGAGTAATTGTTGCCTGCGCCTCCAAATGATGTCAATCCACCAAGAAGCGTGATTGGCTTCGGTGGGTTTACTTTCGGTAGGCCAAGATGCTCACACGCCAGCTTCGGCACGATTGGGAAGCATGAGTAGAAATCGTACAGGTCAATGTCGTCTTTCGTCAGCCCAGAGACCTCTAGCGCAGTCGTGAGGGATCTAGATATCGCTGGACTGGAGAAAAAGTTCGGACGATCCCAAAACTCATCGGCGTCAGCAGTGCCAGCTCCACCAAGTGGATATATCCATTTCTCCTCAGGTACGCCGACAGATTTGGCGAACTCAGTAGTAGTAAGGATTACTGCCGCAGAAAGATTGACTGTGTTGAATGCATTCATCAGCATCGGATCTGCTAGCTCGTTAGCCGCCGCATGGATTGGGAATGCAGTCACAAACATGGAGCGCAGATCATTCTGTTCTTCCTTGAAGGAGTCCCAATGAACTCTGCAGTCTTTGCTGGCTTGCCATAGTTCCAGGAGTAAGGTTGCTGTTCTGCGACTTTGGCGAAATCGGCATACAGTTGTGCTGACTCGGTGGTATTATCTTGCAGGGACTGTTTGCGGATCGCTCGAAAGCCATTCTCATACAAAGGATAGATGTGAATAGGATTCCCGATGCCATGCCTGGCACCTAAGTCTGCCGAACGTCAGTGTGTCTCTTCCACAGCATCGTGGATGACAAGCCGTACGTTTTCCAAGGTCGCGATTCGTGGGTGAAAACACTGACTCTACATTTTGTGCCGGCTTGCTCCATCCAGGTGGGGGCATCTTCTTCGCTGCCGCGAACGCACTCACTATCGAATCAGCAGCTCTCTCATGCCAAATCCATTGGTATACGTACGAGAAGCCAGAGCCTCCGCACCCGTAATGACAGCAACCTTGCTCCTGCCACCTGCGACTTTCCGCGCAGCTTCATCCAACAGCTTTCCTGGTTCATTTCCGCCATGATTGCTCATTGATCCATTTCCTCTGGTGACGTTGAGCTTCTCGTACAGCGTGCCCACGATGTCTGGATATGGCCACGTCCATGATTGTACGACATCGATGGAGTCAACCGCATCTCGGAGCGCTTGAAGACTCGGTTGATCTATACCCGTATCTGAGAGTGCGGTCTCAATGGCCTTGACCATCAAGTCTGCTGGCTCGAGCGCATCCTCGAGTTTAGGTGATTGGTTCTTGATATCTCCGACACCTATTATGATTGGCTGCAGCGAGGAGACCATTATTCTAGTCCGGAACTGCATTCAAATTCGAGTTCTCGATATATGTGTACAATGAAAAGATGAATTATCAAGTCGACCTCCAACTACATCACCGTTTATGGTTCTCTCATTAGCAAGATCCATCCAGACTAATCGTACGCCATCTCCACAATTGTCCCTGCTCGAAATCTTGACCTCGGTCTTGGCACATGTCTCCGCATATTCGAGGGCTCCAAGCCGAGTTTAATGCATATATTACAAGTGCTAATACAATAACAATTTTGAAAGGGTCCCTTCGATCTAATCCATGATAAGAGCTTCACAGGATAACCCAGACATTCTTATGGTACTAGGACTGTCATATGAGATACTCATCCTCGGTTCATGGATAAGAAAGAAACCTGCATATATGGAACTGATACACGTCTTCGGCCACACCACTCAACTCTAGCACTGTCGTTCTACCAAATTGACAAGCCTTTATATTCATATTTGAGAGCTTGAGAGTCCACATGCTCTATTGGAATCAATGTTGATTATACGCTGATAGGCGCAAATCCTTGCCCAGACGGCAGTGAGCGATGCGATTCTCTTGCCAGTCGCAGTAACAACTTCAGGAAGTGCTGCAATGTCCAAATATACAGTCAAACTAGAACCAAGACATCGTTAGACGTCGTATCCTCGTAGAACGCGACGTCATGAACCCAACCTGTAAATAAGCCCGAAATAAAGCGCACTCCCTAACACCCCCGCTCCGTACAACTCAGCGCGAAATTCCCCTCCAAGCGCGCGCTAAAATCTCTCATGGATTCACCAAAACCCTCATCACACCATGTAACAACACCTTCGGCTCCGCTCCCCTTCTCAACTGCCCTATAACCTCCCCATCCCATCCAATGCACCCATCCATCTTCTCAAAGCCACCCGACCATGAACGGCCGCACCCTCACACACTCCCGCTGGGCAACCAGCAACAACACCCACCGCATCCGCATCACCGACACCGAAACCCACCTCATCGCCAACACCGAAAAACTCTCCCGCCTCCTCACCCGCCTCCGCTGGAAAGCAGAGAGCCTCCTCACATCCCATACACGCGCCACAAGCACATCCAGCACCCACACACACAACCCCAGCGACTCAGCACTCACAATTATCCGCGGCCCGTCCCCACCGTCGCAGAAAGAAGCACTGACAATGTTCAAGCTCGACTTCTTCGAATTCTACGTCCTGCTCGAGCGCTACATCGTGCTCTGTCTGGGGCTATGTGACGTTAAAGTGCCGCGCGGCGAGCCTGCTACTGCGCTCGGTAGTGCTGTGGGTTTGGGAGTTGGGACGCATCGGTTCCACGCAAACCTGCTAGATGCACTCGATCAAGAGACTTGCGTGCTTCATGCCGCGCTCGGTACTGGGGATACAAGGCGGTGTCTTGGGCTCGCGAAGGAGTATCGTAATAAATGGAAAGATGCGGATGCTGATGCGGATGGACTTGGGAGTGGGATTCCACACTCGCGTGCGAGGGTTGAGGACTTAGATTTGCCGCATATGTTGAAGAGTTTGATTGTCGGGCTTGAGGGCGCGAAAAAGGTTGTTGAGGAGAGGGCTGTGAGGAGGGTTGTGAATGGGGTTGTGGTACGCGAAGAGGGGGAGAAAGTTGGTGTGGGATGGGCGAGTGGGTGGGATGCGATGGACGTTGATGATACCCCGTATGAAGCTGTGGAGGATGGGATGGAGATGGAGTGGGAGCTCTGAGGGAGGTATAAGAGGTCATGGATTGACATGAGGTTATGACGGATATCCTCCGTTGTGTGTACACGTTTATAGAAGATCATGCATCTCCCTCTAAGAACGCAGCAAAACTTTCTTGGTGATCTAACACTAGTGCCTCGCCGAATTGACCAGCATTAATGACGCAGTCAAAGCTCTATTTTGGTGGATTCTCACAAAGTTAATCTATTCAAAACAATATCACGAACATCTGGACGTGATAAGCAGAATGTTTGTGTATCCAGGCTTTGTTGTTCATGATATCGGAAGCGAGGTAGTGTTGGAAGGCATTTGCGTGAGATACATTGATGTTAGATAGGCGATTATCGAAGGAGGCGTATTCACATCGTGGGGTGGGTCAAGATGCGTAATGATTCATTTCTTCTGAACAGTTATTCGAGCTAGCGGTCTGCTATGTATGATGTAGTGTTGACAAATTGCGTTGTGGTTCATGTGAGGAGCACGGAATGCACACTGTGAAACATATGCTACTATCACAATTTTTCCTCAACAGTCGCGTAGATACCTCGATTATCTAGGAGTAGCATCATACACCAGCCAAATATTCATAGCACCAACACCATAGCCCCATCATAGACGTGAAAAATTACCGCCGCAGCAATCCCATGTGCGCATCCCGCGAAAACAATCTCCCATACTATCACGTCACACGGCTACCCAAGCATCTCTGTCATAACAACCCTTCTAAGCCTCAACCCGCGACAATACCCCATATATTAGCTCTCCAGTACCAAGCACAAAATAGCAAAGCAGCCACCACGCAGAACCCGACGCCGGGTCCACATTCCGCCGAATCCCTCTCCTCCATTCGCGATCGATGGCTTGGTAACTCATGATGGCCATAGACCTGTACGCTCTGCGGCGCACTCTGAGGAATAGGTGCTGACGCATAAGGGTTGCTACTCGCGATTGCAAGCGACGCGCTGACAGTCCCGTAATTGTACAGGGGTTCCACATTCCAGAATCTCACTGGAGGCACGACCACGGGCGGAGACTGCACCCTTACTGGGGACTGAGGCAGCATATTGTGTGGTGTTGGACGCACCGGGTACGCGGGAGGAGGAAATAGCGGTGTTGGGGGGTTGAAGAGGAGAGTCTGTGGCAGATCCAATTTCTCCAGCAGGAGCTTCCAGGACTGTGGGGTCAATCTGTATTTCGCTTTTGTCTTGCGGTCATAGTGGACGAGGGCACTGGTGGGAACCTGGTGTCTTTTTGAAAGGCCGATGTAGCTCGCTTTGCGAAGTGGTGGACCTGGTGAGAGGTAGAGGAGCTCTTTGGTGTCTGGATGTGGAGGAGATGGATGGATAGGGAGGTATTGCGCGCGATTGTTGATGCGGGTTGGGTGACGGACTGAGAGACTCTGGCCGTTGAAAGATGTGAGCTGGGACTTGGATTAGCAGGTGAGAGTATTGATATGAGCAAGTCTAGTGTGAGTCGAGCGACTGACGAGCAGAATGGTATCCAATCCGCCGCTGCTTTCCAGCACTATGACTGGGTGATTGTGTCCGGCTTCAGGAACAGAACTGTTGGCATGGGCTGATGAGATCGTGGGGGCTGGTAGCCAGTATATGCAACCAGCTCGCTCCATGGTGATGTTGTTGTCGAGGTGAAGTCTCGAGATGAATGTCAGCAGCGAAGAGATTGACTCCAATCATCTGTACTGAGATGTACCTAGCTTGATCGTCGAAACGATGCTTTGAACCCCAGGCAGGGAAGCAAGGCTCATTTACTTGTCAATTCAAGAGTACGTTGTGATGTTCGCTCAGGTGAACAGCCTTTCGAGCCACTGGGAGCCTAAGCCTGTACGAGACATGCAGCTGCTTTCAACTCCATCTGTGCATTGCGTCAACTACGTGTCAGGGTAGTTCTGGATATCCAAAACGCCCATGTAACACGAGACATAAGACTTGGTCCGCAAGTGCACAATACCATGATTCGACTTGTCGCTCTCCTCGAGCAGCAGCCTCATCCATCCCCCGACATGCATCTCGAAACAACTTCCACAAGGATATTTCTCCGTTACCTACTCTCAGGCCGAACGCAATCATGCCCAGAACGAGTTTTCGCTGCGTATTTGCGATGCTGTGCAACCACTGTGGCGGGGTAGACTTCTGCATGTTTGTCTCAGCCTTGCAGGCGCTTACAACTTGAGGGCTTGGATATTGCTTACCACTCATTGAAGCCACTGCTTCTTGAATAGTTGAATAAGAAGTTAGTCTCCATGCTTCTGTTTTCGATCCATGAACCCAAAGTGTAACCCGTTCCTTCGATTCTCAGGCCAGGCCAAATTGAATGTTATTTGTAGTCACCCATAATCAGCCACCAGGACCGCGAACTCAGCCGTATTGGATTTGCGTGCTTTCAAGGGCCATCTGTTGCGGTCGCCTTGATAGCAGCGGACGATGCGCGGAAAGTCAATCTAGCTCACGTCGACTTTGTGTCCAAGTTCGGCATCGTGAGCATGCATATGCCCAATGTATCGAATTAGAGGCGAATGAAAGTTACTTCTGAGAAGAACTCCTCCTAAGACGCACGCGCTCCTCAGAAACACTCAATCACAACGATTCAGGCCGCTCGCCTGGCATTCATAGCTTTCCTAGGCTACTGCTTCCATGCAGATCTGCTTCAGCTTTTGTGGCAGATCGGTCCGTTGATAAAACTGTGGGAGCTGTGACTGGAGTCATGGCCTACTATCAGGTACTCGACGTGGTGCTGCGTGATCAGATGGTTCCAGCTTGATCAAGTCATCGATCAGACGCATGCTATGTGCATTCAATATGAGCTTCAGACTTCTCCACTAGTGGTATGCATGGAACATCCTATCGCTCTCGAAGCTCGGGAACAGGTTCATAGTACCAAAGACTTCCTCAGCAACGGTTCCCCACGATTCACCATTCGCCAGAAGAAAGAAGTCAGCGTCCAGTCCGAGAGAGCAGACCGTCTCAGGCAACGGGGCATTACTGGTGTCTGCTGTTGTGTAGCGCGCGTTTGTGTTAGGAATCGTGACCGGATGCGTTTCCTGCATGAAAGGACTACTGCTCGAAGGAGTACTCCCAGTGGAAGTGTCGTTATAGGCCCGATGAACCATGCCAAAGAGGTCGGAAGAAGTCTTCACTTTGCGGCATCTCTCTTCCATATCCTTCTTGACGAGGAATTCGGTTGTTGTTTTGAGTAAACTCTCGGCAATGGACGCGTACTGCGATGCATGTGCATCAGACTTGGCTAAGTATTCTAATGCAGTAATAGAAGTCCTCGCATATTGCTCGAGGACTCGTCCGAGGCCTCCAAGGAGTCCGACACATACGACCAGCGATGCGGTAAAGATCCACGGAACGATGATGGGTGTTTTGTGTGGCATAATATCGCGATCCAGAACTTGCTGAACTGTATCCAAGAGCAGACAAGCAGCATCAATGCAAGACTCTGTAAAGCGCATGCGTTTGTTAGACAAGCTTGATGTGCGTGGACTTGCGGTATTTGGCCTGTCGGCTCCTTCTTTCAAAGCTCTGTACACATCGAACATGAGGAAGGGACGCGTAATAAGCATGATCGCGTAGTAGTATGTCGACAAGGTCTGACATGCACTCACGATGATCCCCTGATCTGTTGTGGATTGGAGCGTCTGCTGGAGATATGGCAATCTCCTACTAGCCCAGTCTTTCAGCTGCTCAGAGATCTTCTCGGCTATCGAAAGAGAGATTTTACGTTCACAGTATACTGCCTGAACGATATGTTCGATGATAAGCATTGCTTGGAGCAAGCCATCCACGCTGCTTCCAGGTTTTCCTGGGTCATCCTGTCTGTATGGCACGGTGCAATCTGCATCGGTGATAGCGGGTGGTCGAGCGAGTGACACACTGAGAAACAAGTCCATAACCTTCAGGCTTTTGTAAAGACGATGGCGTTGCTCCTGCGAAGCTGGTCCATAGTAGGCGTTCACTTCCGCCCTATGAAGACCAATTGAGTATGTCGCGCGGGCAGCAAGACCAAAATACATGAAGGCTCCATTCGCCTGGCAAGCTCTTACCATAAAGACAGAGACCAGGAGAAACGCTTGGACAGTAGAGATCTCGACGTCTGCAGCAAGATGGAGTAGCGCGATCTTACGTCCCTTATGGAAGAAGTGTCCAGCTAAGACGTCATCATCATTTTGCAATCCTATCGCCAGGACAAGGTATTTCACTGCCGAGCCAGCGGAGTCATCGTTATGCCATGCATTCATCTCAGAGAGAAACGATTCATCGAAGAGATCAACAATGCCGAACGTCGCCCGGAAGAAGTTGTCGCACGCTTTTTGGACCAGAGCCGGTGTCAGGCCCGTTTGGCAAGCTGAGTCTCGGACCTCGACCTGCTCGAGAACAGGATCTCGCTCTTGAGAAGCTGTAGTCTCTAGCTCGACACAGGTTGAGATGAGCTTTCGAACAGTCTGCAAGAAAGAGAGCGGCGCACAATCGCCGACGAAGACGAGTTTGCCCTGCGTATCTCGAAGAAGTCGGCCCTCCCGAGGGATAGCCGTTTCTTCTTCATCGCCAGGGGAGCTATGTCGGTGCAAGCTAGGCGTGACGGTGTGCTGAGGTCCTGCTGGGCCTGCGAGCATGGCATGTTCTGTAGCCACAGAACTGACCAAATTCGGGACAGCTTGCTGCGTTCTGGAGGCTGCCCGAAGCGACTCCCTCAGTTTACGACGATTGGGTATAGTATACTGGCACCCATCAGGCCGTTGTTTCGCGCATCGAGCGCAAGGGTATCCGCCATTACACTTGACTGGTAGTGTCAATCCTCGATTACTCACTTTGGGGAGTTCGTCAGTAAGCTGTATCATCCTTACCTTTTCTGATCTTGCACTGATCGCACGCACTATCTACACGAGGCCGCGTTTCGGATCTGGCTAATTGTGTGTCCGCCATGAGGTTTGGGCCGGCTTGCCCAGGAGAGTGGAAAGGATGAAGATGAGCGGAAGTCGGAAGAGAGGAGATTTCAACGTGAAGATATCTTCCCTCGTTCTTGGCAATCTTATATGGGGCCTACACGTGATGATATGCGCGAGTTCATGACCTGGTTGAGCTATGAATCGCCTCTCAAGGAAAGGATTGTATAAATTGCTCACAATCATTGATAAAAATAAATGTACCAAAGTATGTTCTGTACTATTACTCAGGCAACATTCCGCCTTGCAAGGAGGTAGATATCTGCCAAGGTTTTAAAGTTATTATGTCTTTCTCACTCGTTTCGGCCGAGCTGATCTCGGATCTGCCAGAGATACCTGCGCTACTAGATATCTTCCATTCATCGTACATACATGGTCATCTGTCATAGATCTCACTATCGCCGACGAGGCATTGCGTCAAGTGATGCGCATGCAGGTCAATGCATAGAGTGGAGACGAGCCATGCCAGATTCCCAGCAGCTCCGATGATAACAAAGCATATCTCACTTCCGAGATCCCATGCCTGTATCCACACGACGACTTTATTTCACGCGAGGCCAGTGAGCCATGGATGCTTGTCATGTCTCCATAGGCGAGGGACTAAAAGTTATTATACTGTGCCTCGTACAATAGACACGTATTATCTTGTGTGAAAGACTCCTATCTGTGAAACTCTTTCTAATCACTATCTTCCATATCTACCACTCCAAGCTTAGTTTGCATATTCCAACATATACATCAAGATGGGCGTCCATGTATTCCCTTCTTCGACGACACAGACACATACAATCCCGTGTTTTGCAGACCTGTCCAAATATGCAGTGACAGAGAATGGTTTTCTGCCAGCCGATCTCCCCCTACGACGTCTACCCAGGTACTACGAGCCATGGGAAGCAATCATCACCAAACTAAGCAAACTCCTGGCACACGACTTGCTACATGATGAAATCCGGCATCTCCCAATTCTATCCGTACACAAGCTACAAACCGTCGCAGAATGGAGAAGAGCATATGTCATCCTCGCATTCTTCACACACGGCTACATCTGGGGAGGTCCAAAGCCGTCAGAGGTCCGCAGACCCCTCCAGCACCCCTTCAAACAGTAACTCTAATACATCCTCGATAGATTCTCCCTCCACAAGTCGCAGTCCCCTTCGCCGCCATATCACAGCACCTCGAACTCCCACCCGTCGCCACATACGCCGCCCTAAATCTCTGGAACTTCACCTCCGCGTCCCCAGACTTCAGTACCCTCGACGCCCTCCAATCTCTACACACCATGACCGGCACCCTGGACGAGGCATGGTTCTACCTCGTCTCCGTCGCCGTCGAAGCCCAAGGCGCCCCCGCCATCCAAATCCTCCTCCGCGCCATGGAAAGCGCCGAAGCGCAAGACTACACAGGAGCCACACAACGTCTCGAAGAGATCGTCCCGCATATCCACCGCCTCGGCAAGGTCCTCATGCGTATGTCCGAGAAGTGCGACCCGGACGTCTTCTACGACGACATCCGCCCGTTTCTCGCCGGGAGCAAGAATATGGCATCGGCGGGACTGCCGAATGGCGTGTTCTACGATTATGGGGATGGCAGGGGCGAGTGGATGCAGGTGCGTGGCGGGAGTAATGCACAGAGCTCGCTGATACAGTTCCTCGACTTGGCACTGGGGGTGCGGCATGAGTCGAATGGCGAAGTGAAGGCCGTAGGTACGGGTCCGGTACGGTCGTTTCATGAGGAGATGCGAGACTATATGCCCGGCCCACACCGTCGATTTCTGGAGGATGTGTCTGCGGCGTCGAAGATCCAGGAGTTTGCGCTTCGGCCCGGGCACGCTGTGCAGCAGACGCGGCTTCGAGATGCGTATCAGGCGGCGCTGCAGGCGTTGAGTGATTTTAGGGGCTTGCACCTTCAGATCGTGACGAAGTACATCATCATACCCTCGAGGCGATCGAAACAGACACTGAGGACGAACTTGGCGTCTATGTCGAGTGATGTTGCGAAACAGAAGGATGGTGCTCTTACTGGGACAGGGGGTACGGATTTAATGCCATTTTTGAAGCAGACAAGGCAGGAGACGGAGGATGCTGGCAAGACGGTGTTGCATTAGCGATTCTATATTGTGTAGATACAAATCATGCATCCATACAGATGACCAATTGAGCGTGTAATGGAGAGCATTATCGTGTACCTTGGGCTCCTTCCAAAGAATGCTGATAGTCTTGGCCTCAGGGGCCAAGGCTCCTATCAATCTGTCTCCACAACTTGATGCCAACAACCAACTCTAGCCCAAAGATAACGCAATGACAGCATATGAATCCCGCAATGCAATAAATGAGGCTAGTATTGCCACATCAACCAACATGGAAGCCCGGCAGGCGTTTCATGAGAAACGACGAGCCACGCGCCCCATCTTTTCTCGGCGCACTAGACTGTTCGGAACACGAGTCAGTTACTCTGACTTCCGCTCCGAGCTCCATCCTAAACACCAAGCAATTCTAGGTATCGAGTATCCACAGGGTCCGTCCATGACGACGTCCACCTCGCCGCCCTCGAGGGCATAAAGTAGAACGACAATATCCCACTACTACTCACAATCCATCCACACAGACACACACACATAGACGTTCACACACAAAATTCCATTACAATCGACCCCTTTCCCAGCGATGGAGACCTCCAACTTCACCACCGCCCTCCTCCAGGGTCACTCTATCACCTTCCCCGAATCCGCAAACACACGCGAATACGCCGCCTCACTCGACGCACAAGATCCCCTCGCCGCCCTGCGCGCCGATTTCATCATCCCTACCAAAGCAAGCCTGGCCGCGAAATCCATCCCTGTCGCTACATCCACGCTCCAAACCACCACACTCCGCAACGACAGCGCGCAAGACCTCACCACCACCACCACCACCACCACCACCACCACAAACAATGCCGACGCCACCACCGCCGAAGACAACGAGCCCGCCGTATATTTCTGCGGCAACTCCCTCGGATGCCAGCCCAAAGCCGTACGCACCTACCTCGCCGCCCACCTCGACACATGGGCCTCCGTCGGCGTCCAAGGCCACCACCACGGTCTCACCGCATCACCACTCCCAGCATGGCAAGACCTAGCCGCACAAGCATCTAGCCAAAGCGCCGCCATCGTCGGCGCCCAGCCGGACGAAGTAATCATCATGAACACCCTCACCATCAACCTGCACCTCATGCTCGCCAGCTTCTACACGCCCACGGCCCAGCGACACAAGATCATCTGCGAATGGAAGCCGTTCCCAAGCGACTACTACGCCGTGGAATCGCAGCTGCGACTGCACGGGCGCGACCCGGCGGCTTCGCTGGTGCTCGTGCAACCGGATGCCAATGCGCTGATTCCGACGGCCAAGATCCTGGCTGCTATCGACGAGCATGCGGATGATGCGGCGCTGCTGCTGCTGCCGGGCATTCAGTATTACTCTGGCCAGCTGTTTGATATACCGCGCATCACGGCGTATGCGCAGGCGCGTGGGATTATGGTGGGATGGGACCTGGCGCATGCGGCGGGGAATGTGCCATTGAAGCTGCATGACTGGAATGTGGATTTTGCGGTGTGGTGTACGTACAAGTACCTGAATGCTGGGCCGGGGAGTATTGGGGGGTGTTTCGTGCATGAGAAACATGGCGCGGTGACGTACTCTGATGGTGTGGACTCGGTGCCGATGTTCAGGCCGCGGTTGACGGGGTGGTATGGGCATGACAAGGACACGCGGTTTTTGATGGACAACAAGTTCAGGCCGACGCCAGGCGCGGCTGGGTTCCAGTGCTCGAATCCAAGTGTGGTGGATCTGGCGTCTCTCTCCGGGGCGTTGAGCGTGTTCAACAAGACTGATATGGCAAGTCTGCGAGCGAAGAGTCTGTTGTTAACAAGCTATGCGGAGTTCCTTTTGGATGGTATCCTGGAGAGGTATGAGGGTGCATTTACGGTATTGACGCCACGGAATGTGGCAGAGAGAGGCGCGCAGCTGAGTGTACTGCTCAGGGATGGACTGCTGGAGAAGGCTGGTGATTTCTTTAAGAATGCTGGTGTGGTATGCGATCAGAGGAAGCCTGGCGTGATCAGAGTGGCTCCTGTACCGATATATAACAACTTCACGGACGTCTGGAAGTTCATGGAGGTGTTGGAGAAGGCAATTAGCTCGTAGTCACTGGCGTAATCTTCATCTGTATATATTGTTAGCATAGCGAACATGTTGTTGCCACATACTGTCTGACACTCGGAGAACTTCTTGGCATTTGTTCGCCATTGGATTCCGCCTCGTGTGGTCCGGCACAGATAATTCGTACAACGCCAGAGCATCCATACATGCCTTGATGACTCCGGATGAGCGAGCATAGTATATCATGCACCCCTAGTGCTCTCAAGAAATGCAAACGAACATGATATTAGTATTACTATACCTATGTAACTGAAACATCAAAACCAGACGTGCTCTTGATCCACATTGTCATATCATTCCCACAACCGCTCTTCCTCGCTGCCCTCTTACAACAATCCAGCAAGCCCCATCAGCACACCAAACACAGCACCAACAGGCACCGCAACCACACCAGCAGCACCCTGACTATTCGTCTCCTGCGCTCCACTACCAGTCTCAGAGGGCTGCTCGTCAGTCGTGCTAGTCGCAGCAGAAGGCGTCGGTGTCGAGCTGGCTGGAGCCACCGTGGAGGAGGGTTGGTATGCGCTATTGGACCCGTTAGCATCGTGCATCGTCGAATCGCCGGAAGGAGAGAAGTCATACCTAGCAGCAGCACAGAACTGCGTAACCTGGTTCTGCACACTGGGCTTGCGTGCGTCGTTGGGGCAGTTGTCGTAGCACCTATATGCACGCCACGTATCAGCACGAGGTCTGAGCGGTGAGAGAATGGCGGATTGTGTGATATGTGGCACAGCGCCCCGGTCCTCCTCTTACACATGCATGCATGCCAATCCTGCCACAAGAGTCCACGAATTCCTTCATTGATGGTCCAAGTAGGACGGGCGGAGAATACTCACGTCAACAGCTGCTGGTAGGTATCGCACTGGCACCTCCAGTCCTGACTGTCGCATGCATCGATGCGAATTTGCACACTGGGCAGACACGCCTCGACGATGTTCTCAGCTTCGCAGTTGGCGTCTTGTGCGGCGACGAAGGATGCAGCAGAAGCCACAAGGGCGGCGACGAAGAACTGGGTGCGCATGATTGTGATGAAAGGTAGGATTACTGCAGGTATCTCGACGTTGATAGACTAGGAAGTAGTAGCGAGTGTATGGTCAAAGGCCCAGAAACGAGTGATGGGCACGTCGGAGGATAATCAGAAGTGAAAGTTGCGAAAAAGTTTGGATGGCGTGAAAGTGAGATGGTGGATCGGCTCGGGGGAGATGGATGGCGCGTCGAGGATATATAGGAGAAGTCCGTAGCCTCATGCTTGGCGTGATTTGCGGGACCCTTGTTGTCATTCACGGGCAAAAGCAGCCGCAACCAATCAGCGCGCTTCGGACGCATCCGCAGATCCACTTGCCAATCACTTCGATTGGACCCGCCCTAGATCTCATCACGAAGCACCAATATCAATGTGTGATGGTGCGAGGCTGGATCGAGCTGGGTATGAGTTGTTCTATTCGTGTGAGGTCGTGCAACGAGGTGGTATTACTATCCTACTGCTATTGAACTGACGAACAACGAGATGCATACGGAGAAGCCTACTGCATGAAACGAGCAGAACTGGGAAATGTCCGTATGCCGTCCACTTCACATGCATCGTGATAATGCCCAAAGGAAATGACCCTATACATGGCTACATAGCTACATGACTACACGTACTCGTCATACGGGTACACTGCACTGTCATACCCGCTTTTGAACCACTACAGCAACGCATCTTGCCGCACAAGCTGCGACACTATCTTCAATGTGGTCGAGGTTCTTCAATGTATGTGTGTATCATGGACGTATGCTGGTGACTCTAATTGGTGCTAGACTTCACGTTCCTTCATCAAACTTCCAGGGCGACTAAGCGAGATGAAACTGCCAGCCCTGTGCACGAATTGTCCGTTCGCTAGTCTTCATTGGGACGTAGGCTTTTACCACTAATTATCACTGGAACATCTTACTACAACAATAGCAACGTGAACACGCACATTTTGCAGCAAAAAGCCTGCATGAAGCTTCATTCACATGATATGATACTGGGCGTGTGAACTATGCACAACATGATACACACTTTCCATCTTCTTGCCGTCCAAACCACACTTCAAAACCATATAAACACCATGCTAACTATAACAACCACCCATGGCTCCTTTAGTAAGACTCGTCAGAGAACAAAGCGGGAGAAAACTAATCGGCAACACATGCGGCTGTCTCGTATCATGGAACCTTCCGTGGCCGGCCTCTCTTCTTTGCTGGCGCTGGGGCAGAAATCTCTTCAGAATCCTCCGATTCTGAGTCAGCTCTGAGATTCGATACAGCTGCTCCAGCCTTTGCTATTGGTAGCGTCTTCGTCTTGCTCGATCTGCCTACAATCTTGACGTTCTTGTTCTTCATCTTGTCGAAAATGGACCGACGCTCTTGCGGGGATTCAGATGGCTTTGTGTTGACAGGCGTGAACCCTATCGTGACCGGTATCACGGGCGCCGTGGGTGTCTTTGGTTGCGGTGACAGCCTGGCAACCAGTTCCCCCTCTGACGACGATGTGTTCGAATCATCGTCCGGGATGGTGATCGGGACGTCCTCATCGGCCATACCTGCTGCCATCATCTTTGCCTTACGATTTGCTTCATCCATCTGTGCTGCTGCCTCTCTGGCAGCTTTTGCTTGCGCCTCGAGATGTGCCTTGCTCGGGAGACTTGGTCGTGCGAACTTTCCATTGTTCTGCTTTGAGGGCGGCGGTCGAATCTGAGCCGTGGACCCACTTACTTGGCCAGTCGTGTGACGCCGATTGACAGTACCATCTTTGAAGTCATCCGGAAGCTGGACAAGTTCCTCTTCATCCATTACGCGGCGCCTTTGAGCGCGCGGAGCATACTCTTCTTCAGACACCTCTCCATCAGAAGGGATATCGATTTCTTCAAGAGTCCTAGCCTGGTAGCCGCCCTTTTTTTGCGACGGCTCTGACCACCGTTTCCGAGTGGTATAGGTGTCGTCTTTTTCACCACGAACACGAACTAGTGCTGAGACTGGCTTTGCTGGGCCACCATTCGAAGCTTTGTCTCCCGATTTGGGACTGGGTTTGTTGACATCAGATTGTAGAATTACCCCATTCGTAGATGTCTGGCGAGAAGCGCCGTTGTTGATTTGCCGACGTCTGATCGGAAGACCACCAGCAGGAGGACGAGACGTGATCTCGACTAGCTTGTGCGAGTCGATGTCTAGCTTAACAAGCAGTTTCTTAGCTCTCATAGCACCCCAAACTATGATATAGCGGTCTTCCTCGCGAGCTTGCGCAAGTAATTTTTGTTCTTGCTGTCTACGGAACTCCTTGGTTGCATCGGTAGCTGCACTGACTGGTCCCGAGGCTTCTTGCTCGGGCTCTTCGTTTGCATTCTTCTTCTGTCTCTTCGGGGCCTTTGTTTTCAGCTGGATTTGGATTTGTTCGCCGCGTTTCCGTTTTTTCTTGTTGGAATCACCAGCATCGTGGTAAGAGGTGAGTCCATCGTCAAATCCATTGGCATTTTCGACTTCGAGCTCGCTGTTAAGATCCTCGTTGTTGTTGGTACTACTTTTACTAATACCTGTACCACCAAGTGCTGGATCAATCATGGTGTCATCAATGCCCCCATTGATACTCGTTGTTTCGTGAACAGGGGAGAAGCGAATGCCGTGCTCGTCTTCAAAATGTGGGTCTAAAGTCGAGTCTTGCTGCTTAGCACGTTCTGCTGCTGCTTGCAGAGCTATGAGTCGTGAGCTAGCACGTGGATCTCCCTCTTCGTTCGTCCAGTGCAGGTTTGAGATGCCATAGTTGAAAAGAGCCTCGATACTGCGCACATCGGCGACCTTCCTGGTGTCATGACCTAGTAAAGTCCCCTTTGGCTCGAATGGTCGTTGCCTTGGGTCTGCCCGGCATCGTCCAGTATTGCATTGTCGGCGACAATGTGGGCATTTCCAGTGGAGGTCCTCCATAACAGTCTGTGGTAGCAGGTCTTGAGCGCGGTAGAGACTGCCGTAGCAATACCATAGGTCACAAAATTGACAGTTGGCCATCTTCCATTTGGGATGCTTATGGAGGCAAACGTGACAAGCTTTGTGATTGGCATCGTGATTTTTGCTTTGCTTTTTTGGTGTCTTCTTTAGTGTCCCGTCTTCGTTGAACCGGCTTTCGTCTTCCTCATTCTCTTCCTGCTGTTGGGGATTCTGGATATCTACCCATGGTCTAATGCGTAACTGTTCTTGACATATCTGTGCAAGAGTTTTCTTGCCGTAGTACCTCCTTTCTTCACTGATTTGCTGGGGAGTCTTTTCAGTAACACCTCCGTCAATGTCAATGATGATACGGCGCCATTCCTCGTATTTGTAGAGTAGGTCTTTCCACCTCCACTGCTCACACCATTTCAAGTCGGAAGTGCAAGCACAGCTTCTACCCATGACATAGCAATCCATGCAAACATCGTAAGGTTCGTCAACATCGGTGCCAAGTGCCCTTGGACAGGCCTTGCACGTCAGGAAGCGGTTGAAAATGTTACCACGGCAGTACGCGCACGTAACATTCGAGTCGAATGGTAGAAATTCCGGGTGTTCCTTTGCGCCATCCACTGCGAACATCTCCGAGAGTACGATGTTCTTGTAGAGGTCAAACAGTCGTTTGAAGTCCTTGTTCAGTTGTCGTATCTTGATGTTGCTGGAATAGGCGTACGCATTCTCCGGATTTGCTTCGCACATAAGCTTGACATTTTTCAGAATGGTGCCGTACTTTGTGAGGGTGTAGTAGATGATTGCTTTGTTCTTGTACTGCTCGTCACGACAAACCATCCGCGCATTCGGTATGGCCTCGTTGATTGCCATCTCCAAGGTTTCCACTGTGGTCCGATTCCAAGCAACTTTCATAGTCCGAGTCCCTCGATTCCATACCTGATGTGGCGCGAGTGGTGGAATCAATATGAAGTCACCGGGTCTTTGTTCCACCACGTAAGTCCTGAAGGGCGCCGAAACCCAAGCCATGATCTGCGCAAAGTGATTTTCCACTTCAATGTCGTGTCCGAGAATCGACAACCAATACTCCTGGACGAGGTGTCTGTCTTTAGTCTCAGTCATGAACCAGAGTGACGAGCCCGGTCTTTCAGGCTTTCCATCTTCTCCAACAGCAGTGGACGCGTCGACCATGATGTTCTGACCAAGTGAAGCACACATCTCTTTATGCGAAGGCGTGTAGGTCCCCTCGTGCCCGATATAGCACATGAGATTCTCGGCCCTCATGTCGGCTGGGAGGCTACTCATGAGGTCGCCTGCTCTTCCATATCCACGGTTCCGACGGCCGCTGGCTGCAATAATGGGTTCATCAACAGCACCGACTCCGCCAAATGCACCAGTACTCTCATTCAAATAAAATACACCGGCAGGAATTTGCTCTTTAAGCTTGTCATGCCATACCGGTGGACAATCGATGTCCTTGAGATACATTCGCTGTCTATTCTTGTCTTTGTAGTTACTCGATTTCTGGAAGAACTGCTCAGTGAGCGAGCCCATATTATTCAAATAGTGGCGGATCGTGAGAGGAAGATTCTGTTGGTTGGTCAGGTTGCGCGCGTTCTCGACTACGTTCACAGTCAGTGTAAGCTCATCGAGCGAGTTCCATTTCTTCGAGCTCACCTTTACCGCCATGGTTGTCAATCAGCCATTTGGGCGTGAACGTCCACGGATCTAGGAGATCCTCGAACCCATCAACCACAAGCGGCTTTCCTCCGATGATAACGTGGAGGAGAACGAGCTTCTCGAAGGCATCCACACCTTGCTGCTCAATCATCTCACACGAGATGCGGTCAACATATTGGAAGTTGTCGGTGGACTCCACAAGCTCTCTCACGTCGAAGTCTGGTGGAATAGGCTCGAAAGTTGCCTGAGGGCGTTTGGCAGGCATTGTGTGTAACGGCGTCGTCGCATAACGCAACACCAGTGACTTTGTATGCGCGCCTTGGGTGAAAGCGAGCACAGATATATGAAGAGATCAGTGCTGCGGAAAGTGTTCTGAGATAGAGAGTGGCGCAAGTATCAAAGGTATCTGAGTAGTGAGTGGTGAAAGCAGAGCGGAGCGGAGCTTCGGTCGCGTTCTCACTTGCACCAGCCAATCAACGAGAACAAGGATAGTGACCAGCGGAAAAAACACGATCACGTGTCGACGCGTTAACATTCCCCTTCGTCTCTAATTCACTTCACTTTGATTTCATAATGGCGAGCGTACTTTGGGTAAGACTTGCACCCGAAGCATGTCTGCGATCAACGCCGCGAAACACTTTTCACTGCCGGAAATTCCGCTCCTTTCGCCGCCTCATCTCATTCACTAGATCCTCTCACACTCATCAAGTAGCGAAACAATCATGGCATACGAGACGACCACATACGATCACGCTGGGTTCTCCGCCGCTCGCTCGACTTCAGTCGCATACAATAGTAGACACTTCGTCATCTATTCTACCTAACAGAGCAGCAACACAGGCGCAACTTCAGCCTTACCAGCGTCCAACTGCTGGACTCTTATCATATCTGCCAGATGCCGTCGTACCATATGCAGAACTTGTTCGTCTCGACAAGCCTACTGGTACATACTACCTTTTCTTTCCATGCCTCTTTAGTACGCTTCTAGCTGCGCCGATGGCTATACCAATGGCAACACCGCTTGCCATCGCAGGATACACGAGCTTGTTCTTGACTGGAGCGCTGGTCATGCGAGGAGCTGGATGCACCATCAACGACCTCTGGGATCGTAATCTTGATCCTCATGTCACTCGTACGCGGCTTCGACCAATCGCTCGAGGGGCAGTGAAGCCTGAATCAGCAATCATTTTCACTGGAGCACAGTTACTTGTTGGCCTTACGGTCCTGCTTCAGTTCCCTACTCAGTGCCTCTACTATGGGGTCCCATCATTACTCTTGGTAGCAACATATCCGCTGGCCAAGCGTGTCACGCACTATCCCCAAGCCGTACTCGGCTTGACCTTCTCCTGGGGCGCTTTCATGGGCTTTCCAGCCCTCGGCGTAGATCTTTTTTCTAACCAGGATGCACTTACAGCTGCTGCATGCCTATACGCAAGTAACATTGCTTGGACTGTGTTGTATGACATGATATACGCCCACATGGACATCAAAGACGACGTCAAAGCCGGTATTAAGAGTATAGCGCTGCGACATGAGAAAGAAACCAAAGCTGTGCTGACTGGGCTGGCTGTTGTGCAGATTGGACTCCTTGCTGTCGCTGGAGCTGCTGCAGGTGCTGGGCCTGTCTTTTTTGTCGGTAGCTGTGGGTTTGGTGCAATCAGCCTGGTGTCCATGATCTACAAGGTGAACCTGAAGAGCGTGACGAACTGCTGGTGGTGGTTCAAGAATGGCTGCTGGATTACCGGTGGCTTCATTGCTACAGGACTCCTTGGAGATTATGCTGTTCGCCTAGCCGCGTCGGAAAAGACAGACGAGGATAACGGCTCATAGCAATATTATACACCCGTATTTGCGAGTCTGAATGTAAAATATTGTTGTATGGCGCATCATACCAAGCGAATCAAAACTCGAACCGTGTTGGGTCCATAAAAGCAGCAAGTCTCCGTGCCAAAGACTATAACCTTGAGAATTGTGGTTTTCTTCGATATGTGTTGACATATCTCCTGTGCCGCGACTTGTCGAACATAGTCCTTGGTCACAGGAGTATTTCGGAGAAAGGCTTCGAGTACAAGTAAAAAGAGTGTCATCTGCACACTGGCTGCGTTGAAACAGCTGCGGTCGATAAATTCGAATCAGATGCGATCTATGCCACATGAATTATCTCAAGACTTGTTTGCTTCGGTTATTACAACGTAACTAGCGTACTTGTGCATTGAACACTTCGAGCTGGTCCTCATGGCCACTTTGAACGGCGCATCCTTGAGCACCTTCGAAACCTGAACATGTGTTTCCGCTGATGAGCCACCTCCCCATTCACGCACTCAAAATGGAGCCACGAGGTAGGTCAACAATCCCTTTGTACGAAGAAGGATTTGTGATGCTGGCACCAAGCAGGCATACTGATGCACTCTGGTGGCGTGTATCGGTGGTTCTTTATGCAACCTCTATCTGGTCCTTCAGTACACTTTTACAAGTTCACCCACAGCAGCGTTCCTCCAACGACCTGCGACTCTAAGCTCAACATTTTCCGCCTCTTTAATAGCGATTTGTCCAATTGACTCCTACCACCAAGTATCCGCCTGCGTCAAGATGGCTTGTCAACGTAGAAAGAGGGTGTCTAGTACGCGGGTCTTTATTGAGCCTTCATTACTCAAGCTACTCGAATGGAAAAGCCTGATCTTGGCGACTTACCCCAGATTTGCGGATTCAAAACATAGCTGAAGGTTTTCGCGAATGCCATTCACCTGATAATGATGTCGCACAACGTTTACAAGGAGCATAGCATTAAAGGATCGAAGGATTCCGTACTGCCTAGAAACCTTGTTTAATAGGTATATCCCGTTGGTGGCGCATCATGACTCGTCCTCCAAGTCACAAAACTGAGGATTTGGAAAGACGGTCAAGATGGAGTAGAAGAGGCGTCGCTGCTCAAAACCGATTTCCTCGGACTGAAGCTCACCTTGGAGAGAGTGGAATAATCCTGGTTGATAGATCCATGGCCAAAAGTCGCCAAATCCAAGCCGCATAATATTCATAAAGAATGGAAGGAGCATATGCACTAGAAGAAGCGAGAGCTTGCAAGGCATACTCCTCGGAATATCGAAGTGGCATCTCTACCAGGAATCTGCGGACAACTATGGGATTTTCAAATGTGATGGTCACCATCGCAGACCCCACTGCATGACAGTGATGCCATAGTTAATTACGAGCATACATAGACATTCTGGACGCTATTCAAGTCTTCAGGACCGGGCCAATGCTGCTCATGCGTGCGTTTCACGCCTTCGGTTACGAGCGCCTTGGGGTCAGACGCATGGATCCAGGTAATCTACAAGCCTAGGCTGATCATTTCCACCTGGGGTCAACGAGAATGTCTACACGACTCTCCATCATGTCCATAACATCCAAGAAGCCTTTGCGGCGAACTAGCCAGGCATGACAGACCGAATGTGACACAACTAGCCATGTCATGAAATACTCTACCTAATGCGCGAGCGGCCCGCCGAACTATACCCACGTCTGATCCCGATGCACCGTCTGGAAGCATCACAGGAGCAGGCCAATAACAATTTGGGTGGAGTTAGTTATGACGTTGGGTGATTTGTCCACCGGCATACTACTGTCACGTCTGCATGTGTAAGGAGAAAGTGATATCCACATGAGGGAAGCTTTGCAGTTATTCTCCACTTGCGTCACGCTTACACTACAGATTTTTGCAGTCTCTCAGCACTAGGATCCAAGGGCTGTCGTCCGGATGAAATGCTGCTGGGGTTGGACAAGGCTGTCCATCACCCGGAATCTACTCCAGATGTTGTGTTTATACCCACGCCAAGAGCCTCTCTCATTCCCGGATACGAAAACAACACAGCCCATGAACGGCAGCACACGGAGACGATCAGGTCTCGATAAATCGCTCGAATGACATCAGAGTGCAACGCCAACGCGGGCGATTCTGTCTCAAAAGCCAGTAGAGTGCAGATGTCAGCCCATGAACCCGCTCGCCTGCTGATGGTGCAAATGGTAGTGACTAACCGAAGCAGGCATCAAGGCATCGCACGAATTACAACTATCACAAGCCATCGATCCTAGCAGACGACAGCTTCTTACGCTCCACCATTGCAGATAATGCATTGGCTGTCCGATGCTTTACCTTGCTATCGCGCAATTTCTGGTGCCCCGCTACCCCTCCTTTTTGATGTTTCGTTGTTACCGGCGTCGGCTTCGATCAATTCACTCAACAACCAGGGAGGGACTGCTTAGGGGTCTATATAAACACGACCATTCTAGGCAATGTCGTCGACTCCAGCACTTCACCCCTTTTCCTCCGAAGCATTCTCCTATCATCGACACTTGTCCAATTGGATACCTAAATTCTCAAACTTTGTTCTATTCGTACAAAAATCTCCAATTAAACAACCACTCATCGGTACAAAACTCCAACAATCAGCTTGCTGTTTATACTGTCCATTGCGTGACTTGCCCAAAGGTTTAAAAAAAGTGTGAACACTTGAGCCCACAGCACCAAAGCCGAACGGAATTCAACAACGCCATCCGCCACAAAGCAACAAAAGTCCATAGCACCAACAAACACGCCTCGTCCTCGCGTCCAGGGATACCTGCCACAGCACCAAAACAAGCCATAGCACCAATCACCATCAAGCCCAAACGCAACACCCACCAACCGCAGCCATGGCCGTGACCACCAAAACAGGCATGGCCTTCCTAGACCAAGTATACGCCATGAACAACGTCGACGACTGCCGCTCCATCTACGACAAATGGGCGTCCGACTACGACGCCGATGTTAACTCTGAAACCCAGAACTACGTCGCCCCGCTGCTCTGCGCCCAGGCCGTCCTCGCCGCCTCCTCCGCCGACACCCTCGCCTCCGCCACCATCCTCGACGCCGGCACCGGCACCGGCCTCACGGGCGTCGCCCTCGCCGGCCTCGGCGCCCGCCTCATCGACGGCATCGACCTGAGCCAAGGCATGCTCAACATCGCGCGCAAGACGGGCAAGTTCCGCAACCTCGACGTTGCAGATCTCAGCGGGCCGCTGGCCATCAAGAGCGAGACGTATGACGTTGTGACGTGCACGGGCACGTTCACGCACGGCCATGTCGGGCCGGATCCGGCGATGGCGGAGTTTGTGCGTGTGTTGAAGAGCGGCGGCGGGTTGTTTGTTGCGAGTGTGCTGGATGATATCTGGGTTAGTGGTGGGTATGAGAGGGTTGTGCGGGGGCTGGAGAGGGAGGGTAGGGTTGAGGTTGTTAGTACGGAGAAGATTGACTATCGCAAGGCGCAGGGTGTCAAGGCGGTCTTGCTTGTTGTGCGGAAGAAGTAGTGGCTGCTTCGTGGTTGTGTTCGTATACCATGGGGTGTCACGAAGAGCTCTGAGATGTTCTTTGCTGAGTCGGTGGACATGAGTTGTTCCTTTTATATACGTGTCACTAAGATAGAAAAATGTATCACATTGAATGACATTAGATTAAAGTATTTCACCCCCTCACGCAATAGATAAATATTGGTCTTACATCCGTAGTGATCGTCACCGTACGTTTAGCTGCTTGTCTTACGCTGAATTAGATTTTTACTAGCACTCCTTTAAACTGACTTGAGTAAGAGTATCCTTTTCTCTGGCATCGCTAGTGACCGCAACGATATGATTATGCGATGCCACTGTATGTCTGCTTCAGGAGGCATCCGTCCATATCGTGAGAACAGTCATTAGGTCAAGCTACAAGGACCTTGCGAACATCTAGCTCTCGGGATTGTACCTTCTAGATAGACTTGGATGACTTTCCGCGGCCATATCAGCTGGCAGCATATGCTTATCCCGTATAGATATGATCAGAAGGGAGACATAGAGTCGTCAAATATTACCAACTCCCATGCTGTCCATGTATTCCACCAGCACGCAATCAAGACCTTCCACAGTATACATAAGCTCCACCTGTAGATTTGGTCGAGACTCAATTCTATCATCAAAACGATAACCACGAGACCACATACGCACACATCCATATACACACCTACCTATCAGTACAAACACCACCACCTACCGCCCAACCCGCAACCCACACCTTCATCTCTCTTCCCACCCCCCTATGCCACCAAACTCACCTATGGGATCAACACATCAAAAACACCATTCGTTACCGCAACCTAAGTTTAAGTATGAGAATAGGATAGGACATACCGACACCCAGCTTGGTATCTTAGACTAGCCAGGATACCTATTCGTCGGCACTGTGGGGATGCTCGAAGAGCGAGATGTTGGGATACATCATAGATGGATGGCGTAAGTGGTGTTTGGGTGGGAATGCTGGGATTGTGGGGCTTGTATACGTGTTGCTTGTTGGGCGGTCTTGAGTCGTGATATGAGCCACGAGGGACGAGGAAGAAAAGTAACAGGAAAAGGACGGGGAATAGGATGAAGGAAGATAAGAAGGGGTAGATGACGACTACCACAGTTAGGGGTGTTATTTATGTAATATAATTTAGCGTTACAACAAGTCCAGCATACTTCGATGATTTCGCTATGGAGGTCCCATGCATACTAATCATCAATACGTGCACGCGCAGATGAATTCGGTGTCGATATCTCGTCTAGTCCTCGCAACACCAACGACGATAACATTGACAACAATCTCAATGACAACAACAAGTAGCAAACAGTCTTCTATCCCAAAATACCTCGCTATGTAGAATAGAAAGAGCACTTCAACGTCCCACCATAATCTGATAATCCCAATCATCGTCATCATCATAGTCATCATAATCATCCATTTTTTTGTAAAATCCCTAGTTCGTAGCCAAGTACCCAACGCCAACCGCAAGTGCAGCCGGTGGACCTAGCATCATGCGTGGATTCTTGAGCCCTCTGCATGCCAGACTCTCATCGTCGTCCGCATCGCCATCACCATCGCCAGTATCTCCATCGCCATCGTCAGACCCATCATCATCCTCATCAGCATCCAGAATCGTCCACTTCCCCCAATAACTCTCATCCACATTCACCCTCCCCAGCCCATCCAAATCCCAATTCCCCTTCGCAAAGCTCACGCTCTCATTCCCGACCTTGAACGCCCTTATCGTCAAGCCCATACCGCCCGTATCCGCCGAGTCCGCGCCCAGGGCAACCTTCTCACCCTCTGCGTCCGTGAAGCCGGTAACGTTCGCAACATCCAAATACGTGACGGGCGGGGGCAATTCTTCGATAAAGACGCCGTCGACAAGGAAGGAGTCGAGGTTTGCAAGCATGTTGAGGCCGAGCAAGGCTGGGCTGATGCCCTCGGCGCGCAGGTCGGAGATTGTGATGTTTGCGAGGGAACAGGATGTGTTTGCGGTGTCAGTGGCGTGGAGGTCGGAGTAAGCGGATGAGGAGCCTATGAGGGCGCGTGGCGCGTAGGCGAGGGAGGAGGAGTAGCGGGAGTGGATGACGGCGATGTGAGCGAGAGTGACATTTGAGACTGTGCGCGGGTACCAGCCGAGCTGGATCAAGGGGGCGTTGTTTGTTTTCCAGGCGACGATGCCAGTGGCGCGGACGTTGGAGTGGTAGACCTTGAGGGTGTCGTCGCCGGTATGGTAGAAGATGTCGTGGAGGTAGCTGCCGGGGTACATTTGCAGGCCGTCGGTCTGGGAGTAGAAGCCGCCGACTTGCTTGTAGTCTGCGACTTCGACGGTGAAGGATTCGGTTGCGTCGTAGAAGTCCATTGCGTTGAAGGGTGGGTTGGCGGTTGTGATGCCGTGGAGGAGCCATGACTGGCCTGCGGTGATACCGTTGCCACGCCACATTTTGATGGAGGTTGCATCGGATTTGTTGTTGGACCAGTTGGAGGCTGGGTTTGCTTGGTAGACGTATTGTTCGCCGGAGAGGACACCGAAGCCAGTGGCTTTGAGCGCAACGTCTGGCGCGTTGTATTGGATGGCGCCTTTGACGTATGATCCAGGGGCGAAGTATACCCATTCGACGGTGTGGGAAAGATTAGCGTATCCATCACCGTTGAAATAGTACACGCCAGGACCGAAGGATACAACCTTGTGTTCGATGGACTCAAGACCGTTGACCCATCCTGGTGTTGCGTTGTAGACGTCATCACTGTCTGCTGGTATCAGGTCATCGGTAGGAAAGGGGCTAGCGAAAATGAGGAGGGAGTTGCGAGGCTCTCTGCCAACGATCGGATTTGATGACGTGAAGGTCGAGACGAATGCCAATGCAGAAGATAGCAGGTTCTGAACATAGTCGTAGCCAGTATCTCCTTTGCGGTATTCCCACACATCGTCGGCAAACTCGATTGAAAAGCGAACACCATTCGTTTCAGGGGTATACGGCACAGTAACGTAGACAGATCCGTCATCGGTGGTGAGCTCGTAGGCTCGGTTACTCGGTCTTATGGTCACCTCGTCTGTAGAGTTGATGGGTGAGCCGTCTTTGCGTGTAACCTTGACCTTGACGTCGCTCCCGTAGAGAAATTGAGTCCAGCCCATGGTGATGCCAACCTCGGCCTCGATTGAGATGCCGTCATATTCTGGACATATGTCTTCGTAGTTTCCCGGATAACAGATCTGGCCTTTCCCGCTGCGAGGGATAGACTCATATACGAAGGAGTCGTAGTAGTCGTCAGCGTCAGCAGTGCTCACTTGTACCGAGTACAGATGAGATTGACGGACGTTCGAGTCAAGAACCACAGTCTTGGTGTTGACCTCGCCATTGTCATGCCACCATGTCTTCAGTGAGTCCGTATCAGAGGTCCGGTTTGTTGATGTATCTCGATGGGCGAACCGAAAGCTGGGCGAGTGAATGTTAGCGGCGACAGTGAGGGAGACAAGGCATGCCGCAGCTATGATCCGAGCAGTGATCATTGCGCCAACAATGATCGACGTCTGGCACGTCTAGGTTTCTGGGATGGATGAGCCAGAGTAAGTGACTGAAGGCCAGCAGCCTCAGATATATTATGCTGATGCGAGGCGCTGACTTGCCTGATGATATCGGGCATGGTGACGAAAAAGGATATGAAACAAGTGCACGCATACAGGGACTGCCAGTCACAAAACGTTTTTCACGATTCCTTGCGTCAAACAAACTGCAAGCAGTATTAGTGAACGCATTTCTTTGTGGTGACTTGGCAGCCCAGGGGCAGGACAGGGGGTATTGTTTGTTGTACATATATCAAAGGTGCATTCCCGCCACGGTTCCCCCCTAATTACTCGCGCGCGATAAGCCACCCGCGCCTCACTGGCCTGGTAGCTATTCGGGCGCCCAATTCTAAGTGGTAGGGCGCTATCCGGGGTGGGTACAGTCCCTATCCGGGGGGCATCATCCCTGTAAAGTGCCCTGAAGCCCCCGCCAGTCGTGGGGCGTCTACGTAGCAAAAATTGCGTGGCTTCGTGCTCTCTGATATCATTGAATCAAAATTCTCACCCATAGACCTATCGCATTCTTCCATCCATCTCTTTATTCCGAATATCTACCATTTTCTGCCCCGACGGCTATCGACAATGTATTGAGAGCAATTGTTTTGTGTTACCTCTCGAATGCTCGTGTCGTGGAATGTTTGCTTGTGCCGCTGCCTCGCAATCTCGTTTCGTTGCTCCAGCGGTAAAAAGGAGATTTGGCGACAGGGTCATGATACTTTGCCTTGTTCGATGTTGATAGCCTCTGTTGGATGCACGTGACACACATGATCCCTTTCTTATTTACTTTTTAAATTTGGTGCGACTGGTTTGCGACGAACCCTTGAGCAAAAACCCTGACGGTTTCCGGATGAACAACTCAGAGATTCAGCCCGTTCCTGACTATCGCAACTTCGCTCAGCTTCGGGCACAGAAATGTGCCGTGTTGCGTGAGAGTCACATTGTTCAACGCAGTCCAACTCAACCATTCTTTAGGCATGAAGAAGTGCCTAATGACCTCTGATGTTTTGCTTCCGATGCGCCAGGTGCACAACCAGCAATCTTGATCTATATATGTGAAGTGTTCCTTGAAAACACCAACAATGCGCCGCTTGTGAGTCATGATCACAGAGTCATCAGGGATGGTATGACCACTGCGTGATGGTCCTTTCGACAGTGTTGCGAGTAAGAGAGATTCCTTGGTTATCCCGCTGACAGTCGTAGAAACGAAATAGAGCACAGCGTTGAGACTGGGTACGAGTTCTGCCCATGTAACGTGTGCATCTTGCCCTACAGCTTCCATCTGACTGATACTAGGTACCACTGCCGTGTCAGCAGGCAGCTCATGAAGGCTCCCCCAATCATAAGCCGTGACACCGTCAGCTGCAATGCGAAGGAGTCTGGCTGATGGCTTCGACTCTAGTACCCATTTGTGGCCAGGTATATCGTCCCAGCGACGCGTGCAAAATTCATTCTTAGTTTTAAGGTCCCAAATGGCTACCCTACTCCGACTCGATACCAGGAGAAGCTTTCGATCCTCGTTGATGAGAAATTGCTGCACTGGCTCAGGTGAGCGGAAGTCCACGCCTCCAAAGACTCCCCATTTACCAGCCTCTTTCGTTTCGAGCCTCTTGCTGATAACTCGACCAGAGTCGTCTGCGGAAACCATATATCTACCAGAGCTCGACCATGCTACCAACTCGATGGAGCTAGATGAGTTATGTCTGTAGACCTTCCGGACCTTGGCCCCACTATGTGTGTCCATGATGATGACCGAGCCATCTTCTTGACCACAGCACAAGTAGTCATCAGAGGAGGAGCAAGCTATGGCAGTCACCATGTTCTGTTGATGATATCGCTGGTTCAAGACAGGTTCTGTTGAAGTAGAGCTTTCTCCGACACTAGAGCGGTCCTCCATATCATGCTGTTCTGCACGAACAAGAACCTCTGGCTCCCAGACGTTGCAAACAGAGCTACGAAGATCATAAATTCGTTGCGCATCGGGGCTGAACGCTATGTCCCGGATGATTTCATGTTCATTCTGAAGCTGGTACAGTAAATTCAGCCTTGGATATAGCCAGACGCTTATGGTACCAGCATAATCACTCGTGAGTAGAAAGTCGCCTTCTTTACTCAAGGCCATCTCTCTAGCATTAATATGATCGTACTCGACTTTATATTGTTCATATATGTGCCATTGGGTAATCTTCGTGTGATACGACATTACGAGAAGGGAGCCTCCATCTGCTTGCCAAATCATCTTCTCGGGATGACAGAAAGAATCGTTTGTGTTCGTGATGCGGCAGCTCAACGGGCGCGTACCTCCGACTGTCATGTCCCAGATGACTGGCGGCTGACCTCTGCAGGCCATAGCGACTTTGGTTAGATCGGGACTTATCTGCATGATCTGAGGCGCTGCATCTTCTGCTAGCCCTTTCTCTGGGATGAAACATGATGTTTCAACTTGTTTCTCTGCATCGTATGTTCGGACAGAACAGTCATCGTAGCCCACCATGACCTGAGTATCGGAATGCCCGAAACAGATCGTAACATGTAATGCATAAGTTGATTTTGGTATAGAGAAGACTTCTTCGCCAGTAGTTATGTCCCATATGCGATAACAATATAGCCCGGCCGTAACGAGAAGAGTCCCTGACTTGTTAATGGCCATGAGTCGCACGTACTCGCCATGGTCGATGCGTCTTTCCAGTTCACAGGTTTCGGCTCTCCAGATCAATGCTGTACCTGTCGTGCTTATGAGCGTGATAAAGTGGGTGTCGGTTGCCAAAATTCTCGATGCAGTGTCTTCCTCTGATACAGAGACGCTCGCTAGATTATCGTCCCATTCTTGCAAAACCAGACCCGCTACTGAGACTGAACCAGAAGTATGCCGATCAAAGGTAGTCCGGATCATTGAGCCTGTTGGGCAGAATGGAGGGACCAGTCGATGTATACTTGAAGGAGACTGAACCATGTTTAAGCCAAACTTTGCAGCCACGCGGATTAGATCTGTTGCCCAGGCTTTTATATAGCCAGCGTCATCCTCGGCCTTAGAAAAGAGATTCAATGGAGATTCTGATCGTAATCTTTCAGATCGCTTCGACACCTGCTTTGCGAATCTTTTGAGCTGCTGAGCCGCACGGGTCAGGTATCGTAAATTTTGAGACAACGCAATCCCTTCGATCCAAGAGAGACTATATGCATCCAAGAAGGTTCGAATGACTTTAATCAGTAGAACAGAGCTAGCCGGAGCTTTAGAGACGTGGTACGCCCAGTGACACGTGGCGTAGCCCAAGAAAGGGTTTCCCTTCTCAGCAATTAGAAGTCGATTCTCCTTCCTCTCGTGCTTATGGTAAGCACCATACCCATCTACCTTTTGGTAAATGCGGTGCCATTTTTCATCACAAAGATACTTCAACGCTCTTATTGCAATTAATTCATGACCATCCTTCGCGGACACAAACGCTGGATTTCCTCCCTGAGGCTTGAGTAGGAACTGCCGTGCGGTTGCGTGAACAATAGAGATCCTTCCGTGATCGACAGATACCAGATTTCCACATAGTTGAACTATGGAGTCTTCCAGCTTAGTGAAGCCTGAGAAATCTGGTTCTAAGGCTGTCTGTAGCTCATCGATTCCCAATGGTCTGGAAGAACAGACGACCCATGTGATGATACGGGTGGCCATAGCCTTCAGGTGTGGACTTTGGGAATTGACAGATTTCAACATTTCAAGATAAAGCTCTTCCATTCCCTTTGGTACTGCAGTGAAGATCTTTCGGATATCTTCCTGTGTATGCCAGTTATCTTGAAGCATGTCCAGAACGAGCTTCACATAGAGAAATGAACCTGATGCGCTGGCAACAACAATATCTGACACATTTCTTCTTATCTCGTCATCATCAGGAAGGAAATCTTGTATTTTCCAGTGAACGTATTTTCGGATATCTAGCTCCGTGTCGTTGTCTGATAAGGGATAATGAATGATAGGTACTCCATAAGCTGCCGTAGCGGAAGGAATCTTCATAGGTCTACTTGTGAGAAACAAAAGTATCGGGCTTGCGGGCCTACAGTCCAGCAAGGATCTTATTAGTAAAGCTGAAGAATCTGCTTCATTAATGGCATCAAGGACAAAGACCAAAGGTGTTGCAAACTCTATCTTGAATAGTATGCCCGTAAAGAGCTTCTCCCAAACCGCCGTAAAGTCATTGGTTTGCGAATTGAATAGAATTCCTGTACGTTCGTGAAGGCTAATAAGCCTATTCCGAAATGCTTCATTCTCCTGAGCGACTTGGAGAGCGATGGACCGGAGACAATAAGAAGAGCTTCGTTTGGACTGATGACCAGCCGTAAAGAAATGAAAGAAGCAAGGATAGCTTTGGATCCGGAAGTGGTCAATCACTGCGGCGGCTAGAATTGTTTTGCCTGTTGCTGGTGGCCCTGTCAGCCAGAATGCTCTAGTGATGTTGTTCCCGGTCATATCTGTGCTCCACTCTAAGAAGTGGCTATTATTGAAGATCCAGTCGCAACTGCCTTTCGTTGTTTTACTGCGTGCACTTTCAAAGCCCTCTTCAGGTGGTTGATGAATACCAAGAACGGTCTCAAGTGTTTCCTGGGAGTCCTTTGCATCTTCGATATGACTTAGAGACTGCGCTAGTTCTCGGGCTTTTCGATCATTAGTGATTACAGGTGAGAAAAGCACACAACGTAAGACTTACTGGGAGGCAAGATTGTTTGCGCCCACATCCGAAGCACATTCTTGACTTTTATGTAATTGCTATCATTTCGATTTGCAAATTTGCAGACTCCATGATGATCAGCGTGTAGAGCGGCTGAGACCTCTTGAGGATATCCCAAAATGCTAGATTCTTTCTCCACAATCTGTTCACTGTCAGCGAAACATAGACAATCACGTGACGGGACAGGCTGTACCATTTGTTTCGTGACCTTGAAGTTTGTTTTCAAGGTCTCGTAGAATGAAGCCAGGACTATTGCACCACAGCTCGTGCGGAATTGCTCGTTTATATCTTGCAGTGTGGTCGATTGAACATCTAGATCTGCAATATACGCTTTTGGTGGTGGCCCCATGATTGAAGAAGCCAAAATGTTATTAAGCACGTTCGCAAACGAAGATCCTCGGTGGGGTGTACCAAGGAAGACGATGCCGTGAACTCTTGCAATCAGCTTTGCATATAGCGGATCATGCTTGCCCAGAATGATTGCTTTCTTTACGACAAGACCACCCATGGAATGTGCAACGAAGATCAAATTTCGTTTACCGCTGTCATTTGTACGTCCGGTAAGATGGCTCGAGAAGGTAAGCAACTGTAGAAGAAGATCTTTGGCAAAGTCTATGATATTCAAGTTGATGCTACCACCCCGAAAGTCTGCATTGTAGCCAAATGTGAAAACACGATAGTCATTAAGATAGTCTTCTAAGGCCAGCCATGACGGCCAGAAGTTAGCGACGTCACGATTGTAAGACCAGGTCCTTTTTGCGGTGCCTCCAAGGCCATGAACGAATACTAGGTCGCCCGCAGGATTTGGATTGTCGACCACTAGATCCAGTCCAAGGTTGTCTCCTGATTTCGATGTCGTTGGTGCAGACAACCTTCCAGAAAACACGGAGTTTGCTGTTGTAACACTGTCTGCACGTATCGGTCGTGTTTGATCTTCCCCCAGACCGCGAGTATTCTGTGCTATCATGGAATCAGAATTCGCTCCCGAAGTATGATCGGGGAACTGGTGTGTTTACCGTCCTCATCAAGAGCTCCAGTGACTCCGCCTCGGGGTCGTGAAATTAGCCTCCGGAGCTAAAGAGACAGTCAGCTATTTCATCAAATGAATGAAGCGGCTGACCATGGAGTTCTTGTGCTGAGGTACCGACTGAGCTAGCCCGCATGTTTCATTGATAGAAATAACAAAACACACGGTTCACACCACGTGGAAGCCTCGGAGGGTGACTCAAAGAAGTACGGAGCTAAGAACCGAAATGAAAGGTGTAGACAAGGTGGGACTATGCAATTGAGAAGATAGTAGACTCATTACGAAGACAGCAACCGTGCTATAATTTGGGAGCCAGCGAAGGCGCATAATGGCTTTCAATGGACGCTGAATCTGATCACGTGTGGCGACATAAATCTATGAGGCTCTGCGGATTGCCCACTCTGCATCAAGTGAGGGGCAACTGGTGATATGAGCCATTCTCGGCCTTACAAACAACTCGGCGAGATGAATCCTTCATGCATATTGTCTCATAGAACTGTGACAGAGCGGCAATTGGTAGAATGAAAGCGCTTCGTGGGCGCGAGCCGGTTAGTGCGGCACAGCTTGCAGCAACTGCTCCCGAGCCTCGAATCAGCGTATAGACGCTAGTATGCCTGTGCAGAAAAGCGTCGAATTAATGCAGAAGTCATCCACAATTCCTTGTAGACTGGGACGACAATGAGTCTCGTGTGGTGTTCTTTGATACGGCGGGTTTTTAGCTGCTGCAGCCGTTCGACTGCTGTACCGAGAAAAACGACACTGATGTATCCATAATTAGCGGTCGGCCCGAATGCAATATCTCTCGAACCGATGGGCAGATACCGCCTTGGTTGGCCTATTAGATCTTCATCAAAAAGCCTTCCCAAGAACGTAGCCTCATCTAGGGTGCGTGATGTATGAAGACGAAAGTTATGCCTTGTACACTCTCGGGCGGGAGGGGTGGCCCACCCCTCTAGGATCTACTTACCACCAATCGTCAGCAGTCCCATCTCAATCCCTAAACTCATATTAAAAGATGGGTAGTAGAGGTGATCCGCCATAGAACATAATCAGATAGTATCCACAGATTCATGCAAATATGCTGACTCAAGTGACAATACCAAACATTGCCATTGGCGAGCCACAAACGAAGCCCAAGACAACGTCCGTTGAGCCGGTTCTGACTCCAGTAGCAAACGGTAGCTGCAAAGTGGACGACAGTGTTATTGCTGGTATGTATACCGGCAGGATCATCCAACACAATATGGTTGACTGCGATTGCCAGTGTTCCCTGTCCCAAACACGAAAGTTCTGCATGCGTACAATTATGGCGTTTCGCATTGGGGAAAGACTTCAAAAATCGTTGTTGAGCTTCCCGATGGATCTACAGAGCAGTACTTCTTGAAAGCCGTCACTGTGGGACAGACTGGCCGACATATGTGCGAAGGCGAATTCGAATCCTTGAAAGCCATATATGCGCTCTCGCCCGGCTTCGTGCCCGAACCGTACGCCTGGGGAAGGTATAGAACCGAAGATCCAGAGACATACTTTATCCTTGCCGAGTTTCGTGACATTGGAGAACAACCAGCCGAGCCCGATAAGCTCGCCGCTAGCCTAGCAGACATGCACCAGCGCTCTATCTCTCCGACAGGCAAATTTGGCTTCCATTTCTCGACTTGTCATGCTCGCATAGCACAAGCGGTTGATCAATGGGACGACTCGTGGTGTGCTCTTTACAGTCGGCATCTAGGACACGTTATGGAGCTGGCTAAACCAATACTCCTGTGGCCAGAGTTCAATACTGTCTGCAAATTGACACTCGAGAAGGTTGTGCCCCGTCTGCTGTTGCCACTACAGGCCGAAGGCAGGTTTCTCAAGCCGTGTCTGATCCATGGCGATTGCTGGGATGGTAACACCGCCATGGACAAGCGCACAGGAGAAGCCTTTGTCTTTGATGTTTGCTCTTTCTACGGTCACAATGAATATGACACTGGCAATTGGCGAGCCCAACGGCATCGGTTGAGCAAGAAAGCCTACATCGAGGCATACAAGAGACACTTCCCAGTTTCTGAACCAGAAGAAGATTGGGATGCGCGGAATCTGCTCTACTCGCTTACCTTCAACATCGGCAATACGATATACATTCCTGGCTCAAGCCAGCGTCAGGCTGTATATGATGATATGACGACTCTGTGTAAGATGTTCTGTCCAGACGATTTGAAGACGGAAATCGACGAGCTTTCTAGGACTATGTTGATTCACTTGGACGCTACTGCCGGCCATTAGCAGGAATTCGATGACAACGAGAAAGATCAGGAGTAAGAGCCGCTATAGCTGATTCATGAAGAATAAAATGAGTACAATGTGCCAGGAGAAAACGGGTCTCTGTTGGAAGTGCATCATCTATGGACTTCAATGCCAATGCTGAATACGCGCACCTTGTTCTTCGGGAACGAGGCGGCCGTAATTAACATAGAAGATTCCTAGTAACGAAATAATCTAGATGGATCTGCGAGTTTGTATGATGATGAAGAACACCTTACCCCTAGCTGTCCGATAAAACTAGTCCAGACTAGGCTAGCCTGGTTTCACGACCAGTCGATTGTCGCTTTTCGCTCTTATGTTGGCAGTCCTATTACTCCCAACTAGTCTGCGCGGCACAAATTCCGATCGAAGAAATAACTAGATGACGAACTGTCTTGTTCTTTGTATTTGGGAGCCAAAGTCCCTCTTCCGGTGTCAGATGTGCCGATACTAGGATGGAATTGATTAACCTTAATGATGCAATCAAAGTGACTGCACAGGGATAGGATAACGCCATTCGATTGACTAGCACGCCTGGCCAATGCTACCATATGATACGTGTCGCTCAGTGCTGTGTATAAAAGTATCAACGAAAACTGGTTCATCACAGCTTTAGGCAGGACTCAATCCTCACGAATCGCGATGACGAATACCATGTGTAACCTAGGACTTATCCTGGCTTTAATGATACAGGATCTCGTTGTGGCTACGCCTTTTCTGGAACATGTAGGCAATGGGTCGTGGATCTTTGGCAATGGTCTGTGGAATATCACTCAAGGACCGATATATGCAACAAAACTTCATTACGATGGATCTGATGCTATTGGAGCTGCAGTAGGACACTATGCAGGATATGGTCTGAAACTCCTGTTCGTGATTATGTATAAGCAGTAGTCTAACATAGTCCCAGACGGTGAGAACAACCTACAGTGGCAAAGTGCATCAATAGTCACCCAAACCGACGAATACATTGACATCAGCTTCCTCGCAGCGGAAGGAGAGCTACACTGGGTTATTTTCGATGGACTCGCCGGTTCCTACCAATATTTTGTCAACCATGCTCTTCCTGACATAAGTATCTTCCGAACCTTGTTTCGTTTAGATCCTATTCGGTTCACCAGCGGCAGGACATACCTCAAAGATGAACCACTGCCCGATTTCTCCATGTACGCCAATGCCACAAAAGTCCAAGACGAAACTTGGCAATTGGCGAATGGCTCGTTCATTACAAAGTATGACTGGTCAAACTATGTGAGAGAACGTGATTTCAATGGAGTGTATGGTCATGAGACTGGGTCGTGGTACATTCATCCTTCTACCGACTACTTTAGTGGGAATCATCTCAGCCAAACACTCACGGTGAGTACGCGAACACAGCCTGATAGCCGTTCACTGACTTGAAAAACAAAGGTACATCGGGAGTCAAGTACTGGCGATACAGTACAACTGAACGTCGTTCAGGACACATCTCATTTCCAGATCGGTGTGACCACAGCTCAGCCCAAAGGCAAGATCTGGGGTCCATGGCTCTGGTATCTGAACAACGGCTCAATTACAGACGCAGCACGACAACAGAAAGAAGAACTCTCAAAGTGGCCATATCATTGGCTCAATGACACGTCGTATCAGTCTCGAGGCTCGCTAACAGGCTCTCTGAGACTCTCCGATGATCGCCCTGCATCTGGCGCGGCAGTGTTTCTCGGCGATACAGACACTAGTGTTCGGCCACTCGCTCAGGGGTCAAATTACTATTACAGTACATACGCAGACGACCTGGGATACTTCTCAATCCCCAATATTCGCACTGGTACCTATGGTCTACTCGCCTGGTCCAATGGTGATGTCCTTGGAGGAGTGTACACCAACTTCACGCGTTCGGACATTGTGATATCATCCAAGGAAGAGACAGCTTTGGGCGATCTCAACTGGGTGATTCCATCTACTCATACGTCCATATTTCAGATTGGTGATTTTGACAAGAAAGCGATTGGCTTCAAGAATGGTGGTGCACCGTACCAACATGGCCTTGCAGCTCTCAGCCCTGCGAACCTAACATACACTGTAGGAAAATCCAACAGCAAGGACTGGTACTATGCACAATCAAATCTTGGTACTTGGGATGTAGTCTTTGCCATCAAACCAGCAGATCGTGTGTCTGTGCGGACTGCACTGCTCACATTATCGTTAGCCGGATACTCCCAGAGTGCTGGAATGACAATACTGCTCAATGACGATATGATCCTTGGTGTCCTTGGCAAGGAGAACATTACCTCAGATCCAACTTTGTATCGCTCGGGGACGACGTCTGGAGAATGGCATCTGTTTCAGTATGAGATTGCTGTTGCGCTGCTGCATGATGGAGAGAACAAACTCAGCTTCAGGATTGATAGATACACGCTTTGGCGCGGATTCTTATGGGACAGTATAATTCTAGAATGGGTATAGAGGTTGCCCAATGGTTATTGTCAGGGATGCGCCCGAAGACATGTCGGTCTAGAGCTCAACGCTAGAACGCCACCATATGCACGAGGTCTGAAAAGGTGCATGAATACGAGAGGTGGCTAGCCATTGATTGGAGGTCAGCCTTCAGAAGGAGCGCGACACATGTATATACAAACTTGCGTTCCAGGACACACATTTCGTATCATTCCGCCAAATCTAAGCATGACCGATTACACTGCCATTCCGATAGACTCGTCCAAACAGGAGATTCGTTTGTTATGCATCAAACCATACGATCCCTCGTGCATGCTCGATTTTGTGACGTGCAAACTTATCACAGCATGTCTCGACCTCCCAAACCGGCCTCAATATGGTGCTGTATCGTACACTTGGGACAACCCCTTCCGAACTCCACAGATGACCGTATCTGAAGCCCTAGAGTGTCCACGTCTACCGCCTGCGACCATCATTCTGTCCGGTAGTGCCATGATTGTGACCGGCAACCTCGAAGCATTCTTGCGACACTTACGGGCAAACTCGGACTCGCAATCAGAAATCTTGATTTGGGTTGATGCACTGTGTATTAACCAGAGTGATGACGAAGAAAAAAGTGGACAGCTCCCGCTTATGAGGCGTATTTACGCAGGTGCTGAGAATGTGAGAATTTGGCTCGGGCCTGGTGACCAGTATACTGATGAAGCGATCGACTTCATGAATGATACAGGCGCACTGGCTGTACGCTTGGGAGTATTGTCGTACAAAGAGGCCGATCTGATGGAGCTCATGACTTCCACTGGGGGATCAGAGCAGCATGTAGAGATTCGTGCTGCAATTCGTGAGATGCAGGATTCGCTTGGGTATGAAAGGTATCCCATTGAGGCAATCAAGACGTTGTATAGTCGCTGGTGGTGGTTCCGAACATGGACTGTACAGGAGCTCTGCCTCGCAAGAAAAGCCGTATTCATCTGTGGTACAAGAAATATCCCAGTTGAGCGCTTGATTGGTGCGCACCTATTTGGTACCGCGTATCTATGGTCAATTACGGCAAGTTTCGATGTCGAGAAGCTGATGAAGGATCCTCAGCTACTGATGAAACTTCAAAAACTTTTAAACACGGTTCCAGACGCCCGTCCGGGAATAATGATGGGGATGTATAGAAGATATCAGAACCGAATTAATTCGGAAGTTCCACCACTGCGACTCATCCAAGTCTTGGTTCGAACGCACGCAAGGTCGTCACCAAAGGCTGATCTTGGGGCGACGAATCCAAGAGATCGGGTTTATGGACTGCTGGGCCTGGCCGAAGATGCTATTGAATTGGACTTGAAGGTTGATTATGGGTCTTCCATCGAGGACGTCTACATCGATACAGCTCTGAAGCTTCTTATGCATCGAGACACAGATATACTCGCACTGGCACAGAAACAGGGTCGGAAGTTGAGTCTGCCAAGCTGGGTCCCTGACTGGAGTGGTCATATCATGGACCCATGTGGTGAGTGTATATTGGACGGATTTTTCCGTGCATGCGGTGATACACAGGCATCTGTAGTATCGTACGAACGGCGAAGTGACGGGTGTCACGTTCTCGGCTTAGAGGGACTGAAAATCTGCGTGATCAAAGAGACTGGGTCGACATGGAAGCCGAAGATGGAGAATTGGAAATTTGACTGGGACGAATTTCAATTCCTACTGAAGGATGTTGAAGAGTTCTGTGCGAAAAGCAAAAAGGTGCAGCCAGACAAGTACGAAGATGCAGTCGTCCGTACCTTGTGCTTCGACCAGGAACGAGTGGGATCGGTTCGCAGAAGAGCAGGCACTTTAGATAGCAGTGTCATGCTTAATGGATATCGACTCGCGAGGAACGCAGTTCATAACCGGTTGGCTATCGGTGAGTATGTTGGTATCGCAGACTTTACCAACTTTCAAATTACGCTCGGTGATCTCTTCTCCAGGCGACCGTTTCTTTCAGACACTGAAGACGTGGGTCTAGCACCAGCAGATGCTAAAGACGGAGATGTGATCTGTATCTTCAAAGGGGCTATAGTTCCATTTACCCTGCGACCAAAGCTGGACGGAACATATGAGCTTCTAGGGGAAGCATATGTATACGGAGCAATGGATGGTGAACTAATGGTAGGGATGCCCAGCTTCGAAACCTTCAATTTGATCTAGTCGCATTCAGTCTTCTCATAATAAATGATCGGCACTCTTCCACAATTAGCTCATCCGAAAATATCCAGGGCACAAAGGTTGCTACCACCTAAGACACAACTACTGCAAGTGGCGAAAGCCGTCCTAGCGCAGGGTAGCATGGTAACTGTCAATACCATTACTTAGTCCCTAAGCGTTCTCCTAGAGTTCGAGAGTGCAGTAAGCCGGAAGGTATTGGCCTTGGGACTGTGGCATGAGCCCTGTTCTGTCACATCCGTATGAGCCAAGCCACATACAACAAATGGGAGGTATATTGATAATGTGGTCTTTCTGTACACGATAATGAACACACTGGATCTGTTATGTTCCGCGCCAAGCTCGGGATTCCCCAGGTTCTTCAGTCATGATCCGCCTACTTATTCTTCTTCGTCTGCCAAACTAAGAAAAAGGTAAGTCTACTGCAACGCGAGGTGAGGATCACGGGTAGCTTACCAGCTATAGCAAATGGTGTGAAGAATCCGACGACTGAATCCTCATTAGCCAGTCCTCGTTCGTACAAGGGGGTACTGCTACGTACAACAAAAGCTCCAGAATCGGAGGGCGAAAAATCGGGTCAGTGGGTTAAATGGAATGTTGCTGCGAGGCCCCTCAGGGTAATGGTACGGGCTCGAGAACTGGGCGCGAGTGGTTGAGAAGTTCCGACGAGCAATCATGTTCGCATATGCGTTTGCGGAGGGGCGGAAGGCAGCGCGGGACAGCATCTACTTGTGTCAGTCTCATCGAGTAGGCGACATATCGAGATGTCAGGAGTGTAATTGTGGCATACTGTGAAGTTGAGTGCGCGTCTGTGATCAATTGTAGAGTAGAGATGGAACCTGACGTTGAAGAGCTCTACCACCCAGATAGATGAATGCGAGTAGAGGTGATCCGGCAAAACCGCGGGCGAAGTTGAGTTATGGTCCGAGCTCAGATATTGTCTGGCGCAAAATGGACGGGCTTCACTTTCAAAATAGGCCAACGGAATCTTGAGCAGCGACATAGACCCCTGCAGCTACTCTGCACAGCTGTCAATTCTTTGTAGGCCTTTTCAGCCTAGTACTACCAACTTATTTATAACGCAGCAATGGACGACGAGCTCTTCAATGTTTTCGACGGCAATTCTAAAGCACCAACAAGTTCGAAACAGAAAGAAAGCAAGAAGCGGAAAGCGAACAATGACTCGACGGCTCTAAATGGAGCGAGCGTGAAGAAGGCAAATCAGATTGAACAGAGCGAGGCTGCAGAATCTACAAGTCCAAAGCGACAACGAAGAGACACAGAAGCCGAGCCACTGGTCACAGACACTTTCGAAACTGAGCAATTACGAGAGGTTGAGGCACATGCTGGTCTTCAAGGACAGCAGGAATCTGGTGCAGTAACATTGTCGCATCAGGTTCGCCATCAGGTCGCCCTACCCCCAGATTACGACTACGTACCCATTTCCGAACATAAAGCTCCCGAGACGCCAGCAAGAACCTGGCCATTCACCTTGGACCCCTTTCAACAAGTCTCGATTGCATCCATTGAACGTAATGAGAGCGTCCTAGTGTCAGCGCATACTAGTGCTGGAAAAACTGTTGTGGCAGAGTATGCGATCGCACAATGTTTAAAGAATAACCAAAGAGTCATCTATACAAGTCCTATCAAAGCCTTGAGCAACCAGAAGTATCGCGAGTTTATGGCTGAATTTGGCGACGTTGGACTTATGACGGGCGATGTCACAATCAATCCAACGGCAACATGTCTAGTTATGACAACAGAGGTACGAGAAGAGAATCATATAAAATTATATGCAAGATGCTAAGATACATAGATTCTGCGCTCGATGCTGTACCGTGGATCCGAGATTATGCGCGAAGTCGCATGGGTGGTATTCGACGAAGTACACTACCTGCGAGACAAGTCGCGCGGTGTCGTGTGGGAAGAAACCATCATACTGCTACCCGACAAAGTTCACTATGTGTTCCTCTCTGCCACCATTCCCAATGCTATGCAATTCGCAGAATGGATTACAAAGACGCACAATCAACCATGCCACGTAGTATATACGGATTTCAGGCCTACCCCACTTCAGCATTACCTTTTCCCAGCCGGTGCCGATGGCATACATCTCGTAGTCGACGAGAAGGGTACATTCAGGGACGAGAATTTCCAAAAAGCCATGTCCTCCATCGCTGAGAAACAAGGAGACAATCCTGCGGATGCTATGGCCAAACGCAAAGGCAAAGGCAAAGACAAGAAGCTCAATAAAGGCGGCCAGCAGCAAGGACCCTCTGATATATACAAGATTGTTAAGATGATTATGATGAAGAATTTCAATCCTGTTATTGTCTTTAGCTTCAGCAAACGCGATTGCGAAAATTACGCGATCTCGATGAGCGGTCTGGCGTTCAATGACGAATCTGAAAAGGCTATGGTTGGTAAGGTTTTCGACAGCGCCATAGAGGCACTGTCAGAAGATGACCGTAAATTACCACAGATTCAACATATTCTTCCGCTCCTTCGCCGTGGTATAGGAGTTCATCATTCTGGGTTGCTACCAATTCTCAAAGAGACTATCGAGATTCTCTTCCAGGAAGGACTTATAAAAGTGCTCTTTGCTACAGAGACTTTTTCCATCGGCCTCAACATGCCTGCTAAGACAGTGGTCTTCACCAAGGTTCGTAAATTTGACGGTGTGTCAGAGCGGTGGGTGACTCCATCCGAGTTCATTCAAATGTCCGGACGTGCCGGACGAAGAGGCCTTGACGAACGAGGTATTGTAATTATGATGATTGATTCTCAGATGGATCCTGCTGTTGCAAAAGAAGTCGTACGGGGCGAACAAGATAAACTCAACTCAGCCTTCTACCTGGGTTACAACATGATATTGAACCTAATGCGGGTAGAGGGCATATCCCCAGAATTCATGCTGGAGCGCTGTTTCTACCAATTCCAAAATACAGCCAGTGTTTCTGGATTGGAAAAATCTCTTCATCGGCTGGAAAGTGAAAAGGCTAGTATGGATATCCCAGACGAAAACACTGTTCGTGATTACTACGACTTACGGCAGCAACTGGACATCTACACGCAAGACATGCGCGATGTGATCACGCATCCGAATTATTGTCTTCAGTTTCTTCAAGCTGGGCGCCTTGTAAGGGTGAAATACAAAGACTACGACTTTGGATGGGGCGCAGTGGTCAATTTCATGGAGAGAAAGCCCGCGAAAGGCGAAACATTGACTTCCCTCAAACCACAACAGACCTATATCATTGACGTCTTGCTTCAAGTCGCAAGCGATGCGAACTTCTCGACAGCGGTTGTTGACGATCTCCCTCCAGGGGTAAGACCTCCAGACGCCGGGCAAAAGGGAAAGATGGAGGTTGTCCCTGTCCTTCTGTCTTGTATCGACTCAATTGGACATTTGCGAATATTCTTACCACAAGAACTCAGATCCATCGAGCAAAGAAATCAGGTTCGGAAGGCTTTGGAAGAAGTCAAGAAGCGGTTCCCCGACGGAATCGCTATACTAGACCCTATAGAAAACATGGGCATCACGGATGACTCTTTCAAGAAGCTTCTTCGAAAGATCGAGGTTCTAGAATCCCGACTCCTCTCGAATCCACTACACGAGTCGCCGCGTTTGCCAGAGCTGTACGAACAGTACGCGTCGAAGGTAGAGCTGTCCAAAAAGATCAAGGAAACCAAGGTCGAGATAACGAAGGCACTATCGGTCATGCAACTTGATGAGCTCAAGTGTCGGAAACGGGTCTTGAGACGCATAGGATTTATCAACGAGTCTGACGTCTGCCAGCTCAAAGCCCGTGTCGCCTGCGAGATCAGCACCGGGGATGAACTGCTACTGAGCGAACTGATGTTCAACCGCTTCTTCAACGAGTTGACCGCCGAGCAATGCGCTGCTTGTCTTAGCTGTTTCATCTTTGAGGAGAGAAGCAAGACTGAGATAAATCTGCGTCCCGAGCTCGCAAAGCCATTTATGGAAATTCAGGCGCAGGCCAAAACTATTGCAAAGATATCACAGGAAAGCAAATTGACTCTAAATGAGGATGAATATGTAAAGACGTTCAAGCCCGAGTTGATGGAGGTAGTCTTTGCGTGGACCAAGGGGGCAACCTTCGCTCAGATATGGTAAGTCTGAACCATGGTCATGAGGGCACATGGCGCATGCTAACATAATGTGCGTAGTAAAATGACGGATGTGTACGAGGGCAGTCTTATACGTCTCTTCAGAAGGCTTGAAGAGTTACTTCGTCAAATGGCGCAGGCAGCCAAGGTTATGGGAAGTCCCGATTTGGAGAAGAAATTCGAACAGGCGCTCGAAAAGATAAGCAGAGATCTAGTTGCAGCATCTTCATTGTACTTGTAGAAGCATTTTAAAGGCGATGCTCCGATGGCTCATACCATTACATTTCTTGTTGGAACGTCGGAACTTGTTACTTTGGCTAGCAATTCATACTGTAGAGTCTAGGCGCGTAGGAGGTCTGTGAGTGTGGTCGCCTGGGAGCTGGAAATGCCCTGCACTGCCACAAGCGCACCCCTATATTTTCTCGCAATCTGAAGTCCCGGGTGATGGGATTGTACCGTCCCATACTGTCCCATATTGTCCTAAATCTTCTGTTAGAATGACAACGTTGCATACAACCATGATATTAACGCAGTGGGTGTGCCGAGTGTGTGGTGTCAAAGTGGCTCGTGGCTGTCGGGATGGCTGTTTTAGTTAAGATGATTGGTTGGACTGTGTGATCCGATGGAAGCATGGATTCCACTCTAGCACCTGAGTGGCACTGACACGGGCGCTCTCGGACAGCCGAACAACACAACATCACCCAAACATCGCTCTTCCGCCCTCCTCCACCTTCAACCACCATCTTCCCACGACCCTCACTTGCACCTCACCTTCTCCTCCAGCAGCAGTTCTATAACTGGCCCAACGATAGACAGCCCAACGATACTTTTCTGAAAAGGTGCTTGTCACCAGTTCGCCATGAACAGCGTTCTCTCACAGGTCGGCGTCGCTCCCCACCTTCTTCCCCAAAACCGCCTTTCGCCTTCCCGCTCATGTAGGTTACCAGAGCCATACCTAGCATTCTTGCGTGTGCCTGCATTCAATTCTGACGTTCTTCATCCAGTCTTCTCGAACTCGCCCAACATGAATCGTAAACGGAAAGCAGAAGATGATGCAAGCGCCGAAAGCGATGAACGTATGTCAGCATCACCATCGACCTCCCCTTCTATGAGCTCCCGCCCATTCCCAGCTGCATCATCAAATCGTATAACAAAACGCATGCGAACAAACCTTGCCGGAAGACCACTCTCGCTACCACGTCTGCTTGAGACTCTGACGGCAGAAGAGATGCGAAACATACTCCAAGTCATATGTGATCGGAACCCTCAGATAGGAGCAGATGTCGTGGCGGCAGCCCCCCGACCAAGCGTAGGCTCTGCTTTGGGAGTACTGGGACAGTACGAAGCATCCCTGCAAACCTCCTTTCCATTTGGTGGGCGCAACAGCTCAGACTACTCATACAATCGAGTTCGACAAGCACTAGTCAACCTACTTGATGCTTTAAAGGACTACACTCCACACTTCTTGCCTCCGAACGAGACACAAGCTGCAACTTCTCTCACATTCCTCGACGGTGCTACTGAGGTCATTCATCGCCTTCCTGAGTGGGACAACTTTCAAAACAATCGTCACAAACAAGAAGCTTACGAAGAGATGGCGAAGGCCTGGGCGGCCGTCATCCAGGAGGCGGCGAAACGTGCAGGAGGAATACAACTACAATATGGTGGATGGGACCAGAAACTTAACAAACACAACCAGCAGTCTCATGGTCGAATGCAGGATGCTGTTGATGCATTAAGAACGAGTCTCGGATGGATCGGAGGTGACATGAATTCCGGATCAGCATCAACGTCTGCCAACGCGAACGACCCAAGCAGCATCCGGCAACAACTTCTCAGCGGAACATACGGAATCCAGTCTCAAGTACGTGTTGGTCTATGGTAGACTAGGTTTTGAGCATTTTTGTCCCGCAACGACCTCGTTATGATACCTGTTTCTGCTTGCATTATCATTGCGTTCACATCATCGGGGGCATTTTATTCCACTTTCATTGGCGTATTCGCACCATCATACCTGGGGTCGCTTCATTGTCGTCATTTTCATACACATGCTCTACGGATCATACCATTCCTTGTCTTTCAACTGATTCAGCATTCGGCAGCGTCGACGCCTTACTTACATAGAGTGATGGATTTTTAGGAGAAGCATGGCAATAGGAGGAGAGAAGGAGTGCCTGATCGGGATGATGGACTGGTAGAGCACAGATGGATCTATGATTGAAGCAAGATACGTTATGTTATGAACCGTGCAGCCCTTCATGAACGTCATGATAATCGTTCTTCTAATATCACTAAAGCCACTCACACGTCTCTTGGGCATAAGTCTGAACTATTCAGGCCATCCTGTGTGTTTTCACTCCGAATCAGTCGTCGTGAAAGTCGTATCACATGATCGATCGCCGAACACCACCCTGGGACTTGGTGTGTCCACTTGACCTGCTCGTGGCTGCGCTCCCGCACCACCCATGATTCATTCTACTTCCACGTTCTGCGTCGGATTGATGATTCATCTCCGTTTTGTGGTACCATCTTGGCATTCTTGTCAAATACCTTACTTACTTGACGCGCTGTAAGCGAACTGTCTCGCATCACACTATGCCTCTGATTCAGGGCTGGCTTCCGCCATCGCGTGAGCATTGGGAGCTTGTCTCCAACGTCTGGGTCTACTTCCCAATCGTACGTTCATGATGCCACATTGAGAGTAACATTTGCATATGGACTATGTACTACGACCCGCGCTATCACTAACATGCTATAACCAGGTCACTGCCTTTCAATGGGTCCTCCAGGACTGGTACCCAGCTGGGAAGACAAGCTACGCATCGCGCTTCAACATTCCAGGGAAAATAGCATGGATCACAATGGAGGTGCCAGGCTTTATAACCTTGCTATACATCATGAACACACTACCTAAAGAAGTCGGGCTGGCGGAGCTTCCATGGGGCAATTGGACGATGGCTGGGATGTTCACCATACATTACATTTACCGCGCGATTCTATCGCCCATTCTCAATCCAAGCATGAGTCCTATCCATTTCTTCGTATGGGCATCAGCTGTAGGCTTCCAGTTCGCCAACGCAACCTGCATTGGCGGGTGGCTTGCTGGGCACGGTCCGACCACAACCGCTCACTGGGATGATGCCATATTCAGAATATACCCAGGAATGATTATGTGGGGTTTTGGACTCATTGCAAACATGTACCATGACGATGATCTGCGAGAGATCCGGCGTGCCGCGGCCAGGAAACAAGCGCGTGAGGCCAAAGAAAATGGAAAAGACCCCCAAAGCGTGGACAAAGTGTACATGATCCCGAAGAACGGGCTTTTCAAGTGGATTCTTTATCCTCATTACTTGTGCGAATGGTTGGAGTGGACCGGTTTCTGGATCGTAGGAGGCTGGGCATGTTTTCCTGCGCGAGCATTCCTCGTCAACGAGATCACGACGATGCTACCGAGAGCTCTACAGGGCAGAAGATGGTATATCAAAAAGTTTGGAGAAGACAAGATCGCTGGCTTGAAGGCGATCATTCCTGGTGTGCTTTGAGAGTGAGCACGGTTTTTTTCTCGCACACATTTCTCCGCATGAAAGTCTCGATACCCTTTGTACCTAAGATTGAAGCCAGATATACAAGCAACAGTTTTATCAATTGCCTCGACAAGCGTACTAATACAAGGAGCTTTGTACTCACTGGCCAATGATATGGCCAACATCATGTGCACGGACCTACGCCTAAAAATGTACTTCCTATCGGTCTACAAGCAAGAGGTTCATCCGGTATATTAATCATTATCAAATGTACACGAAATAGACCTGCATGTTTCAACTTGTGAGAAAACACACTGTGTTCGTGAACTGTCTATCACAGCCATTCAAGAGCCATATTGCCAACTTCTCCTGCCCTCTTTACATTCATCGATCATCCTTTGGTTTGTTTACACTTGATTGTGTTGGGTCAAAAGCTGACTTTCAGAAATCGAAGCACTATATAATAACTTGGCAAATAGCGCTAGAACAATGGCATCAGCCCCTGCTGTTGATAAGCCTACCCGGGCTACGGCAAAACTTTTACAATACGTTGATGTTTGTCACTTTCGCCGCCACGTCTTCTCTGGTTCGCGAAGCTGATACCAAAGCCAGATTGGTATCAATCTCAGCGATCCCGTCTTTCGAGGGCAGTACCATGGCAAGCAAGCTCACGAAGATGACTTCCTGGACATTCTCCAGCGCGCTCAGGACGTGGGATGCACGAAAATGATGGTCACGGGATCAGACCTAAAGGAATCTGAACGCGCAATTGAGATTGCTAAACAGCACCGTAAGTAGTTACTCTCATATTATCTCTGTACCATGGTGCTGATAGATTGTTCAGCGGGCCTTTGCTACGCCACAGTAGGCGTCCACCCATGCTCAGCGAAGCAATTCGACGACTACAAGGACGGCCCAGACGCATTGCTGTCCGCTCTGTCATCACTCGCCAAATCTGCACAAGCATCCGGCCATGCCGTTGCATTCGGCGAGATTGGACTGGACTATGATCGCCTATTCCTCACGCCGAAGGACCAGCAACTAAAGTATTTTGAGAAACAGCTCGATCTGGCAGTCGAACTTCAATTGCCCCTTTTCCTGCATTCACGAGCAGCAAGTGAGGATTTTGAGAGGCTACTGGCACCGGTGTTGGAGAGGCTGCCTAAGAAAGGGCTGGTCCATAGCTTCACGGGGACGATGGAGGAGATGCGGAGGATGGTGGATCTCGGGCTCGACGTGGGTGTCAATGGCTGCAGTATGAAGACCGAGGAGAACATTGCTGTGGTCAAAGAAATCCCGTTGGAGCGGTTGCAGATCGAGACGGATGGGCCATGGGTACGTACAAGGTTCGAGTACTGTCTCGTATTTTCACGACTAATGTCAGCAGTGTGAGATGAGACCAAGTCATGCATCGGCGCAGTACACGAAGAATGCACCGCCGCTGGTAAAAGCTGTCAAGAAGGAAAAGTGGGCAAAGGGGTGTATGGTCAAGGGCAGAAATGAGCCGGCAACCCTGCCTCATGTGGCTTATGCTATTGCAAACATCAAAGGCATCCCTGTAGAAGATGTTTGTGAGTACTCTTGGCGGAACTCTATCAAGATGTTCGGGTTAGGAGAGTCGTAACCATAGTATCATTCCGCAGTATTGCTCTACTGATGGTAGTGATCCGTGGTAAATGATAGATTTTGCTCTATAGATACTCAAGAACTGTACTTGTTGGTACATATATACACAATTTTCAAATATGTGGTGCTTAAAGTGCTACCCCTCGCTGATTGCGAGACTCTCTGGAAGTTGATCTGGATCCTCCTCGTCGATCATATCTTTGCTGTATTCGCTCGTAGTCGGCCCGGAGTCGATGGAGCCAGAAGCAGCCTTGCCGTACTGCGCCAGCTTGATCTGCTCTGCGGCCCATTGTCTCCAGTTATCCCAGGCCTTGTTCTCTAGCTCCATACCTATTTCTAGAGGACCTTTGCCGAAGTAGGCACCGTATGCCATTGCCTCTTCCTTCGCTATGCGTCGAGCAATGTCTTCAACATTTCGAATTTTGTAGAATTCTTTGCGGGCTTTGTCATATGCTACCGCTTTTTCGAGCCGCTCATGTCGCATTAGCCATGCTTGTCTTTGCACAACACTGTCGTCATGGTCAGCAGATGCTCATTCGAGTGCCAAACAGCCTCCTAGAATTGAACTGCATACCTCTCACCGTCCAGCTTTTTCCCATCTTGTGTAATCTTACTCCAATCATAGCCCTTGGCAGAGTTCCCGCTGTCCTCGACCACTATCTTCGGTCGCGCCAGCTCCCACGGGTGGTCATGGAAGAACTCGCTCCGTAGTTCATCTTCTGGGTATTTGAGCTCCGGAGGCATGAACATCTTGGCATTGCGCTTCTTCCGCCGGCCATGAGGCGGGGCTCTGATCTGTTGAACGGTTCGCGTGAGAATCTCGGGGGGTGGGACGGTGTAGACGACTTCGTGCCATGCAGGAGCAGCGTGCAGGCGTTCTTGATCAAGGAGAGCTTGTGCGGCGCGATGCACGCGTTGGGCGGTGAAGTTGTACCGGCCCATTGAAGCTATGTACTAGACGATCATCGAAGGGGAGACAACGAAAGTCAAGGTTGGCATATGCACACGACAGAAAGGCCGTCGGAGGGTGTTGGAGCTGGTACAGAAAACGCGGTGCATCCATTCACCGATGATTTTCCGGAATGGTTCTAGTTCGAAAAAACGCGGGTTACCGGAGGAGACACCAACGTCGAGCTCGGAGGAGCATCACCTGCTGCGATTACCTACAAGATACAGCTTTCAGGCCTACCTTCGAACCGAATTGAAATATAATACCTACCCTTGAATCTTCTTCTGCCACAAATGGAGCCTTGTCATTAGCTTGAACACGATGCGCGGTGCTTCATGTACCTTTTTGGCTCCTTACAAAGGTCGACGAGAAACTCCTCCGTCTCGCAAATAAGAGGTGGACCAATCTTAGAATTCTTATACCCGGGGGTTCCGGTTATGGGAGCTGGAAATACGACTTCTTCGAGATCACGCCGTCGTGATATGTCAAGAGTTGTAGCCGATCGTGAAGATGTTAATGCACTACTCATCAAGGCTCTCGTGCGAGCGGGATCCTGTAGGAAGCACAACAAACACGAGGCAATACGATCATGCGGAACTTCCCAGAGTCGGTGGAATTGTCACAGAACACAAGGTCTCTTTACATGCACTAAATCCAGCACCAAGCGCACTTTCTCTACCACTGGTCGCCATCTTGACACGCCAGCTACAGTTCCAGCCCAGGATATACAAAAGTCTGGAGATTTCGAGGCGGCGATTGATACTCTGATCGGGCCTAGAAACTGTCACGGGGGCGCGAATGCCCTGAAGACACAGCATGGACCGAGTACAAAGCGTTCAAAGCCCAGTACAGCTAGATCGGTAGACGAAATTCCTGCACCTTCTGCACCTCCAACCTCTTCAACACCAGCACAATCAACCAGCCATAGCATCCCAGTGTCGAAAGCCGGTTTTAAGCTCCGGCGTAGCGCAGCCTCAATTGCAGAGCAAAGGCCGCCCGAACACTCTTCGCTGAAGAATGATGCTTTGGAGAAGATCAGCATAGGAGATGCTACCGGGATGACAAGAGTTGACTCGCTGGCCATTGAAGTCGCGGACCGTTACCCAAGAGAACGAACTTGGAGAGAGTCATGGCAGGTCGCAACGTATTGCAAAACCTATGTGCCGGGCTTCAAGGAGGCTGACCAAAGATCGAAGCGCATCTTCGTCAACTGTGTTCAGTACTGGATCGACAAAGCAAAGAGTTTCGAGGCTGCATCATTGACAGACTACCATCTCTCTAAAGATGAGCTATATGCTCTCCTTGAAGATGCCCCAGGATTCGAAAAATGGTTGAAACGACTCCGATGGCGAGAATCACAAGACTTGCAAGATATTGAGGTTGCGAATGAAGAGAGGATATCTCATGACATTTTACAGCCACTCACTCCGACTGAGGATACTGAGCAGACTGTGAGGATAATACAGGACCTGATACGATGGTACAAGACCCCGCCAAACGTGGTATACAACCTGTATAGCAGCCTTCCTGAACCGCGTCCTCTCCAACTTGGCAAAGTCACTGCATACGATCTACTATCGTTCTTTAATCTTGTTCATAGATCAGACCCAGCGTCTTCAGAACGATACTTTACACTTCTGGACGAATACCGGGCTTGTGGGGTCGAAATTGGGACCCGTCACTGGAATTGGGCTATACGAATCGCAGGCCAGTCTGGCAACCATGCTGAAGATAACGACGTAGAGACGTCCCTATGTCTCTGGCGGGAGATGGAACGCCAAGGCCATGCGTCAAATGAGATCACATTCAATGTTTTATCACAAGTGGCGCTAAAGGCTAAAAACTTCGACACAGTCATGATGATTAGGAAGGAAATGAAACGTAGGCAGATACGCAACAGTCGATACTTTGATGTGGGCTTGATAAGCTATTATGGCGTCGTCGGGGACTGCCAGGGCATCAGGCATGCGTACAAGAAAATGGTCAGCCAGGGTTCAGTCATCGACACTCTGGTGCTCAACGCCGTGATCACTGCGCTTATAGCTGCAAACGATCCTGTGGCTGCCGAGCAGGTCTTCCATCGCATGAAAGACCTGCAAAGCGCCAAGCAACAAAGCACGATGTTGTATCGCCATACCGTGAAGTGGAAGTGGGAAGGTTGGCATCTGAGTGCTATTGAAGGAAATCCCAGACACCGATGGAGATTGGCGCTGGCCCACAAGCACGCTCTGGTTGGCCCGGACATAGCCACATATCGCCTTCTGCTTGGATATCACGCCCGGCTCACAGGAAACCTCGATCGCGTGACGGAACTGTTGCAGGAACTCACCTCCGCAGGTGCGACTTCTGACGGCCACATCTTCATGTCCCTCTTCGACGGCTTCAAGAGACACGGAGCACTTCCTTATAGCGCCTGGACTGAAGCACGACTGGACAAGGTGTTTGTCGCTCTGTGCACAGCTCTCGACGCAGCACTCGACGCAGATGTCAACCCTGCTCGCATGACAGTCGGCTTGGTCACCACAATCCTCAGAGCTTACGCCAAATGTACAACAAGAGAGCGTGTGCTAGATGTCTGGCACGAGCTTGACATACGGTGGACACACCCCCATCCACAAGAAAGAGAAGCTGCGCTTGACAGATTATCTGTACTATTAAACGAGCCCTCCACACCGTCTAGTGGACACTTCGCCAGTGCATAGCGTAGCTTCGAGCTTTGTATAATATAATGATATATTGTTTTGTATTGTATATACTGCACACACAAAAAATGCCCTTAACTTCCACACCCCAGTGTCACCCATCCACCACATGTCCTCTTAATTCGTCTGACACTCATCACACCGCTCACAGCGGAACCCCGTCACGGCATGCCCGAAATCCCGTCCTTGCACATTGAACATATCCACATTCCCCGGCGGTCGTACCGCATAACCCGCATTCGCCACGCATTCGCCCGCCGCATCCTCGTTCCTGATATCACAACATCAGAATCCCATAATGGAACCACCCGTTTTTTTTTTCAGGTATATACTCACATGGTAACATAGCACACCGCCCCAGCCGCAACCATGAACGAGCCCGTGTTCTTGGCGAATCCGTCGGGCAGCGCGTTGCACTCGCCGAAGGTGACGACGCGCCAGTCGCAGTCGCCGCTTGTGTTTGTGCCGGTGCAGAAGTTTACTTTGCCGGGTACCGGGGAACCTTCTTGGACTTGGCGGCGGAGGGGGTTGGTTGTGGTCGTAGGGCGGATTGTGAGGGCAGAGGTGAGGAGGGGGATGACGAGGAGTAGCTGGATGAGATGGATGAGGGAGAGAAAAGGGTGCATTGTGGGTGGGAAATTGGGTGGCGAGGGAAGGATGGGGAAGGGGTGTATTTGATCTGAGTTGAATATGGAGATGGAGATAGAGATGAAGATAAGAGCAGTATCAATGGATTTTGGGGGAGAAGTACAACCTCGACAGCCAGCGCGACTTTATACACCGCGCAGAGCACGATGGATAGGAGGAATCAGACACGCGTGTTCGAAAATGCCGTCGCTGCATACATACATATATGCACGCATATGCGGCTCTATAGCATCTGCAGGTGTGAAACAATGCCTTACTTCTCACATCCACAAAGCGCGGTAACCAGGCCATTCTCGTATTCTTTTCTTGAATGTAACTCCCTTCCTCCCCAACTACCTTTGTACGCATCCCACAGCTCATTAATGCAAAACTACATCACATCCCCAGAAACCACACCTACAAAACTGAAAAAACACGCTCAATACCGCTCCCAAAGCAAGTGCCATATAACAAAATTCCCCGATAGCATCGGGAATTTTATCACGTACGCGTGGGACGTTACATCGTTGGTCGCCAGCCGAAAGGGTAGATACAGTATATCGTAGCGCTGAAGGCGTGGTATAAAGTCTCCGATCGAACGGGGGTTTCTGCAGGAGGAAGGCCACGCGCATCTGCGTGCTTTGATAATGCTCCTTTTTTGGGGGCATGCTGCTGGTAGGGGTGGCGATAGTTGAATGGGTTGGATAGTGTGATATCTTGGGTTCGAAGTATATATATCGCTCGTGAATAGAAGCGTATGTTTATATATATACGCCCATCCTCCCATCAAACCCACTAAAGGTCCACTGCCCAGGACAGATATCAACAGCCCAGCCCTCGCAAACCTCCAATTCCTCACCTCTATATCCTATCCTCAAACCCCTAACTATACCAAAACCACCCCTTCTCCATCCGAGAAGTAAATATACGACTATCAAACCCACCTCAAACCACACTTCACCCAGCTCCATACACATGCAGTACACATAGAGTTCCAATCAAACAGCATTACTCCCAACTACGAATTCTATTCATCAAATGTATAACTGTATAAAACCCGAAAGTCCCCGCAAGATATGCATTGTTCCACATCCAAAGTGGCCCAGAACCGCTCCATACTCGACTTGGAAGATGTTGTTTGGGTCTTTGGGAATGTTGAGGGTGCTTTATATGTAGTAGTCATGTTATTTTCTTAATGTGTAAGCATGTGTTGGGTATACTGAAACGTTGATAGATGGACGTATATATCAATAGCCAACGCGCCGAAACTGTCTTAAGCTAGATCTTCCACTCGAGGGTAGTGGTATCTGTGTTGTCAGAAACAGTGGTATTCATTCCTACCTTCAGAAAAAATGGCAATCTCATCAGTGTGCAAATTGGCAAAAGCGGTACGGGCTATTGGAAAAAGTATCATCACAAGGTAGTCACATCACAGAATCATGTAGAGGATAGGTCAAGAAACAAATGGTATTGAGCGGAAAAACCGCCCGGGCGCCCATGGCAGCCACAAAACATTGCTGCAAAAGCAGCCGGAGCTGACAGCGTGTACGCCACACAGGCCTCTCCCCCCTCCCCCCCGCCGGAAGCATCACCGACAATCCCACCCCCCGCCTACTTGCGGCGGGGCGGGATGTCTACGAGCCTTGCCTTCCCCGAGAAGACAATTGGTATGGCGCGAGCGACGCCGAACTCGACCCCTCCTTCTCCGTAGTTGTCCACCTCGTCCAGGAGCGACGAGGTGATGGAAAAGTCGGAGTCGTTGGAACGACGCCGCCCGCAGGTGTGCTCAGCCGCACCACTCTCTCTCTCTCCACCCTCCCCACCCTCCTCTCCACCAGCCTGGCTGGCCGAAACCTCTTCCCTCTCCTGTGCGGAGAAGGCGGCGAAGAGTTGGGTGGGGCGGCGACGCCGCAAAGTCCTGCTGCTCCCGGAGGAGGAAGCCTTCGAATCTCGGATTGACCGCGAGGCGGTCGAGCCTGAACGGCGGTTCTCACCCATTTCTGGGATCTTGGACAAGCGACGCGTCGCCTGTCCAGGCTCTTCCACCTCACGGTCCAGCTCGGAATCCGAGTAGTCCGGTGGTAGTGTGTACGATCTGCCGTTGAAGAGGCGGGCAGATTCCTCCGAGAGGGCGTAGTGCGAGATAGTGGACACGGTACGCTTCAGGGGTGATTCCTGTAGTGCTATGCCCTGTCGGCGATAGCCTGGGTACGACTGGGCGGGTGCTGGTACATCAACATCACTACCAGGTAGTGATGCAAAGCGTTGAGGACGTGAAGATCCGGCGGAGAGATTGAGTGATGAGGGCGATCTAGTCATGAAATAGTCGTCACTTGCCTGAGATCTTGCTGTACGATGAACGTCAACGCCACGCTGAACTGTGCCGTAGCGTGCGGAGCTTCCTTCGGCCTCTTCCATCGATTCTTCATCGTTAGGATGGTACATGTACGCATTGCCTGTGCGTCCTATCAGGGATGGAGCGTCAGATCGATCGCTGAAAGAGGTCTGGGCGGTGAAGTAAGGAGGGCTTCGCGAATCATGAGGTGAAAGACTGAGATCTGTACGATAGATTGCGTCCTCATCTAGGTTCTGTAGGCGGTAGCGACTCTGAGTGATGGTATGGCGGTTTGAATAAGTATGGCTCGGGCTGTCCTCGTCATGATCGAAGGCATCTGGAGGTTCGGAGTAATAGCTACTCATGGCTGAGGAGGTATGAGGACGCGAGAAGTTTGTGCCGAAAGGAAGAGGCTCTGAACGTACACTAAAGCCGGTAGATGGTGGGCTTGGAATGTTTTGAGCGGCGCGACGAGCTGCAATCTCTTTGTCGCTTGGACGTTTCGCGAAAGACATGACATCTGGGTGCTGACGGAGTGGATTGATTGGAGGCAGACGATCGGCAATTTCAATATTGACGTGTTCGTTGCGAAGCTTCTGGAGTCTTGCCTGCGACCATGGTCTTTGAGGATCGTAACCGCTGAGCTGAGGCAGATGCGGATCGTTGTTTTTGGCGGCTTCAAGGAGACCGGCAGGTGGCTCCTGATACAGAAAGTCGGAATCTTCTTCGAAATCTGGGAAAGTGGAGGGTTTTGTTGCAATTTCTGGCTCTTGCAATTCATGCATGGTGTCCATCCTTGGATGGATCTTGGACTTCTTGAGCTTTGTAGTAGACGCCTTAGGCTTGAGAGGAAAATAGCTATGGCGAGGTTTGTTGGAAGACAAGAGCTCATCATCAGGAAACAAACGTTTTTTAAGGCTCTCATTCTCGAGACTTTCCTTGACTTTGTCGTTAAGCGTGTCCGACGCGATAGCCGTGGTTCGCTTGCTCTTCGAATGGCTAGTGAATCCGGTGAAGGCACCTTTCATCTTTGTGACTACGCCAGCACCAGTACGACGGCGAAGATCTTTGTCCTCAACTTGCGGAAATGCATACTGTGAGCCAGATGTAGGGAGTGCAGTCAATCGAGGATTCGATGCATCTGACGCTTCTCCTGGAGGTGGGATTACCGGGACGTTCTTGGTGACAGGGAGCTCGATCTCGCTGTCGGAATAGTCGTCAAAAGGGTCATGGCTTGCTGGCTTTTTTGATGCGGAGCTTGCTTGTGCAAATTTCGCATGGCTTATTGGTGCATCTAGTGAGGCATCTGGCATCAAAGGAGATGAGATGATCAAAGGAGATGAGATCATCAAGGGAGCTGAGATATCAGAAAGAGAGATTTTCTTGCGAACAGACGGGGAATTTGACCCGCTCGCCAGTCTAGGCCGGTTAGTCTTGTTCTTTCCGAAACGGAAGAAGGTGCCGATAGCTGACCGTGAATGGCCTTGCTTTTCTGGAGCTGGCTTTGGTGAGACTTCGTCAGAGATGACGGACTCGTTGACTGCAGAGTTGGTCGACTTGTCGAGAAGAGACGACTTAGTGTCAGATCTGAATGAAACTAGAGAAACGTGTCAGATCTGGAAGTATGTTGAGGATAAGTGTATCTTACTGTGAGCTCTCTGAGGTAACGCAGGTGCGGTTGCACCGTGAGGCATGTTTTCGTCAGATCTTTCATCGTAAGTGCCAAAATTGGCCATTGACTGATTCTGATGACGCAGATTACTGAAGTAGCGACTGCTTTGACCATGCAGAGTGTGAGTCAGGTCTGGATTGGACTGCATACGCCGGACATAGGAGTGTTGACCTGGGGTCGGTGGAAGTGGTTTGTCTCTGCGGCTGCCAGAACCGTCCGAAAACTGACGTTTGTCCATTGTAGCTCGTGATGAATGATAGCTGACAACGTTTGGCGAGTAAGCAAGCTCACATAAGGTGCCCGAGCCTCGAAGTAAGATTGAAGTACGGTGGGCAACCAGAGGTGGACGAGGGGTGTTGTGAAGAGGTTGAGATTTCCGGGGGGGACGCACTTTTGTCAGACGCTTGCGACCTGTAGTGAAAATTGGCTCAATCTCGCGTGGTCACAACAAGAGGGTTACACATTGCGTTGTTCACTTTTGGGGGAGAGAGGGGGGGGAGGGGGGGGTTACCTCTCCTTGTAGGCCCAGATACCCGTCCGAGCTCGTCATTATACACGCGGAACGATGTCATATCTACAACTGGCAGATGAGTTGTCAAAGTGATTCAAGATTGATACGCACTACCAGGACGTAAAGTGAATGTAAAGTGGAAAAGGAGGCGGTGAGAGAAGCGGACATGGAGATGGAGACGAAACAGTGGTTGAAATAAGGTAGAGACTTGGAATAGGAGACAGTCGTGCCTTCCAATAGACCTTGGCCACGCGCCTGCCCATCTTGTATAGGTTATATAAGATTTTAGTGGACAGGACGATATAACTCTACTTACGCGCCCTTCAGCGACGAGACCGCAATTGAGATTTTGCAGTTAGTTTTTCTGTTTTGAAAGGCCGGAAGTTCTACGATAGTGCGTCGAATGACCAGTTTTCCACAATATAGGGCCATGCTCTTGAATACTGGATGAAAGAAAACAACTCGACGTCGACTAATTACCTTAGGTAGCAGCCCATATGATGCTTATACAAAACTCAGGAAACCATGTCATGAATGTCGCCGCGCTGCGTTCCCATTGAACTGGAAACTTTGGTTATACTGTATGCAGTCGCAATGCATAGGCGGCTCTTGCTATGTCTTCGACCTAGCTTACGTATTCATCCTCGCTTGTCCGATCCCCAGTTTCTAGGGAATATAGATTTCTGAATACATGCTACCCAATGTACAAAAAGTACGCGAACAACAAACAAAAATGTCTGAACATTTGCTCAAGTTCCGTCGCCGGATAGGAACTACCATTGCATATTCAATTGACAGCTGGGTAATTGAAGGGAAGGTCAACTAGTAGCCAGGAAGCGGAGTGAATAATGCGATGAGAAACCACAAACGGCAAACGATGTTGGACGCGATGTCAATTGAGGACCAGCAACGCTAGCCCAGAGAGGCAAAGCGGCCTCTGTCATTATCTGCTCTACTGTGATTGGCTCCCTGGGTTTTAGAATCGGTCGTGATGTGATTGGCTGCTTGGTCGGGGTCCGGCAACTTGAACCCCTCGAGGGTTGCCGGATGTTATTCCGATGTCTGATATATCCTCATCTTTTCTTTGTTATATAGTGACTTTAATTCTCGGTCTCTTTACGGTGTCGCATGACGACTACATGCCAGTTATATAGACCCCCTGCGATTGTCTGGCTTACTCCCGAGCCTTCATCTGCCTAGTGGACGCTCACTGACCGACAATCCTCGGCATCTCCTCCAGCCGCACCACCACCTCCATATATATACACGTTTCCGCCACCTGGTCACCTCTTCAGACAAAACTATAAGCCGTCGCCAATATGTCCTTCTCCTCACTTGTTTCCGACATCACATACAAAGACCGAGATCTTGACGACCGGCGGTCGCTTGTGTCGCGAGCTAGATCGTACGCAAGCACTGCCGCAACGAGCGTGAGCATAAGTGGTGATATAGCAAGCCAATTGCATGGCGGCTATTCACACCCTCTGGCAAGAGCATGGCAGGCTGAAAGACAGTTGACCAAGGTATACCCTCTGGCAGCTAATCAATCTCGCGATCAAGTCTGACATCTGTCTTTAGTCTATGTTAATCTATCCTCTCTTCGTATCCGACAACCCCGACGACGAGACTCTCATTCCATCTCTGCCTGGCCAATACCGCCGCGGCGTGAACAAACTCGTTCCATACCTCACTCCTCTCGTTAGAAAAGGCCTCAAGTCGGTCATCTTGTTTGGCGTGCCTTTGGCGCCCGGCTCTAAAGATGCTCTCGGCACAAACGCAGATGACCCCAAGGGCCCAGTCATGTCCTCCATTCGCCTCCTTCGCAGATCCTTCCCTAGTCTTTTTATAGTAGCCGACGTTTGCCTCTGTGAATACACAACACACGGCCACTGTGGCATCCTGCGGGATGATGGAGGCCTAAACAACGCGCTATCCGTTGACCGGGTCAGCGATGTAGCAATGGCATACGCGGAAGCTGGCGCCCACTGTGTGGCACCATCAGACATGAACGACGGTCGCATTCGTGCGATTAAGCTCAAGCTGATAGAGGCGGGGATTGCACACAAGGTTGTCCTCATGTCATACGCTGCGAAGTTTTCTGGCTGTCTATACGGCCCGTTCCGCGATGCAGCAGGATCATGTCCCTCGTTTGGCGATCGTAAATGCTACCAGCTGCCACCAGGCGGCCGAGGTCTTGCACGACGTGCCATTCAGAGAGACATCAACGAAGGCGCCGATATCATCATGGTGAAACCTGCAAGCCAATACCTTGATATCATAAGTGACGCGAAGGATATTGGGCAGAATCTCCCTGTTGCAGCGTACCAAGTATCGGGAGAGTTTGCTATGATTCACGCAGGAGCGAAGGCGGGAGTCTTCGACCTGAAGGCCATGGCATTCGAGGCGACAGAGGGCATATTAAGAGCTGGTGCAACCATTGTTGTCAGCTATTTCACCCCGCAATTCCTGGACTGGCTAAGCAACTGAATAATGTGTATTCTTATTTTTATTATTTGAAGATGGAGTACGAGTATTGGTCTTTCTCTTGAGGAGGTGCTGCTTCATGTCGATATTTTATCGATCGCATCATTCGCAACGCATCGGGTTTTTGTAGTGCTTTTATATACCACTTCTTAAAGATCACATGAAAATGAGTACTCAGCTTGATGTTTTCTAGACGACTCTGTGCTTGGTGTCCTGTGTCCTGTGTCCTGTTTCTCTCAAGGTGTTGAATATGTTGGTGCCTCCTAGCTGAGAGTGCCAAAGCGACAGCACGTGATCATGCTTTCTTAGTAAATTTATATCTACAAAGTCTGATCAGCTTTTCGACTTCAGAAGGATGGAGCTGACTTACAGGAATATGCTCTGCTTCCCATAGATCTCCCGATCTGGGTCTTCCACCTCCTCAACATTGAACATCTTCCTCGCGGCCTTCATGAACTGCAGATCTGCCCTTCTTCTCTTCTTGAAGCAGAAGTAGCACGTCGTATTCTCTCCAATGAGATCCCTGAGTGTCTGCTGAAGCAGCGGAAACGCAGGCTCAAAATAGACACAATCCGCCGCTAGAATTACATCCGGCGAATTCGGCAGCCCGTCCGGAACTGCGCTGCCCCAGTCATAAATGGCTGCCTTCGCGCGACCCTCAAGACCATTCAACTCAACATTTCTCCTCATGAGCGCAAACATGGGGAGCTGGTCTGTGATCCACACAGGCTCGTCCGTCTCACAACCCATGGCCACGGCCAGCCCAACCAGTCCCCCTCCGGCACCAAGCTCGACTCTGCGGACCCACGCGTCAGCAAACAAACACACGCCCCTTGGTCCGTCGTCGACTTGTCCGGCGTACAAACATTGATTTGCCCTTGAGCGTATCCCTGTGTTGGCGGAGCATGTACTTGGACAGCACCATGCCGGCGGGCCAGAGCTGGCCGCCACATCCCTCCTTGAGGTCTTCGTGCAGCTTCAGCGGCGTGGCGAGGAGGCCATCAAACGTTGTTTCCGAGATTCCGGCGGCTTTGTGGGCGGGCGATTGGACGAGGTCTTCGCTGATGCCGAAAGGCAGTTCGTCAGAGGAGGATGTTGGCGATGGCATGGTTGTTGTTGGGTGGAGGGTGTGGCGTGTGGCGTGGGTGGGGGAAGTGAGTGGACCAAGCGAGGCGCACAAATACTTGCCCTGCGACCCTGTATTCATTTCTTCATCCTATTCTTCATGACAACAAACATCACATATACCTTGGGACGTGCCCGGTATCTCATATCCCACCGGCACTCGTAATTTCGTTCCTCTGAGTCGTTTGTCATTGCTTAGACAATGCTTGACAACGCTCGACAAGCGACTGACAGCGCTTCTGCTGTGCCGCGAGGTCATATGTTTTGGCCAGGCAAGGGATGTGTTTGTTGGGCAAAGAAGAAGGCAAGGAGGTAGAACGATCTTCTGAAATAGTCCCGAAGAAGCTTGTTGAAATCTATCTATTTCCTGCCACCCACCTCTACTGGGACATGAGAGCGACTAGCAGTAGCGGATTCTGATGACGACCTCTCAACCCCTGTGGTACCTGTCGTCACTCTGGGATGAGGATGCTTGAGGGTGAGGCTCTTCAATGTAAGGCTGATCCCGCCCTGTACAGGACCACTAACGACTCGCCGATTCACTCTGCTCTGCACGATGACGGCAATCAGACCGATCCTGTCGCTACAGTCAAACACTGACCATCACATCACACATTGCTCCCTCAAATACTTGGGAATGAAGGTGCACTCGACCGACCTAGGCGATACGTCACTTTTCTATGTCAACCCAATGTGCTCCCCATCATCTTCTCATTGCGGACTTTCCAGCAGTATATGCTTGTTCCAGACCCGTCCGAATCTTACTTCAACCCTGTCGTTCTTGTCTTTTCTAGAGAAACTTTCTCCTTGCAGTCTATGGCCGTTGACATTCTTGGTGGCTTGACGTGCCGCTCCCGCCCTTGGTTGCACGCTATGTCGATCTTTAGTTTGCATAATGCAGAGGTTTCTTATATACCTGGGTATGTAGATCGCTAGGTATCGCGACTGGGCACTCAAGATGTTCTCTTTTCCCTTGAGCTGCGCGTGATATAATCTGTGTTTACCCCCTTCTTCTGACAATTCCGTCCGTTTTTGGAAATGGCCAAGCTCACCTAATGAGCCACACATTCCTTTGTATCCGTTTGCAGATCTTCAGATCTTGGAAGGGTTATCGAGCATTCTTTTGATATATACTGGTCAGTACCTCCCTCCTAAGGAATGAATAGCTCTCGCAAGCTCATCACGGCGGACAGGCGCCATGTTAATAATATTTCTCTTTGCATTTCTCGCCGCTGCATCTGCGGTGCCGTACGTTTCATTGCCGTTCAATTCCCAATATCCCCCCGTAGGACGCGCCGGTCAAGTATATAGCTATGAGCTGTCTCCACACACGTTTGGCCCGCTGCCCGACGCGGCCGACTTCCAGCTCGCACTCGACAATGGTCCATCATGGCTGTCACTCAATTCTACATCTCTCGTTTTGGAGGGTAAACCGGCGGAAGAGGATGTTGGATCGAGTTCTTTCAGCATCGTGGCTTCAAAGGGGGCTAACCAGGTGACAATGAACTGCAGTCTGCGCGTTGTTGATTATCGTGGACCTGATGTCAAAGGGGATCTTGTGGATGTCATGGTAGAAGGAAATGATCGCACTGGATCCACTACCGTCTTGATTGCCCCCGACTCCGCAGTCCTGGTCGAGCTCGCAGACGATACGTTTGGCTCAGAATGGAACAATCTCTCGTACGCGGCTACGAACGATGATGGACTACCTCTTCCTAGCTGGTTGAACTTCAATCCCGATAACCTGACGTTCTCCGGCCAAGCACCTCGTCTAGAAAATGCATCTCAGCTGTTTGATATAAGGGTAGTGGCATCAGACATGGACGGCTTCGCCAGCGCGGAGCTTCCGTTCACGTTTGTCCTAAGCGAGCACAAACTCGCGTTCTCGCCTGTGAGTCCGAATATTACGCTGAAAACGGGTGATGCTGTTCACTTCGACAGCATCGGGAGCATGCTGCAGTTGGACGGGAAGCAAGTCGAGGTCGACCAAACCTCTTCACTATCAGCGCATGGCTTACCAGACTGGCTAGAGTACGATTCGAAGACAGGAAGTCTTGACGGAAATTCCCCGGACGGTGTCGAGTCACTCGCATTCTCCGTCGAGGCCTCGGACAAGTATGACGGATATGTCAACACAACCTTTACCCTGACATTCGTGCCATCTCTCTTTACAGGCGCCATACAGACATTAGACGCCACGCCCGGCACAGCATTCAGCTACACGTTTCCCGACTCGCTGTTTGCCGCCCAGGGGCTGAACATTGCCCTCCAGACTACCAGGACCACTGCGTGGCTGGCATACAGTCCGGCGAACAAGATCATGTACGGCGACGTGCCGCTTGATATGGCGACGGGAGACATCGAGGTCACGCTTGTCGCGACTTCGCCTCAGCATCCCTCGACGACAGAGCGCAGGATTATCAAGATCCACCTCACGCAGGCAAAGACGAAGGACGCTATGTTGCACAAAAAGCGCATCATAATGGTCATCTGCCTGATGTCGGTACTCGCCATCACCATCCTTATTGGCATGCGAGTGCTATACATTCGCGCACGCCGCCGCCGTCGTAGTCGAAAGACTGATCCCAAAACAATCTCACACGGAAACCACCCATCGAATCCCTACACCATCGGCACAGATCCCGACACCGACGACGATGACGACGACCCCGAACAAGGCTCCGCCGTGGAGAAATCTGAGAAGCAGCACGCTCCATCAAACCCATCACCACCCTGTCTCGAACTATCCGAAGCACCACCCACTAAATCCCATGCACAACAGCCCAAACCCACAAACCCCTCCTCCACACCACTTACACCCTTCGGCCGCGACACACTGTTCGTCCTCACAGAAGCCTACGGACGGTTGTCAGCGCGAGACGGTATCTGCGCCACAGAACGCGCCATAAAACGCGCCGCCTCCTCCCCTGAATCGCACAAAAACGACAATAACAACAACGACAAAATATCTAAAGCGAAACCCAAACCCAAACCCCGCAAATCATCATCATCGCCACCAAGTCGCACACCCAGCAGCATCAAGCGAAAGGGCGAAGTCGCTGCCGCCGCGCTGCGCCGTAAATGGAGTAATGCTAGCGGCGTGTCGCGCAGCTCGTACTCGTCGAGTGCGCTCTCTGCGAAGCTGTCCGAGTTTCCGACACCGCCGCTGCCGTCGCTGCCGTCTCTCCCGTCGCTGGTGACGGCTGGGTCGGTGGGAATGGGGCGGGATGGCGTGGTGAGCCGGGTGGATCGGGTGGTTGCGGAGGGAGAGATGGCGAACAGCACCACGACGAAACAGAAACAAAAACAGAATCAGAAACGCCCGCGTCCTACATCCACGCTCTCGATGTTTCCCCCACCGTCATCGTCCACGCCGAAGACGGGGTTGAAGGTAAATCCGACATGTCCTGTGCATGGCACACTTCGACCCGGCAGCACACCCCACCCCAGCAGCACACTACACCGCCGCAGTCCGAAGACAAAACTACTCTCGCTTCGAAGATTTCTGTCGCCTACGTCTAGATCTACACCCATAATCAAATCCACATCTAAGTACAGATCCAGATCCAGATCCGCGCTGCGAACGCAGGACCATACACCCAATCAGACACAAAAACGAAAACAGAAAGAAAATCAAAAAGAACAACATGGCAAGACTAAACATACCCCCTGCTCAGCACATACGCAAACACCTACCACTCTGCCCTGTACAATACACACGCCACACGCCACAGCCACCAACGAAACCACAGTCCCAACAACCACCACCGCCACAACAGTCCCTACAAACATAGCCACCATCACCACCACCACGACAACCACCCCGAAAGACCTCCCCAAACCCACACAAACACACCCAAGAATAAGCACAATCGGCCCCGGGCTCCGCTTCATCGACTCCCCCTCCTCATCCCGCTCCGCATCCCAATCCACGCCCCTGCCAATTCTATCCACACAGTCACAAACACAACCACCCACCTCACACAGTCCGCACACTCCACTCAACGCCGCACGACTAAGCAGCGCGTGGAGCACAATAGATAGTAAACAACAGGGAGAAGGAGGAGGAATGGACGGTGCCCAAGTTGAGCAGGGGAAGGAGATGGAGATGGAGTCATTGGGTGGTGGGTTGGGGTTCTGTGTGCATGTGACGGCGCCGGTACCGGCGAGTCCGGTTGCGGGGACGGAGGGATGGAGGGTTGGGGATGAATGGAGAAGGAACGGAGGGATAGAGGGATAAGGGATGAAGGCGGAAGGAACAAGGGAGGGACAAGAGAGGAGAATTGGGATGAGAGTCGATTGAACAGGGCAGGTTTGGCATTATATACACTTACTGCTGCCAACTTTTTCTTTGTCTGTTTGAATGGAGCGGTTCCACATGTTGTTGGCTTTGTCTCATATGTAACCTGCTCGGTATGGCAGAGTTGAAGTATATACGTTAGAATTTGTACCAATGTTACTGTTAGCATGACAGATAGTACAGCACATCAATTATTGACGTTGCATTTGATTGACATTGTTATCGTTATTTGCTATTGTAACAGATGATGACTTTGGTAAAAGCACAGCTTTCTCCCCAAACGCCGTCATGTTGTTGATGCCGTTACACCCATGTGACTACGTGAAAAGCGAGATTATACAGACTATGCCATGCTCTCGCGCACAGCAATGGTGTGTGGTAGTAGTGGAAGACGTAGTAGTAGAATCATAAAGTGGCACTTGGCCAACATTGGTGTTTCGCACATTCCATGAGGTCACACCGCCCACCACGTCTCACCTAATCCTTCTTGACAGCATCCTCCTCCTCGACACTGCCGGTGCTGGCCAAGGTGCTGGCAGTGGTGGCCTTCTCCAGGGCCAGGGCGTCCAAGTCCTCAGCCGTCGGACCATGCAGTTCTTCCTCAAAGACAGGCTCAGCCTCAATGGTCTCGAACTTGGTCTTGAATGCGGAGAGATCATGACCATGCGAGGAGGAGTTTGTGCGACGGCGTGGGTGGGTCATATTGTAGTTGAAGTCTTCGAGCTCGTCGCCCTCGCGGCCCCTGTGTCAGTGTTAGGGAAGCTATGAGACCCAGGGGAAGTTGGCTTACCAGTTGCCTTTGCCTCCACCGTTCTTCTTGGTCTTGTTAGGGTCGGAGTCTGCGTGACCGGACTTTGCAAAGTAGCGGGGCATGCAGTCTTCGTGGTCGGCGGTACCGTCAGCAATGCCGGCATGGTCACGGTCGTTTGCTTTGTGGGAGCGAGTCACTGTGATGAAAGAGTCAGCTTCAGCTTGGAGATGAAGTAGTAAATTGGATGAATTGGACAATATAAATGATTATCACGATGATGACAAGGTCCAAGTAATGCTGTGAGTGAATGGAGGGGGGTTGTGCAGCCAAAACAAAGGACGACAGCAGGACTTACTGATTGTTGAATGGCGAGAGACGATGGAGTCAATTGGTAGATTGGTGATGAAGCAAGATGGATGGATGGTCGAGATGGAAGCTTGATCAAGATATATGAAAGAAGAGAGATTGGAGGTGAGAAGGAGAAGCTATTGGGGAAGTCAAGATTCGATCAGCTGCTACTCTCGTGACTTAGGTGTGGACCAATGAGCAATGAATGCGGACATCGGAGTGTGGACCATCACACAGGAGCGGGGAGGCTTGACGGAGTGGAAGAGGGGGCGTACCTTGCAGCTTGGGCCAGATGCAGATGAAACGTGATCACATTTGTTGTTTTGATCAGTGCAGTGAGAAGACGAAGTGGATCTGGAGTGGAGGGGATTGCGTGGAAGTGGAGTAAAAGGTGAGCTGAGTGCAGTAGTGATGTGATGATGTGAGAGATGAGGCGGTTGAAGCACGACAGCGCAGGCGATGGTCACGCGAGCTTGAGCTTGAGCTTCAGCTTCATTGTGGAGGTGTAAGGTTGTGTATACTGCTATATTAGGGAGAGGTATCTAGTGCAGGAATGCGGGGCTGCAGCCATCATCAATTGCGGGCTCACCTGCAAGATGGCCATCTCTATGAAAACGTGTGAAGATGCAGCATCATGTAGCCTTTCCGTCTCTCTTAGACAGCGTTGACGGGAAAGGCGTTATCAAACGAATGAATGACTGATCGGAGAACAGAGCTATCAGAAAGCAGCATACGTCATACGTCATATGTTGAATGTTAAATATCGCAGGAATGCATTAGTTATGCGACCAATGCAGGCATCCCACAGTCCAGACTGCAAACGTGACTTCAGACCCACTGCAAAAAAGGGCCTTTATTCTTCTTCCTGTTGATTATGATTATTCCAAGTATTCTTAGTGCTCACTACTCAGGGCCCCCTGGAAATGCCCAAATCCGGGGTAGAAGAGGCGCCAACACTGTTTTAGCACAGCGTGAGGTGACCGTCGCCTAATAAACGTGACTTCTGTGGCTTCTGTGGCGTCGTCTGGCCCGCGATCCGAGGCCGTCCTCCGGCTTTTCTTCGCTGTCTCTTCCTCTCCGCTGTCCGCTGTCCCCGCCGTTTGTCAGCCAGGCCAATGCCTCCGCAGTCGCTCTACTATCAACGGTGCTCCAAGAATTCACTCTCTACGTCCTCCTTCTAGCCAGTCTCTACGCTGTGTCTACCTTTTTCCTCTATATATTATTCGCGTACTTCGCGCCATACATACACGACTGCCAGCTATGGCTCCCTTTGTGACCCTGGACAACACTGACGACCTCGACTTGACCCCGCCTCCTTCCTCCAAAACTTCTTCCTCTCAATCCCGCACACTCCTCCTTGCGCCACCATCCATATCCTCACATCCAGAAACCCTCAATCGAATATTTGCCGACTACAATCGCAATGTCACAGACCTCCAGATGCTCGATCGACTGGCCATGGGCCTTGTCTCGCTCCCCGATTCTACCTACGACGTCGTGCTACTTCTGACCGACGCCGATGGTACCCGCGCAGAGAGCCAGAAGCTGTTACATAGACATCTAATGGAGAAGATTGTTGCTACAATGAAGCCTGGAGCCTGTCTGAAAAGTCAGGATGGCAGTTTCGGTGCCAGCAACACCGCCGAGCACACAGAGGCCATTCTCTCTGGTCTCGTGCGCCAGGACAATGACGGCATGGTGAAGCCAGACACATCTTCAAGCGCGTCGGTACCGCTGCGATTTGGAAAGAAGAAGACGAATGGGACACCTGTGACGGCAATCAGCGAGGCAGTGCCAGTCACATCTAATGTGAAGAGAAAGGTCGATGAGGTTGCAAACCCAAGTGGTGTAGGCTTCGTCGACTTTAGTGATGACCTGGACCTCATGATTGCGGGGGAGGATGATGATGACCTGGTCGATGAAGACGACCTTCTGACCGAGGCCGACAAGGCACGACCTGTGACACAGCGTAGGTCATACCAATTCACATCGAAGAACCTCACTGACTAGTCTCAGCCCCCGAGTGCAGACCCAAGGCAGGCAAGCGACGCCGTGCATGTAAAGATTGCACTTGTGGCATGAAAGAGAAGCTTGAAGCCGAGGATGCCGCAAAGCGCCATGCTGCAGACACAGCTCTCGGCGCCATGAAACTCGAGGCAGACGACCTCGCAGAGGTTGACTTCACAGTGCAAGGAAAGGTTGGCAGCTGTGGGAACTGCGCACTGGGTGACGCTTTCAGGTGCGATGGCTGCCCATATATTGGACTACCAGCTTTCAAGCCGGGCGAAGAAGTTCGTCTGCTAAACAACGACATCCAATTATAGATAGTATAGGATGGCGTTGGAATATGGTGGCGTAACTTTCGGATATCATTTTTTGGTGTAGCAGACGTTGTGCGGAACATATACCGACTTAGCATTGGCTGCGGAACAGGACTTACTGTATGATTGTAACTATGGGTGTGTAGGGAGACTCTAAAAAATATACCTAGATAATTAGTCTCCGTTGTATACAAGCTGCATACCAATAGGACTACAATAAGCATACACACATGATGCTGAAGCCTAGAGCCGCCCATCATAACAGTCAAATACTCTTCTTGTAGTTGCAAGCCATTCTTTCATCCCGAAGATCTAGTATTTTCCCGATGCCGTGCAGCCGTTCCAATCTTGGTCGTATGCGCGAATCGGGCTTAGCGCTTGACAACAAAACACCCAGTGCCTGCTATACCTGGGAGAGGTTAGATCAAAGGTTTGCGAAACTCCGCCTACGTTCGTCCAAACATTCCTTGAGCTACAAGGCGTCGACATCGAACACGCGCATCTTCACCGCGCGCCGTTCATCCTCCTATCATCTCCCATAATGTTCTCTCCCGACTCGACTATTCATAGCATCCATGGCACGGCGCCTCGAAACCCCCGGCGCCGCGCGCGCAACGACTCTGACAGCATTCGTCACCAGAGAAAACGAAGCAAGCTTTCCGATGAATTCTTCTCTGCTCCTGGTAACGAGAAAGTTAACGGGAATGGTCACATAGGCACGAACGGATCTGCCATGAATGGCCACCCTCGCGCGGTCTCGCATTCCTTGGACATGCCCGTGAGAGAGAAGAAAGCTTCAGGCGCTGCAAAGCGCGGCTCAAAGGCCGATGGCAGCATCGTTCTGGTGTGCACGCTCCAGACTCGTACACAGAAACCTCAGCTAACCTTATTGTAGACAAGGAATGCCAACTATGCCGTCAAAAAGCTACCCAGCTTACCTACCCATCTTCATGATCATCCTGAAGGTATGAAATTGCTGTATCCAGGAGGACAATTGAAGGTTTAACTGACCATTTCATAGAATCATATCGCGCCTTTCTCCTACAAAAATCTCCTTATGCGCTCGCTCTCACCCATAACCATGCATTCATTTTCGATTATACCTCGAACCAACGCGCCACTCCTCGAACCTTGAATCTGCCGCATATACTCAAACAGTCAGAGCCTATTCCGATCGGATCCCTCGTACAGACGGGTCCATCAAACGAGCTTGGACTCGTTGTCGTCTACCCCAGGACCGGGAAGATTGTCTTCTGGGAGAACGTGGATAGCGCGGAATCTCTGAGCCTCTTCCAGCAACGCCGGCAAGGAGTAGAAGGCACTGTTAATGGCTTACTGAGCGGAGAGACTGCGCTCAATATCATCGATGCTGGTGTTTCCGGCTTCATCCTCACATTTTCGACTGGCCGCTTGGCACAGCTTACGATCCGAGACGCCCAGGGCCGGCCTAGCATATCTGTTACCTTTGTTCGTGCCACTGGCGGTGGTGGTCTTTTCAGTGGCTTCAAGAACGTATTCTCGGGGAGCTCGTGGCGCAAGGAAATCGCGAATGTGAGACAGCGCAAGACACAAGAGAAGGGCCAATCAGACATAATCGCTGCGACGAGAGCAGGTTCATTTCAGCTGTGGACGATCGGATGGACTGGGCAGCACACTCTTCGCGCAGATATAAACGTACACGACGATCTGCTTGCCGTGCTCAAAGACTCTGCTGAGCCAGAATTGAAAGGCCAACACACTGAAGTCAGTTTGCTCGACTTTGTACTGCTCCCCGAATCAGTAGAGCGAAGTCGCGGAACACTGGTCGATCAAAACTCCAATGACATTCAACGTCTGTTCAGCGCCTTGACCATAGTGGCCATTCAAGGGCCATCAGAGCGTGGCTATGCCCTGGTAGAGTTAGACTTTGATAAGTCAAGATCTACTTCTCAGACCACGTCTTCTATCAAGCGACTCATACCAATACACTCATACGAAGAGGATGTCACCGAGTCTCTGTCAGCCCAGTTACTCCTACCCGCACCCAGCGCAATGGCCATCATTGTCTTTAACAAGGCGATTGTCGTCGCGTCGATTGCGGAAGTGAAGCAAACAGCGGAAAGTCAATTGCTGGGAGATTTTGGAGCACCAACTCCGCCGTTTCAAGATACTCTGTACCTGAATCGGAAAACCCATGTGAAATTTGTTGGATTTGGAGCGGAAGAAGCATCGCATTCAGACAGAAGCGCAAGATGCATCATCTTTGCACAAGGGAGTGGCATTCTCCGGATGGCAGCTGAGCATCCTGAGAAGAGCAAGCCAGTCGTCACAGTCAAAAGCAAGATTGAGCAGGCTGTCTTTTTTGCAAAGAATCCAGAAGCAATATTTGACTTCACACCGAGGTCTATTCCGACCTTCACGCAAAGAGAGATCGAAGTTGCTGCAGAGCAGGTTAGCAAAGAGATCTGTAGATCCTCATCTGGATACGTACCTGCAATACTACCTTCTATGGAACAGCATCTGAATCTGCGTGCGCAAGCGTTGTCCGGGCTGGCAGACCATCTGCGATTGAATTACCCACCGCTATCCAGGAACACGAAATGGGCGCTTCTATGGAATGCCGAGAAGGTCGCTGCGGCGGAAGGTCTCTGGAAGCACTATGAGGAGCGAATCCAGCAAGACGTCAATCAGCGGCCTCTTCTTCGAGAGATGGTGGATGTACTACACGACCGATACAAGACTAGTCTCAAGCCCGAAGCTGGCGAGGTGGACCCGGTGCGGCAATGGTTCATCAAGGACGTCGGTGGTATCGAAAACTTTCTCCCCTGGGCGTTCAACTGTATAAGGCTCGTCTACAAGGAAGGCTCTAAGGATCATCGGTCTGTGATGCAGCTTATCATCGAAGCTGACGACATGTTCATCCGAGCACTTACCACTACATTCAGCTTTCGCGAAGAAAACGTCACTGCTTATGGGCTTGAAGACGAGCCATTGGAAGATGCGATTCTCACTACAGGATTCAATGGGCTTCCCTGCCCGTGGACAGCAACTCATAATATCACAGACGCGACGCGGCAGTTGGTAGATGTGGCACGCCAGATTGCGGAAGATCTGGATCCCGACGATGCTCGAGACGATGACGACTTACAGCTGCAGAAGATCGCGCTTGACAATCCAAAGCTTGTCGGACTTTGCTGTCAAGTGTACACCGAGCGTTATAGCTGGCTGCTTGAGCAGGACGAGCCCAAATACCAGGCTTCTGGTCGTGATATAAGGGAAGACTATCTCACCAAGATTAGACCTAATCAGATTCGCAAACTCGAAGAAATCGGACAGGCTGATGCTGGGATGAAGTTGGCTGAGAAGTACCGCGATATGGGAACTCTGGTCGTGCTGGTGGGTGGGGAATACAGCTTCCTAAAAGAAAGTCTGAGGGACGGTAACGCGACGATCAAGATCAGCTCGGCCAAGCAGTTACAGGAGATGGATAAGCGCATCCAAGAATACTTCGTTCAATTCAAGGACGGCTGGGCGAACGCTTGGTATTCCTGGCACATTCACAGTAGCCAAGCCGCAGTCATGCTGGACGACCGTTACTCTGGTCAATCGTATCTTACCAATTACCTCCGCAGTGACCCGACTCGCGCCAAGCTCAGCTGGATCAACGATATTCTGAACGAAAAAGACTTCTTTGAAGCATCAAAATCCCTCACGAGTGCCACCGATCGCGAACCCAATGTCTGGTGCAAGAAGGTTGAAGCATCCATGGCCAAACTCACTCTGATTGCCGCCGCTGAAGAAGACCCTACCCTGCAAGACACACAGTCCAGTATAGATCTTCAACGCAGTGCCGAACGCAACCTCCAGCTCATCAGAGTGCAGGAAAAGGCCTACGGGTTTGTTCGTGCCGAAGTCCTCTCCGCTCTCGATTACGACTCGGCCCTCGACGGCTGCATGGAGAAGTTCGGCTGCGTCTTCGTGGGCGATGATCGCGACGCACTGCGCCAACTTCTGCGCCAGGGCTTCGAGCATCTCATCCACCACCGTGCGCTGACAATGGATCTCCTGATTGACGTGCTCACGCTGATGAACGACACCGACGAAGACGTGACGCACGAGATTGGCCGGACACAGTTCATCCTCGCGCTACGGGTGCTCGAAAGCCAGTGTCTGCACATGAGAGACGAGCAGCGCGACGAAATGCTCAAGCTCATCTGGAAGCGCATGATGCTACGCGACGGCTGGCAGACGATCAATCAGACGAATGATTCCAGCGATATCGCACTCCACGACACGCTGCGCAACACGGCGTTGTATTGTACCCTGAAGGAGTGCGCAATACGCAGTGGTACGTCTAACCCCAAACTTTCCAGCCATCCCCAATCACAAAACTCCCAACACTAACCATCCACGCACAGCTTCATTCACCCTCTCTCACCCGACACCTCCCATCCAACCCTCCGCCACCCTCGGCGCACACACAACCCCAGCCGCCCTCGAACCGCGCTTCCCAGCAAACTCCGATGCCTCCATTCTCAAGCCCATCCTCCAAGCCAACCGCGCCGATGACAGCCTCGTCGCCAACCTCGTCGCCAAAGCTCGTCTCGACCATTGGTTCAAGGCCACAAAGGACCTCGTCGTGGCGGATCTCGAGGCCAAGTATGCATTCGATGTGCTTGCGTCTCGGCGAATGCTGGTTGCGAAGGATCGCTTTGAGGAGCTGGAGAGTTGGGAGGTTGATGAGAGGGGGGATGAGGATGAGGATGAGGAGGAGGGGAATGGGAGTGCGGGGAGTGGTGGGTTTGAGGGGGATGATGAGAGGGGTTTGGATCGGGATGGGGACGTTGAGATGGAATGAGCGGTAGTGGTGGTAGTGGTGAGCAGTGAGAGCAAGTACGTCGCGAGGATAGAGGGCGAGACAAGAATCGACAAGAGCATGTATTTGTGTTCAGTGGTCTAGTCCAGCATTGAAAAACAGGCGTTTTTCCACCCATACACACACACACATATCTTATGGGACGGACAGCATGACGATGGTATATTACAGCGATGTTGTTCATTGTTTATGTTTCTTCTTTTTCGCACGCCCAAGAATGGCATGGGAAGAATGAAGAAGAAGTATATTCCACACGTACTATTAAAAGATTATGTATATTTGTTTTTCCTTCTCCGGGAACCTGCGACACTGCTAACCCACCTTTCCATCTTATTCTTCTACCCATCCATCCATCCATTCACTCTATTTATGGATGCAGCTGCAGCTGCAGCGGGGGTAGTGGCAAAGAAGAAACAAGAAATGAGCATTCTTCGTTAATAGTAGACTTGTTCTTTTTTTTTCGTACGCGGAAGCATATACACACATATATGTATATACACCAAAAAAGACCATTGTTTCAACCATTTACTTAGTGGGACGCTTTTGGGTTTTTTTTTCTTTTCTTGCTCAGTTCTTGAGTTTTCTAATCCTTAATAACATACATATGCATACATGATTAGCATATCGAGCACACCTAGGAGGACGCGATGCGAGGAATTGCCAGTAAGTGTCGGTACGGGAATACGCGTACACACATCAAGAAGCGGCATAATCTGGACAAGGCGCTGTATATTTGCAGCGAAAAGTAAAGGTTTAGCCTCAGCTGTGGTCGTTGCTCTGAGAATTTCAGCAGTGTGGTTTCTGCTATCAATGTAGGACGGTACAAATGACATTCGCAACTGTCCAAAAAACATCACGCGTTGCTGACACATGCTATGCACCCCAACTCCGGCAGCTGCAAGAGCACGATCTTGATCTCGGCTTGCCCGTCGAGGAACATCGGGATCGGGTCCGGCGAATATGGCAGGGGTGGCTGGCAGCCGGGTCTGCAGGTGTAAATTCCCCGTGCTTTTCGCCGTCGCCTCAGCGGTAGTGGTGGTGGTGGTGGTGTCGGGATCACTCTTGCTTGGGAGGCAAAAACGAGCTGCAAGAAGAATCTGGCGATGTCACGAGTCCAGACTGAAGCTGTAGGTGCTTAGCTTGCAGCGTTTCGTATGTGTGCCTGCAGCTGCATCTGCAGCTGCAAGTTCTAGACTAGGCTGCTGTACCTGCTTGTAAACTTTAGGCGTTGAGCCAGCGCAGCGTCTGGGCCGCATGCTTGACGCTTTTGCGGGTCGTCGGAGCATTGCTACACGACGCGCGATCAGTCATGGAAGGTTTAGGATAGCCGTTGACGCTGAAGCACAGCGTGGACAAGCAACCCCAACACAAACAGGACTGAGTATTGGCAACCAAAAGCGATTGGGGGATTGGGGGTGCGTGACACGTCGCTGGGCACGTCGCACGGCCCTACTCTTCTTGGTCTCTTCTGTTATCTGTCGGCCAGTCGAAGTGCTAGGAGGCTCTGGAAAAGGACAAAAAGGCTCTAAGCTCTAGCCGCACAGCGTCCAGTGTTGTGGCTCGCAGGCAAAAAAGGCCGTTTATTGGCGCGAGCCTCAAAGTAGTATGCGGCCTACCCACCACTGTACCGGCCCGCGAGAAGACTGGCGGCGGTTGCTGATGGGAACATTTGAGCTTGCATGCATGCTTCTTTCGAAGAAAAAGCGTGTGAAGGTGCCTCGGCGGTGTCTGCTACTGTCTGTGACAAGCATTGCTGTGTGATGATTGTCTGAAGTATGTCTCAAGAAGTCGCTCGCTGGCCACGACGGCGATGACGCGCCCGGTGGCAAATGCTACGAGTCCACATGCAAGGGACAGAAGCAACAATCGTGAGCCTCAATGTCCTGCTGTACTGTGTGTATGTGTATGTAAATGTACGTGTATGTGTGCGTGGTGTGTGCTTCGGTAAGGACAGTAGGAGTGACAAGCCGAGTACCGATTGAGAGTGCTATAGTGGAGGCATTCACCGCTAGCAAAGACAGAGTGAGGAATAGATGACTCAGCTACACGCCGTGACGAGCTCCCATCATTTTGAAGTCAACCTGAATGTAGTGTGGTGTTGAAGAGATGCTAATAATATAACAATTATGGTTTGTTGGCGATGAAATGATGGATGAAGGGGCCCAGCAGTTGCCCCAAGCACAACAGGAAGGCGAAGTATTATTGATAGCCTTAGGTTTAATTCTCAATACTTCGCGCTTACCCTAATCGGGACTCTCTTGGGCAGACCGCTCCGCTCCTTTCCAACAACTCACCACCACCTGCACCACCATCACAGCCCCAGCTTCACAGCTCTCCCTCTCCCCATTCTCTCCCATCGTCTTGTCACCCGCGAACTTCTTCATCTCTTTGAGAGCTTCGTGTCTCTCGAGGACACTCGTATCTCATTCCTCGTTCGCACCGCGGCAAGGTGTGTGACTGCGTACTGTCCGCCCCATAATATCCGCCTTCTCGCCCTTCCTCCGTCGTCCCCGTCCTCGTCCTCGTCCTCTCCGACAACGTAGCAGTCATGTCGAATTCGTCCTCGAACGTCGTGGGCGTCCACTATAGAGTCGGCAAGAAGATTGGCGAAGGCTCTTTCGGTGTTATTTTTGAGGGAACAAACCTGCTCAACCAGCAACAGGTTGCTATCAAGTTTGTGCGTCGTTCTGCCCATACTGTCGGTCCCTTCTGGGCCGTCAACACGCTGCCGCCGGACCGCTTGCTAATACATACTCCAGGAGCCTCGTAAAAGCGATGCACCCCAGTTGCGAGACGAGTACCGCACGTACAAAATACTTGTGGGATGCCGTAAGTCCACGTTTTCTCCATACAGCCTTGCTCACGCGTGTCGTTTTGTCGAGGTAAAAGGCCGCGCTTGCTCCTGATGGCGGCTGTCCACAGCCTCGATGCCGACCGTCGCCTGTGACTTCTGTCTCTGTTATCTCGATACCGCCAGCCCGCGGACCTCGTCCTCTCAGTCAGTATGACTGGTACAATATGCATTTGAAAAATGTTGAGAGGCAGATCGATTTAAAGCGGCGGAAGTCGGGCATGTTTTTTTGTCCCTATCATATTGCTTTGCGCGGTGCCATATTCTTGATATACTGACTTCTTCCCAGCTGGAATCCCTAATGTCTACTACTTTGGCCAAGAAGGCCTGCACAACATCCTAGTCATTGACCTTCTGGGTCCCAGTCTTGAGGACCTCTTCGACCATTGCAACAGACGGTTCTCCATCAAGACCGTGGTAATGGTGGCGAAGCAGATGGTGCGAGCAGCTTTTTTCAGACGAGATGGCCGACTAACCCGAGCTTGTAGTTGTCGAGAGTGCAAACAATACACGAGAAAAATCTCATCTACCGTGATATTAAGCCAGATAACTTCCTCATCGGACGACCCGGCTCGAAAGCTGCCAATGTCATCCACGTAGTCGACTTCGGCATGGCAAAGCAATATCGTGATCCCAAGACCAAGCAGCACATTCCTTACAGAGAACGTAAATCACTCTCAGGAACTGCCAGATATATGAGTATCAATACACATCTTGGCCGCGAGCAGTCCCGACGAGACGATCTAGAAGCTCTTGGGCATGTGTTCATGTATTTCTTACGCGGTGGCCTGCCATGGCAAGGACTGAAAGCCGCCACGAACAAGCAGAAATATGAGAAGATCGGTGAGAAGAAGCAGACCACCGCCATCAAGGAGCTGTGCGATGGATTCCCTGGTACGTCCCCATAATATGTGTGTGGTAGCTCTGGGTGTCTAATGTCATGCAGAGGAATTAAACAAGTATCTGAGCTACGTCCGCAACCTCGGTTTCGAGGACACTCCCGACTACGACTATCTACGCGAGCTTTTTACGCAGGCGTTGAAGAGTACCGGCGAGGTTGAAGATGGCGAGTATGACTGGATGAAGCTGAACAATGGTAAGGGCTGGGAAACCCTAAAGAATCACCCTACGGGGGGTCATCTCCCACACAACATCACAGCCACCAACCGTGAACTAGGCGGCCAACGTGCCTCGCGCACCCCGGTTACTCGCGACGACATCAACAAGCCACTTCCAAGGCCTGGTGCAGCCCGTCAGCCAGGCGGTATGCGGGCACCACGTGGGCTAGATTCGAGCAATTACGACAAGCGGCAGAGCGAGGCGAAGCTCAATGCCCCGGAAGGAGGTTCGGCAGTTGCACAATTCCAGAACAGCCAGTCAAATCTCCAACCAAGAAACATAAACGCTCAAGGTCAGATGACCCCGACACCGGCGCAGGCCACCGCGAGGGGACCACAACCTGAACCGAAAGAAGGGGTTGGAAAGAAGATCATGAAGGTCTTGTGCTGTGGTAAGCCGACGTAGCTCATGGTTTTACGAACTCTCTGACCGCTCGCAGCGTAATTATGACCTTCACGAACATCTCTATTACTATCTCAAATATGGCGACTATCCACGAACTTAGTCCCACATAGAGCGCCCGAACTGCATATCCACATGCATCGATTGTGATGCCCGGACACCGTCACACACTATTCTCGCACTGCTTTACGACTAATTCGATATTACATGGCGTCCAACTTCGCGCTCAACCAGACTGCGGCATCCACCGCGCAACCAACACCAAACTAATCTCGTCATTGGAACCCATTTCCTTGTCTACAAATCGACACCACCGTATCATCTTTCGACAGCGGCGGCTGAACATACACTTTTAATACTCAACAAATCCTTGTCTACTGGCATTCTTCCAAACGGAAAACACACCAGGCAAGCGGTACTCATTGACGAATCTCGATGTGCTACGACCTATTGCCGCGTGTGGAGTCTGCATCACGCTCTTCTCTCACCAAGTGGTTTGGGAATCTCGAGAACCATCTTTCGCGGTCGCTGATGGAGTCGAGAGATGTAAATGACGCAAAACAAGGAAGAGACCACTCTCCTCATCAGTCGGAAAACATACATGTAGTTGGAAGGACCAACAGAACCGAAATTTGTATTGTTATGTCCTTCTAGCGTCGGTCATTGCCCTACCACCACCAAATGGCATACGTACTTGCATCCATCCACAGTCCTGCCTTGTCTCTGCATTCTGCGCAATCTCTTTTTTTGTTCTTGCTATTTGGTCGTGTTGCATTTGCACAGCGCTTTCAGCGGTCACCATCCCCCGTCGTTCATTTCCGTTCTTGCATTGGCTTGCCAAGGTGACTTTTACGCGCCTAGCTCGGCTCGGCTCGGCTCGGCGTAGATGGCGCAAGGCTTTAGTGACAGGAGGATCGTCTTGGTGGCTGACTTGCCAGTGTCACATGTGGGGAGGAATTGGGTGGGTGGTGTGGGTGTTTTGGAGTCAGTGGTGGTAATGTACTTTAGACTAGCGAAAAAAAAGTAGGGGAAAGAACACAAAAACACTACTGTGATGTATATGACTGCGTTTCACGTGCATTCTTGAACCGGGCTGGTGTGCGTTGACATGTGATTTTGAGGCAGCCCCTGTTGAAAAGGGGTCTCTCGAAAAGGAGTCGAAAAGGGGGTTTGATAGCATAGTGTGCTCCTGTTTCTGTTTTGCTGGGTCTTTGGTAGCGTATCTATGGATTGCACGTCTGACTTGAGACATGATCTGCGCAGTTCAGCATGTAATTATGTGTCTCACAAATTCTCTATTCCCATATGCGCGCCCTGAATATGTACAACTTTCATAGTACACGAGTACAAACAGTCCCCATCCACCACCACCACCACCACCATCACTCCGTAACACTATCCAAACTCCCAATCCGTCGCGCCACCAGCGGCGCATCCTCCGCCAAGCTCTCCGCCACACGCTTCGCGCGTCGCCTGGCATCGATATACATCATATACTCCGTGTACGTGCGCGGCATGACGCGGCCGTTGCCCTCGACATGGAACGTGAAATGGAACTGGCCGGTCGGCTTGGCCTCGCCGTGCTCGACGCTGCGGACTTTGCTGTCGACGCGGACTTGCACGCGGGTATGATGGGCGCTGGCTGATGAGGAGCGGGCGTCTTCGGCCTCGGCGTCGGTGGCGGGCACGAGGGGCGGGTCGGTGTAGACGACTGTGGCGGTGAGGTAGAGGATTGAGCCGACGGGGACGGGGTTGAGGAAGGCGGACGGGTCGAGGGAGACAAAGGTGGGGCGGGAGCGGGCGAACTGGGCGGCGGTGCAGAAGGCGAGTTCGAAGGTCTGTTTGAGGAGGAAGCCGCCGAAGATCATGAAGTGGTGGCGGTTGCGGAATTGGGGCTGCATGATGGAGGTTGTGCGGAGCACGGTGGCGTCCATGAAGGTGAGGTTGTCGGGCCGGCGGAGGGCGTCGGAGGGGTCGTGGTATTGGAGTTGTTTCTGCCACATGTGGTGGATGATGTCGGATTCGAGGTCGTTGGGGGTGTGTTTGAGGAGGGCGGTTTGGGCTTGCTGTTTGCGGGCGCTGGAGTTGCGGGCGCCGGCGGCGAAGAGGCGGTGTTCTTCTGGGGTGGAGGGGGTGATTGGGTTGATGTTTACGGGTCTGAATGTGTGGTTAGCTACGTGTGTGTCGGTCGAGATGGGATGTGGAGCGGTACTTCTTCGTGCCTGGGTCGAGGGAGACCATTGTGAATGTGCAGTGTAGCAGGACGTCCTCGTCCTTGACCTTTTCGCCGTCCTTTGGCGCCCTGGCGACTTGGAGTGATATCTCCATGCTGCTCCTGCCAGTGGCATATGTGACCTGACCGCTGTATTCCAGGTCGCATATCTCCGTCAGGGGGTGCTTGATTGTGATACGATCGCAGGCGGCAGTGACTGTAGTGACGCCGTCTCCCGTATGTTTATATGCAATCACTCCTGAGAGGGCGTCTAGATCCATGAGGATCGTTCCAAGACGTATGTGCCCGGCGGCATTCAGGTAGGTATCGAGTAGCCATGGATCTTGGGCGAGAGGAAGTATCTACTACGTTATCAGTCAGTGTGACTTCTGCATGAGGTGTAAGGGCTCCTTACGACGCTGTGATAGCTATCCGACATGCGCTTCGGCGTGAGTTCGCGGTCTCTTGGGGTTTCTGCCTTTCCGGTAGACTGTGATGGGTCTGGCCCGCCAGCCTGCTTGGATCGCAAAGCTTCTATCCATGGTGTTTGAACGCGGTTCTCGGTGAGGGCACGGAAGACACCATCGGTGGAGCGTGGTGCAGAGACGTGGAGATGGCGGTGACCGGGGGTGGTAGGATGGGTAGAATGCGATTGGAAGAGTCGGATACTTCTAGACAGTCTTCGAACTGCAGAACGAGGTGCTTGTACAATCATAGCGAGAACGAATCTGTCCTTGGAAGAATTGAAGAATTGAAGAATTGTCCATTCATGAAGACGAACGGCAGCGCATGTTGTTAATATAGCTCCTGAGCTTCGGCCGGGAAGTCGGACTAGACCGTCATGGCGCACCCGACATCATCGTTGTGCGCAAGCTTGAACATCGTTTTTTGCAACTCAATCATTTCCATTATCGCCGCTGTCAGCGTCTATTGTCTCTCATGGTCTGCTTTGGGAGCTCACCAGTCCATAATTGTCGACTTCTGCTACCACAGGTTCTCTTCTCCGTCCTTCAATCCTCCTCCAAAGCCCCACGATGCCCCTCCAGATATCGCATCTCGCAAACTTTACCCCTCCCGCTTCAACGCGCACTTGGCAATCCCAACCACACCCGACTCTTCCCCTACTAGCAACAGCCTCGTCAGATAAGACCGTTCGCATCTACTCGCTCACCTCTTTCAATCTCATAACCACCCTCTCCGGCGGCCATAAACGCTCCATTCGCTCCGTCGCGTGGCAGCCCGCCTTGCGCAAAGGCGACGCTGTGCTTGCAACAGGTAGCTTCGACGCTTCAGCTGGGATATGGAAGAAACACTACTCTGGGGATGCCGTAGAGTCACTGAATCATGGCATTGTCAGTACGGACGAGAACGATAACGATGAAGATGATGACGACGACGATGGTGAATACGCCTTTACCGTGCTACTCGATGGCCACGAGAGCGAGATCAAGAGCCTTGCCTTCGCCCCGTCATCCCGTCTGCTAGCCACTTGCTCGCGTGACAAGTCTGTTTGGATATGGGAAGAGCTTGACGATGACAATTGGGAGACCATGGCGGTGCTGAGCGAGCACGATGGCGACGTAAAGTGTGTCGCCTGGCACCCGGCGGAGGACCTGCTCGCCAGTGCCTCATACGACGATACAATCCGTTTATACAAGGAGGACGTCGATGACTGGGAGCAGGTAGCCGTCATCCAGGGGCACAAGGCCACCGTGTGGTGTGTTACGTTCGAAGGCGCTGATCTACCAGGCCTCAAGGCGACTCCCTCTGAGGAGCTGTCGCAAGCACAGCGCGACTTTCTGATCCAACGCGCTGCATCCGGGCCACGGCTACTATCAGCCTCAGACGACCTCAGCATCCGTATTTGGCGCCGCGAGCCTCCTGCGGACGACGCGAACGCTGCACGTAACACTGGAGTACCCAGCATCATCCGCTCGTCAAACATCGATGAGACCTGGCTTGAGGAAGCGCAATTCCCGGGTACCCATACTCGAGCCGTTTATTCCGCATCATGGAGCACTACCAGCGGCTTGGTGGTCAGCGCGGGAAGCGATGGGATGATTGTTGTGTACAAAGAGCAGTGGAAGTCAGGGGCTGAAGAAGATGTTGGGACTGAATGGACTGTTGTGGCGAGTATCGAGGCCGCCCATGGAGTTTTTGAGGTCAATCATGTGGTGTGGGCGAAAAGGTGGGACAAGGGAAGGCGCAGTGAGGATGAAGAGGTGATTGTGAGCACAGGCGATGACGGAGAAGTGAAGGTGTGGACGCTGGAAGAAGCAGTCGGAGGTTGAGATGCATGCAAAAACCGTGTCTGCTAGTAGAGTTACGCTGCGACACGAAGGACAAGTAGACCATGCAATTTTGCGGATCTGGAGCAAGCTCGAGTAGAGGATGGCAGAGATCTTGTACCGGTCGACTGCTGCTATCCCTCGAGATCGTGCCCTCATACGTCTCGAGCTCCTGTAACAGATGTCTGGATAGATGTCTTGCAACTATGCTATAAGTTAGCCGACGGACGGTTGTAGGTACTCAGACACGAATCTGCAACTGGCGCCCTGCAAAAGATAGTAGACAGTACAGATGTATATATGAAGGTCAAGAAGTTACTTCGGCTTCTTATATAGATAGTCGAGAATATAGCGCACTAAAAGGAACCATCATAAAGCAAGAATGTATCTCCCCTCATAACGAAGACATTACGCTAAACCTATACTGGGTGTAGCGTACTATAGCGAGAGAGTCAAGATGCAAAATTCACTCCAGTTGTGCAAGGACACTTTTGCTTAATAGACACCTACATCTTGGTTAAGTAATACCATTGTGTGCTCCCAAATATCTGCACTTCTCGGCTTATCGTCTCCGTCAATCTCGACCAACAAAGTCACAGATGGCGAATTTTGCAGAGTCAAGCAAGACCTATGTCGTAGAACATCTGGATCCTGAGCTGGAGCAATGGTCTGCTCTAGAATATGCAGCTATCGCTAAGGAAAGCTACGAGGCGAATGCGCAATTTCTGCTATCTTCGGTGCCGGAGTCGCTTGCTACCAATATCCCTGGGGTTGTCAAGCAGAGCAAAGGTATCAAAATAGAGCAGAGGAGCGTAGAAGAGATCTTTGCATCTCAAAAGGAGTCTGTCTGCTTGCTGGACCCTGCGGCTAGCAAAGAGCTTAGCCCGGAGGATGGCGACAAGTTCACAGTCTTTCTGTTCGGTGGCATATTGGGTAGGATTCTGCCTGGTGTGTGCTAGATAATCAAATGCTGATGAGCAACTTAGGCGATGACCCTCCACGAGGCAGGTCCAGATGTACACACGAACTTATGTGCTACTAACATGATATTCAGACAGAACGTCGGAGCTTCGCAAGAAAGGATATGAAGGCCGTCGGCTTGGCCCTGTACAAATGACGACAGACACTGCTGTCAGAGTAACACGAATCGTTGTTCAAGATCGCAGTGAGTCATCAACAACGCACAAGACAGCATTTATAGCTAAGTCTTCCGTGTTCAGCTCCTCTGGAAAAGATCGAGTATGTGGATCATCCGGAGTTGAAGGTCAACAAGCACGAGAGCACGGAGATGCCATTCCGCTATGTCAAAGGGAAGGATGGCGAGCCTGTGATGCCTGAGGTGAGGCTATACGTCTCGGGTGCATATCAACTCTACTGACATTATCAGGGTATGATCGATCTGATCAAGAACGATTCAGAGAGGGGTTTCGGTGAGCTATTATGAATAGCGATCGCCAGGCACACGTAAGACGAAACAGGCATTACCGCTTCATGATCGCTGGCCCGCTTGAACACGGACTACCAGCCAGAGTAATGTTTTGGCTTACTGGGTGTGGAACGTATAGAGTGCAGCTTTACTCTCGTCTTGTGGGGTCTGGAGATATGACTTGGTGCATCTCAAGCTGACAGGAGAATGCTGAAGCGGAATACGTTGGAAGTGAGAGAAGCCGTAGGTACTCTGCAGGGTTTCGTTAGGGGCCACATACATGAAACTCGCGACCATGCCAAGCCGCGTGGCCTGTATAAGAGAGATCGAGTATCAAATGAGCTATGACAACGATCTGAGTGTAGACTGTGTATGAGATGATAACCATGAGACTCTGAGGTTGCAAGTGCTTATATGCTATCACTGAAGTTGGGAAATGAACTATGACAAGGCCCGATTGTTTTGCCAATTGCACAGACATAACAAACAGTATGGCAGGTGTATAGATGATGAACGAGAGAGAACTTCACTTTACACTGTGAATAAGATATGAAGCCAAAAAATCTCACCAGCTCGACAATTGTTACAACACGCAAAAGCCACCCCCAAACCCAGCGCTAGCAGCAACTTCAGCCACCAACTGGCACGCTAACTGCATTTGTCCGGTCCACGACTCCTCTCACCTGCAAGACATAAGACGTAGGTATCGCAACTCTGGCCTGGAAAGCATACCTTCACATCCGCACTCTCCTATCCACGAATACCCATTTTACTTTTAGGCATACCATCGTCCCCAATATCCTCTTCGCCGCTCACTCAAACCGTACACTAATGAGATAACCGCCTCCTTCCCCTTGCCCATCCAGGCTTTCTCCGTCTGCTTACGACGGCTGGTTTCTCTTACAATGCGACCTTTTAATATCGACACACGAGGCTCATCAGCTGCTTCTAGCATTATGCTTGTCATACTACCTCTACTTTCCGCCCTGTGGATACCCACAGCGGCCGCAGACAAAAGAGCTGCTGACTACTATGTCAAGTCTCTGCCAGGGGCGCCAGACGGCCCGCTTCTCAAGATGCATGCTGGGTAAGCCTGCTTTGAAAAATCGCGTTCGATACTCTTCCTAATATTACACACCACAGACACATAACCGTCACGGAAGAAAATCACGGCAACCTCTTCTTTTGGCACTACCAAAATAGACACATCGGCGATCGTCAAAGAACGGTGATATGGCTGAACGGAGGGCCGGGGTGTAGTTCTATGGACGGAGCGATGATGGAAATCGGTCCATATCGTGTAAGAGAAGGCGGAAAGCTGGAGTATAATGAGGGCTCGTGGGACGAGTTTGCCAACCTGCTCTTCGTGGACAATCCGGTCGGCACGGGATTCAGCTACGTGGACACGAACGGGTTCCTTCACGAACTACAAGAGATGGCAGACAACTTCATGATATTCCTGGAAAAGTGGTTTGCGCTGTTCCCGGAGTATGAGAATGACGATGTATGTCAAGATGTGTCACAATCGGGAATCCCAAGGCTGACTTGTGAATAGCTCTACCTCGCTGGAGAATCGTACGCTGGCCAACATCTCCCCTACATCGCAAAGGCTATTATGGATCGCAACAGCAAGGCGGACAAGGCGAAGTCGACGTGGAACCTGTCCGGCCTTCTGATTGGAAATGGCTGGATTTCGCCAGTCGATCAGTACTTCTCCTACATGCAGTACGCATACAAGGAGCATCTCATTCAAGACGGGAGTGATATTGCAAGACGTGTTGCGGCGCAGCAAGCCAAATGTACGGAAGTTCTGAACGGCGACGGCAAAGGTCATGTCGACGTCGCGCAATGCGAGCGCATCATGACGGACATCCTCGAGATGACAAAGGACAAACACGCGGAGAAGAACCAGCAATGTCTGAACATGTACGACATTCGTCTCCGCGACGATGATTCCTGTGGCATGAACTGGCCTCCAGATTTGGCAGACGTCACTCCATACCTGCGACGCAAGGACGTTACCAGCGCCTTGCACATTGACGGCGACAAGAAGACTGGCTGGCAGGAATGCAACGGTGCGGTATCGTCCAACTTCCGCGCGCGCAACTCCGTGCCATCCATTGAGCTTCTACCTGGCATCCTCGGGACAGTTCCTATCGTTCTATTTTCCGGCGACAGAGACTTCATCTGCAACCACATTGGTACGGAGGAGCTGATCAAGAACATGGAGTGGAACGAAGGAAAAGGCTTCGAACTATCACCCGGCGTCACCGCCCCCCGCCGCGAATGGGAATTCGAAGGCGAGCCCGCGGGATTCTACCAAGAAGCCCGAAACCTCACATACGTGCTGTTCTACAACTCCTCACACATGGTCCCATTCGACTACCCGCGACGCACACGAGACATGCTAGACCGCTTCATGGGCGTCGACATTGCCAGCGTGGGCGGCCACCCAGTCGACTCCCAACTCGACGGCGAAAAGGCCGGCCCGGAAACGAGCGTGGGCGGCCACACCAACAGCACCGTCGGCCAGGAGGCAGAAAAGCAGCGCGTCAAGGAGGCGGCCTGGCACGCATACCAGAAGAGCGGCGAGGTCGTCCTCGTCATTGTCGCGCTGGCCGCCGCCGCCTGGGGCTGGTTCGTCTGGCGCGATCGCCGCAGGCGCGCGGGCTATCAGGGCTTGTTTACCAGCTCGAATAATGGTGGTGGTGGTGGTCGTGGCGGCGGCAACGGTCCTGTCGCCGTGGCTAGTCGCGCTGCGGGGAATCTCCGCGCCGGCCTCGAGAGCTTTGGCAATAGGGTCGGTCGCACGGAAGAGGATCTGGAGGCGGCGGACTTTGACGAGCAGGAGCTTGACTTGCGTGGGCATGGACATGGACATGGACATGGGCATGGACATGTGAACGGACGACGGCAACGCTACGCTAATGAGGCGGGCGGCGGGGAGGCGAAGAGTAAGCTGTTTGACCGCGATGAGGGTGAGGATGATGGTGGTGATCGTGATGGTAGTGGCATGGAGCAGGAGAGGTATAGCATTGGTGATGGCGCGGATCTGAGCTGTGACAGTGACGAGGACGAGGTAGATGAGAAGAAGGCGCGGATGTAATAGTTGTTTGTCGTGGAACCAGCCAGCCTATGTGTAGAGAGTGTACCGTACTGTACTGTACTGTGCAGGACTACTAGGCCATCCGGCGTGGGGTTATGGGGTGTAGGGTATGGGGTATGGGGTATGGGGTAGGGGGTATAGGACATGTATGCATTGGTATTGGAGTTTCTTCCTTTTCTCCGAAAGGTGTTTTATGTGTAGGCAGCTGGATAGACCCGAGAAAGAGAAAGAGGAAAAGGGGAAAAGAAGAATAATAACATAACGATCTTGCGATGCCGCGTGTGTGTGTGTGTGTGTGTGTGTGTGTGTGTGTGTGTGTGTGTGTGTGTGTGTGTGTGTGTGTGTGTGTGTGTGTGTGTGTGTGTGTAGACCATGCTGTTTGTTCTAATGTGTGTTACTGCATACATTGATACAATAGTGAAGGACCAGTCTATGCTGTATATTCCAGGCAGCCAGGCAGGCAGGCAGGCAAGGTCATATATGTTTCCAAGCCTGGCTCCATAGAATTTCGTATATAATTGTGTATCGTAATTAGCGTCGTATATTATATATGTATGTATATATATATACATGTACATGTTCGTAAAGGGTGGTGGTATATGCAAAAAAAAAAAAACTGTGTGATGATTATATGCATGCATGCGCTAAACTCAACAAAGAAAAAGGGTGGTTCCAAGACCAAGATCATGATGCAAACATAGAAACTCCCCCCAACCAAGTATGACCAAGACGATCAAGTATGACCAAGGCGATCAGGCATGACCAAGACGATCAAGTATGACCAAGGCGATCAGGCATGATCAAGATGGCTCACGTCTCGTCCTTTTGCGGAGAAGACGGCCAGGATTTCCTCTCGCGGTGCTCTCTCGTCGGCATCTCGTCCTTGAGCTCCCTAATCTTCCGCCTGATGCCCCGTAGTATACTACTCCGCTTGCTCTCTGACCCCGATCGCTCGGCACTATCCTCCTCCTCCTCCTCCTCATCATCATCCGAGTTCGCGGCGCTGGGGTCCGTGAGTGGATCGACGATGCGCCGCGCTTTGGGGACAAGCTCGGTCCATAGGGCGAGCAGGGTGCCTGCTGTAAAGGCCGCAACGGCAACACACAAGGCGTACTGCGTGCCATGCGATTTCTGCACGCTGTATGCAATCGGGGGAAAGACGGCGCCGCCCGATACCGCCGCGGTGAGTACGATGGACGCCATCTTGGTGTGTCGGCCCATGCCACGCAAGCACATGGCAAAGACAATGGAGAATATGGGGCCCTCGAAAAAGTAGATGGACATGACAAGCACCGTTGGCGTTAGGCCGATGCCATGCATTGCTGCTGCGCTGAACGCAATAGCGCCGGCATAGAAGAATAAGAGAACGTGTCGGGGTTTGAAGTGGCATGTCGCTGCTGCGCTGACAAAGCGTGATATGGCGAAGACGGTGTGGGCAATGGCTTGGTCGTTTGTGGTGTCGGATTCGCTGTCTCGGGGCATCAACACACTGGTGAGGGGTCCAAAGCTGGTGGCAACGACTTCCTGGCCACCGACGTAGCAGAATAGACTGAAGACGCCGACGGCCAAGGTAAGCCAAATGGTTTTGACATTGAACATGGTCTTTGTGTTTGCGGCATCGTATCGTTCAGACGCATCGTCGAGCTCGTCGTCGGTGGCTTCGGGCAGGGGCACGTAATAGTAAGCTAGAGCCAGCAGGAAGGTAAATAGGGATATTCCAAGGTAGGTCCATTGGACATCAATGAGTGAATCTGCTTCTGCTTTGAAGAGCACCTTCTTTGCAAGCAGTGGCGAGACTACAGTTCCGACTGCCTGGATGCCCTGAGAGAGATTGAGCCTGGTCTCTGCATATCGCGATGGGCCGACAAGAGCGATGAACGGATTCGCGGCTATCTCCAGGGTGGAAAGGCCCAATGCGACGATGAAATTTGAGACGAGAAAGGCGGGGAACGAAGTGAGGACGGCGGATGGCCAGAATATCAGGGTTCCGCAACCGTAGATGATCAGGCCGACGATGTAACAAGCCTTGAAGCCCCAGTTCTTGAGCACGAGGCGACCAAAAGTGATGGGCCCTATAAAGTAGCCAGCAAAGTAGGCGCTATGTATGCCAACGGTCTGTAGAGAGGACATGTGTGCGATTTCCTGGAATCTGGAGTTGAGAACATCCAGCAGTCCGTAAGCGAAGCCCCATACAAAGAACAGCAACGTAACCATGGTGAGCGGGAAGATGGATTCTCGATGGGTGAAGTGGACCATGCTCTTGCCCTGGCGGATATTCACGAATTCGAAGAATTTCTGGCTACTTGGTTGCGTGTGTCGAGTGGTGTTTGTCATTGCGGTCTGGGTTCTGGCGATGCGTTCAGGTAGCTCTCTCATGTCTGGTGTGGTCAGGAAATCCATCATATCTATTTCCTGGCTCATCACGCGTTGAGGATCGGCTGCAGCAGACTGAGGACGCTGCGGTGCCGTGGCGGTAGGGAGTCCCTCCATGTTTCTGGCATCCAGTGAGCCATCCATGTGGCCAGTCGAGGTTCGCACGCCCGTCCGGTCATTGCAGGTATCGTCGCGCAACATTTTTGGCAGGAAGCGTGCCACCAGAGGTTTCAAGGCTGGCACACAAGCGCACATCATGCCGACGTGCACCTCAATGGCCGACCACATGAAGGAAAAGCCAGCATACCAAGAAAAGTCGTTGGCCTCGAAGCTGCGAGTATCGCCGTGCTCGGTAGCAGTCTGTTGGGCAGCGATGCTTCTCAGGCGGGTGGAGACGGCCGACTGAAGATATGCTATGCGAACGACATCGACAGCAGTAACGAAGACGCCGAAGCTAAAGGTGATGATCAGGATGGTCTTTTGCTTGCGTGGAAGGTGCATGCCAGTCAGGATTGGCATGGGTAGGATGAGAATGGCGAGATCGGTGATGATGTTGACCGGGGCGGAGGAGAGGTAGAGGGTGACAATGTCCGTACAGTGGGCGGTCGAGGCAGGGAACTGGTCAAAGGCAGCTTCGACGGGACGACATTGCACGATGTTGAGTATGGTGAGGGCGACGCCGGCGAGATTGACGATGGCCAAGGTGGTAAGGGTGGACCAACGGAAGAATTGATGTGTTCGTGAGAGAGTCAAGTAGAAGGCCAGAATGGAAGTCTTTGTCGCCATCAAGGCAGGATTCTTCGCGACTGGAGGTTAGCAAGAGAAGGTCATGTAGTAGTGGTGGGAGCATGATTACATAGAGAACTGAGAAGGCGTATTGGGACTTTTTCAAGGCAGAGTCCCAAGCAGGTGGAATATCTTCCTCGTGGCGTCCCAAGCCTACGGAAGTGCCATAGCAGATGGCAAACGACATGCCAAATGAGATGAGCTAGAAGGAATCAGCATCATGGTCGTGTTGGAGCATGGAAGGGCATTATCACAACATACCCATGCACCGAGCATCAGATAGTCATCCAGACCCACTTTATGCACGATGGCGATTCTTGATATCATGCGAAGGGCTACGAAGACGGAGGAGAGGACGATGAAGACGGTGGTGACGGCGAGGATAGTCGGGGCGCGAGTATGGAAGACATCGGACGTAGTCGTCGCCATGATGCCGGCCGGGATGAAGCAGTAGGGATTGGGTGCTCCTCCAGCATAGTGTTCTACAGCATATATGTGTATGTAGCAGGCGATTGGCGATTAGTCTCTGCGGTGGAACGTTCTTGATTGGGAGACGAGGTTATAGAGAGGGAGAAAGGTCGAGAGAGAGAAGATTGTCGGCGGCACAGTAAATGTGGTGGGAGAAAGGGCTCAAGGGAGCGAAATTTGGGCGACAAGTGGCAGATATTAGGGTCGAGAGTCAGGATGGCAAAGCAACGACTGTTTTCTCGAATTGGCATTAGCATAGACAAGATTTCGAGGCTCGTGACTGAGCCTGGCTGGTCGGATGCGTTATAAGAGGACCAAAGCGGCGATAGCACGACGACGGACGAATGGCAGCCAGCGAGAGACGCGATGGGCGCGAGTCGCAAAGAGGAAGCTTTGGGCTCGTACTGGCGCCGGTGGGTAGCAGCAAAAGGGCAGACCAGCAGCAGCGGCAAAAAGCCTCAGTAGAACGAGTGGTGTGAGAGGGTGTGAGTGAATGGTGTGTGGTGTATAGAGTGTGATGTATGAAGTATACAGGAATGTTGTGTGAGAGTAAGTAGTAAGGATTAATTAGTGTGTGAGTGCCGTCCGTTTGTCCGAATCAGGCCAGGCAGGCTGTGTGACATCAGTCGTCAACCGGCGGGGCGGGCTTGCGTGGATAATTGACTTAAAAGGCCCCCTAGAATTAGCTGGGTAGCCGCGACGTTTGGCAGCCGACCAGCCTACAGTTTAGGGTGCAGGTGCGCCTATTTTAGCTGGGTAAGCAGTACTGAGAAAGGTAGTAGTATGTAGTAGAAGCAACAGTTGACTGCCGGTCGTGACGTCGACGGGCCATTAGTTAAGGTTTAAGGTTACAGGCTACACTCACTGACTGCACGCGCCCAACCTGCCTGTCCTGACTCGAGATGGCGCAACTTTGCGGGGAAGCCAGCTGCCAAGCCCACACTTTTCAGCCCTTTTCCGCCCTTTTGGTGGGTATATCTGGGGCCACCCGCAGTATACACAGTACCAACCCACCCCGATCCCGCCATCCCATGGAGTGATCGTCGCCCATCGCCAGATTCTTCATCCTCATCGCCATCCTCATCGCCATCCTCATCTCTTCATCTTGGGCCAACGGCAGCAATCAGCAATCTTCGTCAATCTTCTCCTTCTTCACACACACATCTTTGTCAAGCAAAGCCTTGCAAGAACAATAATTATTATGCCTTGCTGTACTGGAAACACCAAGCTACGCTCGACACCGACATTGACATCGACCACCATCCCTGCCTCCGTCTGACCTGCCTGTATCTTCCGCCATCCCAGCCGCCGTCGTAATATCTCATGGATCATCACCACTTCTCTTCCAACACGACATTCTGCCAGCCTGACATCTGTCAACTCATCACTTGCACCAGCCCGCCTACAGTCCGGTCGAACCTAATGATGATTCTGGACCCTAATTACTTACAGTAATTATTGCCACTAACTGACTACTGTACTGCCGTGGGTGGATCCTCTACTGCTGGCTGCATCTGTCCGCGTGCACGTGCTGCACCAACCAGCAGCTGCCGACATATTCGGAGCCGAGTGCAGGCTACACCGTTCCTGTAGTCAGGTGATGATTTGGTCATGTAGGTCGTGTGACGAGACAGCCACGTGACTCTCAGCCACTCAATCTGCCTGCTACAGTCGTCGCACATCATGTAACTGACTAGAGAGTAATTATGGATATACCCAACAACAATGACTCCGAGCAATCACTCGACCTTGACATGCCACATCTCCCACCCTTTTATACTCTCGTAACCTGTTGCCATCTACCGTCTCTCTGCTCCGCTCACTCTCCATCATGAGCCGCACCGTCAGCCTTCCTAGCCAAGTCACGGAAAGTTCCATATATCCCTCGAAGCATTCTCTCCCACTTCACACCTCTACTTCCCACTTCTACTTCCCACTTCTACTTCCCACTTCTACTTCCCACTTCCCATATATAGTACATCAATACTAGCCTTTGGCCTTCACCCTCTTCCATCCGTGGCACTGTGCCGACATTGACAGTCGCATGCGAAAAGCTTATTTCGACATGCTACCACCTCCTACTGTCACTTGTCAGTCCACAAAGCAGTCTGCCCACCGGCTCGAGCCGCAAGACTGGACCGCACACCTCACTTGATGCATCCTTCTGCTACTCTCTGCCTGCCTGCCAGCCAGCCAGCTACTTCTTCTCATACTGACAGCACCGAGATGGCAGAACTTTGTGCGCACCCTTTCCTGTATTTTCCACATGTGCTCTTTCGCCAGCCTCGTGCTGTCTGCTGAGCGAAGGAGCGAAATGGGGTGATCCAAAGATTGATCGGGCCCGTGACACTCTGAGTTGTGGGTCTCCTGGACTTGCTGTACCCGCCATACTATGGTACGATTTCTGCGAGACCCGCCGAGCGCGAATGAGCACGTATGCTGCCATATGCGTCCATCTAGGACAATCTAACAGTACAGTGCCGCCGCACTCGATTCCATCTCATCTATCCAATCTACGCTTCTGGTCTATTTTTTGCAATTCAGGATGCGACACGAAACCGTCAGATTCCGCGCGGTGGGGGCCTCAGCTCGTGGGGGTGGGATGGATGGATCCCTCATACGAATCGTCAGGGTTATTGGGACAAAAAAAAATTGGTTGGTGACAGACTGAAAGCTGCAAGACTGCACGCGATGACAGCACTGAGACTGCAAAGAGAAGTCTGACTTGAGCATGATGCCTTTCAGAGACTTTGACGATAGTCTAGCGTGTACCTGGAGAGTACTGACATGTCCTGGTTCCTGATCTCTTGCTTTTCTCGTACGTCACGGACATCATCACCCCAACCTTGGAACACCAAGATCTCACCTGCTCGGGCCCCTCTCTGCCTCTCGCAACAGCCAAGCAGATCTGCGTATGGTGCAAGCTTGGCAGGGCCGTCGGTGCTGGTTCAATCTCACTATCACTTTCCCGATTGCCTCTTTGGGCTGCCAATCTACGCGTTATCGTCTTGCTCATCTATCTTCCACGTGCTGGACATTGTCAGAGATAGTGCTTTATTGCCTTTTGCTGCAGCTTGTTTATGATGTGCAGCGCTGGTGCAGAACAAGACCGCTCAGCCAGCTCTTCCTCGACGCTCTTCCTTTGCTCGTCGCCATTGACTCGAGGGTCGTGGGTCGTGAGTCGTGAGTCATGGGTTCGACAGTCGAGATGGATGGCAGGACCCGTGTCGCCTCGTGGGCTCCATGCCAGGACGGAGGGATCAATACACTACGCAGGATGAAGCGACTCCATGGCGTCATACAAGGTTGTGCCACTTTCATGCGGCACCGCCTCCGAAGCATCACCATGTCCTCCTCCTCCATGGATCATACCTATAGCAATCAACATTGAGGATCCACCAACCCGCTGACTGCATCGTAAAATCACTTTCCAATTGCCCCTTCGCCAGCAGGCAGACGGCAGCGTGCATGCTCAACAAAATCAATATCTCCCATTAGCTGCGGGGTTGATTCTAGGCCAGCTCGTGTTCGTCGTGTTTTTAACTGAGGCTCATCGCAAGCCTGTTCGACGACGACAATAAGTACAAGATGCATGAATAGAGTGGCTGCAATTAATGCAAACTAGATTATTACTATTAGCTTGCACACACAGACACATACTCACTGACTATAGATTACACAACCTGCACCGGGACATGCCACGTTCGCCAGGCAGTCTAACCGCTTTCGGCAGCACGGCACGTCACTCTGGTCGTTGTATAGGTCGATAGCTGGACTGTGTGCCTGGCTTCTCCCGCGTGGCCTCAGTAGATCTACTGCAGACATGGAGATTGTACAGCTTCACTAATTACTTACTGCTATACATGGGCATAGCACTTTTTACTATTGAGTATATACATGTGGGGAACAATGTCTGTGTGTCACTCTCACTCTCTATCCCCATCCATTTCCTGTTCCTGTTCCTGTCCTCCCCCTATCGCCTGTTATTGCTTTTCCATTCCCCTTTCACTTCTCCACTACCCCCCCCCAAACCCGTCTTGACCTGCCTGTTCTGGGCCTGTTCTGGGCCGATTCTGCTTTTCAGGGTCCTCAACTTTATTGATCCCGGGGCCATGGGTTTTTCGGACTTCGGACTTCGGTCGACCGTCTATTCTGTTTCCTGCCTGTCTGTCTGTCTTGTCTGTCTTGTCTGTCTGTCTGCCTGTCTGTCTACCTGTCTGTCTGTCTGCCTGTCTGTCTGTCTGCCTCGTAACTATGTCACTGACCAAGTGCGTGCTCGATGGTCTGGACCTCGACCACCCTACCCTAGACAAACCAGCCTTAGCCCTCGCTGCCCTCTCAACCAACTCGCCATTTGCTATCCCATCACGGTTGGGGGGGGTCGGGGGGATTAGAAGAGACAGCAGTCTCGAGTCTGCCAGTGTCTAGACAGACCACATCTCCATCACCATCCAGAGCATCGACGACATCCAACTGTCAATCCGTCTCGATCCCCCCCCTCCCCCCCAAATCCCCCGATTCTCCTCCCAGCCGCACTCATGCCATGCCATGCCCTGGCCCCGTCCTCAGCAAACGCATCAAGGTCTACCGCTGTACCCGTGCGTGTGCGCCTCTCAACGAACGAACGTGCTCTGGTGAATCTCGGTGGTGGTGGTGGTGGGGTATGCTGGACCCCGACCCGCTGTCTATGCCACTACCTCTACTACCACATACCTCGTTCGGGTTTTTTTTTTACCAAAACAAAAAGCGTAAGGGTCTTATAGCAGGTATGTCTCCACACCAGCCCCTGCACTGCTCTGCTCTGCTCGTGGGAATCTTGCTCGCTTGGGGCCTGGGCGGTGCATATACCTACAGTAGTACTTTTGATACCGCTAGCTTGGATTGTAGGCATGTTGGGGGGGCGGCTAAGATGCCAGGACTTGCTGGGTAAGATGGAAGTTGCCTTATAGGAGTGTGTTGTAAAGGAATGTCATTTTATTGAATTTACTGTATGTCTGTCTGGGGTGTAGGGATGGACTATTTGCGGATATATCTGTTTTGATTGCATTGGGATCGTGCTGGGTTTGCGTGTTGCTTGGTATCCCTGTTCTGTCTTGTCCTGTCTTGTCCTCCTGTACAATACTGATAATCTCAACAAGTTCAAGCCAGGGGGGGTGCAAGAGATACTCGAGTGACGCTCGTACGATTTCCGAGGAGGAGATTAGAGACTGTCGTCTTTTAGTTGTTTTACACCGGGTCGTCGTATGTTTGCCTTGTCTGACTATGACTGTACAATGTCATGTCAGTGCGTGGCTGATCTTGTTTGTCACGATGACTACAGACTGGGTACTGGAGACTGACTGGAGACTGGAGACAGTATCAACATTGTACTGCGGACAACATGGTCGGACTTTTGGAAGTTGAAAGATACCCTTGTAGGCGTAGACTAGACTTCTTGCTCTGTGTCACACACACACACATAGGTCTGTCGAGCTAGTAGACAACAACGACAACAACAACAACAACAACAACAACATGGCCTCAGTTTGCATAAACCGACGAATGAGCGGAAATCGTCCGTCCTGCCCGTCCGAAAGTCCTGATAAGGCATAATCTCAATATCGGCCGTCTTGCGCATCGCCTAGTCCCGGATCGTGCCGCCACGCTTTTTTATTAGGGGGGGGGGTGACGACATACAGTATATACATTTTCCAATCTAATGCAAACATCCCTGCCTGGCAGGTGGAAAGTGAGATTCGACCGGATATCAGAGACCGGCCCTGTGGATCAAAGACAGACATCCCACGCAAATATGGCAGGGGTAGGTGCGTGGTCTGAGCTTCTTCCATTTTTATGCTTCCATTGTTGTTTATTGTTTCTTGATTGTTGTTGAGAGATGTCAGTATGGTACTTGGATTTTTTGGGCTGCTGGGAAATTGTATATAAAGGTGGCTTGGGGACCCGGAGAGTGTGCTTTATTCTAGCATCGGCAGCAGCGGCTTCATCTTCAGCTTCAGCTTCATCTCAAGCTTCATCGGCAGCACTACCTCCTATTCACATCCAAGAATCCATTCTTCACCCCCCCAAACAACTCTTTACAACTATCACTTCTCTCTCTCTCTCTTCCCTCCTCTCATCTCATCAACCCCCCCAAACCAAACCCCCCAAACAAACAACCCCCAAAAATGTCGTGGGCCGTAGCCATCGACGCCATCGGCACCATCTCCGGCGCCCTCGGCATAGTCGACTTCCTCAAGTCCAACTTCGCCGGCAACAGCCCCCCCAGCCTCGGCGCCTCCGTCCAAATCAAAGCCGGCCTCCAATGCCCCAACAACTGCCACGACTTCGGCGGCCAAATCGTCTCAATCCAGGGCTACGACGCCAACAACGCGCCCATCGGCCGCAGCACAGGCGGCCACATCGGCGACGGCGGCGTCATCGAAGTCGTCCTCTCCCAGCCCGAGCCCGGCAAACAAGTCGACTTCCTCTCCGTCGCAAACGGCAACGACGCAACCTGCATCTCGTGGATCGCCGTCCGCCAGTTCGACAAGGTTGATGCGGCGGCGGGTGCCTGGAATGGGGATATCGGGCAGCAGTGTGGGCAGTCGTGGTATGCCGGGAATCAGATCGCGGGGAGGTATAGGGATGGCGGGGATTGGCGGCCGAGCTGTACGTGGTTGGATGCCGATGCGTCGAATGGGATTGTGTCTGCTGCGTTGAAGTTCGGCGTGCAGGCGTATGGCGAGGTGGGTGCGGCGTCGACGCTGGCGCAGAATAGGCAGTGTTCTGCTACGCTTTACTCGCGCAAGGCGGTTGATATCGGGGGTATGTCTTCGTCCTTACTTTCCCCCCTTTTATCCCTCCTGTCAAACAATCAATCTAACACACACACCAGACAAACCAGCCACCAAACGCTCTCTCTCCTCTTCCAACACCACAAGCACAACAAGCACCCTCCGCCCCCGCCGCCCCTGGATGGACTCCCACCTCGTCATCTCCACCAGCGCGCCCACCCACAACGCCACCGAAATGTGTCTCTCCCCAACCTCCTGGGGCCCCGATTTCGTCGGCACAGACGGCTACTTCTGCGACATGGCGACGCGTGAACTCACCCCGCTGTGCGCGACGAAGCAGGTGCCCGGGTGTCTGGAGATGGACCATCCCGCGCGCACGCTGCGGAAGCGGTCGTTGGTTTATGGCGGTGGGCGCGGGGCGGTGGCGAGGCGCGAGGTGGTGAGTGCGCATCGGGTGTATGGGAGTGTGGATGTTTGGTCGTAGATCTTTTGGGGGGTTTTTTGGGGGGATTTCGGGTTCGTGTATATATTGGGGATTGGGGATTAAAGGGGTCTGTTTCGGTTTGTTCGAGAGTGGGGAATAGTCTGGGTTGCTGGAAACGGGGGCGATTCTGTGTACATGTCTTTCTTCTAGTTCAGTCTTTCTGTTTTTTGTTGTCTATTCCTGGCGTTTTATATGGTTAGTGGGCGGTGGCGGCGGTGGAAAAGCACCTCCTTTTCATTCTTATATTTCTTTTCTTTAGCTAAAAGTGACGGCGGGGATAGCTCTGCTCTGCTTGATTTCATAAAGTTGACATGATTTTTGCCTCATTCCATGCATCTTCTGTGTCTCCCTCTCTGCGTGTGATATGATGGTACTGTAGTAGTGCACTGACAACACATGGATTAAGCACTATGACACTAATCCGAAAGCAGCATTTCTTGGCGTGGACTGCGCTCGTTTGGGTTAGGAGCTGGCGATGGCCTAGTCTAGCTTTCCTGCCTAAACAGGTTAGTCGGATACTTGAAATCCCTGCTCGGACGCGAGCCGACTCGGCAGTCTTGACTATGTTTGCACGGATCGTTGGGTGGGCTGGTGGCTCGTATGGGTGGGATCTGGGCTTGTGTGTTTTTTAATCCCCCTTCCTATTCATGCGTGAAGGGATTTAATTGGTAAGAGGGTTATGGAGACTACTTCCCTTTATTTGATAGGAGGTTTTGTTTAGGAACCCTTGTACTCCATGTTCTCTTGGAGTAGTATTTATGCTAGTTGGCTTGGAGAGATTTTTATAGATATATGTGCATGTCTACCGGACACGAGTTCCAGGCAACGTACTATCATTATGCGATATACTAGTACTACCACGTCCTCTAACTGATAGTTTGCTTCGCCTTCTTCTTCTTCTTTATCCCCACTCTATAGAATATAATAACTAAAGTAAGTGTATACTCTATACATCCATACTACTCTCTCTGCACGACCTGCTAAACACCATGCATGGCTCTGTCATAGACTCTTGTCAGCTTTGATAATCTGAAACCGCTTCACTTACAAGAACTAGATAACACTATCGAGTCTAGGTGATTATATAGAGAGATAGGGACGAAGTGGAGTGCTGCCCTGGGTTTTATGGTCGGTCAGTGTATAGCTTGGTGTTTTGTATACGGGCTAACGTGTATATTGCTCGATGCATATCTTCTGAAGGAGTGTCCTGTAGACTTTTGCCGGTTACGACAGCGGGGAAGGAGACGTTCTTGTATTTCAGACTTGAGATATATACAATCTCGGCATGAGATATCGGTGCGTTTACACGACGGATTACGTAGGTGTTTGTTCGTTGATACAGTTCGTGGCTCGCGTAGCAGATATGCACTCTGCGGATAGGACTGGTGCCATTGTTGGGTAGATCAGGCTCGTGTTATATGCGCTTCTATAAGTGTTCGGTCTTTGGTTGATATGATACTCCACGCAATCATGTCTAGTCTGTTCTGTGACATGACTGGATTGTGTGGCATCGTTCTGCTCAAACACAACGCTGACGCTATATGCTGCACTGCGCGTGTGGATCCTACACCTATGACGCATTTGGCCGAAAGGTGTATCTAGCTCCGCGTTCATTCGAACTTCAGAGCCATTCGGTCGATCAGTGTTTCGTTGACCAGTGCAACAGCACGCCAAGTGCCACTTGAAACCTTCCACGCATTCTCAGCATCGACCCTACGAAACACAAGCATGTACGAGACATGCACCGGAGACCTTGCGTATTCAGGCCAATTCCCTAGTCCAGAATCTAGAACTGGCATCCACATCAGAATGATGCTCACGTCCAACTTATGCCTGAGCCCGTGAATCAGTCTACTACGCTCAGCGACGAACGGAATTCCACTTCAGCTATCTACAAACACAGTCGACGATTTTGATCCCCAGAGGCTTTACTATTACTTTGAACTCCTATCGTGGGATGTCTGGTCCAGTATACCATACTTGCATTATTCAGGATATCGTAACGCCATGTCACAGCCGACTTTGGCGTAAGTATTCTGATTGCCGGTTCAGCATCAGTGACGGTACAACTGCACGCTAAGATATGTGACTTTCGTGGCAGAATTCATGTTCTCTCTCTGTAGCAGTCTTGGCCCTCGCTTGCTGTTCTCATCACATGTCTGAGTCCTTGACGTCGAATAGCATGTGTCTCCTTCCAGGCAAGATTGAGATCTTTTGTTTGGCTTCGAGCGGTGGTATGGTAAGTAAGACTTGTCATCTTATGGCTGCGGTTGTGCTAGGATAGGAACTTGGTGTGTTCGTATGATCGGTCTTGTTCTTGTTCTTGTTCTTGTTCTTATTCTTACTCCCTACGTCGAAGCTCTTTACTAGGTCTGACAAGCTTTCGAGAGTCAGAGACGCAGGAGATGTGATGAGATAACCTTCGAGAAGAGTTATACGTTTAGCTTCTGGTGTCTTCCAGTATACCATGTTCATGAGCTGTAGGCGTTGAGCGTTATTTGTGTTGTTCATGTGTTGAACTCTCTGCTTACAGCGCAGGCGTTGTTGCGTATGAGTTGTTCGAGCTTGTAGATGGACGTGGGAGGTCTTTTGCGTTCGTCTGGACTGTTACTACTCCATGGGCTTACCAACTCTTCACTTTACCTGCTCCAGAAGCTGAGAGGCCATCGTTGTTCGCGTCTGGTCGTGGACTCGAGATAGAGAAGACTATAAGGAGGTAGCATCGGGGTCGCTCAGAGGAAGGTAATGTTGTCAGCTCGCGATGTGCGCTTGGTTGCGAGGCTGTGCGGCTCTTTGTTCTTGATGTTGTATTAGAATATAGTAACTGCGCACCGCGTATTGGGTCACGCAACGGGGCAATCTCTGAGCTATTGTCAAGTCTGACTTACAGTCGTGTTCTTGGCGGACATGTCTCGGTTCATATAGCTTTGCCTGGAAAATGAAAAGATTTCGTGTCGTGGGCGTGACTTCTATTAATTGAGCTAATTGTAACGTATGGGCTCAAAGCACTGCTATTCTGGAGCCATAGTGAACAGCCTCCAGCCCATCCGCACTCAACGCGTGACTGAACAGAGTACAATAACAACAACAACACGTCACTCGTTATTCACTGCTGCCTTGTCACCCAAAACCACATGATCAGCAAAAAGGCCACACGCCAGAAATTCACCACCCTCACTGCGAAAAGACAAAATATAGGTTCCCCCGACTCCTCTGATTTCATCCATTGGGCGGGTATGGTCTTGTGGTAGTAAGTCAGCCTCCAGGAATAGCCAAAAGCCCACTCCTGGAGCACTTGGCATTAGCCGTGAATTATCTCAGGGCCATTAGGTCGATTGGTCGACTCCCTACCTGTCCAATATTTTTGGCTTTTTGTCGGCGTTTTGGGGAGTGATTACTTGGACTGTGAATGGCGTGGGTTTGGGGGGTGTCAAAGTCTCTGATGCTCTTCTTTTGTTGATTATGATGTCCTCTGTGTACTCAGTGTCTGATTCATTGGTAGCAGTGGATTTAATAGGTCCTTTGTTGGCATTCCCCGAGACGAAGTTGAAGTCGTCCGGACGTGATATCTTTAGTCAACTGGCAAACGAAATGTCACCACGGTCGCTTACATACGGTTGTTGTTTTACGACCAAAGACATAGCTATTCCCTGAATAAATGATCTATAGTTCAATCAATCCATAGAGCAGAAGATTTTTGCGACAAGAATGGGGAACATAAACGATGTGGAATTCCAATGGCATTAGAGCTCGTGAAAGTTTTTATCCTAATTAGGCTTAGCCTGGACTCGCTCTTAGTGTTGCGGCTGCGACTTATTAGTCGTTCCTCTCCACCATGCGAACAGCTGTATCTCGACTCGACACTCATCAATGCGCATTCCTGACTCGAGCAGAATACGACCATGCTTCATGAGCTTTTCCGTGAACTGCAAGGAGTAACATGCAGGCGGCAGTCAGGTGCTAGATCGAACGGAGGGTCGCTCCTAGGGTGGTGACTGGTCCCACAGCCTAATTACCACGCGAAATTTTTTTGACCATGATCCAAGAAAAGCCCAACGTCTTACTTGAAGCCTAGATCCACTTCCAAGCTCAACATCCCAGCCTCGCCTTATGATTAGCCTGTACGACATGATTGATGAGGTGGCGAAGAATCGTAGCTCAGAAAATACTCATGCCGCGACAAGCGACGAGCAAATCTCAAAAAATCCTACTGAGCGCCAGCTTCGGCCAAGGCATAAGCAAGGCAAGCAAGCAAGCTCACTGACACATTCAAGATACCATGACCTGGACAGCCACCAAGGACAAACCGGTACCTGCGTCTCATCAGCTTCACCGTGTCGGCGTGCGCCTCTGTCAGCATCTCGCTTGGTAAGGCTGAGTGCGCGCACGCGGTCTTGGTCATCTGCTAGACTTGCTGTCAAGGGTCAAGTCTCAGGCACAGAAAGCTATCAGCTCTCAGCTAAGGAAACTGTGCCGTCTATGTACTTCCGTCTTCGGCTCGACGAGGCGTGCCGCGCGTACCAGAGTTGGGAACGTTTTTAGTCTTCATTAGTGAGGACGGCCGGGAAATATTCGGTTAGGAGGGAATGCTAGGTGCAGGTCCATCGACGATTAGAAGGGTTTAAAGCTATCGCTAAGTGATCATGCGGGCCATTTAATGAGATGCATCACAATGATATCCGGACTTGATGGACGCAGGGTAGAGAGTCTGATCGTTGGACGGATAAGATGGCCCCAGGAGGTATCCTAGCACTGATAAGGTACCCTTGTCAGCGCTGTGCACGCAGCCTGTTTCTGGCGTTGCGTTGGCACCGCTGCAAACGCTTCGCAGCGCCAGAGTTAGTGATGAGACGGCGGCGCTAGAATATATGCGTAACGATTACCATGCAAGGTGATGGAATGGTGATGCTTGATAATGCGAGCATCGTAGCATGTGCATTGTTGTACCTTGTTGGACAAGACCACAGTGGAATTCACAACTCGGGACTCACAGGCTGGCTGTCCATCATGGGTAGGTGGGGCACCAGGACGCTTTTATACGGCACCATTGGCACGGCGACAAAGAGAAAGATGGCACGATATCAATTCATATATCAAAGTGAGCCATCACAGTGTTCGGGTATGGATTGACGATAACGCCTGCGCCAGATGTCGCAAGCATAGAGGGCGGCATCCGTCATGTCGGTGATCAAGAGCATGCGTGTTGTGCAGAGACTCGATAGCACGGCCTGTTGATCTATGGATCGCCGTTGCGACTTTTGAGACCTGCACATGTATACAACCACACACGCTGACACGAAGTATGGAGCGTTGATCCTTGTAAGATGTCTATCTTGCGTGTGCGGAGTCCTCGCGGATACCAGACTGACATGGTTCTCAATGGGTTCGCTCGCATGTTCGTGGGAGGAAGACCCGCAACTGTTCACAAACCAGCCCATCAGGGTCCACACGGAAAAAGACTCAGGGAAAGAGAAGGGTCCAGAATGAGACAACCTTCGTTGATGGTGGTGTCGAGCGGCTTTTAGCTCCTAGCAGCAATGGATGCTCATTGCTGGATATGCAAGCAAGCGTAGAAAGGGTCCACGTCCACGTTTTGAGTAGATGCTTAAGAGTGAGTACTGTACTGTACTGGATACCGTTTCGACAGCTCCTCCGACGTCGGCATGTTCCCGTCTGCCTCTTTCAAAGCATACGCTAGCCGATGTCGGAAGTCGAGCCACACCGTGGCAACACCATAGGAAGATTATCACCGGACATTAAGTATAATAACGGTGATGATGATGATAATAATCTCTCATCCACAGCGGCTTTTGCACACAGAGCACGCAACAGCCCACAGTCCACGGCGAATCCTAAGCTGTTACGTGACGGAACCTCGCTAAATCGAAACTCGCTAAACACAACCACAACCACCAAACCACTATCACCGCCCCACCCACCAGCCGCTCGCTCGTCATGGGCCGAGTCTCACGCCACCACGCTTTCCCCAAGAGCCGCCATGGATGCACTGCATGCAAGTGACCTCAGCCAGGGCGTTGTCGTAGCTTGCGTAGCTTGCAAAGTACCGGTCGTTGGCGTAAGTCTGGGTGCACCTTGTCGGTCCAGCGATCGCGACCGGCTTTTCAGCGCGTTGTGAAACTTGCTCGCGCCCATCGTCGTCGCTCATCATGTTCCAGACCAGATTTTTTGAGTGATTGCAGCGCAGGCTGCAAACTCGACGCAAGCTGCGTTCGAAACGGCCTGGCTTGCGTTGTGCTGAACCACCCCCCGACGATCCGTAAGACTGGTAACTTTGGGCCTCTGTCCGCCCGTAGCGGGACGCGGTTTGTTTGGTGCCAGCAAGCACCAGTGGCCCCCCTCCTAAAGGTACCCTGGGATAAGTCCTGGGAGAGGGAGGACGAACGCGCCACACAGCGAGCCTGGGGACGACTCGTGCGGAGAGACAGTGCAGGCGCAGGCCTTTTTCTTTTCGCAAGCTGGCGATCTCGGGCTGCTCGGCGGTACTATTGATGATCTGTGGAGTGACAACCAAGACATCCAGCAGGCTGTGTTGGACGAGGCTGCGCTGCGTGTGATAGGTCTGTGGTCACGTCGGCCAGTGCGAGATGATCCCGATGGTTGCTTATGGTCGCACGCGTGACTGTGCCTGCCGCTGCCGCTAGGAGATTGTGTGGACTATTATCCAGCTTGGCTGCTTGCTATTGCTGCGAACTTGAATTGCGAAAGTATGGGGTTTCGTATTGGCATGTATCGCTTAAGCACTCTGAGGTAGATGCGCGATTCTGCGCGCTGGGCATCACGACTCATGCTCCGACACATGGCTTGTCGTCACCAGAAGCTGAAAGAAGTCTGCGGAAGGAACCTTTTAAGATGACGAGTGCACAAGCTAGGTTTCGGGGACCAAACAGTCAATTCTGCGAATCCCGAGGGATTTATAGGTCCGTTTGGACACTTTGTTCCGTAGCAAGAACGTTCTATCTAGGTACATATTCCTTGTAGACTCAAGCCACAGGTCCTCGTGCCGAGTCGAGACCCAAGGGCAGATCTCAACTTGATCTCCTTCCCATGCAGGGCAATATCTTCAAGATGCCCGGAGATCGATCGACTTGAGAGTCGATGTGACATAGGAAAATGCTGATCGCGCCATCCTCAAGTCTTCCCAATATCCATTTCGTGGAGTTTCATGACGCCACTGCGCTCTACTCCTAATCAATGCTCGTTACAGTGGTATTCCTCGACATGTTTGAAGCCCTTCGTACATTGTGACAAAGAAAACGGAATGGAATAGCTCGGTTTGCATGTTTGATAACCGTAGACACACAAGAAGAAATGCTTTTGTTACACATTCCCGATGCGGGACCGATGATGATGATGAGAGGGTAGTCGCTACATAGAAATTCGTGTTGAGAGGTAAAGATCGCCCAAGAAAAACAAGAGATGGATGAGCGGTGTTTCAGGAGTGGTGAGTTCGGTGTAGTAGTAGTTTGCGAAACGTGTGTGTCGTTATGAAGTGCGTGATGATCGTCAGGTAAGAGCGTTTGTACGGGATCTAGGATCGATATCGTCGCTTGTGCTCCCGAACTTGGTCAAAGGAACTGACATAGCCTTGTAACGCTGATGCAGCTTGAGGTGTGAGGCCTGGAGCAGTCTGATTGCCCGATACGGACGATAACGACGAGTGAGATGATGAAGCACTGAGGCGTTTTGCCTGAGTCTGTGAGGTTTGTGCGGTAGAGCTAGAGGTGGAGCTGTAGGAGGAGCATGTCGGCGATGGAGGAGAGTAGTATGTGTAGTAGTGTGTGGAAGGACTCGATTGCTGGGAGTATGCTTTGCTCCGCTCAGCGGATTGGCTGTGGGTAGCGAAGTCGACGGCAGGAGGGAGGTAGAAGCCGGAGTGAGTGTGATTGTGAGTATTAACGGACGTCGTGTTTGAATTCGTGTTTTCGAGGTCTGCTAGACGGCAGGCCTGGGAGCAGTAAGCGCCCTCGGAGAGCTGGCGATCGCAGGAGAGGCAGTAGTCATGATACCAATCCATTTCGGTCGACATGTTGAAGTGGTAGTTGAGGATAGGACTAGATTGACGGGTGTTCGAGTCGAGAAAGGTTGTAAGAGGAGTGGGGATCTGGAGCTTTTGAAAGAGTGTGAGATGGGTAGTTGAGTGGTTTATAGAGGCTTGGGAAGGGCGCATGAGCTAGTAAATAGTGGGGCCTTCTCTTGGTCGTCGTAGTCTCTTAGTGGGTTGATGGGGAGAGGAGAGGGATTGACAAGGGGTGCAAGCACGCACGGACCATCACGGTTGCAAAAGTCTTTCTTCGCCCGCGCGGGGGGGCGTCATTGCTCATTGCACAACTACGCAGCAGGCCAGGTACTTGTGGACTGGTGTGTTGAATCCGCCTATGGCTTACACTTGGATGCTTCCAAAATCGTTCAAACCTGCAGCAAGAAGAGAACTCACCGGTGCGAGCTTCAATCAGAACCCTGGAGCTCTAATACTGACTATTCCTACTACTACCAGACCCGACCCAATAACCCTTACGTGCACCACGGCAATCTCAGCCCTCAGAGAGCTTGGAGAAACTACAAAAAAAAAATAGAGATTCGTAGTATCGAGATAGACCAGATGATGGCGTATTAGCACTAGTTTGTGAACATGCTCACTCAACGAATGCAAGTCAAGACGAAGGCAGCGGCGGCAAACCCTGATGAGAGCTCGGAGCGCTCCTCCACACGAGTCACATTCCCTGCCGTCTCGGCCCCAATGATGCGATTCGTTCCTCCACTATTAAAAGTGGTCATGGGTTGATGTACATGGATGGGCTGATGTACCCCTCTTCGGGTCCCCCTGGCCTTTGCTTGTCTCAGGTGGATCACTCGCCATAGACTAACAATGCTGTTCCTTCCTGGGGCTCTCTATTCATTAGGTTTGGCATTATAACCTCGATCTTAAAACTTGCCTTTGGTCTGAATCCGATGACTTTGAATTCACTTCGTTATATTGCGGCTTTGTGCCCACACATACATAACCTCCAGAACCCCCTGGTAACACAACTACGGTTCTCGCCGCTCGGGTGCCAAACTCGAAGCGAAAGCGCACCTTGGCAGCGCGAGTTGCGCCATATTCCTGTCATTTGAGGAGAAAGCCAGCCTTGCTCGAACGAGTTAGACATGTCAATCTTTACTTCCGCCGTTCACGGAATTGTCCAATAGCGTCTAAGGCTCCTTCGGCATCAATAGTGCAGTACCTGGTATATTCAAATACTTTTACAAGACTTCACAAAATCTCTCGATTGACATTTTCACTTGACCTCAGGACATCCGGAACGCAATAACTATGCCATATTTGATCAACTATCTTGATTTGGGATGACTAGCAAGTGGTTCTATGGGAAAAAGATGAAATGTAATTGATACACAAGTCAAAAGTCGGGTTCGTGAATACCGGAGAAATACCGGAGAACATCAGCATCACATCGTTGAAAAAAACTTTTTTTATGACTCGTTCTGCGTAACTCAGCTCAAGCTTCACCGGAAATGCGCTACATGCTACGGTATCAAAATTTTCGCTCCTCGGTGTTAGGTAACGGCTCTGATGGAGGTCGATCATGTTGCACAGCATAGAGATTGGTACTGTATTTCCCAGCCTCGCAGGCCTCTCATCTTTGGTCCTTGCACGGCGCGACGCTCTAGGAATGTTGAGCATGATCTTGAGCAACACGACATGGTGAGCTGATGTGAGGTTACTATAGTCGAAATGTCTCATTGAGCCCAACGAAACGTGGCGAGATGCTCATCCTTTACGCTATACATAGCTAGAATAGGCCTGAACATGGACCACTTAGATATCATTCTTTATTTGGTACAAGAAACGGCGGAAGCGAACGGGAGAGCGAGTGGAGCCAGGGCAAAGGAGAAAAATTGATGACCAGTCATAGCAACACTATGGACATGGACATGGATGCTAGCTCGAACGCTTTCCGCCGAGCTTTGCTTCAAGAGAATCTGCTCAGGCAGTCTCAAGCGCGATGGTGACGCTTGCCTGTACTATGTACATGCACGGAATCGAAGATGCACATACGGCGTTATAGAGTAATGTGTGCACGACTGTTCTCCTGCCTGTACTCATCCAAACATATGTTGCTTTGGTAAGGACAGCTGCGATTGGAAGGCTATGCTATATAGGTCTTAGAGATCACCAAGGAGACCAACATATGAACTGGGCGCAGCTTGCACAAAGCAGTGTTGCCGTGGACGAATCGCACACCGAAATGATGCATATCTTCGAGTCGAAGGTGGGGACAACTGTCATCGACGGCAATACTCTGGTACTCGAGGTGCCATAGGATTCGGTCAGGCCAGACTTGTAGTAGCTTCCTCTTCATACCGAGTTAGAGTGCCGAATCCACTGGATCTCAATATTGACATCTTCGCTATTAATTATAGCCTGCTACAAACGTGATATGTGCAGCATGCTACGTCGAGTCTAGCCGCTACCCTTCATCCCAGTCTACAAGCTCTACCCCAGACGGGAGGGAGACGCAAGCGGCCCGCTAGTGCACCATCCAACGATGGATTGAATTACTCAAGTGTTAAGATGATCTAGAGTACCCTAATGGGTTAGGCTAGGAGTATTCCTGAGATGTCGCAGGATGGCTCTGAGTTTTGACAATAATCTGCATCCATTCACGGTGACTCAACGATCCTAAGACATACTTCTTATCTTCACCCCCCAAGACCCACCTTCGTATGCCCGCGTCGCTTCTGGCCAGCCGCATACAGTCGAGACGGCTATCTGCTCGTGCCATCGCCCATTATCGATGCCGGCCTAGCAATGCAAGATATGGAAAACAAGGCATTGTTTGGCAGCGTATCAACACTGTCAGGACATCTACGGGCTGTCTAGCTCCTGCACATTCGTTTAGATTTCAGAGGCTCACTCACCATGGCAGTGCTGCATGCGCCAACCATTTCTTCCCAACAACACGGTCTGTGCAGTTTGGCGAGACGCCGCCCTTTCGTCGCTTCTCCCGGTTTTTTTCGCACAAGCATTTTCATCAAAACATCTTCGGCAGCCTCTTCTTATCAATGGGTCCGTGAACGGGGAGGACTCGATCAGCCAATGCGCCCTGCCCTTACTGCCGCTGCCTACATTTCAAATTCTCAAACATCGGTTATGTAGACTTAGATTAAACAGCATGGGTGCCAGGGTCTACATGAGCCGCCCCGCGAACCGTGGACTACCGCCAAGTGTTCGACCTCGTCCATACGAGATGTGTGTTTCTGCTTCCTGCTTGAACAACACCCTTGGGCGAACGGGCGCGTCCCGACTTCCCCGGGCCGGCAAATGACATGCTCCCCCATTCCAAAGCCCCCTTGACAGCATAACAATGCACTCCTCCGCGCATGTGCCAACATCTGGGGTAGCGTCTTTCGTGCGCGCCATTTAGAGAAGAAGAAGAAGAAAAATTTGTGCAGAGCAACAAGAAGACACATTACTTTTTTGATGGTTGGGCATAGATCTTCAGTGTGTGTCTTTGAGTCCCCATTTAATTACGACCACTTACGTGTGAAGGATTATTAAAAAAGAAGACTTGGGCGGTATTTCAAATTTGTAGCAGCTGTCGGCTTTGAGTTAATAGGTAAGGTCCACATCAAACAAAAGCGCTCTTAACAGGCCTTGCATACACCGGATCATACATAGTCTCTCATCTAAGGCTTGCTCGTTGGCTACGGCGGTGGTGGTCGAGCTACACATCTGGCACCTACTCATAAGGTCTCGAACGCGGTCGAAGAATGACCTACAGCTCAAGAATGACGAATTTCAGGTCGCAAGGAAGTAAAAAGCGCTCGTATACCAACTACATGCGAGGTTGAGCCCAGGACGGTATTCTCCACGGAACGAACGAAGGAGTCGCGATCTGCATGTGCTCTATTCCATCCTTCTTTTCGCTATTTCCTTCTTTCTGTCATAGTCATTTTCTTCCACTTGTCATCGATTCCAGCTATCTTGGCATCTACCTCGTATGTCTAATATCCTCGTACCCCCACACGGAGGGGGGGGCTTCTTCTCGAAACTGCTCTTGTTGGCGTTCGCTGTCTCATCCATGTTCTTCCTATACCTCACGCGCGTCATAGCTGAAGTATATTGTCACAAGTCCGTCATACACCCCGTACCATAACGCCTCCTTTTATTCCACTTTTACAGCCAGACAGAACATGAGGCACGTCTATACTACGCTTGTCCCTCTTCCACCCTCTGTAGACGCCCCTTACCCTCCCTACTGACTCTGAAAGAAGCTTCGCTGCTCCTAAGTCCTCCAGTCACTACACCTTCCTACATAGTACTTACTTGAATGGGTTCCACTCCCAAAAGAAGCTTATCTCGCGTTTTTGGGATGGATGCTTCATTCCACATTTCACACTAAGACCGGTGACCTAGACGAGCCTTCAAAGGACGTGTTATGCACGATATACGCCGGTCAGTGAGTCTGTCTGTCTATCTGTCTACATACAGCCGGCGGTGAGCTCCTAATGCTAAAGCCACACGGTCTTCACGTCTAGACTACTGTTTTTCACGGGACCAGCATAGGTGGGTGAGTGAGTAGGAGGCACCGCTACTTCATCTACGTCCACGGACGACTTAAAGCACCTAATCTCCAACCATTTTCCAGCGTAAAGTCTTACCACTGGTGGTATAACAAGTCACCGTATCGCCAATATAACATGATTCTCCATTATCCAACCGAGAGACACAGTAGAAGATAGAACTCAAAATTGAATCATGATTCTATATCATAATATACAAAGATTCAGGTACATATTCAGAGTTACGGTATAATGATTCAAGCTGCATCTCCCATACTATAGGTAAAGAAATCTGTATCCAAAGAAACAAAGTTATGCCGAGAAACTTGTAGATAGAATCTGAACTCCGCACAGCATGTACTTCAAGTTGCGCAGCCTGTGTCTCGGAGCACATGGCCGTCAACGCAAAGAATGTTCTCGATGACTGCAATAACAAATTTTCATACCCATCAACGAATTTGTCACTTCCATATTGGGCTATAATCCCTCTATGTTGAGTGATTAAAACCCCGCGAGAGAAATATCGGAACCTCAACAAGTGCCAAACAAGCGTGACAGGATCCAAATTGCGAGAGCAAGAAGTATGAATTGGTTGGTATGATAAACCCCTTAAAAGGTACAAGGACAAATGGTGTGATCCAAAAAACCACGCCGCACTTGGGCTCAATGTCGAAGTGAGAAAACTCCAGAACGCATTGTATACACATACACCAAACCCGACCCACACGCCAACGCGACTGCAAAAGCACAGGCACACGCACACGCGCACATACTTCAAAAACCAACACCCATCACATCTTTCGACCCCTTTCAAAAAAAAAAAGCCAGCAAGCCGGGCTCACACAGCCGCAGCCTGACCCGCCACGGCGCTCTCAGCTCTCTTTTTCTGCTTCTCGGCCCACTCCCTACTCGCGATTCGGCCGCGCTCGGCCGCCTCTGCTCTAGCCTTCTTCGCGGCCTCCTCCTTTTCTCTCTTCTCGCGTTCGCGCTCCTCCTTTTCCTGTCGATCTCTGTTGAACACTTCTCTGCCCTTGACGCGCTGGGCCGCGGCTTCGGCGGCAGATACCGGTGCACCGGTGACTGGGCCAACGGCCGAAGGCTTAGAGTTGCTTGGGACGCGAGCAGGTTTGCAAATTACGGATGGAGCGTGTGTGGATGGCACGCGGGCTTTAGGCATTGTATTGCTTGAGGGTGCTGGTGGCGGGATTGTGATGCCAGGCGTGTCCTTCTTGGTCAATGAGCCGATATGTACTGACGCCGGCCGAGTCCTCGACGTAGCTAGAGATATCCTTTTAGAAGCTGCCGTGATGTCCATAGAAGAGTTGCGCTTTGGAGCTTGGACATTAGGTACGGTTCCATTGATAGCGGCTTCTCGTGCTCTACTGGCTGCTGTTTGCTTGACTACAGGGGCCTGGCCAGCAGCTTTAGGGATGGGTCGTGCTTTGACGACAGGCTTCTTCTGGGCGGCCTTCTCTCCTTCGGCAGCGTCCTTCTGAAGACGTGCTTCTCGGGCAGCTTTTAATTTCGCTGCAACAGCTTCACCAGGTAATGTGAAAGATGCTTTGGTGGGGGCTCTGGTGGATTTGGCTAGAGGAGGAGGTGTTGGGAATGACACGCTTACGGGCCGACGTTTTGATGCAAGGTAATCTACGACTTCTCCTGTTCCCTTCGGTTTCGGATTGCTGGAGGCTGGAGGTTTACTTGTGATGTTCTTCTGTGGACGGGGTACTACAGGCTTGGAAACTATTGCTGGAACAGTCTTCTTTGCTGCTGACTTTGGTGGCACATTCTCCTTAAGCGATCTAGCAGCGCGGGGTGTTCGTGACACCTTTGGGGCTGGAATTGGAGCCTCGATGGACGAGTCACTCGTAGTCGGGGTATGACCATTAACCTTTACTTTGGGTGCGGATCGAGTCTTATTAGGCGTGAGTGCTTTAGTGATGTCCTCCATCGCGTCCTCGAGAGCGTCAAGAGCCTCTATGGTACCGGGCGATTTACGCGATGGTGATAGAGAGCCGCTGCGGCTAGAAACATCCGATGAAGGAACCTTAATCGGTGTCAAGGACATCTTGATTTGATGGCTTGGTGACAATTCTTCCTCTGGCGAGTCTTCCTGGACTGGATATTCAGGGGAGTTGGCAATAGGAGTTTCTGTCGTAGGAACCTCAATGACAGGTACTATAGCAGGAACCTCGGGAGTATGTTCCTCCGATGCATCAGACTGGTTCATTTCGTTCTTCGTGGGCTCGGGCTGTGGTTCTTGTTTCTCGACTTCGGCCTCCATAGCTAGTTGGCGTCTGGTCTTGCGCGTAGCACGCACTGAAGGTGGCGCTGGTGTTTCTTCAACGCTCATCTGAGCTGTGACTAGAATCATAGGTCAGCATTGAAAATTGTGACTGTCAGTGGAGAACGGCCGGGACACACCTTGTAGCTCCGGCTCTGTTCGCAATTCTTCCTCAAACCCTTCACTAGCAGTACCAGCTACAGCTTGTTCAGGATCACCTGGCATTTCAGCGCTATCTTCAGGTTCAGGTTCCTCTTCAATCTGCTCTTCCTCAACAACTTCCTCTTTCTTTGTCTTCTTGCCGCGTCCTTTGCCTTTGCCCTTGGCAGCTTTCTTCTTCGGGGGCATCTCCTCGGCAACCTCTTCAAAGTTGATTGCCAATTCCTTCAAGGGAGCGCGCTCGAGATCGTCAGATATAGAGTCTACTGATTCAATTGGTTCTGTTGCTGTGTGGTCGATATGGATGGTGTCGCTACCTTCAGCCTGTGCGGCGCGCTGCGCGCGGGTCAAGCGCGGCATTGTCCCTATTTCTGAAGTAGGAAAATTGCCCGCCTGTGTCGATCGCTATTGGCGAGATTGCAGTAATAGTCCGTCTTGCAGACCCGGGGAGTATTCCGTGATGGATAAGAATTGATATTGGAAAGAAGCGCAAGTCTTAGCGAGTGTTTGTATTCGTAAAGAGAGGTAGCTGTGAGGTTGTTTGTGTACATGAATCAGCCATTGTTTATGACCCAAGCAAGGAACAACAGTCTAATCTGTAGATGGCTAGCGCCCGCCGCACCCTGCGGTTCTGTAGTCACGTGTGGCATCCCTACCAGACTTGCCTCTATCAGTACAAGCTCTCTTACCCAAATGATCTTAGTGTTTCGAAAAGCGGGGCGTCTCGTATGCAAAGAATGATTCAGAATGAGTATTACTGTATTGCGTGTTAGACGTATATAAAGGAAGACAATCTGACACTGATTCCAAACTTCCAGCACAATACTCATAGTTTTGACAAGTCATTTGTATTGAAGGTGAGTGGATCTATATCTGTGTATATTGTTGCTTCATTGTTTATCTTCATGATGATCTACACTGGTTTCAATATTTGTCTAATAGGCTTTACGAGCCATGAAGAACACAATCTTCACTCGCCGGTCTGAACTATGTCTTTATGCGTCTTAACCCATCCCCCACCCCGCCAAACAAACAACAGGCTAATATACGAGAAATGCGCTTTAGGATCAGCCAGCATATAAGTGCATACTGCACCCATATCCTATGAGAAGGGGTTTTTATGGCATAGTTAGTAGATCTCTTGCGTCGGCGTGTCTGAAATTTAATATTCAATTTAAATTACCATGATTGTCTAGGTAGATTAAAAGGGTCTCAAATCCATAATCTTCTTATACAAAGCCTTTTAGTACAGATCCTTTATATACTCAATGAGATGCTAGTAAAACCATGCTGTACAAAAACTTAAGCATATATACCATCGACATGGTGTTGTTGCTATTGACATCAACTCAAGCATCACATATAAGATCAAAGTCCGGAAATTGAGGGTCTGGTCCTAGATTCTCCGTAAATCCAATAGTAGACGGCGGATCTTCTGATTGTGATTTGCCAGTGGTGCAGGCACCTGGACATCGTCGTTAGTCGCTAGATCTCAAGTGTCATGCAATTGCATCGTTTTAACTCCTTACTTCTCTGAGCATCACAATCGGTCACACTGAAAGATCCCTTGTTGTTTCCAGCCGCGTTCACAATTCCAGCGCAAGCGTTGAACTGCGTGTCACAGCTGCGCCGTGTCGCAGATCCAAGATCAGCGAAAAGGACTCCGTCGACAGTGTATGGACGTTGATAGTCTCCACTTTGCGTAATTGCTGGCGCCTTTGCTCCGCCGAGGGCTTGATCAAAGGTCTGAAGATTATTTGCTTGCCGTGCGGATAAGTTCAGCATTGCGTTATCAGGGTTATAGGAATCCCTTAGGTTTGGTAAAGATGTTACAGGATAGAAGAAAACAAGTGAGAAGAATGAAATGCTAATAGTAAAGCCATACATATTTCATATTCAATAGCGTTCATAGGTATGATGTGAGTAACAGCATCTACGCATGTGACAGTCTAGGACGGGAGCCAGTATATATGCTGGAATAATCTATCCAAGGTAGATCTAAGGCGCATAAGTTGCCTCCTGTTCTGCCTACATTACGGCGTAGTCCTGAGACAAATCTGAAACGGCGCCTACATGGCCACCACATCGATGATCGACCGTGTTCTGCCAGAACTGCCTCATTAAATCACACGGAAACCATTTGATGGTCTTGACTTGATTTGACTGATGCAACAACAAGTTAAGGTCGCTTTGCGAAAGGTGAAAACATACTTTTGTCCAATACTGAATATAGTACGGAGGTTCATTATTATATTGAGATACATGTTGACGGCGTATCGTAGCCTTTCCATCTATAGTATTGCTAGTGCAAAAAAAAGAACTAATGAGGTGTGGTTTGATATAGCTGCCCAAGATGAGGAAGCTCCGCAAGAGCGCAAATGAGTGACAAGAAACAGGTCTGTAATGTTCCAAAGTCTGACCAGCAAATTGCAATACTATTAATGCAGCATAAGGGCCATGAAACACCTATGCTATGTATCGATTGACTCGATGGTCTGGTAAAGGCTTCGATAGAATTTACAGAGGACGATTGGGTAGGTATGTCATTATTCGTAAGTTTTGGTGAGCGCATATGTGGGATTAGAAGTTCGCGGCAGCATTTGGTCGAGCAGCAGGCTGATGATACTGGTCATTGGCGTTTTGGAACGTTGAGTTGTTCAACGGTTCGCTGTTGCGACTGTTCTCGTTGCGCTTATAGTCCATGCCGGCGAAGTCGTCATCGATTTGAACCTTATTTTGACGCTTCTTGCGGAGGCGTAGGAATACAAGGACGATGCCTCCAAGCAGGAGAGCACCACCCACGCCACCCACTACTCCCCCGACAATCTTTTGATTTGTGGAACTCAGGCCGCCGTCAGAGTTGGAGCCGTCATTGCTTGGAGACAAAGTCGCCACAGCAGAGCCAGTGGTCATCTCACTGACCACTTCCGAAGTAATGGCCGTGTCGAAAACGGACGATCCTGATGTGACACGAGAAGTAATGACAGTAATTCTTGTTACCTGAGTGACAAGAGGTGTAGTTTCAAGAGTTTCAGAGAGCGTCGTACGAACAGTGGTAGCAGCGTCACCACCATTCGAAGAGGGTCGATTTGATGTAGGTGTTGGAGAAGAGTCGCCAGACGAATTGTCATCCTGTGTTGGCTGAGCAGAGGTCGGAGCTGCTGAGGTTGGTGCTACTGAAGACGGTTCCTCTGGAGAACTGGTAGGTACTGGAGTGTCTCCTCCGCTGGACGCGGCTGGAGGACGGCTTGAGACAGCCGTAGTGTCCTGTCTCTTATGGAAGATGCCTTCGCCCAGAGGCAAGATCATTTCCGATGCGGCGGAGACTGACATGATGGCGAATAGGCCCATGCCGATGAGGCGGGAACGTCCACCGAAGCGCATTTTTGTTGTTCGAGTGAGGACGTGGGTAAACGTGCGAAGCTCTTGTTGGACGAAAGGTTCTGAGTGCGGTGCCCGACGGTCTGTCTGATGCTGACGCGTAAGTTCGAGAGATGTGTCCCAATGTCTGGAGGGAGTGGCGAACAGGAGAAGACGTAACGAGCGTAGTGAGTGCGAAGAGGAAGATGTCGACGACCGATATACGAAGAGGAGTGGTAAAAGAGTCGAACGAACGGCGACGAAGATTGAAAGATAGCCCTGTGGGTGTGAAAAGTGAAAAGTTGGTCAGCTGCTGGCAGTCTCTGCAGGGCTGGTTGGTGGATGGATGGTGGAGAAGGGCGGGTGGTGCATCGATGGCGGCTGAACGGATGGATGGATAGGGACTCGGGGCTTTCGGACTTGGGGAGTTTGCGTAAGGTACCTGCGCGTAGACCTGTTCTGGCTAGAATCCAATAGCGATTGCACCCACGGACTCCACTGTTGCACTGCACAGCCCAGTAGACCTGCATGGATGCCTGAATGGATGTTTCAATCAATGCCCTTATTAGTCCTTACAAGATGAGAACGGTGCTTTATGCGAATGTCACCAACGGAGCTACATGGCATTTCCATCTTCAGGCATTCTGCAATAATGGCCATCGCATGAACATGTTCGCCTGCTGGGTATCGATCTTCCCGTCGTGAACCAACCTCCTTCGCCAATCATGGCTGGTATCAAGCTTCAGCCTGAGGCGCTAAGATAAAGAAAACTTCCTAGTCAATCCCAACGGACATGTGAGGTTTTCAATGTACGTGCCCATGCGACGCTCTTGGACGATATCTCTTCGACTCCGTCCTCCTTCCTGATCACACAATGATGGCCATGTCTCTTGCAGCGGCTGCCCAGGACATTCATCTGACTGCTCCTGAAGCTCTTTCAGGAATCTTCGGTTCAATCTCGCTCGTCTGCTGGATCTTTGTCTTGGTAACTACAAACTCTACTACGTACCGCCGCCGGCCTTGCTGACACTCGATCAGGTCCCACAGCTGATTGAGAACTACAAACAAGGCTCTGCTGAGGCAGTCTCCCTCGCGTTCATCGTCGTCTGGTTCGTCGGCGACATTGCCAACCTTATAGGTGCTATATGGGCTGGCCTTGTACCCACGGTCATCTTGATCGCTGTGTATTTCTGCTTCTCCGACCTGGCACTCATCACCCAATGCGTATACTATAATGTCAAGAACGCGAGGAAAGAGCGGAAACTATCTACTCGTTCCAACGGAACATACGATAGCGAGGACGAGCCGTTGCTGAGTCGGAGGGACAGTGACAATACTGGCTTACCCGGTTCGCATCGGCGCAAATCGTCTGCCGCTTCCCGTTTACATCGAGAGAGTGTCAATCGCCGTGATTCCCTTGCCTCAATTGTAGAGGAGGAGACCGGTGGTCGCGAATGGCTCAAAAATACCCTCTGTGTTGTTGGTATACTCACTGTCGGCACTGGAGCATGGGCTATCGCATGGAGCTCTGGTGTCTGGAAACCTGTTCCCGTCGTGACTGATCCGCAGCCGATGCCAATCGGTGCCGAAATCCTGGGTTATGGCAGTGCTGTCTGCTACCTCGGGTAAGTAGTGTCTCAGCCGGAATTTTTTCAGGCGTAGATAGCTAACCACTTCCAGTGCGCGCATTCCTCAAATTATCAAGAATTATCGCGATAAGAGCTGTGAAGGATTGTCCCTTCTATTTTTCATGCTCTCACTGACAGGAAATTTGACATACGGGGCTGGCATTCTCTTTCATTCTACCGATAAAGAGTACTTTCTGACCAATCTTCCCTGGCTCATCGGCTCCCTAGGAACAATGGTCGAAGACGTTACCATTTTCGCTCAGTTCCGGATATACGGGGATCAGTCACCCTTCGCCGTAGAATAACGCCATGTGTTCGATGAACACCATCATAGAGACTTGGTATACAGTACACGGCTTCATGATAGATACATATCGGCACATTACATGTGCACCAAAACAGTGCACTCAAGAGACTAGCTGGCACAACTGGTTTACTCATGGCGGCCGAATATTCATAATGCATGCGCCAGATGAGTGACTCGGTGGCGGTTACGGCCTAAAATCACCCGGCGACTTGCCTGGATAGTTGAACACAAGATGTTACAAGATTAATTGGGGGTATCCGACTGCCGCATTGGGTTATCAAAATGGTAGTGCGAAGCTACAGCAGGTCTCGGGTGTCTCCGAATTGCTTACTGACGCGACTAGCGAGAAACTTGATTCATATTCTACCAGTTCACAACTACCTAGATCGGACAGCTGCTTGTCAGTAGGCAGTGATCTAAGGGGAGCAAACGAATGTTGTTCTCACAGATACATAGCATTCAGTAACATCTCACAATAGGATATGTGCATGCCAAGCTAAGGCGTACATGGATGAATACGAGGCATCCCTGCTGTCAACGTCACAATGCATATACAGCTGACATTAATTGAGGGCAATAATATATGAGCTGAGCAGCAACTCATTTCGAAGACAGAGTATGTCGCTGTCTCGCCATGTTGCCTCCCCATAATTTCGTTCTCTCTGTCGTCATTCTTCTAGAATTAATATGTAAATCGGTGTCGACTTCGTGCAATAGCACAGAATCATTGCCCAATCCCATTGCGACTACATATCCAAACGAAACTACCGGAACAATTAACGGTACCCATGCAATCATTCCAATAGACTTGTCAGCAGCTCGGTCTTTGATACCACCACAATACGGCATCAACCTGTACGAACTCTACGCTCTGCAGCCCGACTTCCCACGCAACAAGTATCCGCTCATCGTGCAGTCAGTCCTGGACCATGACGTTGGCGTCGGTACCTCACTTAGGATCCCAGACTTCACGCGATCCGCCATAACCCTCCCGTTCGTCGATCTCCTCCACGATGGCCGGACGAGTTTCCGCCTGCTACATAGCATAGTCATGTCTGACAATCCACTCGCTGTTGAGGGCGCGGCGCTGTACGGACCTCCCCAGCCTCTTGTTGGCCGGTTCGACCCGCCGTGCGAGGCATACATGTATGAAACTTCTGAGCGCACCGCTGCGTCGTCGGTCACGTTTGCTGCGTACCCGCTTCATGACGACGTGCATTCGAAGAGGCCGCTCGTGCACACGCGGTTCAAACCATGTAGAGCGCAACCGTATTCTTTGGCGCTGTACGAGAATATTCTGAATCAGGTTCTGACTAATAATGGCACGCTGTGCGACAACTTCGTCACGTTGTTCGATACTAGTATTTCGACTGGAGACTTCAGCCCGGTGCCGGTCGAGGGTCGGGTGGTGCTGAACAGACCGGTGTATCCTACTGATAGTGTGTTTGAGGGTGTGTTTGGCATCAAGGCGGACTTTGCTTTTGTCGAGCGGAACTATATTCCGTGTTCGCAGTTCAAGAGTGTTTCTTAGTGACTGGAATGTGCGGTGTAACTTGAAAAGAAAAGAAAAGGCTTTCCGTGGCTTGTTGAGCCAAGTCTTCTTTGTCCCGGTGTGCCCGAAACCTCGTAGATAATGTGCGGATTTGGATAGTTTAGGTCCCTGACATTCTGGGTACGCTAGCTCCGCGTATCCTCTTAATGCAGGCTGCATCACTTCTCTCTTTCGAGACTAGTTCTATGATATGATAATGTATGAGTTCTGGTCCGCTCTCTTGTGTTCAGATCTATTATTGATACAAAGCATTTAGGTCATCCAGCTGTACAAGTCCAATATATCGCCGCACGTAGCCCTAGAGTAGACCTTGGTCAGATAGTTAATTTGCATTCGTTGGTGATGAAGGTAGGGAATCATGGAGTTGATGTACGGAGCAAGCATATGGTTCTATGGCTAACTAGCAAGCTATCTAAGTACTAGAGATCTGAGCCAAGAATAGTAATAGAGCTATCTAACTAAGAGTTGAAAGAGCATTGCTTTTGTATCACTAGGCACTGGGAATGAATATAAGTCAAAGTATACCAAGCTAAATTAGGCAGCTCGAGAGAGTAGAGTGAACGGTTTCATAGTTCGTTCTACTATCTAAGCTATCAATCTTTGATAGACGGATCTAATTGGCACGTTGTTCCCTCCACTCTACAGCTGCTAGCATCGAGTGGCGGTTTAATAACTTCCAGGCTGAGTGGTAGAGCGATACACGAAAGTAGTGACGTATAGATCTTGCAGACATAATGATAACATTCGACTGCCGCGACGACCGCCTGTCGGTACACACATCTTAGAGAGAGATGCATAATAGAAGAGACTACATGCACGGAGGAGTACGGATTTCTCACATTCTGAGTCTGAGATACACGAGAGAGAGCGTATCAATGAAACAACTAGTATAGCCGCTTTGACGCTGTATCATGCACTTGCTCTGTGCGCCCAGCTAATGACATATGAAGGGTGACAGTTCGAGCCGGGGGAGCCACAAAAAATCATCCTCTAAAGGACTATGTGTGGCACGAGCTCCAATTTGATCAGAAAGCTGGGTCCAAGGTATGAGAACACTATGTATTCAACGCCTTGTAATCACCTATATACTCTTTTCACTTGAGTGATACGGTCCGGCCTTCATACCAAACTCAAAGAAGTAGCTACTAGACTGCTTTGCGTAGGTCTCTAGACTTACTAAACGTATATTAGGTTCATATACCTATTGTCCTGGTATACTATCTATATATGCCTGTACTGAATATGCCGGTAGGATTGCACTGGCTCGGCGCGAACTCACTCATGAGTGGTTGAGTTGGCAGATTCCCAGACACTCAAATTGCCTCTGACTTTGACCATTTGCCATGTTCATGCATGTATAATTATCCGTCCCGGTCTGAACGTTTACGTAGTCGTGGCCCATGAGTCAACCTTATATATTCTCGCGTCCCCGCTGTAGTCGTTCAAGCATTGGCAGTTATGCTGAACTTCCACCTTGTGCTCGTTCTACTAGTATGAAGTCTAAAAAGGACTGTATATTATATTCAGTTGCGCCGCAATGATAGCTTCCTGATACCAACACCAAAGCGGTCTGTTGACGTCCCGGCTATTACATACTAGCATCAGTTACGGGGTACATATTGCATAAACTCCACTTAGAGGTAAGAAATCTATGGGTCGCTGATGAAACTGGCAGGCCACCCATGCAAAGTTGACTGCGCCCTTTTTCTATTTAGTAGCCAGGTACAAGAACAAACCGAGTCAGCCTTGTGGACATGTTTAGTTCCATGCAGCCCGAGTTCGTCTTCATTAGGGCCGTTAGCCCTGGCCTGCAGCCTCTCGCCCTCTCGATTTCACAGGTTGAGATACTGGAAGGTCGTCACTGATCACTTCTCTGATCCACTCTCTACTTATGTCTACCATATATGCTATTTTCATAGCTGTATGGATAACCAGGGCATTATGTACTATGCAATTCGTCAACCCCCCGCCCTTTGGAGAGCCCGGCGACTTTAGCAGTAACCCTACCTTTACATTGGGCTCAACACTTACTATAATATGGAAGGCCGGGGAGGAAGGCAAAGCGACGTCCCTTGTTCTATATCAGCTGGCTACGCCGAGTGGTGATTGGGTGGAAGACATGGAGTACTTGGCCCGTATGAGACTCCTTTCCTTTCCTTTCTTTGCTTCCTCCAGAGTACATACATAAGGCTAAACTATTTATTAGAGGGCGCAATTGGTCTCACGCGATATACCTGGCTTGTCGGAACCAGGAAAGACCTTCAGACGTCAAACATCTTCTATATGAGTATGGCAAATTGGACTGCACATGGTATCATTCACAGCTCTGGCACTAATACCATTGATCATAGGCCTCTATCGAGAGGGTTCAACGACGCCCGACGCAAACAGTCACTATTTCTACCTCAAAAAGAACGAAAGCCAGCCAACATCAACCCTGTCTTTTGGACCCACGAACACCTCCACAAGCAGAGTGCCACAACTGAATACCCCATCCCCGGGACCAAAAGTTATTGACGTATTCTGAAAAAAAAAGTTTCAGGTCAAACAAACTCGGCATTGGATTTGGCGTAATCGTTCCGGCTGTGGGGTACTGGCTAGTATATAGCTTCCCCTCTACAGAGTCTTCACTCTACTAATGTAATACTTATTTCAAGACTAGTTGTACCTGAAATATCATTTGTTGTCGACTAATCCCGTAATAGATCACATAGATGTCGAAGTATGCCTCTTCTTAAGGACAGCTACACTAGCCACAACAAGAGGACAGGAGGCGTAGTTTTCTACTTGGTCATAATATTGAGCACCTAGTAGTAACTCAGTTTAACTTTACAACAAGAAGTAGTAGCGCATAAAACCTTACCATTACACAGATGTTGGAGAGCGTTGAGCCGAGGCGATCATCGATATGGATTATCATAACTACCGCCAAATGTGCCTGGTTTTTTTTTTTGGAACCTAAGAACATACCGTAGGGTTCTCATTGCACATTCATAGCTCTCGAGCTCTCAACATACACATGTGGCTTTGTTAAATCAATAAACATCTCCTCGGAGAATACCCCTTTTCTATCGGATATATCTAGCGCATATAGGAGGTCCAGATATACTAGTAAACTCTCATTTGATCAAGCTAATTCATAGACCTCTACTGGCACTCTGACCGCATGTTAGAGCGGCTTTGTAGATCCGCAGACATTGATGTGCTTATGACCTGCTAAAACATGGCATTGGCATCCATAGGGGAAAGGGTTTCGGTATGAGCTCTAGTCGTCGACAACACATCTCGGCCAACAGCACACAACGCACAGTACACACGTAGCTCTAAACACATTCTTGTTGGTATAATGCAGGTAGCGCTGACCATTGTCAAGCATCCACAACTGAAATTGCACACTGGTTCGATTTCTGCGTCAGGCAAACAGCCCTTCTATCAGCCCAACCTCAACACAACAAAAGGCAACAGACCAACAACACTCGAATGTCACTCCTTTTCCGACCGCCAGACAAGCTTCCACATCTCCCATCCATACTCCACCTCCTCTAGGCATGCACCAAGGCAGACTCCAAACGAACCAGCAAAAACCGCAACCCAAATACGCAAGAAAAACTTCCCGTGAGGGTAATTAACATCATTTCCTTAAAAAAACCCACACCAACAAATCTACTCCGCCAAACTCCGCCAAATCTTGCCCTCTCTCAACATCGATGACATCTCATATCCTCAGAACCCCACCACAACACCCAGCGCTTATCCTCTCAGCCTCGCGCTAGGCATCGGTACTACACTGCGCGCCAGACTCCAGCCAATCAAACCCCACTTTCTACTCCGAATCCGTGCTAGTTCCGCCGAGAAAGGGCATCCGAAAAGCGATCTACCAATCACAAGACGATGCAGCGGGCGCGTCCCGAAACCGCTCCCGCCGCTGCGCTAGCGCATTTCGGGACGTTTTAACTGCAGTGTGCGTACGATGTGCTCCAGTTTTGCCGCTGGCTAAGTGGCAGAATATGCAGCCTGGCGCAGCGGCTCGATGTAATTAGTCAATTTGAGGGCCGGAGACTGGGTACAGGGCAGTTTATTTAAGCGCAGGCGTGGGGCTAATTTGGGGTGGTTGTTTTGCTAGGTGGGCTAGGATGCTAGATATAGGAATCTTGCTGTGCCGCATACAGGGAAGAAAGTGCTGGAGAAGAAGGCAAGAGGATGGAGAGAGAGTGAGTATGTATATGCAGTCGAAGCGCCGGTTTGGTGTGCTGCATGTACTTCTGCACTTCTTTTGAATCTTCTTCACTTTTGTGTTCATTTCGTGAGACTCCGTATGAGCCTCACGATATTACCTCATTACGGACGTTTTTGGTGTTGTCAGCCCTCTATCGCGGACGTTGATCCTAGCACAACCATCCCAGTACCCTGCGGATTAAGGGTGCGGCGTTGCATGGTACATAAGCATAATGTCCACACAACACAGCCCTTTGAAACCAGACGTCGAGTCTTCATCAGAGGTTCCCACAAATACCAACAACCGCACCTCGCTGCGTCCATTCCTTCTCTCATCTTCGCGCTCACAGTCATCACCGACGCTGCCTCGCGCACCTTGCTCAACACCAAAGTTGAGCCAACAAGAAAAACCACTTCCGCCTCTCCGTGCGCCTGAGATTATTGTCTCACCTGTTGATGAATCTTCACCGAAACTGATCCATCCTGCTTTCAGACACTCACAGCGATGGCCGGACTTACGTGGTGCGCAGTCAAATGGCAACGATGTGACAGGCAACGGATCGCATGCATCGAGCCGCGTGCATGAGGAAAAGCAGTACGGTGTGCCAGCGTCGGATCCATCGCCGGACGACGAGGCCAGCTCGCCTGTCTCGCCTGTGCGCGCTTCCACTGATCGTGGTGGTCACGAGCATGAAGCGGATCCGGAGCATGGAGGGAGCGTAAGTGAAGCCGGGGAACCACGTGTTGCTGTGCAATTTGCAAGACGGGCGTCTACGTCCTCTCCAGCCCGCCATGATGGAGACCAGCCGCAGCGACAGCAACATGCTTATCGTGCTCTTCCTTATCCATTGTCTCCTACGTCGCCTATTCCAACACAGCAGCGAATCGAACAGGGAGAGAAAGGAGCTACTCCTTCACCGCCGTTGGAGGCTTGGAGTTCTGCGCCGAATCATTTGAACCAGAAAAGTAAGTTTGCCGTTTTGTTTGGGATTGGAGATGCTGTCATGGCTTTTGCACCAATTGCATTCATCGTCCTTGGGATATGTATTGCGAAGTTGCATGGCCAGGAGGTTGAAGGCAATGGTTTCGGGAAGAACATTGAGCGCACCATGGACCTCGGGCCTACCTTGTTTCCAATCATGTTCGCTGCTGTTGCCGGAAAGGCGTTGAAGATAACTGCGAGATACTGTGCTGAGCATGGTTCGAAGCTTGGGGTAAGTGACTTTCGTTCCAAAGGTTTGTCCATGACTAAACGACACCAGACCTTGGAATTGCTGATGGCCAGCCAAACGGTCTGGGGCACGTTCGAAAGTCAAGTTCTTCTGAAAAGCTTGTCAGTCCTGGGTGCGCATCTGTTCTTCCTCTGGGCCCTATCCCCAATCGGAGGTCAAGCATCGCTCCGAGTCCTTGAATTTGGTAACGTGACCATTGGAAATCAGTCTCAGGTCATTTACATGTCAACTGGAAATATGAGCCCATTGCAAGATACGCATTCATTACTCAACAATGGAAACCAAGGAACGTCAACCAACGCTGCACTGAACGCCATGTACAACGCTGTCCTGACCGCTCCAAGCCAAAATGGCATGAGTAAAGTAGACCTCTGGGGTAATCCGCGCATACCTCGAATCGATACTTTGGTCAACGTGACAGCGGACAACAACGGCTGGCTGCCAGTACCAGACGTGTTGACTCCAGGTCAATACTCAGCTTTGGTAGGGATACCCGTGGCAGGCGTGCTCCCCGTAGACGAAGTGGACCTTGAAGTCACAAGCTCATATCTGGAATTCAGTTGTCCGTGGCAAGGTAAGCTGCCATATTCCGGTAATGAAACGCTGCCCCTCGGTAGGATCTGGGGGCTGAATGGCACAACGAGGCGGATTGGCGAAAATGTATTTGGCGATGCATTGAAGGGGACTCAGACGACATTTTTCCTGGATACGGATACTCCATTCACAGACGCACGGCTGAATGGGATAAATTATGATGCAGACGTCCCCGAGTACAATTTCCCATTTGATAAGGATGAACCCTCGTTAAGAGATCCCCGCACGATCACGTTCGGTTCACGATATTGGCCCCCAAACGAGACAGAGTCCTATACCATCCTGCGGTGGTGTACTGTGACAGCCAGATATGTGGATGTGGTCTTTAGATGCGACAAAGGCAGCTGTCTCGCAAACAAGATGAGAAAGGCGGAGAAGTACAGTAAACGAAACAATAATATTACCGTATTAGACTGGAACACGACAACAACCAACCTATTTGAGCAATTGCCGCGATCTCACGGTAGCGTTCAATTCGGCAGATCTGAAGAAATGACAATGACCGAGAAGTACATCCGGGGGGCTCTCAACGTCTACAGTACGGGCACGCAAGTCGTTGATATGGAACATGTGACCATGGAGGATTTCAACGATCGATTCACCAGAGTCATGAACACATATCTGCATCTTGCGCAAGGGCCGTTTGCATTTGCTGGAAACATACCACCGATTGCAGCGTTTGGACCATATGGAAATTCGACAATGGAGAACGGAACGGCGATGACAGCGGCAACATCCGGTGTTACTAATTATGGAGATTCTGAAAGTGTGGTAGCACCTTGGTATGGATTCCCGTCCATGGCGACGAACAAGACGTTTCAAAAGGTATACCAATGCAACTTCCTGTGGTTGGCTGTGATGGAGGCCTCGTCTGGTATACTGCTGTGCTTAGGTATTGCAGGTCTGATCATGAAGATCAGATGTAGAGCGCCGGACATGCTGGGTTACGTTGCCAGCATGACGTACGATAATCCTTACGTCGTCCTCCCGGCTGGAGGTTGTGTGTTTAGTGCGATGGAAAGAGCTCAGAGACTGAAGAGGATGGAAGTCCGCATTGGCGATGTCCAGCCTCGGTCCAAGATGGGACACGTGGCGTTTGCGAGCGTTCAAGGCCATTCAGGAATCGGCAGTCTGCAAAAGGAACGACTCTACGTCTAAAGAGGTCACAGTCAGCGCATCTTTGATGGGAATGTTGACGAGAGACAGTCTTGATAGGAACGTTTCGAGTATGGACCAACGGGCCGACCAGTGGAATGTCTGCCCAAGTCCTGCCCGATGTGACGGCCCATACACACCAATGAGATGTGGATCTGGCTTTTACATTGCAGTCGTAGAAAGCACTTCAACCAAGAATTAGGGTCCTAGGGATGTTTGACGAGTATTTATCGGCAAGACACGACGTTGTGCCACTCACGATAAGAGACTGCGGGGGAAATGGATAACAGTAGGGCTGCGATGGGTCCATCTGTGAGGCCCATGGACCACCAAAGTATCAGGACGCACAAGACCACCGGCGGTTTGAGATGCCATGATCCTCCAGACATCAAGTTCCATGACTGGGTGGATCTCAAAGTTCCAAAACCTTGACGTACCGGACTTGACTGGTGACGTGTAAGCAATGTCTCACATCCACGAAAGAGCTGGGCTGCTGGAAACCCTTGTGAGTCTTCGGACTCCTACAGTACTGCGGTCCCGGATTATATGACAACGCACGAACTTGTTGGGTTGAGCCAACGATACGACACAACCTGGCTGCGAGACGAAGTGCAGGCCTGATGCATCGACGAGGTGGTTGGACACGAAGGCGAGGTATCTGTAGGCAGGATGCACAAGGAAGGCAAAACGAGAAAGGATTCGACACAGCGGTGGCGTGCCCAGATGAAACACGGGACTCGGCCATGCATATCCAAGTACCTAAACAAGGACGACGATGACAGCCAGCAGAGTTCATGGCGTGGCGGATGGACTTGACGGTACCTGAGATATGTCGCCAATGAAGAGGATGCACGACCTCGGGAGCTAGGTTGTGTTAGGTAAGCGAAGGTCCAGGCTAAGTTAGTCAGGGGAAAGAGTTTGGACTTATCCTCATCGGGACGACGCCTGGCCTGAGCAAAGCACAACAGGTCCACGCTCATTGAACGAGAACCTTGGGTCTGACTAAAATTCATTATACCTAACGGGAAATGAGATGGGACTTCCGGCGTCCTTCGAACAAGAGCTACAACGGCGACGACAGCAACAACACCAGTATCAGTATCAGGAGCAGCAGGAGCAGGAGGAGCAGGAGCAGCACGACAATGTTGAAACACTGGCGACTCACTCTCGTCATACTCGACCGCGACAGACCGTCTCCGCGACGAAAGAATGCACTGGCATGATGTACCGCAAAGCCACAAAGCAACCCGGGCAAAATCCTATCTTCCGCCCGCGTGCTAGTCCATAAGTCCACGAGTCTTCCGGAGATCATCAACTACTATTGGTTGTTTGTTGTCTGTCCACTGCTCGTGTTTTCGCCATGCACGCCCCACACACACACTCTGGCTGCTGGCTGCTCCGCTGTCCGACGATCCAGGTGTGCGTCGTGGTCGTGGCTCCTGACTACAAAATCCTGGTCCTGAGCCTTCTCCCCCGTTCTTGTCTCCTCCTCAAGCCTCTCCACGAGCTCATCGTCGTTTTCCACATTCTTTTTTTGCTTCAGAGATCCAGTATCTCTAGTCATTCATTGAAACGTACAGCGCCCTTGATCACTCATTAATCAAGAGCTTCTGCATTTTTCGCCCACCAACGCTGATAGTATATTGGAATTGCTAGTCAATTCACTGCTATCAAGTATTCATACCAGCTATCACAGCAACATTGAAAACGACAAGACTCGACAATTATCATATAGAAGAGCTTGCATCAAAAATGAAGAGCATCGCCCTCGTCACGCTTTCCGCTGCGCTCTTTGGCTTCGCCAATGCCGCCCCAGTCGACAAACGGGACTACGATAACGACGTCTATACTGCAGTCGTCACGAAGACTGTAGTCGTGACCTCCACTGTCTGGGTCGATCCCATCGACGTTGCGACGACTCTGGAGAACAACGGCGCTCAATTCTACGAATCCGCAACTCCTACTCCTGTAACCACATCTACAACTCCACCTCCACCTCCGCCGTCTTCGTCTAGCCCACCTCCACCTCCACCGGCGCCAAGTAGCCAAGCACCTCCAGTGGCTGCTCCCGAACCGACTCAAGCACCTCCTGCGCCTGTCGTCAAACCAGAACCAGCCCCCCAAGCTCCAGCTCCTTATTCTCAGGCTCCTGCCCCTGCGCCTGCTCCCGCACCGGAGTCTCCTTCAACTGGTGGTGGCTCTGGTGAATATGCAGGCAAAATGACTTACTATACTCCTGGTATGGGAGCCTGCGGCGTCACCAATTCGGAGTCGGATTGGATTGTTGCCATATCCCACGAAATGTTCGATACGAAGGCACAGGGCGCCAACCCTAACGCGAACGGATTCTGCAAACAGCCAATCACCATCTACTATGACGGCAAGTCCTACAAAGCTCAGATCACCGACCGCTGCGAAGGTTGTGCGTACAACGATATTGATATGCCGAAGTCGATGTTCAGCACCATCTCTAACGGAAACGTCGATGCAGGCCGCCTGCCAGTCACCTGGAGCATGGGTTAAGGGCGATAAGTCAACGTGACATCCTTTTCTGTTATGATTCATGACCCGGATCTATGTCCGATTTCTTGTTCAAATTATCTGTTGCGAAGTGTCACAGGCAGCATACTCATTTGGAGCATGGCGACAGGCAGTGTTTGGACCACTTTCTTAGATATTATTCCCCGGCTGGAAACATTCTTGTCAACGCCACCTCTTTCTTGTCCGGCTCATCGCTGGTTTCTTTGTAGATATTCAATTCTATTTTTACGCAGGGAAACTGTTATGTGAACATGTGCCGTACTTTGACCAACTCCTCGTAATGTAAACAACCGCTGTAGCAGGTCGTGCGCATCACCATCACTGTTCATCCGACTGACCAATAGTTGTTTGCCAAGCGGCCTCTCCTATTGCCACGGTTACGTACGACGATGTGCAAAGAAATGAAGAGAGCATTACATTCCGCAGCCACAGCCGTGGCCGTGCGTAGTGGCTATTGAATTAGTACACCAGTATTAAAGCGCAATAGAATCTATCGAATTTCCACACACGGCCCTCGGCAAGCAGAGATTTGCCTCGTTAATGTGACATTGCCTATGCCAGCCCAGGTCCGGTCTCCACGTGACACGGACCAAGATTAGCAGTAATAATAGTATACTTTACGGATGTTGCGCGAGCCGGGCTTCGTGGAGGTTAGAGCTCTCTTACAATGATAACTTCTCTGTACCTGTTCAGAGTACAAGGCAGACGACACACTTATATCAAAGAGGTGACTCTTGTACATCATGATGGCTTGCAATTCAAAGTCGTTGCAATATTGCGATGAAATGTTAGGAATGTCCAATTTCGGTGCAATACGCGCGGCAAGTTTTAGTGCACTGACCTAAAGTTTAGCCTGACGAATCTTGATGGCAGCAGTGAACCGTCTTGCGCCAAGCATGGCCGGCGTGCTGGACTGCAGCTTTTGGGCCCTCGCATCGTCGCTGAGACGGGCAGTCTTTGCGGCATTGGCCACGTCAGGATAATGGTCGTCCGGATGGCCGGCAGGATAGGATGCTGGAGCTTGACGTTGGTGATGGATTTGAAGTTGACGTTCGTTTTGAAGTGGACGGTCAAGGAGAGAGTGTATTGGATGGGGGATTCCAGGTAGATACCTGTGAATAAGTGTTATTGTATACGAAGAGGTAATATGACAAGTAAAATGTAAGTGTTCTTGTCTATCATTTTCTGGGCCGTCGATGCGCTGGAAGTCGATAGTGATGATCTACATACTGTGACAGTGCATGCAGAAACCTCATTCCCTTATCCCTTATCCCCCCTTATCGGGGACGGCTCAGTAATATCAAGGGTTTTTGTGCATTACTGCATCCGATGGGGCAGTCCCCCAGTTCCCAGTCCCCAGTCACAATATCCCCAGTCCCCAGTCCCCAGCTTGGTGTTGTGCACCTGTCAAGCTGCCATCATCGGCCATCAGCCATCAACTGTCAGCCGTCAGCCACCACCCCTCAGCCGCTGCTCACCACGTCTTTTTGCCTCTGCTGCGTGAGAACGATCCCCTTCACCGTTGCATTCGATCCACTTACTTGTCCCTTTGCCGACGGATCGCACGTCATTAAAAATCGCGCTTCCTGGATCTCATTTGTTCTGGGGGGCAGAGAGGTCTCAGTGTTGTGGGTTCTCTTCGTTATCATCCAACCATCGCGCCTGCCTGATTGGAAGAACGTCGCCCGCTCGAACAGCCAAGAGCCCCAAGCTGCTTCAAACCTTCAAACCCGAGTCTCAACCTCCATCTCTCCAACACCAATCCATCCGTCTACCAAGACTCTCGTCGTCAAATCTTCTTGCACGGCGAAGTCGTCTTCTTCATTCTTTATCGCATCTTCTACTACCCTTACTGCCTTGTCTGCATTGTTGTGAATAGTCGACACGCCCCTTTACTTGCTTCGCGGACGCGAATTTCCGCCCGCTGCTGCACACCTTCTCCTGTTTCTCCGTAATAAACTCGATTCCAACCTCACACTTCCCTCTACAACGCTTCAGCACTCCAAGTGCTTGTCGCATTGAGCTCATCACCTTGTGGCCTACTCGCTGCAATCGCGCGTCAAGTGCAAAATACCGTTACAATGTCGTCCAACCCAGGAAATGGTACAGGTATTACATCTCATTGCGTGCTTGACTCGCATATCACTCACTCATTGCTAACTTGCCTTCAAGCTCCAACGAGTGCGCCCGAATCAGACGCGAGCCCTTCAGATACACCTTCGAATCCACCGACGAGCGATCCTCCGTCCAGCAATCCACCACCATCCTCATCACCGCCGCAACCGCCTCCATCGAGTGTCCGGTCAACACCTACTCCTTCGTCACCTCCACCAAATTCCACTCCACCACCAGTTGCAACGTCGACTGTAATTTCCAACATACCGCCAACCACTGTCCTGTCAACCATTATAATCTCACCGTCGCGATCTGATCAACCACCCTCGACCGTGGTATATACTTCGATTGAATCCCAAATACCAAACACAAGTGCTGATCCGTCCGTGACTGATGTCCCTCAGTCCACCACAACAGGACCAGGTGCTCTGGCTACGGGTGGTAGCAACGGCGGTGATGGGGGACTATCGCAACCGGCAACAACCGCCATTGCCGTAGTAGTTCCCGTCGTTGCTGTTGCGCTCCTTGCCGTTGCTGGTCTCTTCTTGTGGAGGAGGAGAAAACAAAAGAAGAGTGCGGAAGAGGACAGGCGCAAGGAGATGGAAGAATATGGCTTCAATCCGAATAACGACCCAACGTTGCCTGCAGTGGGCGCTGCGACAGTGATGACCGAGGATTCCTCTGGCTACCGCGGCTGGGGAAATGCCACCACTGCATCCAAGGGCAAAACTTCGACTGCACCATTCTCTGATAGCGGTGCTAGCGCCGGAGCTGGTGGATATATTGGCGGTCACAGCCCAGGCTCACCTCCACAGTCGGACGGACATTCGGCAGACCCTCTCGTGGGCGGCCACCACGATACCATGGACTCAGAGACTGTCGCTGCGCTAGGTGGAGCGCCTGTTGCCGGAGCCGGAGTCGGTCGTGGTGTTCAACGTGGTCCGTCAAATGCTTCCTCTTCTTACGATGGCCGATCAGAGGGTTCTGGTGAAGGCAATGGAAACTCATACGAAAATTACACAAACTATGACCAGTACCAAGGCAATGGTTATGACAATGCCTACGGTGCGGGTCCCCAGCCTATCATTCGTGACGTATCTGCTCGGAGGAACACAAGGATTGAGAACCCCAGCGTTGTACCACAGCAAGGCAACTCAGGCATTGCGCAGAACTTTTAAAATTGGCTACAAGGCTCTTATAATTCCGCTTCATCTGCATTTGAGGGCGATTTCTCACGACCATCGTGTCCGGCGTAATGACCATTAGAATATACACTTACTACCCACATATCGTTGTGGATCGCGTTTGCACCCCATCGCATGCCATTCACTCTAAATTTTCATTACGCATCAGCGGTTCGACAATCTTTTTCTTTTAATTGTCGCTATCGTTATGACGCTGCGGCATCTCAGCGCACTGTAACGAATCCCTTTATCGAGCAACGCCTGCGTCTCGCCATCCGGCTGTTCGTCTCATAACGCCCACATAAATTGTCAACTCCGTAATACCGCCTTTCGTGGACTCAAAGCTACTGGTCTCTAAGCCTGACGCGAGAGTCTCATCGGCCACCATCTCGACAACTCCTCCGCACTTCTCCAAGCATATGTCTTTGTGCTGATGTTAGCGTATATCCAATGCACCTTGCCGATGGTCATATTTCCTTGGGTTGGTAGGATGTAATACGGGACAATATGGGACGGGCGGAACGAGAATGAAGTAGGCACACGTGTCTTCCTTCGCCCTCACTTCTTTTCAGGACTGGCTTTCGCAGTCTGCTATTTTCTGTTTATATGCCAAGGTGGAAAAAGCACGATGCATCGGCTTGACTTGCACGCTCGTGTATCTGAGCGTACTGTCTGAGTTTGTTGACTGTCTATCGTTTGTATGTAAGTAGGATCAATCAATCAATAAGTAAACCAATCTCTAGTATATCTTATACATTCCTGTCGCTGTCGCTATCGCTATTGCTGTCTCGGCTACGTGAAGATTCTTATAGGGTGTAAAGTTACATGAAAACAAGGTCAAGACGATCTTCAAGCTGGCAAAACTGACCTCACAGTTAGGAGTAAATGGCACACGAGTAGGACGAAAGAACGAATGAATGGATGAATAATAGAGAAAAAAACCCACTTGCAGCAGCAGACATTCTACGTGTTAGATCGTAAATTCGAGCAATGCTCTCTTGTAAATAAATGGCTCCGCCCCATTGGAAGCGAGTGTATGTATATGTTCTAAAAGAGAAGGAGCAAGTAAGCAGAGCACCCACTTCCAAACCGTTGACGCCCCCCAAAAGCTAGTATCCCATATATGAGCTTAAGCAAACCAACGTCTAAAACAATAAGGAATCGCGAAGTCATCCCCGATTTCCCCTTCCCTCCCCTTCCCAAACAAACTGGCTATGGATGTGCTGGCTGCTGCTGCTGCTCTAGTACATCGTACGTACGTACCCAAGCCGGATAACCTTATCCTCTCTGCTCGGCCCCTTACTCCCCACCTCCAGACCAGGACCCCCATTGAACCCATCTCTCGTCATACGTCATCATCGAAACAGAACACAACCACTGCATCCCTTCCTCCCCCTCCCCGTCCTCGTGAATAGAGCCCATGATGTCATGACCAATCTGATACCGCATGATCCCCAAAAAGGCAAGCCCAAGAATGATTGGAAAAAAAAAAGAACAGTGAAATATGTAAAAATGGGAGGGGAAAAAACGACTGATAAAAAAGAATATGCAGTTCCTAGACGCCCACGCTTACGCCCACGCCCAGCCCCCTACAATGCTAATGGAAGGTCTGAAGAAAAAAAAAGAAGCAAGTGTGATATGATTACAATGCAAAAGCGCCAAATGTGAGACAGAAAGACACACAAGTCCCCAAATTCAAGTTCAGGTTCAAGTTCAAGTTCAAGTTCGAGTTCAAGTTCAAGCGACAGGATCATCACCCGCTGCCTCGACCTCCCTCTGCACCTGCTCGTACCAAGGCCCATGCGCACGCCTATCGACATCGCCAATCCGGCCAAGCCCATCCACAATCTCACCAACGTGATTCATGAACTCTGGCAGACCAAACGACGCAAGGCCCTCGCTCGCCGTGCTAGCGGCACGGACACGTTCGCCGGAGCTACTTGCGCTGACGCGAGTCATGACATGCGACTTGAGACGCTGGAAGATGACCTTGAGGACGGGGTCATTCAGGCGGCCGGCCTGGGCTTGGGCTAGGAACTTCTGCACTGTGCCGCCGAGTTGTGCGCGCGTGGTAGGGGGCATGGGGTGGGAGGACTCGAGGATAGAGAGGATCTTGGTGGGCATGGATTCGTCTTTCAGATAGCCGTCTTGGAGGATGTCCCACATGCGGCTTGCTTCGGGCTTCCAGGACGAGCGGACGTCGCGTTTCAGGAGGCTCTTTGCGCTGAGGAGGATAGCACCGATGGTTGTGATGCGCAGGGTGTTGGTGCGGAAACGAGCGATGCGTTCCTTGTCGAGTTCGAGGGTTTCCGGGACGTCGGAGGGTTGTAGAGGAGTGCTTGCCATAGAGAGGTCGACGAGGCCGCGAAAATATATCTTCTGCGGAGTTGGTCTGTTAGACGGATCACGACGGTCGCCCGTTGCTTCGGTCAACATGTTGACGGTGGCGTTGCTCCACCACCTCTTCGTGCGCTGCAAGGTAATAGTACCAGCATCGAGATCTTGGGCGAACATTCGCTCTTCATAGCCGGCCGATTCCTTGATCAACGTTGGTGCTGCATTCATGAGCAGGAAATTTGAATAGTCAAGCGAGAGCAAGTCGATGACATGTAAGAGTTTGAACAGCTTCTCGATCATTTCAGCCATGTCACCTGGCTCTTGCAAGTCTTCCGTGAGTGCCTTGATCTGTGCATCACGAAATGGCGCGCATAGCTTGGGCAGTATCGAGGACATGAAGCCAAAGAACTTCTCATATGAGAACACTCCTTGTGAGGCCTGATTCGAAACGAACTGTGGGTCGAGAGTCTCTGAAATGAGAGTGTGCATCGAAGTGCCAGGTCGCAACAGTCTGAGCAGTCTGGACTTGATGTTCTCTGCCATGGCAGCAGTCCACTGTGCGCCCTCGCCATTCTCAAAGCCTCGCTGCATGCCATCGCATATAGTACGGTTCATAGAATCCCTGAGGTCTGAAGCTGGAGCCTGGTCAATGCGGTAATCCTTGTCAATGGCCAGCTCATGGGTTAGAATACGATTTGAGGGCATTGTGGAAAAGAGTTGCGAGAGTGACGAAGCTCCCAGGCCTGGATATGGGGATTCGGCGTCTAGAGATGACGCGTGGGGCTGAGAGACAACGGTGTTTTGCGAGTCAGCTGCCGAGCTCGGAGCTTCCACACGCAGAGAATCCAGCCTTGAGGTAGCATCAACTTGCACCGGGTCGTGGAAGGGCGTATCGGGAAGCTCGAGAGCAGTCGGGGAATCGACTGCTACTCGGGGCCGCACATCGCCAAGAGGCTTCCGACGGGTTCGGGATCGTCGACTCTCACGAATAGCTTTCTTGATCAAGAAATTTGCCTTATCCGGACCAGCTAGTTTCCTGATCTTGCTGAGAAGAATAACTTGATTGTCACGGATGCCCTCGCGATAGTCATTCGCTACTTCAGCGGCTGTTTGGTCCTTGATGCTTTGCCATATCGCATCAAGATTGACAAACGAGGTCACCATGGTCTCGACCAGAGCTGTGGAGTCGCGTGCTTTCCAGTCATTGAAAGCGGTTACAAAACCACCATGAGCCATGAGCACGGTTTCAACCTGGGTTGGAGGTGGTGTGAAGCGATTTGATGAAGTCAGTTCGGACAATGCAGATTCGAACGACATGACTAGTTCCTTTGCTTGCTGTATGAGATTCTGCTCCTGATCGCCATCTTTGCTCAACACTTCAGCTGGATGACCCAGGATCAGATATGCGCTCAAGAACGTGCGAGTTGCTGTTTGATCGATTGATGGGCCATCCGCTGTCCCCGGTATCTTGAATAGGTTAAGCAGCTTGGAAGTAGCAGCAAGAAGCTTCTCGTCGGCAAGTAATTTTGAGACGTCTTCAAAGCTAGTGTCATGGATGTGATCAATGGAGAGGCCGAGCCCGGTGAAAGATTCAACAGCCTTCCTGCGCTCACGAGATCGCCAGACCGACTGAATCCGCTTAGCAGCCTCGTTTTCAGATATTTGAGATAGAGCATGCAGAGTCGGCTTCTTGCTATCTGGCGAGGGTGTGCTGGTAGTTCTTGGCCTTCGCATGTTTCGCTTGTACTCAAGCCGCCTCCTCTCAGCCTCAGCATGCTTCTCTTCAATCTCCTGACGATACCTCCGCTCTTCAGCAGCTTTGCGCTCCTTATTGTCCTCTGCTATCTTCTTAGCGCGACGGACCTCTTCAGCGCATGATGCAGCAACCTGTGCTAGGTGTTTGTCCCGTGCTTGTTTGGCTGCCAGAGCTCGTTCCTCACTGGTAGAAGCCCTCGTGTTTGACTTTGCTATAGCGGCCCGTAACCGAACCTGCTCAGCGTGTGCTGCGCGGTCTGCAAGTCTTGCTTTCCTGGTTTCGAGTATGGACGCACGTCGTAGCGACTGCGCGACTAAATTGGACTGACATCCTCCACGATAAGAGCGCGTCGATTGATGTGATGTAGTTGAGGAAATGGAGTTTCGTCGAGATGAAGCAGCAGAAGATTTCCGTCGGTTGTTCGGAGCGCGGTAGAAGCGGGCAGCAATTCTTGGGGGAGGCAAGAAAGTATCAGCTGTGTCGTTGGCCACCATGACATCGTCCTCCTCTTCAGGTATATCGTCGTGTGTGGGAGCCATGGCTGAGAGATCAGCATTTGACTCAGTTGCGCTCAGCATGATTAGATCGCAAGAGTATATAACGGTGTATGCGCTGACGGTCAGATTCGAGTCAAAGCAGGAATCGTAAGCAACGACACTGGAGGCAAGTCGCAGGCGGAACTTGAGTAAACGAGGGGCGCAGTAGGAAAACCACAAGGCGAAGTCAAATAAAGGGCACAGGCAGGGACCAAGATGCAACAAGAAGAAAGATGAGCCAGCCCGTGGGCCACGAAGGGGAGATTATGGAGCGTAGGAGTGTTGTTTAGAGTTTAGAGAGGTTGAAGGAGGAGGAGGCTGGGCTGGACTCTGAAACAGTGGAAGCGATAGTGATCAACGATTGCTCCCGCGCCGTTTAGAGTGGAGGCGTCACCGTCACCGTCACCGTCACAATCAGCACGCGCACTCTCCAGCTGGGGCTGCTGAAGTTCTCCCGTTTGCAGCTACTGCACGTCAGTCTTTCTAGCAGCAGCCTAGATATGTATTCCTGTCGACAATTGCGGGTCTGCGAGAGTGTGTAGGTGTATACAAATATATTTATGCCCTGAACAGCCGACAAGCAATGATTATGGTTAGTGACATTCTGCTGATGACGACCGATACTAGGGCATCTGTCTTAATTAATGACTGTTTCGCATCTCGCACGGCACACCCGTCACTTCAAACTTCCATCCAAGGGCCCCGTGACCAGCCGGCACGACGACATCGCCCAACCGCTGACTGATGACCACTGACTGACCACCAGCCTCTCTAAGCTTGTGGCGTGCATTTCAAATCATTCCAAGCCTCCAAGGCGACATCGATAAGCCGTACTGGCGCGCAAAAGACCATGTGGACCCCCCTTGGCAGCAGCGAGCTTAGGAGACATCTCAAGAGTCCCTCAAAACCCTTCACTTGTCGTCCCCGCAAACGACGGCAGACTTCCCATGCTCCAGGCCATGTGCTCAACTCACCCGATGGGACCTGATGGGACCGATGTGAATGGAGTATATTCGTCCCTGTTCCGATACTACTCTCTCACGGCTCGCAGCTCGCTACCGGAACGGGTACTTTCACATCTGGGACCGGGTCAAACTAATCGAGGCTTGTATGCCTGGACCAGATCCACCATGTAAGTCTCATCACGGGCATTCTAGACATGCACACAGCAATGCATCGCATCGTCGGAGTGGAGTGAGGTTTGAAGATATGCAGCTCTCTATGTTTGGGCCTGCAAGACTGACGCTTTGTCCTGTCATGTTGGGCCTCAAGAGAAGACGACGCTGAAAGCATGCAAGACGTCCTGCATCTCCAGGTCGGCGACCATGGGATACGGATACATCTTCTGTTCGACTCGTCGTCTTCTGCAATTGCAAGCAGGTCAAGTGGGAATGTCATATGCGGTGAACACGTCTGGTTTCGGCGAGACTTCACAGTTGATGCTTTCAGCTTCGATGCTGGTGAGGTGGTCCCCCGCGCATCCCCGAGTACGGCCAGGATCCTGCTCAGCCTTTCGAGAACGTCACGAAGATTTCCGTTTCACTCTCCATACACGACTTGTTGAAGATAATATTACTTCGAAAAGCATATATCACTTAGCGGCGTTGTCGAAGCTAATGTCGCGGTACCATCTCGTTTGCATGCAGGATAAGGCGGTCGTGGAGGCAGAGGCGTCAAATGGTGCGAGAACAATGCGGGGATGGGAATGCGTAGGGGAATGCTGTGTGACACTTGTGAGATAGAAATGCGGATTGAGCTTCGGTGTGCGCCTTGGTGATTCACGTGCTTCTTGATCGCCGACGTCCACACTTTTTTGCCAGAGTTCAGTGGAATGAGATGACTCGCATAGTCATGTTACATATGGGATTTCGCGGTGTCGATGCACGTCTGTCTCGCTCGTACAGGTCCATCTTAGCCGCATTGCATGTCCACGTCAGGACTGTTGATTTTATGGACAGGAGCGTTGTGAAAGGCACGTTCCATAAGTGACAGGCTAGAAGACCAAGCTTCTTACGTTGACCGCCATTTGCAACTTCGCAGCGTAGGAGATACTTGTAGATTTCATTGTTATTCATTTGATTTGACTGGACTATACCATCCTTGTCTGCTGGGTCGCCCCATTACCAGGTCTCTCTTTGGAGATCCAGTCCTGTCTTCCCTCGAGTCCAGTCTATACGACTGCGGATGCGCAGGTAGTGTTACACAAATGATAGATAACCTCGCCTCTCATCTTCAGGCGTCCGTGCTGACTGCGCTGCTCCATGCTGACGCGATTCGCGCATCAAGCCACTGAAAGCAGCCGCCCGAGATGTAATGATGTGTGAGTGAACAAAATAAACATCTTTTTGAGCTGATAAGCTGAATAAAGATTAAGATCCGAATGGTAAGGTTTGCCGGATATTCCTAGTTTTTCCATTGCATGCGCCAAATGCCGCTCACTGATCGCTCAAGATCGCCAAGAGAAAACTCCTTCTGCCCAGGTAGGCTGCTAGTCTATAGTTTGATGACAAAAGAAAATCGTAATGAAGAAAAATGGTAAGGAGCGGAGCCAGTCGAAAAACTAGCAATGGTATCTTTGAGTCGTCATCGTGGGGTATGTTACATATCTAAACACCGGGGGTCCGCAGGTTCATGATGCGGATCTCCCAAAGGAGACTTTGATGTCGCTGAAGAATCTGGCGAGTTTGGATTTCGGTGTACGAGGTTGCATGGGCGCCGCAACCTCCATTGGTCCGACGATATCCTCGTCACCTTTGCCAGGAAATTTGCTGTTAAGAGAAGGTAGCTTCACCAAAGGCGCGGGTTCAATGGGTGACGACTCCGCAATCTGTTCGTCTGTCACACCTGCCCGGGAAAATGCGATGTCATGATACAATCTCCACCGTGCATCAATCTGAGCCCACTTTTGCTCTGTGAGCTTGTAGGTAGTCGAAGTGACGCCGACGTGCTCGCCTGTGCGCACCTGATGCTTCATGAAGTTCTGGCGGGCATGTTCCCAATCGTGAAACAATTGACGGCACGTGACTGCGTCGCAGTTGTCAGGGACATAAGGCTCAGGATAGATTGTGAAATTGGCATGACCCAGTTTGTGACACCACTCATCCGGTTCTTCGTCAATGTTCAAGTGCGTGATTTCACTATTAGATGATGTAGGTCCTGATCGCGCTGCTGCCAATGACGAAAACGACGGCTTGGTTGACAGAGGTGGTGTAGGCGCGTGATTTGACATGCGAGGGGTGCCGGTGGTAGATGCGGCGAAAGAAAAATGTCCCGACGATTCAGCGATAGTGGGCGATTGCAAGGGTGAGGTGACTGGTGTATTCTCCGGTGCGCGCAATTTCATTAACGTCGGAGGGAGTAGCGGGGTGGACGCAAGGGCCTCACGGTCAATCGGATCTTGCACCGCCTCGACTTCTTGGTGAACAATGTCGACTGGGGAAGTGGGAAGAGGCTCCTCTGCCAAGGCCGTGAAGCTCTCATTCGGTGTAAGTGGATAGGCACGGTGAGACTCTCCACTCGGACGAGTTGACTTGGTCTGAGACGAAGAACGCTCCATTGATGGGTCACGAGAAGGCGTGTAAGATCGAGTCGCTATGCTGAGCCCAGACACACGTTTCCGATCTTTCCAGCGTTGCGATAAGGAGGGAAAGCGACAAGCTAAGCGGGTAGAGATGGCATTCGAGGTTGAATCTTCGGATCGTCTGCGTTTGGAAACATGGACGGCGGTGAAGTCGTCCTCTTCGCCGAAAAATGAATCGTGGTTACCTCTGAGTACAGACCTAGAAATTGAGGGCGAGTTTGCAGAGGAGTAGGCTTGGTGGGCGCAGTAGGTCTCGCCGCCTTGGTGAACAAGGTTAGTGAACGGAGGGCAATCTGAAGGATAGTGGCAACTTACATAGACACATTTCTTCGTCGACTAGCATACCAGTGTCGTCCATTAAGCTGTTTTCTCTCTCCAGCGGCTCTTCAGTAAGCTTCGGCAGCTTGGCAGACATTGATGAGGCGTCGGTAGGATCGTGCATAGGTGGACTTGAGCCAAGTGAAGAGGTGGAGCTAGGAAAACGATTGTGGCCTCGTACAGAGAAAGTCGGGGTTATTGGTGTCGAGCAGTCTGAGGCGGTCGTTGCGCTCGAATGGAAAGACTCGGTGGAGGGAGCGGCATGGGTGTTTCTGTGCGTCATGGTGTCACTGTTTGAGCTCGATCGCTGGCTTGAAGCTACCATGCGCGGTAGATGAAGAGGGCGCAGTTCGCGCATTGCAGTGAGGAGATATCTGGGAGAGCAAAGATGGCGTTATGGAGAGGCAGGAACCCAGCACCATATAAGATTCGAGCAGCCAGCGATGGTGGCATGGGCGGACAGCGAGTGAGCGGAGAGTATGGGGTAAGACAGCGATAGTCGAGGGTGAGTTATGGTCTGGGGAAGTATGAGTGTAGTAGTGAAGGAGTGTAGTCGTGCCACGAGACAGGCAGTCCACGTAGCAGGTGCGATGCAATGTTTATGTGCAGTTGCCAGTTTTGCGCTTAAGACGCGAGCCAACCGATGCGTTCTCAGTTATACTCTCACACACAGTGGGAAGCAGCCCGAAGCCCCCACGCAGCGGCAGTTGCACGTGAGACGACGGGGGGAATGCTGAGTTGGCAGTGCTGGAGCGGTCGCAAAGACGTTGTGCAATGAGTCTTCGGTGCTGGACGAGCGCGCGGTGGTATGAGTGGCCGATGCTAGGGTTCGAAGCGAATGTCGAATTGAACGAAGTGAGAGGAGAGGAGTGAGGAGTGAGAGGAATAGGACGCGGAGGAAGAAAAAAGAGAAAAGAAGAGAAGTAGCGAGAAGTGGACGGGCAGAGAATAGAAAGAAGTTTGCATACAAGGACGAGGTCTCGGAGCCAAGGCCAGGGCTGTTTTCTTGTTCTTGTTCCTTTTCGAATCCCAAGCTTGTTCGCATGTTACCGTCTCGTTGCTGATGGGGGAAGAGACGCCAGCCGAATCCTCACAAGCGGCTGGTCTCTGCTGTCCTGCCCTGCCCTTCCTCCCCTTCCTTCGGGCTGTCGCTAACAGCTGTTTTCTGTTTTAACGTTATTAGTTCCTGTGGCCTGCTGCCGTGGCCGGGGAGGGAGGGGGCTCCGAGGGCTTTGGGGAACCTTGATACCCGCCCGACAGTCCAGAGTATTAGCCGCGTCAGGTATAGTCTTGAATCAGAAGTTTCTTTACCCTCTAGTAGTTTGCCCTTAACCTTGCCCATGCCCTTGTGCTTGTCCTTGTCCTTGTCCCCTCGTCGGAAGCGTTAGGTTGCCAGAGCAGTACACAGTAAATCACGGCTCGAATGGGGTCTGCGATCTGCCCATGCGCGAGTCACCAGTCAACAATCAACTTTCTACATGTCCCAGTCAACAAACCCAACGACTGGACGAGCAAGCGCATGTGTAAAAAGCAAGAATGCCTGGAAAACAACCCTCTTCACTCTTCAGAGCCTTCCCTTTCTGGCTGCCGCCGAGAGGGGGGCCTCACATGCCATAATACACCGACAGTCGACTACCCAAAAACTGCACACGACGAAACACCATGCATGGGCGAAGCTACACGATAGTGCGTGCTACTATCATACACGCTCCAGCCTCTAATTTCATCTTTCGGTGTGGGTGGGTGGACTCTCCAACCAACGGCCCGCTCTGCACTGCATCCGCTGCTCGCCATACCTGACTGTGTACACCTTATGTATGCTCTAATAGAGTCTGCGTATATGCATGAATTCGGATGCCATTAGTGGCACCAAGTGTACTGCGCATCACAGCAGCAAGCTCTTCCGGCCTGAGACGACCTCTTTCCCGATATGCCTAGATACAAAGGTACATAGTACACACTCACCCCTACGTTGTTGCATGACAAGGCTCTTCAGGAATCGAGACCCATAGACCCGGAACACGCTTTATAACATCATCCTGGTGATACAGTGGACCGAATTACGGCATTTCCATCACGAAGAGCAATGAGCATGCCCAATCTCCCGTGTTCCCCGCCGCATATACCGACACTTGACGTCTGTTCAGCATCTGATGATCCAACTTAATATCTACCACAGAGAAAACTCTTCACAGCGACTATCCCGTCCTGGAAATGGAGGCGAGCTTCCCCAATCAAAAACACTGCTTTTTCATACCAATTGAGTGTGTTCCGTCTCCACATCTGGGAAAGGCCCGTTTCTACCAGACCAATCATACATTTACGCTATGTGGAACTCCAGCTGGCAAGATTTTCTTGATGACCGAGCCTACGACTAGGCAAGCTTTACTTTATCATATGTCGCTGATTATTCAAGGCAATCACCGGCTCGAGCTTTTCAACTAGTTCCTCCACAGCTACTCTGGAGTCTCGTCCAGTATTACAATTATCGTGCTCTCGTGTCCTTTTTTTCCGACTATTGTCTCGCTCGATATCACGAATATTCGTAGTGGAGCTTCCGGGCTGCTGAGGTCCCGAGAGCTGGGTTCTCGGGGCTGGGATCGCCTAGCCCTAGTACACCAACAGATCCTACAAACGGGGTTGCGGAACAGGGCGAAAAAAAGTAACACCTACAGACTGCTGTGCAGTTTGTGTCCGTAACTGTCCACACCATTTCCAGCAGAAGTAGAAGAAGAAATTGCTTCTTCGGCAGGGGAAAGTATGACTTATGAGTAAGACAAACATAAAGCAGACAGCGGCAGCAAAACGTCAGTGGAGCGAGTTCCTTTCGATTCAACACGACTTCGTACCTTGCATGATCCTGGTTTCCAGCTGATTTTCGGCCGCCACAAGAGACCGTCCCGCTGCCTTCGCTCCCAGAGTCCAGGCAATCGCACACCATCTTCGTCCAATGTTGAGCGGCGTGCGCAGGAACCCGTCGTCCGGCCCGGGCGCCGTCTTGCATGGCGTCCAACCACTTCTGTCCCCGATTCTCTCCATAACTGCAGCAGCAGAAGTCGAATGCAGAAGTAAGACGGTGAGAGCCAGGTTATGGTACCTTGTTGGTGACCCAGGGACGTGTCTGTATCTGCACACGATAGCCCCAACCGCATCAACTCTCACGATCGGTCCTGATTGCATCCCTGTGATTAGCTCAGCATCGGCGTTGGTAACGGGTCCATTATTCGTGATTCGACGTTGAGAGCAGCTGGTGGGGCCGACGGGCCAGTCGTATCGATTACATACCCTCTCCCGAGGCCCAGTTCACCCAGTTTTTCTCTCTAGAACATTCGCGGATGCGCCTTCAAGAAGTGGAGTGGGACATGGAACCACACAGCTTTGCGCTCGACTCTGGATCAACAACAAATCCCGCTTCAATGCTTCTCCAGTGGCGACGATCACTCAAAGAGTGTGTGTGTGACAGGCTGACAGACCCCGTCGGGAGAGCGACCGATGATCGTGAGGCCTAACTGTCGGTCTGAATCGTCGACCTATGTGATACAATTTAGTGACGACAAGAGGTAAAGAGTGCGTACCATACCTGCTGAGCATTCACATCGAATGCTCGCACCAGCAAGCTTCGTCACCTGCTGAAGCATACAGCAGATTTCCTAATATGGTCCTGGAGTGTTGACCCGCGACGACTGACCGTTGGACGGGTATGGCTTAACGAATGACAGCAAGACATCTTGACCACTCAAATAGCAGACGTAACCATTTGCATCTCAACGTTCGGCGTGGCATCCAATGAATGTGCATCCTGCAAGACTCATCACGGTTCCTTTCCATGCAGCAAATCCACTGCACCTACGGATCATTGACTCCAGCTACCAAGGACTAATGAGATACTCTAGACTGAATTGTGTTTCTCTTTAATTTATCGCCGGAAGTAGAGTCTGGGTTGGAAATTGACGATGGCGTTGCCCAGGTGGATGGATCATTGTACGGTCACAGGCTCCACGTTGACTGTGCCGCAACACCTTCGTTCCTGTCTGTCACGCTTCAGACATCGACGCTGGCGCCGAAACCATTATGTTCATGTCACATTCGCGTAAAGAGCGAAAGTAGGATGTATCTTCTGCTGGACCTCGCACGTCGTCGTCGCAGTGGATGCGGAACATTTTCAAGCAGAATCATTCGCCACTAATTAGAGGCGGCGGTCAGCATCTCAAAGTGTGGCTTCGGGGTAAAGCAAATGCCATACGAAATGCCATACGCACGGCGCGAGACGGGACGTAGATTATCGGACTGTCCGAGAGCTTACTTGCAATTAACCCGCATTCCTGTATAGGCCGGGGAGGCCTTAACCTCTCGCACTTCTGCCCATGCCTTGGAGCTGTATGACAATATTCCTACAAGCGACGACTAGGACCATAACAAAAGCGGCAGCTGGACAAAAGTTGTGAAGCCTGAAAATAAGCCACTGTTTGTCAAATATAGTAATTGCGCCCGCCAATAAGAAGCCAGAGTTTGGAGATATTTCAACAGATCCACATATCGCTCTCTGCCAACACGTTGCGCCCACGTTGCAAACAGCGCACAGGCCCAACCTTTCGGCTCCAAACACGAAAAACAAACAGAGGAGTCCAAACATCAGGCTGTGTTTTGTTCTGTTCTGATTGATTCGTTTTTGTGGTGTTGTCGAAAGGGGTTACAATCGATTGGGTGTCACGCACTGCCTTATCCGCCCTTCCAAAAGAAGAAAAAAAAAGCAGTCAACATCTGCGCCATCAATTCACATTACCTTCACGTCTATCGTCATAACACGTCACGATGCTTTAACTTCTTCTTACTATGCCTTTGGCTCAAACTAATTCCCACCACAGAGATGACAGGAAATGTAGGCGGGAAAATGTGACGCGGCACCCCCTACAGCCAATCCGCTTGCATAACCCCGCCCGCCGTCAGCGTCCGCTTGGCCGCAGGAAATTCAGCATGACAGCCAGTTAACTGAGGGTTCCTCAAGCGTCCAGCGTATTTTAGTGTTCTAAACGTTCGAAACAAAGCTTTACTGAGTAATCATGTAGTCATTAGTTTAGCCGAAGTAATCTCCGGTACCCTTCTATCCGCCTCTTATTCTTCTCTCTTTCTCTTTCTCTCTCTCTCTCTTCCTCCTCCTCTCTCTCTATAGTATATATATAATTTTAACTAATTTTGACCTTATAGGCTTTAAAATAACATATATACACGTGTTTTTGACTGATTTTGACTGATTTTGACCTTGCAGGCTTCAAAACAACACTGATTACACGTGCTTTTGACTGATTTTGACTGATTTTGACCTCACAAGCTTCAAAACAACACTAATTACACGTGTTTTTGACTGATTTGAACCTTATAGGCTACGGATATACACGTGCTTTAAGCTTATTCTATATTACTTAGTAAGACGGCTTAGATATTCCGTATAATAGCCGCCTCGTATAGTATACATAATACAGCTGGACGCTTGAGTAACCCTCAGTTAACTCCGCACGGCTGCCACGGAAGATACCATGAACAACGGTAACGCTGTAGTATTTACCATAACAACCTCGCCGCTCTTGTTCCTGGCTAGCGCACGAACGGATGCACGCGTGACGACGTTGACGGCGCGCTTTGCATCTACTTGGACGACATGGATGATGACACGAAGTGAAAACGGTGTTGTAGAGAACAAGGCTTGTTGTCAGTAGAAGACACAGAGAGAGAGAGAAAGATGGAAAGAGTGATGATGACAACCAGTCGATCGTCCGGCCGTCCCGCCTTATGAAACATCGTGATCGACAGCCCGTCAACGGCACGGATTCGATTCGATGCGATACTAGCTAGCCGTGTATGGTCACCTTTATCCTTTCAGCTCTCACGGCAGCGCAAAGGAAACGGATGATACAAGCAATCTTTACAGTCTGCCATTATAGCGTTCAACGGCAGCTTACTGTGGACTGTGTGTGGAGCCCAAACCATCAATGTTTGTCCGCCGTGCTCTATGGATGGAGTCCCCGAGTCGTGGTCGAACGGGAGCCCACACTCGCTCGACTTGCAAAAAGCGCATTTGATGCTGCTCATATCATGATAAGCACATGAACGTCTTCTCCGCTACTCGTAAAATGGGAACCTTTCGAGCAAAGATGAGTAGTATGACAGTAAATTTGTCTCCGGTGTTTGAGATGTCGGGCGGGTATCACGTCACGTCACCACATCTACGGACTACGCGCACCTCAACCACAAGGATATCGCATATAATAAACCAACCTCTTGACTAAACCTCCTCCACTCCCCAACCCCAACACCGCTAACCGCTCTCCTCAGAAAAGAAAATCGGAACGAGAAACCCAACCTAAGTATCATGCATACATAGCACTCTGTGTGGTTCCCACATTTCACATCCCTTTTTTTGTTCGAAACCGGCACGTTGCAGGCACGCAGTCGATGCGGAGCCAGTGGTGGTGGGTGGTATAGATCGCGCTCATAAAATGTTTTATTTTGTTTTCCTTCTCTTGCTCTCATGTAACGTACTAACCAACAAACCTTTCCATCGTTTGCTAGTAGCACAGTGGCAAAAGTGGCACAGTTCAGAAAAAAACTACTTGGTAAGGTGACGTGCGGGGCGCAGCGTGGGTTGACTTGAGTTTGCCATACCATTCATACCATTAGGTACTACCCCGTCATAGCATTCCCCCTCTGTACTACTACTGCTGCTCGCTCCTACTATCGTCACTCTTGGTGTTGTCGAAGAGAAGCAAGCATCTCGTGCCTACCTACCCATTCATGAATCTAGCCATCAGCCTATCCATCCATTTCCCAGACGAGAGTAATCACATCACTTATAAACCATCTACAGCAACCAATCCCTAGCCTAGCCACCCACTCAACCCCCTTGGGCAACGGTAGTAAGGCGGTAACTCCGCGGCTAGATGGAGGGCGGGAGGGAAGTTTAGATAGGCAGGCAGGCAGACAGACAGGGAATGCGTGCCCCCTGGGTACCGACCAAACTATAGGCTAGTCATGACGTTATTTCTGCTGCCCGATCGCGGTGACTGGTTTTGGGCTTGTGGGTTCGTGGGATAATTAATTAGTGAGTGGGTTTCTGACTGAGTAGGTGAGCATTTTTGGCGGGGCTATGTTATGTATGCACATACAAAACATACAAAACAAACATACAAACATACATACATCCAGACCAGAGTTTTTCCGACGATGCGTGCATAAGGCAAGGCAAGCTAAAGTAAGATAAAGTGGGGAACATGGCAGATTAATAGAGTAAGAAGAAAGAAAGGCATGGTAATTACTCCTTTTGACTCGTTGAGTAATTAAGTTAGACAAATAAGCTGAGACAAGTAAGTAAGTAAGTGGGCCGATCTGGAGGAGATAATACCCATACCCATATTATACCTACCCTATCCGGATGTAATTAGGTACAGATGGATCCTGGTAAACATCACGCACACATACACGCACACACGCCTGTCTATCTGCGACGAAAAGGGACGACCAAAAGAAAAAGAAAAGTAAAACCGAAATACGATGACGATGCGGAAAACGTCCGAAAGCTGCGCTTCCTTTAATTAACGTTAACGTCATATCTTGCCGACCATGAGGTGTGTGTGTGTGTATGTGTGTGTGTGTTACGAGAGAACGTGTGACAGCCGGCGTACAAGCTGTGCGCAGTCGTTTCCATTATCCTTCTCTTGTCCTGCGTAACTTGCGTACCATATCTACTCAACTTGAACCGTACCAGATATATGATTATTCCATATCCATATTCATATCTATATCCATGTGCTATCTATTTTCAGTTCACGGGATGGTGGAGGGCATGATGATGGTGAAACAATAGGACACCACACAAAGCGCAAACATCTTACGCAAACGCATACATGATCGTCCCTATCAAACGCGGCTCGAGAATTCCAATTCCAGAGAGAATCCCGTTGGACGGGCTGCTTCGTCCGAGCCTCTCCCTTCCCGTGTAACCACCATTCGCCGCATATAAGAACCTCGATTTGCTAGGATACCCAGTATTTGCTCCACACCGCGCGCTGGGAAGGGGTGCCTTCGAACTGCCACAGGAGGTTTCTGTTAGCTGATTGCTCCGCTCTGTGTATACTTTGTGTGACGTCATTTAGATGGGATATTTGTCGTGCTTTGCTGTTTCAGAGTAGGAATCGGAGCGCGGAAGAGAACTGAGTCATGGGGGTGAGGGGAGGGATGTTTGTATAGACGGGGAAGATACACGCGTTGTAGGGTGCGATACAACGTGGGGAAGAAGACCATACAAGGGTTCTGCAGATGGCTGAAACTCTGCTCTGCAAGACAACGACCGTGGGAAAGGGGGCAGGGTAGCGAAAGGTGATAGACGGGTAGTGAGCAATCCTTGGGCATTTACGTACATTGAAATCCACTTTCGTTATGTCCTGGAAGCCTTCCTTGAGCGTTGGTTCGCGGTAGCGCTTCGTGAAGCTGTAGAAGGCGGACTTCGGGAGTGACGTTCGCTTTTCGGGGTTCATCTAGGAGGTAGCTTGTCAGCAAAGTGTTATTTGAGGGAATAATGAAGCAAGCCTCCAGGTGTCAATAGTTCTGCATACACGAACGACGGTCTATGAGAGAAGTGTCTCCCGTCAGCCTCCGGGTGAGAATAACGAGGCTGTGTAGTCTTGTCCGTCACGTCTGCAGACCCTGATGAATGAAGCACGTATGAGACAACCCCTAGGCAACTGCTATCCGATACATGGCGTTGACGTCGGCGCTCGTCCGCTCAAGCCAAGTATAAAGCTTGAGCGAATGACAATGCAAAGCAAGAATATCCGAAACAGACCATTGCAAGCCAGATCAAGTTGACGATAAAGCTGCATGAAATAGGCGAGAGCGGGAATAGAGCACTTACACTTGACAGTTCATCACGGGCTTCTGGCGCACACTCTGGGTAGCTGATTTCGCCTAATGATCGCACGACATCGTTGTGTTCGCAAAGGCGTGGATCAGCCGTGAAAAGTACGCAACGTATTGGGACTTTGTGCTTCCTCGCAAGTTCTACCCAATAGGCGCGTACTTCCGGATCCGCATTCGTGTTGTCTGAGCTCAAGCTATATCAGCACGCGATCTGAATGTGGTGATGTGCAGAAGCGGAGTAAAGTGCAATGTCAAACATAAGGAGAATGTATAAGACACAAAATCTAGGTGTTTTTAATAAAGTGACATACCGACGGCAACAGACTTGTTCTCTCTCAATAGATCATCAGCGACTTTCAGGCATCTGTCTCTCTGCGCTGCAATTAGCTACTCTACCCATTTATAGACGTACCACAACATATGACCCGTCACCACTCGCTCAATTTCAAACACTAGGGTTTTACTAGGGGACTAAACGTCCCACGGGGAAAGAGTTAATTTATTCGTAACTTACCGTCTTTAAGATGTCTTGATTTACACGCTCATACCCCAGGGGTTTAAGATGTCGCCAGTAGTAGGTGCTCTTCCCGGCGGCAGGACTCCCACTGAACAAGACAATATCCAGGGGGTTACTTTTAACAAATATCGAAGATGCTGCCATGAATGTAAGTCCATCCGAACACAGCAGCAAAGCACGTAGACACGATGGGGGACTTGCGGTTGTCTATTGAGGACCCTGTTTGTATCGACATGGCCAAATAATTGGCTGGATCGAAGTTCCGAACAAATGGTCGGGCGTCCTCTTTGGAAAAATACTCCTCAGGGCTGTAGAATTTTATGCCTACATTGGCGGCGAAGTCTCGATCGGAACACGAATGGTCTTTGTTTCCCTTCTCTGATCCTCTACCGGCGGCGTCTCCCACAAATATTGATCCCTCAAGATCGACTGCATCTGGCTTCTCAAGGTTGTGGTCTTGTAATAGCCTCGTCCACATTCCAGTTCGCGGCTTGCGAAACTGGTCTTTCTCGGTAGCTGCATAGATGCATATAGGCATATCTAGATGCGAAAAGACTGCTGCGACCTTCTGTTTGAAGTCGTTGAGTCGCTTCATCTCTAACTTGGGCGACTTCGCATTCATTGTTATCCCTGCTTGGTTACTGACGACGGCTACAAGATAGCTAGAATGCACTTGATTAGTTTCACGTCTGAGAAAAGTAACCCTTGCGCTCTGGGGCCTTGACCAACCCTTGATCATGGAGCTCTTTCAATACTGTTGGTACAGTAGGGGCCCACCATTTCCAATCGGTCGCCCCTTTAGAGAATTTGTTGCCTGACGATGGAACAATAAGTGTTGAGTCCTTCGCGAACTCATGTTAGCTATCGTCTTCCAGATCTAACGGCGCCGCTGCTCAGAGTGGAAGCCAGCAAGTTCCTGAGGGCAGTGGTAAACTACCGAGACACGTACAAAGTCAAAAGCTGCAATCTTTCTTGATCTCGAATCTTCAGTTCTTGCCTGCTCCTGCGAGGCGGATGGCGCGAACTCTCCAGCAAGCAGAGTATCATTCCACACTTTCCACGTCATCTGCTCAGGCTGTTTCTGCGATGCTGGCGTGAAGAACGACTTGACGGCCTTTTCTGAAGTCCTTCAGCAACTGCACCAGATACAGACGTATCATAGCCTACATACGAGTCGTGCCACTGGCAACAGGCTGCTTCCGCTTCGTGGGTGGAGGCGACACGGAGCCATCTTCGGTATCGGTTCTCTTCAAACTCCGCGAAGGACTCATATTGTATTGCGCATAGCGAAAGAAGTCAAAGTTAAGATCTGCCAGTAAGATGGGAGGACGTGACGAAGATCGGGAGTCGCGTTTGGCATTTGACGCGAAGTCACGTGTAACCTTAACATTACATTCAAGTGGGTGACGAAGCCAAGCATCTATTAAGTGAGTCTCTTGTGGACTATATATCTGCTCATAGGAACAATCAAGGCTATCTTTAATGATGTACATTGATGACCAGAATAAGGCAAAGTCTCAACGATGCTCTCACCTTACAAGACCCACAATGGAATCATCGTGGAACCACTTAGTATCGGGCAAGCGCTGCACTTGACCCAACTCGACTTTTGTTTGAGAGTTTTGTTCTACTATTAGGCTCAGCAAGTTACCCTACGTGATGCGAGCATGTCTCGTTTCCTTGACACTGAACCATACGGTCCCTTAAAGCGTTCATTGATGTTTCTGTGCGGCTCGTCGCACTGTACGACGGACTGCGATCAAGCATCGTCTCAATAGACACAGCGTAATGTAGTGCCTATCTTCTGCTTGCAGTTTCTATTGCATGCCAGAGCTCGGACGCTTACACATTTCAAGCTGCTTGGGCTGCGTTGTATTTCACTCTTGTGTCCAATGCCAAGCGATCCACGACTTGCAATTCCACGATACCCTTCATGGTGCCTTGGAATTTCACGAGTTCTTCTTGGCCCCGTCCAAGATTGTCTGGACCCGCATTGTCTACAAGGCGAACTGAAGTTTGCATGATATAGGCTCCACTTGGGTCTACAGGTTTGAGGGATTCGTACGAGGGCAATGTCGCTACTGGTGATTGGGAGGGTGGTAGTTCATGATAGGTGAGCAATCTATGCAATAGTATGACGACGTTCTTGTGGACGTAACGATGTCCTTCGAGGATGTGCTCACCGACATAGCTACCGAACGTTAGCCGCCAGGTACTAGCTAGTACGAGTCCAAGACGCTTACTTGTACTGAAAGTCTTTCATGTAGTTGTGTGCATCTCCTTGCAATATGGGCGTTGTATTGGCAGTCCTGTAAATCACTGGTCGTTTCGCAGCATCAGGGACATCATAGAACTGCATAGCCCATGTACCTCCAGGAGCCAGCGCCTTGCCCTCCTTCTCAAAGTCATCTTCTGTCAAGTCTTGCACAAGCTTTGTAAAGTAGAGGTCTTTGACTGCTTGCGCCTGGGTACTGCGCTTGTCGGTCGCGACAGCTTGAGAACCTCCTACTTGGCCCGTCCTGCCAGGAGCTTGTGGATCGCGATTCGGCCTGTAGACTACGTGACGTTCGATGACACGCTGCGGCTGCATCGCAGCAACGCCTGCGAGGACTTTGAGCATCTCATCATGTCGGGATCGAGGGACTTGGCCGAAGAGGAGGAGCTCGTGCATTGGCGACCAACCCGGAAATCCGAAGATCAAGTCGGAGATGTGCAAAAGAACAGCAGTGGTGTTTTGGCTATGGTTGAGGTTGATACGCGCGGCAGCACTGCAGACCACGAGGCGGGGCAGTTTGCGTGTGTAGCTCAGGTGAGGTAATCGAGCACGCGATAAGAGAAGGGCCAACAGTGTGGTGATCGATGATTGGTGTTGAGAGAGAATCGTAGAGTGTTTCGGCGTGAATCCCACATGCATGGATTGACAGTTGAATGTTGGCGTGCTTATGCCGACTAAACCACCAAGCTTCTACCTTACAAGTTAGAGGTTTACTACAACACCACTACCACCCACCCCCCCAATTTTGAATCAACAGCTAGATCTACTCCACACACTCTCTCCGCACGCTATTTGAATGTGATTATCAATCATATTGACAGTCCCAGACGAGCAAAGCACGCAATTGATCCTCACGAATAGAGAATACTCCCCTTCAACTCATAAATTAGCGTGATATCAAAACTCGCCGTCGGCTCCCAACACCCCCCCAGCTCACTACTTATCAGTGTCTCGGGGAAGCTTGGACCTCAACGCTGCAGTTGTAGCGTACCTGCACATCACCGCCGATTCCGGTCCTACCCGACTTTATATGATCAATTGTCTCTACTGCTCCACCTCTTCCTTATCTCTACATCCTCATCTTCTTCCCTGTAACCTTTTCCTCTATCCCATAACACCTCCTCTCCAGCTCTCCAGTCGTCAACATGCACGCCACACGCGCCCTTCTCCAGCACCGCCAGCCCATGATCCGCTTCCTAGGGAAGCGCAATATCCCCGCAAGTACGTCGCATCATTCCACATGCCCACCTCAAGATAGTCGGCATTTGGATAGCAATCGCACACACATACACAAGGGCTAACATGTTTTCGCTCGCAGAACTCGACCACTCTCCCCACGTCCACCCAGCCAGTCCATCACCCTCTCTGCCCTCGTCCTTCGCCGAGTACCGCCAGAAAGCCCAGCAACACGGTCCTCTCGGCGGCCAGCAACAGTCCTCCAGCATCTCCTACGGGGGATACATCGGTAGCAGGTCCGGCTCGTCACTCGGCTCCGTCACGCCCAGCGAGGGCCAGTACTTTGACCGCAACGACCTGCCCGCGCGCTTCAAGCGTCTGGCCTGGTCGCAGGCCGAGATCGATGCCATTGAGAGCGGCGGCGCAAGCTTGTTCTAAGCTACCCTATGCACAACAATATGCCCGACACAACAAGCTGTCGAACATCTACTACACGAAAATTTAGAGGCCAATGAGCCATGGGAATGGAATTACGGAGTGATATGAGAAAAGTGTTGAGGTTGAGGTTGAGGCCAGCCAGCAGGTGCCCAGTATAGACCGGAGTATTGTGACGGATTGCTGCCGGATCCCCACAGAGAGTGTGCACGGCAGTGAGGACTGGCCAAGAATAGCTGCAGGCACCACCACCCGCCGCACGTCGGAGGAAGATTTTTGCGTTGGATAGATACCCTGCTAAGACTATTTGTTACCTCTCCTTGCGCACCCTCACAGTCGATGGATGTATGACCGAAAAGTGAAAAAAAGTATTGCCAATATTACGACGCTTGTATGAATATATCTGAAGCGATGAAGTTAAATTGTCTGTGCCGGTTGTGTCGTTGACCGGTTTTCAGAATGCCTGTGATGTGTATTTACCGAATTTGCAAAATGCCCTTTTTATGGTCGCTTCTCGAGCAAACACAACCTATCTTGGACAGCATCATGGGAAGAGCTTGCTATCGAGCAAATAGAATCCCATCCGAAATACTCTTCTACCTCCTGTCTACACATCCGTCTGATATCTGATTAGACGTGAAAGGTAATTTCAGACCGTCCAGTTTCAGTATTAAGCAGGTGTTGCAACATCGTCTAAGACTGATGATTATGCCTGGGCGTAAGACACGCGCCATCAGGCCGCTCCAATTCATGCACGCCATGCATACAGATATCATACATACACATACATTTCTCGCAGTCAGTCTTAAGCGGACACACGACTCTCCTCTCTCCACACACCGTGGAACGCACAGTCAGCCATCTCATCGCATCCATCCATGGTACAATTATCCGTGAAGATTGTGAACGGGACGCCCGCGTGGCTATCTCGCGTCGCTCTCCCATGGCGTAACAACAACCCAAATAAATTATCCTCGAAGAACCCACGCCCGAATCCTGGTCTCCCGAAGCGCCATCGCTATGCTTTTTTTGTGTGTTCGTTACTGCCTTCCACCCCTTGGCGAAGAATGAACTATCTTTCCATTATTGCTTGCTTGCTTGCTTGCTTGCTTGCTCACATGCCCACGCCCCTGACGGATTACTCTTCCGCCCCGCGCGCCGCTGCATTGATGAAGAAATCCAGCTCGCTCGGGCCACCCCTATTGACATCATTCTCAGCCAGCTGCTCGAGCAAGCTGAGAAACGGATCCTTTTCGGAATCCGTATGCGTGGATCCGCTCGCGCTCGCCGCCCCAGGGGTAGGCTGCTGCTCGTAGCCCGTGATGCTGTGGTCCATGGCAAAGATGGAGGCGTCGAAGGAGGAGGAGGAAGAGTCTGGGGCGGCGGATGGGTCGTGGAGGACGGCGTGGGCGGGCCTAGGGGTGAAGTGGAAGGACGGGGAGAACGGGGGCGGGGTGAGGCCGGTTGGGAAGTCGGAGGGAACGACGAGGTGTGGGTTTGGGAGGTTGGCGAAGGTGAGGAGGGAGGAGGGGGTTGTGCTGGACTCGGGCTGGGGTGCGGAGAGGAGGTCGTGTTTGGGGGCTGTGCTGGATGGGTTTGTGGCGCGGCGCTTTTTTCGGGGTTCTTGGGTGGTTTGTTGGTGGTGTGGTTGTTGCTGTTGCTGTTGTTGTGTGGAGTAGGATTGTTGGTAGCTTGATGAGGATGGAAGAGTGCCGTTCATGTTGGAGAATGATGTGCGTTGGTTGAAGTATGGGTTGTGTTGCTGTTGCTGTTGTTGGTCAAGCGAATATGGCATGAATCTGCGCGGGATTAGTTTCATGATATCCATGCAATCTCTGAGTAGCCTACCCTTCGGGAAACCCATCAACAGTCACATCCATGAATGTGATGTGCGAGCCATCGAATGCTTGTCCTGGGTACCGGTCGAAGAAGTCTTCTAGTTGAAAGACGGGCGCGAAGCGTAGTGGATTGCTAGCGAGCGATTTGACCAGCTCAGAGTGGCATCCATATATTGTCTGGAGAGTGTCTCGCTGGTGTTGTGCTCCTGCCCAGACGAAACGTAGTTCCGAGAGTTGGTGCATTTCGCGGGAGAGGAATTCTGAGCTTGCAGAGAAGACTTCACCCTCGCGTCCTCGATAATGCGCTCCATGAACATGGATTGTGCCAGCAGTACAAATACAGTATGCTACAAATGCTGGCCAATCTAGTATCGATGAGGCACGCCCTATCTCGACAAGCTCAGCGATAGCATTGGCATGTAGAAAGCAGAGGTTCGTTGCCTCTATTTGCCAAGACTGATGCTGAGACGTTCCAGATAGTTCAGCCAGGTCGACAGGAAGGAATGGTCTGTATATAAGGCAGTGTATTAGATGATATATCAGCTTGCTGAGTACCAACATAGCACTGTCCGGCTGGCCGAATAGTGCTTCTAACGACGCAAAGGTGTCCTGTGTCTCGGAGGCCCAGATGTCAAGCTCTTGTCGAATCTTTGATAGGTTCGAAAGCTGATGCCACGGAAAATGAGAGTCTCCTTTGACACCACCTGCAGCCAAGTAGCGATTCGTGATGCCCAGAATACGCACGATCCCTATAAGCATGCTGGAACTCCCTTGAGAGCCTTTCCCGGACCCGGCCATATATTGGATATTCGATCCGTTTGGAAAATGCTCGCCTTCCAGCGGTATTGCCCCTGGATGCAGTTGCCATGATGGCAGTCTAAGATTGAGAGTCTCGTCCGAAATCAAAGATGGTCGCTTCGAACCACACACAGAGAACCGGTCCATTAGATAACAAGCCCAGAAAAGCCGTCTGCGTCCCTCCCTTTCAGCCTGAGAGATCTTGAGCCCTAGGGGTAACTCCCGATGCAAGTCCAAAGCAAAGGCCATCGATATAGCGGAGGCTGGCAATGATTAGTTCAGGTCAATTCCAAGATTACATTCAACTCACAGAGAAGCATATAAGTCTTCTTGCCTTTGCCGCTCTGATGACTTGCTTGTGCCAGGAGAAGTAAAGTCTGCAGATTCTCAATCGACGGTTCATCGATATCAATCTCCATACGAGCACGACGAGCATACTCATGGCCAATCCGAACTGCATTGTTATAGCCACCAACGTGTGATGCATATCTGGGATTGTCAGGCCAGAGAAAGTGTGTGAGTAAACACGACTAACCTTGCTGATACGGCGTATATTGCGTACGCTAAGAATGATGGTATTGTGTTTGACTGTAGTCGCTGTCTAGTGGTCGTTTCGTCAATGATATAGTATGGCCTACCATGCATCCTCGAAAAATAGGTGTCAAGGAGCATATCAGGCACAAAGCTAGGCGTTGGCTGACTGTGTCACGGTCAGCAGGAACAAACGCCCCATTACGAGTGAAGGCTGTCTCACTTCGCTTCAGATGGCGATAACAGCTGCGAAGTGTTGCTCATCATAGGTGGAGGTATGTCGATATGAGCTTGATGGACCATGGAACCATTGGAGCTATTGCTGTCACCAACGTCCTGTGGAGAGCCATCTTTCTGGTCGGGTGAGTTCGCCTTCTTTTCATTGTGCAATTGCTTTTCCAAGCCATCGACTCTCTTCAACAGCGCTTCCAGCACGTCTGTCTTTGGACCTCTCTTTTTTGGCACGGCATCTAACAGTCGTCAGCCAAAATTGGTCTCACTGCCAAGAGAACAGATTCAAAGGCATGCGAACCATATACACAAGGACAGGCGAATACTTGACATGCTTCACAGGTCGGCCGAATACGATTGCATTTGATCTAGCTAAATGTCAGTAAAGTGTACAAAGCAAGCTGCTCTGTCAGATCTGAGAGACCTTTCTCTTCCTGCAGCTCTTGCAATTCATAGATTCTCTAGGCTCGTTGGTCTGACGCCGGGCAGGCAGCCTGTCGATACCGACCTGAGGGCGCGTTGACATATTGTACCACGGAGAGAGCTCGTGGAGCCACGAGTGATATCAGGGCATTGCAGAGTGTCGAGTCAAGTTCAGCGCCACGGCCTTAGTAGAGGCAGTTTGGTCTGAGCAGGAAAAGACAAAGACAACTAGAGTGATAAAAGCAACAGACGACATGCACCTCAGCCCAGTGAGATGATGGAGCAAATTAAGGTGCGGAGGAGTGGAGTGTGTGGCATGGGCGGCGGCGACATGGGCCCCCCCCTAAGGCTTACAGAACGGCGGGAGAGGGTGCCAACTCCCTCCCTTTACCGTAGAACTACTGTAAAGTAGGCAAAGAATGCCCGTGCAGCATCGCATCGCCATTGATCATTGATGATTGATGATTGATGCAGGCGCGGGGACTCCCTGCTTGGTGTCGTTCTATGTTGTATGGTGAACGATCCGGTGGAAGGCTTCTTGGTGCCGCATGTTGTGTTGTAACAAGAGCATGTCCGCCCCAACGCAGCAATTGGACGTCTGGGTACGCGCGTGACGCTCCCAGGAACTGTCGCTCCAGTCGTCCGGTCAGCCGCCGCCCAGGGATGCTCTCAGATCGAGGCCAGGGTTGTGGTGCTGCTGGTGCTGGTGCTGATGCATATTACCTGCAATGGTTGGGACGAGGACGGAGATAGAGGTGAGGATGAGGCAAAGAAGGGTTAACTGCCGCCGAAGCATCTGCTTGAGGTTCTAAGGTCATATCAGATATTAGTTAATACGTATTAGTATACAGGTCGATCGGCCATCCATCAACTTAATGTCAATTAGTGCTCCACACCGCACGAGGCCTCGCCCCGCGCGGAGGATGGCGACGGCGACGGGGCGTGGGTGGGTTGGATTGTGGATTGTGGATTGTGGTTCGTGTATTGTGGGATTGTGGATAACCTTTACAACCAACCTATCATCTATTATCTTCCTCGCTTAGGATATAGAATACTCCTTTCACTTGATCTTGTAATATCTTATATCTCCCAATCCAATCAACAGCTATCATCATTGCAATTTCAAGGCATAATGCATGCTTTTTTTCCTTCTCTTTATCATGACCGACCTGCACCATACAGGCAGGCCATGTACTGCCAACGCGCGGCTGCGTCGCTCCATCTAAGGCGTGGGCGTGGCTACTTGCGACGGTGAGTAAGGCGCCCTCGCTTCTATTTAGCATCCCTGTATGCTAAATGTCCACCAATCCGGAGCCATACCATCGTATGTCTCTCCGAACTCGATCTAGCAGACGAGCTGGTATATAGATCCGAATGACTCGAAATCTGGGGTGCATTTACGAGGCCCGTCGTATTTATACACTATAAGTCGATCTTATTGGTCTCTCCTTCCATCTTTCCGTAGCAGGTTGCATCATTTCGGCGATGAGGCTGCTTTGGATCTGGAAGATCATCTCGCTGCTCACACCTCCAGACTGCTCTGTCATAAGCATGACCACGAAAGATCAGCTATCAATTAGGGGTTCGGCAGCTGCGAGCCGTATGGGCTTGTGCGAGTTTCCTGACAACTCGTGTATCTTATCCGAGACATTTCAATAATATACGAGGCCGACGCTTTGCCCATCTTGTCACAGAGCTAGCATCAGGGCTCTCTAACCTAGTACCGACACGAATGCAGTGGTATAGGCGTCACCGCAGAGAGGATCGCTACTCCCTTAGCGCTTATGAGTTGGCGAACCTTTAATATTATAGACGACCCTGAAGGTTTAGACTGACTCCAGTCCATGGCGTATATCGGCATCTTCCGCTCTTCTTGATGCCACTTTACTGTCTCTGCATTCTGGAAGTTTCATTCTTTGATGATGAGCTGACATAAACGAGGCCGCACGCACTTGAGCATAGAATGAGATTTGTAAGGTCGTGTTGGTGGTATCAAAATGTATGCCCGATACGTTGAAACCCAGCCAGGCCTGGATGTGCAAACTGTAAACCTCAATGCCGCCCAACGCCTCACCTGTAGTGCTTCATGCTGTGTCAAAACAAGCCTTGACCAGATGCAAGTCGTACAAAGTCATAAGGAACGTTCTGTCCCACTAGGAGCCGCAAAGTCTCCACTGTTGTCCAAGCACTCACATCCGCAATGCTGTACACGGTCCATCCGGTAGATGCTGCCACTGTCAAGGGATCGTTTTTTCTTGGTCCTGTGGAGAGATCCACGAACACTTTGCCGGCGGATTTGCCAAGCCCAGTTCCGTCCCCACTGTAGTGTTTCAGCAGCGGAGCCACAGACATGGATTTCTCAGCCGGAAGTGCGGATATGATGACGAATGGTTGGTCAAGACGTTTCATGTCTTCAACCGATCGAACTTGTTCCACATCCCCTTTCAGTGTTCCGTGCATCTTAAACCCAATAGTGAAAATGGGTCCGATGCCAAGGCTCTTCAAAGCAAAGATGGCAGGTGCAGCATCTGACTCCGCGCTCGCCAATATGAGCGCTGCTCGTTGGCTGTACGCCGTTGGCACAAAGTCACGCGTCAAAGTGGAGCGTATCCCTTTCCAACGTGCATTGTCGCCCTCGTGTGAGATTTCGCCGTTTTGATGAACAAGCACTGTATCTACCTGTCCAATCGCAAAAGCAGCATCTGACATGGTAGGCAAAGAAGGGGATGATATGGCAACTGGCGGATTGATGTAGGCCCCACCAAAGTTGGGCCGTTTGAGAATCGCGTCTATGGGTCCCTTAGGACTCTTCTCCAGGAATATGAACTGATGAGGTAAGCTGAGCTCATTGAAGCACTTTTCGAAGAACATTGCTTGAGTCATAGAACGGTACGAGCCAATACCGTATATATCCTTCTTTGCGAACTGTCCCATATTAAACCGCGCGACGTTTATCTCGGCTGCACTGAGTTGACCAGGTGCAGCGATCATTGGAAGCAGGGGATGTGTGATAGGAGTGAACACTTTGTTCAAAGCTCGAGACAGTTGACCCTGAGGTCCCATGTTGAGACCAGACAACGGAGGATGAGAGTATTTTGACTCAATGAGGGACCTAAAATACTCGAGTTCATAGTTCTCTTGAGTACTCGTGACCAATGCAATCATCTTTACCACATCGCCATATACTGCTCCTTTCCTGAATAGATCTTCGGCTTCAGTGGTGGTCCATTTGAATTTTCCAGAGAAGTCGTGAAAAGCAGAAATTATGCGACTGCTGCCCTTGGTCTCTGATAATTTGCGTCTGATGTCTTCAGGAAGCCACAGCTCAACATCGATGTATTCGCATCCCCATTGAATCGCCTTCCGCAGATATGTGTAGAAGAGAACCGGGTCGTCCATAGGAAATCTCCCGTTCTCGTTTGTGCATCGTGTTGTGTAGATTATGGGTAGCTCTGTCCGCTGACGCAAGGTCATCAATTGCTCGCCGACATATTTGAGGCTCGGTATCGGACTGTAGCTGCCATCAGGAAGCGGTTCTTTTAGCAAGTCAACTCTCAGCTCCACTGCATCTGCACCAACCGAGAGGATATCGAGGTTCGGTAGCGCCGCGTGAATGTCCGGAAATGTTGTAGACAGTAGGGTTGTTCGAAGTTTCTTCGCAAGACTGTCATGTGGATTGATTTGACCGAGAATAAAGGATAGGAAGCGGGCCAGATCCCGCCTGTAGAAAGTCGTTTTCGTGTACAGGTACTCATAGTCACATTGAGAGCTAAAAGCCTCATCCAACGTCTCTCCTTCTCCATCCACGCAGTGCGTATTGAGCAGTAATCTGGAACTATCCCATTCTGCAGCTTCAGCGAGAAAGCTCTTTCTTGAAATGCCGTGAATGGTATCTTTCAATCCTGCTTTGACTTCTGACACTGACCCAGAAATTTCCGCCTTCTGGCCTAGGACGTCTGCTATTACTCCCACAAGGGCTTCCGACTCTTTACCGAAGACAACCAGTAACGACGGCTTTTGAAGAGTCGGTATCTCTTGCACGTCTACAACGGCCATGGATTTCGAGAATGGAGTTGGTGACACTGTCTCCACCAGGAGCTTGGTCGCCATAGAAGAGCTAAGCCGAGTAACCATTTGCTGAACGCGTCGTCAAAGGGTCGAGCTGCCTAAGAAGGAAGGTAGACTTGTATTCAAGGTGCGCGAAAGGTACTGTGCGAGAAGATCTGGTGGCAGATGACTCGCATCTCTGTTGTTCCAGGTGCCCAATTCCCCCGTAGCTGTAAGTGTTTCGTGTACCGGTATAGGAGCTATGAAAGGAGGAAGTATATGATGCTGACAGGCAGGGAAATGATAGTATCAGGCGGGTCGGCTAGGACGTGATATAGTAGGATAGGACGGCTATAGGATCAGTGCGAGATGTGATGGCAGAGCCAGTTGTCAGTTATTGCAAGGCCAACTGGCAAGCAGAATAGTTCCGTATAGGCTGCAATCGACATTTGACGAGGAGGCTCGCGAGATGGTGGATGTATGTAGTGACAAGTGTATAGGAAGCATTATTGCCGGTGTAGATGGCAAAGCTTGTCACTGGTTGGCTCCAACGTGCGTAGGCGGTGGAAAGTGTGGATCGACAGGCGTCCGGCGAGGGGCTGTTAGCGGCTCCTCACGCTTTGTTGCGGGCACAATTTATCCATGGATTGCCATCCTCCTTTCTCATTTATCCGCAAATCAACATCCTCCTCTATATCCCTGTAACTGCGCCCTTTCAGAATCTACTCTGCTCCCCTCGCCTACTGACCGCCGCCAAGACGAGCTGATATCTCTCCTTTCATTAACCGCTTTCCCGGTCGAGGATCATATGGCGACAGCAGCAGAGCAGTTGACTCATTCTGGCATCCTTCGACACGTAACTATCCATTCCGCAAGCATGCTCAGAGCTCATTGATGGCAAATATGAGCATAGTTGTCATCATTGGATAGGAAATGTTCCGCTATCAACAGTGGAGACGCCCCGTCGAGACTAAGCTTCATGTTTACTTCATCTTGAATGCCGTAGAGAAAGTTACTCCAATGAGATTTCAGGTAGAGGGTGGCGGACTCGACACTCGAATGCTCCTCGCTATGAGAAATCAACTATAGATGAGGCAAAACAAAGGATTTGTGGAAAACTACTCTATTTCGAAGTTTTATATCTAGCGGACTAGACCGACCCAGGATCTCAAAGATCATAAGTCATGGCGTATATCATCGACAATACGAATGCGGAATATATCCTAACCGGCGTTACCTTTCCGGAGGACAAATGATCTATTTGAGATCTCGGCATCTTCAACGAGACATATAGGCTTACTGCTCCTGCAGTGTTATCTATGAACCCCAGCCGCACGCACCCTTGATTTAAAGAATCTCACTTACAGTCATCTTAACCATGTTGAATTGTGGTATTTCTTCTGCCAGCCAGATTACAACTGCATCCGCTCGAGTCATGAATAGCTGCACCACTGCTCATAGAGCTTTCGGGAGCATAATAGCCCCTGAGCATTCTGGTCTAGGAAAGATACTGTACATTGTGACATATTTCCTAAGCTCGAGTATATCCGACGTTCCGCCTTCTTATAATCGGTGGGTTTTGCCCTTCGTAGATGAGCCTATTAGATGCCTGTCCTTTACCTGCATACTGCCTATGTGCCATCTTTCGGATGCTAGCACTGCGCAAACCCTGGCTCCATTCCATATACCCGTAGCAAGACGTCTGGACAGAACGACACCGACATTTCGGGTCGGTTAATGACGTTGTATGCATCCCCTCATAAGGGTAGATGATAGGCGGAGGATATCGCAATTCAGCTTTAGGAGCCACACTGGAAAAGAGCTTACTCCTAGCTTGGCTGAACTTGGGACAATTGCTTACTCTACATATAGTATGTGGCAAGGATCATCCCAACGACAAACGATATCATGAAGCCTCTTCAGTTTTCTGCGAATCGTCGACCTTCCCGTAATTCCTCTCCTTATCCCCGCCCCTGTCATCCAGAATGAGTGGAATTCCCTCGATCCTAGCTGCCTCTCTCACGCTCTCTCTCTCAACAACTCTACCTACAAGCTTCGTGAGTGCGGGATACAAGGCCTCCATATCCATCCCAAGCAGATTGCCCCAGCGATACTCGACATAAAGGAATACATCCGCAGCGGTGAACTCATCCCCAACCGAATATCCACTGCTGCTAGCCTGAAGTCTCTCTTCTATCTGCGCGAAGCAAGACTGGACCCACTCTCTCGCCGTGACACGCACACCGTCCCAGGCAGCCTCGTCCGCCGTCCACATCTTGGGCAAGAACAACGCCCCGAAGCCTCGCTCGTGCACAGTCCCGGACAGCCAATTGAACCATTCGTAGCATCGCACAGCTTCTAGGTCGGATTTGCCAAACAACCCTGCCTCGGGCGCGCGACGATCGATGTAGGATGCGATGGCGACGGTCTCGGTGATTGTTGTCTTGCCGTCTTCGAGGATCAGGATTGGCACGCGCTTCTTCGGGTTGAGATGAGCGTGCGTCTCGGGAAAGCCATTTGTCTTTGTGATATCCAGAACGACTAGCGAGAAGTCGAGTTTGGATTCCCGGAGAAGGATGTGATTGAATAGCGAGCATGCGCCGGGAGAAACGTAAAGGATGAGCGGCGCCATGTTGCGGGTAGTACTGAGTGACGTCTTGTAGCGTGCTGTGTAGGAAGGTAGGTTCAATTTGCCTCTATATTACTCGAGTGTGCGGCCGTAAGCAATCAATGCTGGTGCATTAGCCAAGAACTGCGGACAATGCGCTTTATGTACTGGTGTATTATCGCGATCTTCAACGAATTCAAGAAACATTTATCTTAGACGATAAAACTTTCATGAGAGAATGTTCATAACATCTCTTTATATCTTATTGTACCAGAATATATATATAATGAATTGAATGATATTAACTAACAAGTTGAACTAAGCTACTCTGGATGTACACCTCAACGTCAATCATTATGAGTCATAAGAGCCAAGTAACTGACCTTGTATAAGCGTGATTACTTAATACTTAGGTAAGCATCCCGGAGAGATCACTGTCTTTTATCACCCAGCACTTCTCTACTATCTCTAAGCATAAGCTGTTTTATTACTTAGCTTAGCATGAGTTTCACTTCGGAATCATCATGGTTATCGAGATTACCTCTAATGCTGACCTTCCAAAGTGTCTAAACACGCCGTCGAAACAGAGCACAAAAGCACGTCAACTGGTCAACTTGCACTCGGACATCCCCTCCAAGAAGGCTCGAGGGCCCAATTTACAAGGTTTTTTCAGTAGGACAGTAATCGTAACGCTGCAAAATGGCGAGGATGTCGTCATACAATTCCGGCCCGAACCCCTAGATCTTGAGCCGTTCTTACTTGCCCGGAGAGTGCTCGGCGAGGTTGTCCCTGACATCAAAGTAATTCAAGACGCAGAATTGGAACGTGAGGGCATATGGGTTTACTGGATGACGTGCATTCCTGGAAAAACATGGCTTGATGGTGCAAGAGGAAGAACCTCACAAACCAGAGTTACTACCGTCCGATCCTTAGGCCGAATTTTGTCAAAGGGCTATGTCGACGATAGCAGTGGTTCGGTGATTGATCATAAGGTTCGCCCGCATCTAGAACTACTCCTCGCCTCTGAGGATCCCCAGATTCGCCAATTCCACCTCGTGGCGAGAGATTTGCTTGGCAAATTAGACCAGCTCAAGAGTCTACCACTTTTTGTCGCTCACTTCGACCTGAACGAGGTCAACATCATGGTTGATGATAACTGTGAGGTTTCTGGTATCGTTGACTGGGAACTATCAACCCCTCTTCCCTTTGGCATGGGCTTTGGCCGCGTCCACACCCTTGCTGGCGAATATTCCGAGCAAAAGTTTTATATGCCCCCCGAGTTCGACGACGCGGAGAGAGGGTTCTGGCAAGAGATTTGGGATGGGATTCCTGAGAATGTACGCAGTCATGCTAAACCGGAAGCGGTCCAAATTGCTGTCACGCTAGGGACACTTCTGGATACATTCCAGCTGGACGAAGGCAAAGTCGGACCCTATAGCTCCGTAGCCGTTAACGCCCTCCCAAAGTTTCTCACCTACCGGATCCCCTTGATAAGGGGTCCAGATTCACCACCATACTCAGAATGAGTGTGAATACAGACCGAGTTGTGACTACCGATGTAATCAGATATCGGGACAAATAGTTTAGATACGCTCCACAGCCGCACAGCGACACGAGAGGATTCTCAGAAAGAAAGGCAGCAAGGAGGCATCGAGGAAGTATCCACGATTTTCTCCCAACGCATGCATTCATCATCAATGGATTCTGTTATTTTAATTCCAAAGACGAAACGTGCATGCCAACTCTCACGGCTACCCAAAGATGTCTTGATTCTTTAGTGAACTAGAATCGTTTACCTATGAAGAGAGACGTACCTTGTTAATGGTTAGTGAACTACAGTACTTGATAAATCCATGCGTTTACCCATGCCGCAATGCTAGAGGAATTTATTCCTTGGGCGGCGGTACCCATCGGACAATATCTTCGTCATCTCCACCAGTAGCAACCATTGCGCGATAGTAAAGCTCACCTGCAACGTGTAACTAGCAGACTGTCGTTGACATTCCACCTTGATTTAGCCGTATACTATAGTTTCTAACAGGCAGTTGGACGAAAAAAAATCATTTGATGTTGTTGGCGCCAATGACTCTGCACTAATCAAGAAACAGATTTTAGTGGCCATGAAAAGGCAATTGTAAAAGTTGACTTCGATTGGTTGAGAACCAAATTTTGCTTGATTGCTCGCTACTGTAAGCCCTCGATATCTGGATCATCGATAGCTTTGTTTGGCATAATATGTTCTAACGAACGACCTTGTATAGAATGAATGTTGTGTGTATATTTTCCTGTCGAGCGGAGTGGGATCCTTCCGCGTTGCGCATCGACCGGGCCCTACATAGAACCTCTGAGGTTCAGCGCATCAGAGACAATCCAATGAATTGAGCACACGTAGACTTATACAGCGAAGACATCGAGATTCGAGTATCTGATAGAACGTACGTTGAAGTCGCTCAGAGGTCTCACGGGTAAAACAAGCCATGGCTTGCCGGTGACCCTGCCACAGCGGAGTCTCGATTCTGAAATTGGAATGATACAATTGGATTAAGTATATTGCTACATCCTCGAAGTTCCTCTCATGCTGCGGCACCCTCAATCTTTTTTGACTCTTCTGCCGACATAGCACGACTTTTCGGTTTCTTTGGGATCCAGTAGCAATTCGGCCTCTTTCCCTCAACCGTCCAGTTCAGCATTTTCAACCCTACATCAGGCCCATCACACGTCTTGACGTAGGGCGTCCTAACGTTGGAGTCCGGACTAGAGACTGTGATAGATTCCCCAGGAAGAAGATCTTTGAAGATACTGGCATCCCGTGCGAATTCGAACCTATGGAAGATAATGCGCTTATTCATGGCATGAATCGACTTGTCCCACGTGGGCCCAAGAACACGTCGGTGTAGTGCAATGTCTTCAAATGTTTGGGTTTCCCACTTTATCTGCTTCATTTCCGGTGTGATTTTAGGCGCTGGGCTAATTGGGGGAAATCTCTCATCGTCCGGAGCACACGGCGAGTGACTCCATCCTCCATCCTTAGGGGCCTCCGTGTTCGGTCCAAGTAAATAGCTTTTGTTCATGATACACTGGGCTAAGATCTGGCTGCCTACTTGCCCGAGCTTCCTTGACAAAGACTCAAGGGTTACGTACTCACCTCGTGTCAAGTCAATTGGTCCTGACTGCTCTATTCTAAGACCGTGATCAAACTTGTCCACATCGAGAGTTTGGATGGTGACGCCGGTGACCGGTCTTTTCAGTAACAAGGCATGGTGTATGGGAGCGGCGCCGCGAAGACTGCTAATGTCAGACCACTTGAAGAAAGCACATCCAGCCACGTGACATACTCAGGTAGAAGTGATGGGTGCACATTCAGTCCCCCATACTTTGCGGATTCTATCAGTCTCCGAGGGATGAACAGCCCAAAGGAGACGGCGATGATCAAATTGTACTCCTTGGGTGGCTATGAAGCTATTAGATCTCGATTGAGAAACATTCACATTCGAGACATACTGTCCAAACAGCTATTTCATTGCTGTGACTGATGTGATAAGTGTCTAAACCAAGTGACCGAGAAAGTTTTTGTATAGGTACTGCTAGGTGAGTTGGAAGCCACGAGGCTGATACAAATACGTACTTTCTGACAGGACTTTAAGGCCGCGTCCCGTGGGCTTTTCAGACTTATGCAAGACCTGGATTGATTCGATGATGCGTGGAAATTTCTTGCGTATGTTGTCAAGGGCTATCAGCGAACTTGTGCTGAATGCATCTGTACCGCAATATAAGATTCGTAAGGGTTCACGATGATCTTCGATGGTGCTGAAGCATCGAGTATAAGTGACTACTCCTTGGCGTGGTACAGAGAATAGACGCCTCCCAGCATGAATTAACATCACTGAAGCGCATAAAGGGGTGTTGATTGACAGGTTCAATGCTTCTGGGGCTGCATGCGCGTTCAGAACGCGTTGCTGGTTTTCATGTTCCGGCCTGAGGCATCTATTAATGATCGAGGCATCAAGGCAGGAACCCCGATCACCAAGGTCGACGTAGAGGGCCCGACGATCGAGACTTCCGCTGCATCTTCCACCAGCCTCTTGTAGCCTCAAACAACAAATCGTCGATTCACTGTGTCTAGACGGACCTGTTGTACTTCCGAGTTTCAGCCAGGTCTCTCACAAAATGAGGATTTGGACTTCTGCTGCGCTCTGGATTTGATCTTCGTTTCTGGTATCCTCATCGGTTCCCACTGCTTGCGGCTGATACTGGGCTACCTTGAGGATTTACCCCTGGTATATTAAGTCTCTATCAACTCAGAACAGCTGCCTATCATGTCTGGCAATGTAGAGCCCATCGCCAAGGTTGTTCCCGCTCAGCTTTCGTTCCTTGCCATCTACAACCCGCTTCTAGGTCAGACCGACGAGGAGTTTCGAAAGCAAGTCGTCTTTTATTATTCAAAGGAGTCAAATACAAATTTGTCAGACAACGCTGCAAATGATGAAGAGAACCAAAAACTTCGTCATGTCGGGCTGGCGCAGGGTATGGTAGATTTTGCCAGGTTCTAAGCCAAATGACCACTTCTACCACTCAATTACTAATCGATATCAGGAGCTTCGCAAACGGCGCAGCTGTAGACTCTGTGGACACCAAGAAGACTAGGGTCGTCATGCGAGAGATCGAGGAAAACTGGTGGATCTTGGCTTCGGTTGATCTCACTGCTCTACCTGTGAATGCTACGTCAAGCGGTACCACCAAAGGGAGCGGCCCTACGAAACCATCAACAGAGTATTCGTCTCGCGAAGTAAGCCCACCGGCATTACTACTGGAGCAGCTCTCCCAGGCCCACCGCATGTTTCGGCTTCACCATGGCTCGACCTTGACAGATCTAATCACTAGACTAGGCCGAGATAGATTCTGTAACACGCTTGACCGATTCTGGAGCCGCTTTGCACAGCGATGGGACGTACTGCTGCATGGAAGCCCTGCAGTCAGCATCTATGGCGGTATCAAGCTCGCAGCAGGAGGTGAGCTTGGCATCGGGGTTGGTGAAGAAGAATGGGGCAGTGGTGAACGCGAAGTTCTTGAAGAATTTGCACGGCGTACCGATGGACTAGTAGATGTTGTCGTGTCTCGCTACGGCGAACCTGCAGAGGAGCAATCTGAGGTGCCAGCAAAGTCGAAGTCGAAGAAGAAGAAAGACGCAAGATCAGGCCCCCAAACGCCGTGGATGGGTAGCGGGCAGATTCCAAGGGCTTCTGACGGCGTCGTCTTCTCTGGAGTCGGTGCTATCTCCAGGACATCTCTGCGTGACGTCTCGGAATGGATGGAGTCAATTTACGGATACGGAGAGTATGCGTATGGTGTCAGAGACAATCCAAGTTCAGATCGTAAAAGGAGACGAAGACGTGCTCAGAGAGAAGTATCCAATACTCAGGAGACATCTTCTACGCAGCAGGAGTATCCTCCTTCTGTTTCTTCTGCTAAAGCGCTGCCTCGAGGAATACCACGGCCTATCGTCCGCGCTGCCGAAAAATCACTAGAGAGGGCTTCAGAGGCAGTCGAGGCAAATGACGCCAAAGAGACCATTCCAGATAGCAAGGCAGAGTCTGGAGCTTTGAACTCTATCACCGATCCTGAAGCCTGGAAGTACTACTTGACGCTCGGCTACTCCTCGTGGGGATCCAAGGATCCTCAAACTAACAATGTCAAAGATAAAGAGGACAGTCCTGACAATAATCCACCCGCAGTCCCCCAAAGCGATGCAGCAGACACAGCGCTTCGTAACCAGCCTAGACACCCCGGTAACCTCATCCCAGCTTCCCAAATTGACCGCGTCGAAGAGATGATAAAAAAATCCATCGAACAGGAGAACAAAGGCCACTTTATCATTGGCCTAAAGGGTGACATGGACGAAATCGCCGACGAAGACCCCGATGACAGCGGATCCGAAGGCTGGAACAACCGAATCCTGCTCCGCACACTCTACATCGAACTCGAGCGCTCATTGAACACCGACTCTACAGATGACGATCAGACAGACTACGAAAAAATGATCAAGGCAGAATCCCAACACAAAAAGACGCATACCCGGCTGCGCGTCGTCGTATATATCGTATGTCTACCCATCCACAAACACTCCATCCAACACACACACAAACTCAAAGAATCCCGCTACCCTACCTTTCAGCTAACACTCACTCCCTCCTCACAGCACCGGCCCTTCATCTACACCTTCCTCTTCACCCCCCGCGCCGACTCCCTCACCCTCGCCTCCTTCTACCAAAACCTCCACACCTACTTCTCCCCGCTCCACGCCCCCCTGAGCGCATCCACTTCCCCCCAGCGCATCACATCCCGCATCGCCTCAACCTCCCAACCCTACACCACATCCCCCGTAGACCCGTCCTCCGCATCCGCCGCCGCCGCCGCCCCAATCTTCGATCTCGTCTTCGACCCCCGCACCCTCACCCTCCACTCCAGCATCCCAGACATCCCCGACCCGGGCAGTAGCAGCAGCCTACTATCCGCCGATGCCCTCTCCACCACCACCACAACAACAACAACAACCCAATCTCCCGAAACAAGCACATGGACCCGCATCGACGCCCTCAGCGTCCACGCCGCCATCCTCGACGCCGTCCTCCGCACCCGCCGCATCGACGCCCTCACGAACATCGAACAAACAGGCAAGACGAGCCGCGGCTGGTGGGTCGTCTGGCTGCGTCTCCCAGGCAGTAATGCCAGCTCGCGTGATCCGTATCCGACGCCGTCGTCGGAGGCAGTATCGGCGGCGGCGACGGCAGCAGCGACGACGACGACGACGGGACGATCGAAGGTGCAGAACGGGCAGGGGACGACGTTGCTGAGGGAGGCGTTTCTGGTGCGGCGGGCGCGTGATGTGGGGAGTGATGGGAGTGCTGGTGGTGGTGGTGGGAGTAAGGCTGGTGGGTCTGGGCGGGTGGTGAGTGGGTTGTGGAAGATGGGGCTTGGGGGGAGCGGGGAGAAGATGGGTGGGAGGGCAGAAGGGTGGGGACCGAAGGGGATGGCGGAGGGAATTGGGATTGATGCGAGGAAGTATGTTGAGACGTTGTTGAGTTTGAATCGATAAGGAGTGATGGGCTGAGTGATGGAGGGAGAGAGAGAGAGAGAGAGGGGGGGGGGGGGGGACCGTATCTGGAGGCCAGCGTAGGAAATGATTTTTTCCACAACACTTGACCTGGATTTAGGGGGGGCATTCGGTTGCACATATGTTTTCGGCTGGGCATCATCATACACTACACCACGTTCGCTCATTAGGAAGGAACTTCAAGGCAGACTCCCTACAAATATGACTCCAGACAAACGTGTCGACCATCGACACCTAATAGTTATTTGAGATGATGATCCGTACTGCCAAACCGGCCCCCCCCCAATTCACCATCCATCGCCCATTCTAAAAGGATGTACTGCGTGATGTCTGTGTGCGTGATTTGTATGGCGTACAATATAAAGGTAATGACAGAATAGAACTTCAAACCGCTGCGTAGCGTAATCCTAATACCGGTGTTCACTCCTGTCCAAAGCCAACAGTCTCCTCTACCGCAATTGTCAATTTTTGGTTCAGTGCTTCAAATGTCTTGTAGGCCGGTAGATCCAGGCGATTGAAACTGGTAATGTTGTTAGTGTACTGTGTGCATTTATATTATCAGCAAATGGTACGTACCAAGTATGTGACTTCGGTAGCTGGTTAGCTTCTCCAGCCTTTTCGATCGTAAATCTCCTTGGTCCGTCACTCCCTTGTAAGTCCTTGAAACCGTTGACTGGGATACGACTTGTACCAGTGGCGAATTGTAACAGGCGCGACTTTTGTTCAGAGTCCCACGAACGAATACATTGCCAGAAGTTCTTAATAACTTCATCGTTTTCGGTGTACCCGCGGTAGTCAGTGTGCTTCTTCCAGTCTTCAACATCGATATCAGCGATACCGCCGATGAGAAGTTCGAGCTCACGCTCGTCGAACACGTTGACTAGATCGGGCGGGATGAGCTCGTTAAATCCAGTCACAAAGGCTTGGAACTGTTCTTCTACTCGCTGCTGGATACGCCATTCTGTAATAAGACTGAAAAGAGGTTAGCATGTCTCTGTAAAACAGACACACAAGGACTCACTCGATGTATTCTCTCTTGTTCTCGTTGGTGACTTCAATATCTCGGCCACCAGGTTTGAGGTCTATCGTGGTTGTCTCGCCAAAACGCTCATCGTCAGTAGAGAAGGTGAGTTCTACTATACCCTCAATATCGTTGTCCCTACCCTAGATATTAGCTATGCCACTTTCAGTAATGTTGTTGCACTCACAATGTCCACATGAGATTCTTGTGAAACTCAGCGTCAACACCCTCCATATCGTGAAGGTTCACCTTTTTCCTCAAAATCATCTTGTAGAACGCTCCAATGAAGAAAGCGTCCAAGAACCTCCTGTGGAAGATGGCCAAGCCGACTACGCGGCCAATAAATTTAAAGTAGTTGAGATGCTCTGGGTTGATACCAGAATGAGGGTTGATTTGAAGAGTGTAATTGTCGTGAGCGGAATATTCGAACAAGCAATAGAAAGGGTTAAACATTTCGTGAGAGAGCAAGAAGAAAAACTCGCTAAAGATCATGTTAGACACAGACAGGCAGGTTGCAATACTGACATACCGAGATAAACCACCATAATCAAGACCATCCTCACCGTCAAACTTGATCATGAGTCGTTTCTTCAGATCACCGGCGCTCTGCCGCATGATTTCATGATACGAATCTTCGAAAATGTGCGAACGTCTGACCTTCACATGGCATTGCCCGGAGACAATACGAAGCGCTGGTTGAGAACGGAAGTAGATGAGTTTCCTCCTGAAGTCACGCTTGTACTGTGGTACGTTCTGGTCCAGCGAAGAAGGAAGACGAGGATCGTCCCAAGTGGTGGTCTTCGTGTTGTGATCGACAAAGTACACGCGTGCAGTATGCGTGAGCCTCATTTCCCATCCACTTGGAAGTGGCCCCAGTTGTGACACAGGCTGCTGTTGAATTGTATTACCTGCCGCGTTGTTGCCATACATACGGATGTATTGCTGGCGTCTTGGATCCACCCAGGTCGTCGTACGGGTATTATGGTCTACGAAATAAGCCCGCCCTTCTGGAGTATGCCGCTGTTCCCAGCCAGATGGGAGTTCTCCCGATCCAGCTGTCGTTGCACCAGTTGCCATCATAGAGACTTGATTCGAAGTAGGACCCGATGGTGAGCCACCGCCGGGCTGCCTGTCTTGCAGGGTAGGCGAGCTCGCTCCCGTACGGTCCTCAGGAAGCATGCGGTTCTGGTGACGAGTACGCTCCATTTGGGTCTGGGCTGCCATAGCGTTACGCTGATCTGTCTCGTTTGCTCCAGCTTGTGGTCGTAGCCATGTTGTCTGTCTAGTGTTGTGGTCCACATAGTATGTACGGCCGAGATTGTCTTCTCTTCTTTCCCAACCAGGAGGAAGGCGACCCTGCGCATCTTCAAATGCACTATACCCGGTATTCCGTATCGCTTGGTTAGCTCCATTCGCCATGTTCGGAGGAGGTTGTGCAGGAGCTGCAGAGGGTTGGTTGATGTTCGGTGGTGGGCCAGAAGTACTTGCGCCAGGTCTGCTACCGCCTGGATACATATCAGAGCGCAGAGACTGAGAAGCGTTTGGAGATAGCACGGCATTCGAAGGACCGGGTTGGCCCGGCATTCCACTCATGGACGAGTGCGCAGACGGTGGTGGTCGGTTTTGGCCAGCGTTGACACCACCGCTTATGGGTTGTGACAGGTTTGTGGAAAGGTTAAGGATCAACTTTCCGTGTACAATCATAGCATCATTTGATTTCTTGAGGTCCCGTGTAAGCATTTCTGGGAAGGTGTTAGTCGTGGGTGTGAAAGAGCGGGAGACCATTCCATGGTAACCCACCATCACCACCAGCGTCAAGATCAATCACGCTTCCGATCCGAACATTTATTACCCCCAAGAACCCCTGGTCCTTCTTTTTAAACTTCTTCTGGTCGAATATCTGAACGGCGAGGACACTGTCTTCATTTACTTTCCTACGCTCCATATCAGTATACTGTTGCCTAAACTCATATCCTTTGAGGAGAACCATACATATCAAAGCTTTCATTCCAGTAGGGATTCAAGGTTTTCTTGATGACGGTCGTGGTTCGAGTTTGCTCCCCGCCGATGGTGGCGACCGCAAAGGGATCCGGGAACCCTAACAAGTATCGTCATCAGTATCACTTCGGTCGTTGCGCACGCCATGGAGGTTGCGGATGTACTCACTCAACAGATCTCTCTTGTACAGTCCATCAGCAGCAATGACTGTGTCTCGAATTAGCTTTCCATCGTCGTGTTGCCGCCTGCCAGAAGGATATATACGCACTGGTTACCCTCAGGTTTGCCTGAGAGGGTACATCCATGATGATGGCTGACTCGGTCTCCTACACGAGCACTCCAGTAACTCTACCACCTCTTGTGATGTGCAGGAAGCTCCGAACGGGAGCCCGAGAGATATGAGACCCTTCTAAGCAGCGCGCGTGTAGTATTAGAGGTTGGAGTTTGGGGCGTGAGGCTGTGCAGGCGCTCGGAGAAGTGCCTACGACCGGGGCAAGAAACGGCCCGGGCAGAGAGCGTTTGCGAGGGCTTACGAGGAGCGGGAACGGAATGCAAGTAACAAAGCCGGAAGTGGAATTGGACGTGCTGCCAGTGAGAGTAAGGTAAGTCTGCTTTCTGAAGCTGGAAATAGGACGGTATATTCGATTGTCACAGTGACCGCACTCAGTGTCTGTGAGGTGAAGGGTTAAAGGTTGATTAGCAGACAGACGTCTCGACCTTCTGCTCGCCCTCCCTCCGGTTTTTGCCCCGCACTCGCCGAGCTAAAGCAGCAACAGTTGCGCCTGGAACGGTTCACTTGCTGCCTTCTATCAAAAACAAAGTCTTGATCTTTGTCGCCGCCTAATAATACCTCTACTTTCTACTCTACCGCTGTTCGTAAATGCCTGCATAGCATGCATCCCCAACACTTCTGGCGCTTCTGATGGAGCAATCAGAGCGGAGCCTTATCCGCCGCGCGCCGTGCCCACTGGTATGGAATGGATTGAGCTCAATTCCAAGCGCCTTGTCGTCTGCGCCCACTGGGCCGCGAATACATTTTAGGTCGATTGGTCATGTCTGTCTATGTAAATGTATCTTCGGTGTGTGGCTCATCCACTGGAATCGTCATCATCTATGGCGTTACCTATGTACATACCACAACGCAGTCTCGCCGTCGTGATGAGAATTTCCCCCTTTCTGGCCATTTCTGCCAGTGCGTATAGCGTATACGTCGCTCTACACAACCCTAATGCTTGACTGGAACATGTCTGAATATTGTCTACACACTCCTCTTCGACGGGCATCCATATACTGACCGTTAAACCACACTGAATGAGTGCTTGGCGTCTCGAGAGTTGTTCTAAATATAGACTGCGCACGTGAGCCCTATCATAATGAGATGCGGGGTTCCGTGCAGCAGACCTGAGGGTCTCTACCATATGCCTTCCTTCGACGAAACACTCAGGAGTCTGATGGCTGGTTGCTGATCGAGTGCCAACGGTTCCGGTTCCAGAATGCCCGCATTCCCAGCCACCGCTCATACAGCGACAGTTTCAGCTCCGTCCGCGCATACGCAGACCATGCGAACACTAGATGCATCCAATTGCTTGGCCAGAACAAGCTTCCTCGTAGCTGTTCAAGCTGCTCCTCGTAGACGGTGCGAGACGCATATCGGGCGAGAATAAGGAATGTTCGGAGAGGGCCATGCCTCGTATGGAGATGCTCATCCAGTGACCGCGCTAGAATGCCATTAGATACCAGATCTTCAACTTTCTAAGGTAGGACTTACTCAAATCGTTCGTCTTCAAGATAAGCAGGATTACACGAGGAACCTGGCCAAGAATGCGCACCAATTGAAGGAGCATGTCCTCTCCCAGCGCATCTGAGATCTTCTCTTTCTCTTCCTCACTCCGATTAACTTCGGTCAAGCCACTTTTCACGGCAGAGTAATCACGTCCGGTGATGGCACTCGCAAACAGGTGAAAATCTTCCTCCTCGATTCCAGCCGCTTCGTGAGCGTACCTCTTCATACCTGCCTCATCACTTTCAAGGACAGCTAACCAGAGCTTGGCATAAGAACGCCGGAGATCGATAGGGATATCGCGATACAACCCGTGGTCGTACAAAATTACGTCAAAGTTCTTCTTTCCCCGACGGTTTGGATTATGCCTTATGGCTAGATTTCCTCCATGTGGATCGCAATGTAATGGTGCATTTTTCCCGAAGATCATTTCGTTGAAGATATGGGAGAGCGCTGCTGAAACTTCATCACGGTCGATGTTGTGCGAATCTAAGTAATCTAGATCGTCTGGCCTCCTACCTGTGAGATATTCCATGACGAGTATTCGCCTTTTCGCCCATAGTACCTCCGGTATCAACAGAGGGTAATCCTTATCCGCGAAGAAGCGACGAGCGCGCATAGCATTCTTGCCTTCGAGCTCGAAATTAAGCTCTTGTGGCAGTGAGACTTGCATTTCCTCGGATAGCCATGTGAGATCGTACTCCGGAAACCAATATTTCAACGTGGAGAAAGTGAAGCTCGTCAAAGACAGATCTAATGGTGCCCATTCGTCCAATAGTGGATGTTGCACCTTCACCGCAACCTTCTGCCCCGACTCTTTGATCGTAGCCCGGTGGACTTGTGCGAGAGACGCAGCTCCTAATGGCCGTTCCTCGAATTCTGAAAAGTAGTCGGAGAGCTCCTCCCCTGTATCTTGACGAATCATCTCACGAATTGACTCGATTGATGACACCGGACATTTGTCTTGTAGCGGAATGAACGTGTCGCACCATTCGCTCGGCAATAGGTAGGTCAAGCTGGTCAAATGCTGCCCAAGCTTGATGAAGATGGAGCCATTCTTCTCAATCGTGTCTAATGTACGGTTTGCGCATCGCTGATGGCATTCTTTGAGGATCTTGGAGTATTCGGCTTGGTCTTCCATTTCAAGCTTGAGGATCTTTCGGTAGCTTTTTCACCATATAATGTTAGGCCAGAGACTTAAAGTATCCTAATAAGACTTACTCATATATGTTAAGTATAAGAGTCCGCGCAACTCTCCCCGTTCTCCGCGCTGCTCTATATGTATGCTTCACATCGTCACTGATCCACCACGCTCCGGTGACCAAGGCAGCTCCCCCGAGCGCTGCAAATGCTATCTTCTGCTTGGTCCTAGTAGGAAGGGCTTTCGCTCGGTCTATCGTAGAGGATACGGTCGAGTACCGTTGTCGAGTCCGACCCAGTGTGCGCTGTTGGAGGCATGCTCTGCAAGTCAAAGAGCCCGAGGTCCCAACCAAAGAAGTAAAGAGAGGGCGTTTGGACATTATGAATGCATTACGGAGGATCTATATTGAGAAGCGAGATCGAAGAGGACGCGTCAGATTTCAAGTTAGACGATGCAATGTGCGCACGTCGTGGTCAACGTCTGTTTCCAGAACCTTGTCAATTGACAACTTGATCTCATCGAGCACTTTTTTGGGGCTTGTTAGGGTGTGCCAAGCCCCTGTTGGACACCGAAGCCAGGGCGCCCATGCGATCATATGCCGGCCCGCGGCACGAAAGACGACGAAATGCCTTTGGGATCACCGAAGACTCACTTGCATCATGTTCATCTCCTCATCAATTGACTAGTAATTAATTCGCTCGCTCATAGAAGTTACGATGCATTATACAAACATTTTGGGATATCTAGAAACGTGACTCAACCTTCTGCTCAATATCCTGCAGAGCCCAATCACTTCTGGATTTCTTCGATCGTACTTGGTCGACTTGCTGAGGCGTGAAGCCCTTTGCGACGACAGCTGGGTTGTAACCCAGACCAGACAGTTTTCCAACTTCAGCATCAGAGAGCTTCGCGTTCGTCTTGCCATCGGCGCGCTTGTATACTGTCACGACAACGGCGCCACCAAGGCCGAGATTGTGTTGCAGAGCAGCTTCAGCGTCGGGGGCAAGGCGGTTGTTGGCCCAGCCACGGAGCTGCCATGTGAGCTCAGCACACTGAGCAAGACCAGTTGCGCCGAGCGGATGGCCCTTAGAAATCAGGCCACCAGATGGGTTAATAACAACCTTGCCGCCGTGCGTGATGTCACCTCTGCGGACCATTTCATGCGCCTTTCCTGGCTCACAAAGGCCGAGAGCGTCAATTGTACACATCTCGTTTGCAGAGAAACAGTCGTGTAGCTCGCAGACCTTGATGTCTCCGGCCTTGACCTGAGCCTCTTCAAGCGCGGTCTTGGCAGCGTGTTTGCTCATGCTATACCCAACAAGCTCGATCGAGCTCTTGTTGAAGAGGTTCGGGGAGTCTGTAGCAAGGCACTGGCCTGCAATAAGAACAGCCTGGCTCTTGAGCTCCGGACGAGCGTCGAGGAACTCTTGAGATACAAGGACCGCTGCGGCAGCACCATCGGATGTGGGGCAGCACTGAAGCATAGTAAGGGGTTCGAAGATCATCTTAGATTTCATGACCTGATCGAGAGTGTACGTCTGCTGGAATTGCGAGTACGGGTTGTCCTTCGAGTGCAGATGGTTGACACGAGCGATCTCGCCAAAGTCTTCGAGCTTCGCGCCGTACCTGAACAATTTAGTTTTTGATACACGTTTGTTTTGATTTCGACTCACTTTTCCATGTACTCCCGACCGGCGTTACCAAAAAGTTGAGCAGCGCCGGGAGCATTTGTAACACCTCTCGTCTCCATCATGATTTTGTGTGAAGTAGACGTTGGGTTCTCACGATCATTGAAGAATGACTGGAGACTACCCGGGAACATCTTCTCGAAGCCGACGACAAGTACGCAGTCGGAGCCGCCGTGCGCAATCATGTTCCGTCCCATGAAGAGGCCGGTGGATCCGGTTGAGCAGTTGTTGTTGACGTTGTAGATGGGGATTTGCGTCATGCCAAACTGATAGAAGACTCGCTGTCCACAAGTACTGTCGCCGTAGCAGTAGCATGCAACACCTTGATCAACGTCATCGTAATTGATGCGGGCGTCCAGCATGGCTTTGACACCAGCTTCGAAGCCCAGCTCGGTGTAATCGACCTTGCCTCTTGGCTTGATGAACTTGGTCATTCCCACACCAAGGACGTAGCATGGCTTTTGCGCTTTCTTGTTCACCATATTTGCGGCCTTGTGATGTGATTTTATGAACTTGAAGCTATTAGCATTGCCCCGTCATGTACGGCGTCACGAGCGGAGACGAGCATCGCAGTACTTACTGGGAACTGGTTCAGGTCTTGAGATTATGTTCTTAGCTTTGTAGCTACAATGTAAGAATGTGATTGTTGCTGAAATATATACAATGGCAAAACGTCAATGGGAATAACACGGGTATATGATGTGTTAGAGTTCCGCCCGCACGTCAAAGCGTCAGGTTTACCCCAGATGTGGAGTACCGAGGGCTTTGTTTAATTAATAGCCGAGGCCGGTAGCACCGTGTTTAGGCCGAGCAGCCATAGCCTGATTCATCACTAGACAAGAGACTAGCATTGATCAAATCAAGACAAAAAGCCAATCTTGGTTAGGGCGCTGCACACATTACCTGAAAGGTGATAACGCTCGTAAGGATTACCCTTTACATCTCAGAAAGCCTACTAATAATAACCAGCAGCAAACGCTAGCATACCGAAACACTGAGATAGTATTGTATCAGATCTGTACATATGTCACAGTTATAGATCCATGCATATTGACCTGAGCCGAGAGACACACGCTTAAGTGAAGTAGTACCCTCGGTAGGAAGAAAGCCCTGGAAACCTCTTCCCTTGTCTTGATAGATGATTATAAGGTATGTTAGGAACACCCAACGCTCATGACGCCTGTACCTCTAAATAGAAAGAGATAACAATGCCGAGGAGTATTCACATATCCAAACATGTACCAAGCACTCCTCCAACGTAATTGAGCTCATGATAAATGATATAAAATACAAGCAGCAGTAATGACCTTCGCCAGGAGGGGCGATACCCGCAAGTGACTCCCTCTAGATGGCTCTTCGCCGCAACATCGTCGGTTATAGGTTACGTTATTTGCTTGTGCAGCGACCTCAAATACGGAGCCGTTGAAAGATCCTCTGTTATAGTAATCGACAATCAGGAAATTCGGTGGCTTCCCCCAATCTTGCGTGCATTTTCCCGTCATATTCCCCAGGCTGCCCATACCGTCAACACCATTTGCGACATCGAGCACTGCGGTGTTTGGAATCAGAAATGTCTCTCCGGCAAATTTAACCTCGGTGTTCAGATTATGGTTGGCGAGATACATGCGATCCCGAGCCTGCTCGTCACTGATACCAGGAGGTCGGTTCACGTAACAGGGAAAGTTGACGTCTGTGGGTGAGAATGGAGTTTCCCAAAGCTGGCTGAACTGGTCCAAGACATATGGAACCTCTTGTTGGTTTGCGGAGTAGTCCATGAAAATCACAACTCGTTTTTGAGACAAAATCATTTCTTCCAGGGTTGGCCAGTCGCTCGCTGCCATAGGTATCTTTGGAGGTTCATAGACATAAGTCCCCAAGCCCGAATTCTGGATTGGATCCACATACTTCGTAACACTGACTTGGTCTGAGTTGCCGAGCAGGATGGTAACGACCTCATACGGGTTGCTACGTAGCCATGTGACCACTTTGGTCAGGTATTGCTCAACGGTCCCAGCATTCAAAAGGTCACAACTTGTGTGACAAAAGTACAAAGTTTCGTTCTCATAATGGATAGAACCCTGTACTGTCTCGCTAGTCAATAAGTAGGATTACACCCTTTCTTGGTATGATCACTTACACATTCGAATGCCATCGTCAAGTTGCTGCGTCACATCGAGAGCCTGATTCGAAGCCGCATTGTTTTTAACGGAGTAGGGAGAGTTGTGTGCCGCAACCTCGGTGATGTTAGAGTACTTTCGAGAACAAAATTCCGGGTAGTTATTGCACGGTTGTGTATTAGTAGGCGTTGCGCCAGTTCCAGTGGTGGTACCTGAGCCGCCGTCGACCTTCGTGCTCCCAGCAAGAGCAGTAACTTCGATTCCATCGCTGGTCGATGATGTTCCTGTGTTATTCGAGACTTCGGTGGATACTGCAGCTTCGGTCGAGATAAGGATCGTCGAAGTATATGAAATGTACGTATACTGAGAGCCAGTGGGTCTTTGATCGCCACCGACATTGGGAATCACAGTCCCATCGATGGTAAGGATAGATTCCTGTGCTGCAGCTATTGCAGCTATGTAGCCAAGGATGATGGTTTTTCGCATGTTGAAACCTATGTTGGCAAGATGAATGAGGAAAATGAAGATTATAGGAAAGTATGAGACTACCGATGGTAGTTTCATAGGTTGACACAGGATAGGTAAAGCTTGACCAACATAGAGTTTTTGACCCATTAAACTCAGCATCGACGTACCAGAGTATGTATGCATACCTTCGGAGCTAACGGCATTTCAACGCCAAGGGGTGTATACTTAGATCTGCTTGCACAAGCCCGTCAAGCTACAAGGCAATGGAAACTGACCTCAAAGAACATGGCACCTGTCGACAAGGAGCTGATAAAAATGGCTGGTTCCTGTCGTGATGATGTTAAGGGTTTATCCACGCAAAGGTGTATGTAGCAATGGGTAACAGGAGACTGGCAACCTCACGATGCCGAAAATATCCGGCCAGTATGTTTTAGACAGGGGAAATTGAGGCCTGCACAGTATTATATGACGTCTCGAACACGGACTCAAGTGAGTTTATCGTGCTCAGACCCATCATCCTGGTGCTCATCAGTTTTCAAGCGTGGCGCAAGACCCACTTAGGCAACACATGTCTCTCGCTCCATGCAATCATTCGCGGCTTGTCACTCTGCTGAATCGCTGGTGTTCCGTACAAGTTTGGGTGTTGCGTGGCTATGCCCCACGTCAATGGTGTCTTAGTCGATGCCAAATTGTCCGACAGTATTGTTCTGGAATATTGGTCGGCCTGTGGGGCGATTGCAAAGTGAATGTGTGCTATGAAACTTCTTCCCGGCTGTAAGTTATATACCTCGACGGTTTCTTGGAGGCAATTATAGGACTTGCTGGTCTCGCAGAGCTGAGTCCTTTGACATGTCTAGAACACGACAAGATGATACGCCAACTGATGTTGCAGTCGAACGAAGCCACGATCTATCGGAAGTCCAGATCAAACGGGCAACGCGCACACGCAAGATATTTGCACTGCTGAGCTCTTTTTGTCTGTTACTCACGGTAATCTTCCTTATTCTGGTCGAAGTAGGCGGTACTACTACTTCGTCAGTTCGAACGCAAATATACTTCATCAACCTCGACCTGAGCAATATTGTCCCGCTCAGCGTGCCTAATGCACCTCTTCTAAACTCAATTGCGCGGACGCTTGGATTACACGATTTTTATCGCGTCTACTTGTGGGGATTTTGCGAAGGATACAATGGCGAAGGTGTGACCAAGTGCTCTGACCCAGAAACCTTGTATTCTTTCAATCCAGTCGAGATCCTGAGAAGCGAGTTGCTCGCAGGTGCCAGCAGTGAGTCCTATTGCTGTTCATGAAAAGACTCCCGTGCGCTAACATTTCATAGTTCAGCTGCCCGCAAACATCAACGACATCCTTGACCTCATCCGGCTGGTCTCGCACTGGATGTTTGGGCTTTTCCTTTCTGGCGCTGTACTCTCTTTCGTTCTGATCTTCGTGGTACCTTGGGGCATATACAGTCGATGGGCTTCACTTCCCATTTCGATCCTCGCTTTCACGAATGCTTTGATCATAACGGTAGCATGTGTAATTGCAACGGTCATGTTCGTCATCTTCAAAAATGTCATCGCAGGAGTATCGGAGCTCAACATCAGAGCAAGTATCGGTGTTGAAATGTTTGCATTCATGTGGATTGCGTCTGGATTCGCGATAATCACCTGGCTCATTCACTTAGGTCAATGCTGTTGCTGCGCATCGAGGAGAGATGTGAGGACAGGTCGAAGGAAAGGAAATAAAAAGGCATATGAGCCCAGTGGGAACGTGGGGACCGAGAAGCCATCAAGCCGTATGAGGAGAAGATTTTGGAAGAGGTCTAGTTAAATGAGGGAGAGTTCTCAGGAGCTCCCATCGTGTCTGGAATGCGCCTTTGCCTTACGGTTGCGAATATGTCCAAATATCCCTTTCGGGTATTCTGAGGCAATGTACTGAGATAGAGTAAATTTAATATTGTTGACATAACATAGGTGGAATCCCAGTGATCCAGTGTTTCGGTAGATCAAGTGATAGCGCGTGTTAGCGTGATTTTTGCCACTTGACGACGGCGTCATAGGTTTCACCTCCCTTGCATCGTTCACTAGGTAGCCAGACAGATTGCCGTAATCAGTTCCGCTTCATTAATCTCATTGCCACCATTTAAACTTGTATACACAGCGCAACTGGTACCATCAGCATGGGAGTAAAACCGCGCGAAGGTGATTCATTGACCAACCCTATCGACCTCGACTTCGATGAGTCGTGTGATTCCACTCAACATGCACGCCCGAGCACTACTCACAAGATCAATCCTACAACCACAAAGAAACGGAAGAGTACAGCAGGATATGAGTGTGATATAATGGCAGTTGGCGAAAGTCCAAAAAAGAAGGCGAAAAAGCGAGACACGGCAGAAGAGAAGCGACTCAGGAGATGGCGAGAGAAACCTCCAAGGTCATACTGGGAGATTCGAGATCGTGCGCTCACGCAGCGAATGTTCGTAGTCGATCGTGAAAGGATAGCCGGCGAGATACCTGAAGAAGTTATCGACTTAGCAGGTACAAGCGGCAATATCTACACCATCAGGATTGGACTGGTACCATCTTGTAATTGCCCACATGCTCGAAAAGGCAATCAATGCAAGCACATCATCTACGTGCTATCGCGGGTTCTTAAAGCTCCTGACAATCTACGATACCAGCTTGCCTTCATCTCCTCGGAACTCCGTATGATCTTCGATGGCGCGCCGCCGATACCCTCCGCAGATGCCTCTGAATCCGATGGTAATCGAAAACCTGTTGAGGACGACTGTCCAATCTGCTGTGAGGAAATGGAGATAAACAAAGAAAAGATAGTTTGGTGTAAAGCAGCATGTGGAAATAACATGCATAAGCAATGCTGGGAGCAATGGGCCGCTACCAAATCATCGCAAAGCTCAGTCACTTGCCCGTACTGTAGAGCCATATGGCAGCAGGACGACGATGTTGATATTAGGAAGCACGCGAAGACCGGGACCAAAAATGATGAAGGATACGTCAACGTAGCGTCCCAACTCGGGCTCACTGGGAAAAGAGACTACAGCACGTATAATGATTACTGGCGCTCCCGCAACTCGAATTACGATAACGATTACTACCGTGGATATGGCTGAGGAGACTTTAACACATTACGATGGGTTGATTCAACCTCTCCTAGTAGCTTCTACTCGAAGGTTGAGGAACTGAGTATCAAGGCCTATCTTACTTCCGTGCAGTCGGGAATGTTTCACAATGTGGACACAGACATGACACTTGTACCATTGAGTCCCAGTGATCTTTAGTGCAGATTGACCTGCTTCCACACGCCAAAGTTCTGGAATGCCTTCCACTGTGTCGATGATTAGTCAGCATCATAGTATACCTCAGACATTCCTTTCAACTCTCTTGATGGCGAAATGCCCAATGTATAGTGATAGGTATTTTCAAAGATCTACATTGACAACGGATAAGATGCAGGGACTAATGATCTGGCATTGACTGGATTGATCTAGGAGTTGGGACAGCGCAGACACGGCAGGACCCTTTTGGACATCGAACAGGTCAGTGAGAATCTACTAATAGTATGGAGAGTGCTGGCAATTTCTACTTCATTTTCATGGAGATACTAAGTAGAGAGCACGATTGGAGCAAACAAGATTTCGACGCGCAGCGCGTCGTGCTACTTCACCCCGCCACACTGGTGCCTGTCTAGATCCATGGTAGTCGCGATGGCAGGCAGACACACCAGGCATCATTCTGCCTTTACTTAATCACACGTGCAGTCCAACTTTTCTACTTCTCTACAACTTCCACTCCCTCTTACTTCATTTCTTGAGAGTACAAACACTTCGTGGCATTCGCATTCCTAAAGTTCGCTTTGACGTTTGAACCTCAAGTCACGGCCATCACACATACAACAGCGAAATTGTTCCACGTATTGCGCCCAGTCATCCGTGATAATGCCTATCATCACCCGATCTCGTAATAAGGCTCAGCTTCCATTCCAGCATCCTACCTCTGGTGTCGCCGACGCCGTGAAGAAGGCTTCTATTGTGACCACTCAAGTGAATACGAAGAAGCGCGATCACGACAGTGACAACGAAGCCTATGATGTACCACCCGCCAAAAAGAAGGCAAAAGCAAGAACAAAACCGAAGGCGGTCGCTACTGTCGTGCCAGAAGCTCCCAAAGCCTCACAGACTCCCATAGTAACCCAGAAGGTAGCTGCCAAATCAAGACCAAAGATGACGAAGACGGAGAGAGAGAAGAAGCGTGTCAAGGAGTACGTGATCGGAAGCCAACATCAATATTCTACTAACTCGAGACCAGTTGGCAATCAGCTCCACCCGAGGAGTATGCCAAAGCCCGTAAGCGTGCGCTCACACAGAGGTACGTTATTCCAGTATGGGCGTGACCATATTTGTCTAATGTCACTAGAATGTTCGTGATCGAGCGTGAGAGGACAGGCACTGAGGATGTACCGGAGGAACGGGTGGAACTCGCAGGCTCAACAGGCAATATCTACAAGGTCTACATAAGGGAAGTGCCCTTCTGCAACTGTCCACAAGGCCGGATGGGCAAGTTCTGCAAACACATCATCTATGTGAGTGGATGAGCGTCAAGCGTGTAGACAGGTCTGACGCAATATAGGTGCTCACACAGGTTCTCAAAGCTCCACCTGAACTGGAGTATCAGTACTCTTTCTTGGCCTCTGAGCTTCATGCCATTTTCAACGGTGCTCCTCTTCCTATCGACACTATTGATGAGAGTCACGATGGAAATCGCAAAGCGATTGAAGACGACTGTCCCATTTGCTGCTTCGAGATGGAACAGGAGAAGGAGCCCGTTACTTGGTGTCAAGCTGCGTGTGGCAACAACATGCACAAGTCCTGTTTCGACAAATGGGCTGCAACAAAGAGAGCCAGTGGTAGCAAGGTCACTTGTCCTTATTGCCGCAGTGAATGGCAGGACTCGGCTGTACCTCAAGGCCCAATGAGAAAGCTCGCGAACGGGGGTGTCAAAGGCAGGGACGGATATCGAAACATTGGGGCAGCATTAGGACTGCCTAGCAAACGGAGTATGGTGCGCTTTGTGTTGGCTGCAGTACGGTCTGCTGACATGACTTTCAGATTACTCGAGTGCGAATGACGAGGTCAGAGATGCGAATGAGCTGTTCGAAGCGGGTGAGGCAGGTCAGCCTTGATTTGTCTGCGCCATGCACAATGCACACGTGTACCGCTCGACATTGAAGCCACAGCATCGTGCACCTACCCACCACATGGCAAGGGACCTTTGGCGACATCATCGTCGTGATGGAGTGAAGCGGCATCGAAAGAGGGTTTAGGGGTGTCACCTCAAGATCCTGCATCGAGGCTCATTACTCACATGTAATAATACGATATCATACCCTGCAGCCTTGACACAATGTAACATGACTTATGAATAGTTTGTGAGCATTATTCAGAATGCGTTGCATAGTGCATGGACAGACATCAAGCTGTTGCTCATACACTGAGATATTGCTAAGCCTTTGGTCCCCATTCGTATCTACTAAATCATCACCCTCTGCAACGACGTCGTCCACGCTGAGTCACCGTCATAGTCATTAGGTATCTCACCAAATCTTGATATACTCGACCGATAGCAAGTCGATCGTCTGACCATCTCACCACACAACACAGCCTCGCGTGCCCGTGTCCGACTCGCCGACGGTCAGATACGGACTACACAAGCTTAATAAATAACTATGGCACGGCACTAGAGACCTTCTTTTTCGTAATGCCAGCCGGAACAGACGGATGGCGAGAATACGTAAAACGCTCACCTTGTAGTCAAGTCGATCTGAATCCTCCGCTCTGAGACGGGGGACTGAAGGTTTCTTGAGCCGCGAGCCGCGAGCCGCGAGCCGATTCAAACCTTCTTCTTCTCTGTCAAGTAATCATCAGTTGAAATGTAATCAGTTAGTCAGACGCATATCGAACGCCCTACCCAAAACCTCGCATGCATCGGTGTATACTGTATACTGTATCGTGTATCCCCTGTCCGACGAAGCAAACGTCGTCGTTCATTACTAACACATTATCGCGCTTCCTAAAAATAACCACTTCCGCCATCGAGTCTTACTACTACCCATGCCCATACCACTATCCCTGTCCCTGTCCCTGTCCCTGCAACAAACTGCAGCGCACGCACGCACGCACCTTCCCAATCAAGTAATCAAGCACGCGCGCACGCGAGATCTTGCCTAATTAACCTGCCCTTTCCCAACTACCTCTTCTCACTACTAATGAGCTTCCCTGCCTGACGACTACCGAACGTTCCATCCATCCGGATCTGACATCAGCACTCTATCTCCAAGTTCTTCCATCTATCCGGGTGGTGTGGGATGTGGATGTGTGATTGTGCGGTTGTTGTATAGATCGGCCGAGGTGCGTGCGTGCGTGCGTAGCTGAGAAATGCGTCCGTCCATCATCCATGGAGGATCCATTGGGTGGATGGTGGTAATTAGAGGTGGTAATTAATTAATTAGTCAGGGGGCGGTGGAGTTTTCGCCCGTCGGTCGGCAAATTCGTCGGCGCGGGCCGAGGGTGTGAGGCGAGCGAGGGAAGGTGAGGCAAGACAAGGCAAGACAAGGCAAGACAAGGCAAACAGAGATCCATAGATAGATGGATACGTAGGGCTGAGGATAGGAGGGCTAGTGGGGAGAAGGTTAAGCCGTAAGGAGGGGGTGGGAGTATGGATGGTGTATCTGACTCTGCATCTACAAGGCAAGACAAGGCAAACAGAGATCCATAGATAGATGGATACGTAGGGCTGAGGATAGGAGGGCTAGTGGGGAGAAGGTTAAGCCGTAAGGAGGGGGTGGGAGTATGGATGGTGTATCTGACTCTGCATCTATCTGTGCATCAATCTATCTATTCATTCATTCATTCGTTCATTCATTCATTCACCCATACAACTAAATTAGCAGACATCTACTTATCCGCGTGTTACATCCATATCAAACACGCAGAACGCTCAACGCCCGACCGTGTATCTACATCCCTTTCACAAAACCCAAACCACCAATCCACACATGACAACATAATACCAAAACCCTACACATAACATGCATCCGCGCATGACACAAACCAGTTCCACAAAATCGTAAAATCGCAAAAACCTAATCATAGTAAGAACCTCCTAACCTACCAAAGGCAGTAATTGACCTAAAGTAAGTAGTACTATCAAATCGCACAACAAACACCAGATACAGATAGATACCAAACAGAACAGAACACACATCACGACATCTACAACAATAATAAGGTAACAAAAGTCCAGGTTAATAATTATATAAACCCCGTCGAATTGCCTTTTTTTTTCAGAACCTAATTAGTCTAATTATTAGTTCCACAAACCTAGGTAGCCTAATTATTAAATAGCCTAACCTTCCCTCCAGCTGGGCGCACCTCCAGCTATTCAGGCCCGTTCCCCATCCATCCCCTACCTATCTTGGCACCACCAGCACCTACAGTAACCTAACCTAGCCTGCCCGTAATACATGACAGCTGCATGACACGTACATGAGAACCCCGTCGGCCGAGACTCAGACTCAGTCCCCCTCCTCTCCCAATTGTCATTCATTTCAGGGCTTCGCATGAGCTGATCATGCCTGCCCAAGTTGGCAAGGGGGCGGACTAGGTTTGGAAACGATTACAGATGTGTGTGTTTATCTCAATTTATTTTGGCCATTATCGGATGGTTAAAGGAATGAGCACGATATTGCTTGATAATTGACTGATCATTATTCCAATTCCACCACAGCGCATACATACATACATACATGCATACATACAGTACAAGGATGGTGTTAATACACTTCGAAATCGTCTCCATTAGAGATTCCTCCAACATTAATTTAATGTACAATAGATAAAAATACAGTGCAGCTGGGTCACACACGTGATGACCTCGGTAATTTATAACGTAGACTTGGCCCAAGAAGAGGAAGAAGACGAAGAAGAAGGTCCCCAAAAATGTGTTGATAATTTGAGCCTGAGAAAGGGGGGTATAGTATGAAATCGCTGAGACAGTAAACAGGAAATCTACGTTGTCGCTAATGCCCAAAGACTACAATGTGAAACGAGATAAGCGCGTCATTGAAATGCGCATTTTTCCGAGATCTGCAACATGTTCGGCGCTCTGTTTTCTGGACGTAAAGGAAATACATGAACATCATAAAACATTCGCTCGGCCAGTATCAAATATTCATATACCGTCATAAACACATTACCACCAGGACCTCAGGAGGTTCGGCCGGCGAGCTCCAAGCGAGGAAAAAGCAATAGACATGAAAACAAAAATCGCTAAGAGTGACGGCAGTGGAAATTGTGTAATGTCGGGCGCAAAGTGGCCGGACTATGACGTCATCGCGTTTCGAACAAGCGGGGTCCCTATTCATCGGCAGCTTGGCGCGGACCACGATGATGCGAACTGATGGCGCACAGATCGATACGTGCAATCGAGTCAAACGGCGTTGACAGACGTCAGACACCTTCGCTCAGTCATGCGCACCACCTCGGCGACGGTGCTTGCCGGGAAAGTCCACTTCCGGATGCACGACGCGCATATGTCTTGTGAGCGCGTCATTCCTGGAAAACGTTTTTTCCTCGATGCAGAGCGCGCACCTGACCTTTTGCTTGCGGATGTTGTGAATAGTGTCCTCGTGTCTCGTCAAGTCGTACGGCCTGGAAAACTCCGTGTTGCATGGCTTGCCAGTTGATGGGTTTGTGCGCTTGCAGATGTGCGGACCAGCCTGTGAATTCCGTTCCATGAGCTCTGCAGACGATAGATGGCTGCCAACTCCTGGACTGCCGTGTGTAACGTTTTGGCGATGTCCTTCACGTTTATGTTTCTGCAGCTCTCGTGGGGTTTCAAAACGCTGGCTGCAATTCTGATATGTGCATGAATACGTGCCCCGATCTGCGTTGACGTTTTCTGGTCGACGGACGTCTTCGAAACTGTTGTCCAGACCAGCCTCGCTGGCGCTTGACTCCATGGAAGTCAAGTGCGCTGGGAAGTCTGGGGTTGGTTCAGGCGCAGGTGGCATGTTACTGATGCTTCGGTATTGCTGTTGGGTAAATTGGACCTGCGGGAGGCCTTGAGGAACGACTGGTGCCATAAAGTTATAGTTGGCAGCTGACGAGGGCGTGGTGAAGTCAGCCTCGCCTGACCGCGGAATGTTCCAAGAGGCCTGTTCTGTGTTGCCGAACGGTTGGAGACCAAATTGGTTGCCACTGTTAAATTGCTGACCGAATGACTCTGAATCGTTCTCGGGAAACAGGGACATATTCTTGGTATCCTCCGAGTTATCGTAATCGAGAGACACTTCCTTCGGAGATATCGTCTTCGGTTGTTGCTGCGCCTGCTGGTAGTTCCGCATCGCAGAGCTTGCCTCGGCTGCCACAGACTGTTGCTGTTGATCGCGTAATTGCGAAGCGTTCAAGCGATGAGACGAGCCCATGTAAGTAGATGTCGGCTTGAAAGGTGATGCAGGCTTCTGGATTTGTGGTGACTGTGATCGTGCAATCGACTGAAACTGCTGAGGAGAGAGATGCTTTGGTGTTGGGCGTGCAAGGGACTTGCCCATCATCGGCCTATTCCACATGTCTTGACTTTCAAACTTGAAGTTGGACGCGACATCTGGGGGAAATTGTAAGTACTGAAGCCAATCATCGACGTCATCATGGACTGGATTCTCACCATTGGATATCCTTGATACCTCCTCGAAGTCGTCGTTGTGTGGCGTTGCAGGCGAGTTGCGACCATAACTTGACACCGAGTAATCGTCGTCATACTTGGTGGTATCCTGAAGAATGTTCCTCATCGCGTCGTGGGCGTTCCCAGTTGTGGTGTAAAGGTTAGGTTGGGAGTTGAAGGTCTGATATGAGGAAGAGAGAAAAGACTCTGAAGTGGGTGTCTGGGTGGGAGTAGGTAGAGAAGTTTGCTTCGAGTAGAGTGCGGTTGATTCGTCAGCGCTGAATGATGAGTCAGTGAATGGTAGTTCAGGCACGGGATGGGCGACGTACGGGTAACGGACAGTGGCGGATGCATTCGCCGACGTGTTGTTGGAGGCTGAGCTGAAGTCTGATCCGGCCGACGATGTCGAGGGTGCCCGGCGATGCGACGCTGGGACGCGTTTCTGTGGTGTCTGCAGATGATTGTTGTTGTTGTTGTTGTTGTTCCCTTGTTGCCTGCTAAACATGTCCCACTCGTACAGATTCCCAGACTGGCTGTATGCCCCTGGCAATTGAGGCACCGGAGTCGACTGCTGGACCCGGATGGCGGGGCTATTGGTATAGTCGAAGTTGTTCATGAACGATGTCTCGCTGGAGGGTTCAATGGTGGAATCCTGGTCGAAGTTGTAAGGCAAAGTGTTGAGGTAGTTCTGCAGGTTGAAGTCGGGCGACGCGGTGGTGGGTAGATGGTCTGAGAAGCTGGAGTGTGAAGGTGCAGGCGATGGAAGCTGTTGATTGACGAAGGTGTTGTTGAAGGTATTGCTGCGTTGTTGCGGATGGCGAGCTAGCATGATGGAGATGATGTATGGCTCTGTGTGGGTGTGTGTGTGTATGATGAGGTGGACAGAGTGGGTTGGAGGAGGGTGGCAAATTATAAGTTGACAGGAACAGTGTGTGTGAGTGGATCCATGACCGGTAGGGCGATGACGCTGCTTTGCTGCAAATTCAGGGTCCAGTCCCTACTCCCTAGCGTCTTTGGTCGCTCCTCCCCAGTACGGCGATCGGCACCTGGCCCCGCTTATTTTCCATTACTACCTGCATTAGGTAGCTACCCAAGTAGTACTAATAGTGCTCCAGTGCGACTTCCCCAACCGGCCGCCCCACTTCTCGCTCGAAAGCAACAATAAAAAAAACTCTGCCTAATCCCTGCCTGCCCGTTTACTCGGCTTTTGCGCACACAGTCGGGATGTCGGCCTGACTTTTGGCTGATTAATGCCTGATTCTCTACCTTCCAAGCTTCCATCATCATTATTTGACGAACGGCCACGGAGTCTTCATGCACACCGATAGATACCCACGCAAGTGTCCTGCATATTCTATTTTCGACCACCTGCATTGTTCAGCAGACTACTGGCATTGTGTTGAGAAGCTCTGGGCTCACAGTGCGACAGTTGAGTCCGGTCGAGTCCATCACAACATCACAAATTCACAGCAGAGTCCAGCCAGTCTCGGCTTCTAGAAGACACTCCAGACCTACGTTAAGAGACACGGGGGTCGGCGGGCGCGACGCTAGTGACATGCACTAACCCATTATGGTCTAGACTGCACGGCCACATCCCCCGGTTTTCCGACGCCGGACTGCAATCGATAGCCAATCTCCATCAATCCCTGACACACTTCCAAGAATACTGAGCAATTATGTTATTTCTTGGGCAATATCGATATATTCCCCATCAGTGACTATACATGGTTATACATGAAAGAGCCGCATTGCTGCGCCTCATCGAACCCTTGGACCACGACCACAACCACGACCACGACCCGCCGGAAGCAACCACACTTTGCCGAAGCGAGGAGACCGTTCAGGGACGTGCAGAGCGCGCGTAAAGGTCGCTCACCCAGATCCAATCTCATGATCGACAGCCTCAAAGTCGCGTGATCACTATTAGCACGTATCGTGGTCAAGTCCCGCGTAGATGGATTGCTCTGATCAACGTCGACCCTCGTTCTCGTACACGGGGTATGCCCAGCTATTGGTATCGCTATTGGTATCGCTATTGCTGACCGTCGCAACAAGCCACGCCAAGATATCGAATGATCAGTCATAACTAGAGCTCGTCGGTAGCTGAACGGTTGCGCGGCCACGCGTCCGCCAGCCGTTGTTTTCCCGATCTCCAGCTTGGGACATGCTTGACTGCTGCATACGGCAATACATGATTGGGAGTGCCACGCGACTGGGAGGCCAGCTAGCCATGTGAAACTCTATATTTGCGATGCAAGCGCCCAATAGCATGTGTCGCAGTAACAACACTGTACGTAACGTTCAGCTTGCACGGAATTCTGCCCGCGCGCGCCGACGACGACGACAACGACGACTACTGTCTGTTGTGAAGCCTCGCCATATCTGTCGCCAGCAAAGCAAGCAGGTAGCAGTAGGAAGCAGGAGAAGGTTGCATCTAGATTCCCACGATGGATGCAACAGACCATTCGGCCGAGCATGTGGAGGAGCATTCATGAGCTGGAAATGGGCTTGCAGTGTCAGCGTTGCTGCACTTTTTCAGATTGAAAGGATCGCATCGGGGCATAAGCTTTTCTCTCCCCATGCTCCCAAATCACCACACGCCCACACGCGGGATGGATGCTTGTGCTTACTCTGTACGTACAGCGGAACGGTTCCCTTCGCTTCATGGCCAGCTGCAGCCCCGCGGCGGCAGCGTGGTGGCTTGAAGGGAGAGAAGAAAAAGAAAAAAGGTTGAGGCTGTGTGGGTCAAAAATTTTCCATAGGGCTGGCCCGGCTTACATGGAAATGCTTGCTCCAGAACCCGCGGCCCCATCGGTGGACTTGGACTTCCCGAAGAACACGAGGCTTTTCCATTGATCTCATCCACAATCCATCCCCTTACCATCGTGGCTGGAGTTTGCCAAGATCCTGACAGCACACACTCGCATGTTCCACCCGTTGGGCGCACACATCTCCGCGGTGTTCCATTCGCGAACTCGTTGCTGACCGAGACAACGGGGTGGAAGGTTATGTATCTCACGCCCAAGAAAATGTTCCTTCCATCTATCACTATACGGAGAAAATTTCTTTCTGGAAACGCTGCGTGTCTCACCTGCAACCAGGGCATTCTCTCGCTCATAATTCGGTGGTGCGTCTGCTATTCCCCTGTAGTCGAGCACGTGATGACGGATCCACGTGACTCGGGTCGTGGGCCCGTTAAGTCCGTCGGAACTCCCCTGACTCGTATGATCAATGACGTAGCGCGCGGCCCGGGACCCGACGTCCGTTCATGCATGCGCCCTGGACGAAACAAGGTCAACTTTTCAACATCTTTAACCCGACCACTGCCGCCCTAACACCCGACCACCGCGACGACGATGAAAACAACGCAATGTGATAGAAGGCTTTTTTCAACCCTCTGCAACGCAATGCAACCCATCCGCAACCTCAACCCTGACACTAAAGACAATGTACACAGCCCGCTACACACCAACCCTACACACACAGCAAACCAGCCTGTATAAAGCCAGGTCCGCCCGCAAACGATCACCACTAAACTGCCCTGCCATACCCCCTCGCCCGCGCAGTCAACTCCGTTCCGCATTAGGAACTGTTCCCCCCCCTGGCCACACTCTCATCCAACCACTCAACCCCCTCTACCCCTCCCCAGCACATCGCATACTCAACCGTTTCAAAGAAAAAGCATATTAATATCTCTCTCTCCGCCCTACACGCCCTGCAAAAAGGAAACCTTAGCGGGACAAAGTTTGCAATTTAACCTGCTACGTAGGTGGTGGTGACTGCCCCGGGGTCGTGGGTACGCTGGATGGATATAGACCCTGAGCCCTGCATTTCTATCCCTCCGTATCCATCCGTGCGTGCATATATATCTTCGACATTCCATCTTATGTCATTTTCTTGTCGATCTTCATGCCCTGTTTTTTTGCACTCTACTACTTCTTTGGCCGTTTTTCATTTGGGGGTGGCTTCTTGCCTTTGCCGGGTGTGAGGGCTTGGTTTTGGTAGATTTGTGCATTGCTTTGCTTTACATTGCACTGGACTGGACTGGGACTTTGGGTTTGGGGCACTGGGGACTGTGGTTACCGAGTATTGATTTTTGCACGTTTGTATAATAATGTACACTGCCGCGACGCAGGGCAGGGCATGGCATAGCATGGCAGGGCAGGGCATGGCCAGGTCATGGAACGAACGCAGGGTTCCTGCCCAGTTTCGCACATCCCGGGATCCCTTCTTCTTTTTTTTTAGGAGGTCGATTTTATGTCATTTTATCGTTTTGTCTCTGGGTTCTTTCCAAGTTCTTTTTTCCGTCTATTTTTTTTTTCTTTGAAGAAGAGACTGTGATGTGAGGTGATGTGTGACGTGACGTGATATGACGTGCGTGCTGTGATAGAACCACGCGATGTGATATAGCTGCATTCTGGACGTAGCTTTACCTCACCACGTTTTAGGAAGAATGACAATATAGTCTGAGTATGGGATAGGTGTACCTATCTACCTCTCTTCGTGCCTAGCTCGCTAGCTATGTAGTAAGTCTGTAGATGACCTCCAACTGGATCCATTCATAATATGCCTTTCAAAGTATAACTCCCATCCTCACAAGTTAAATATATCTCAATATACCTAGTAAAACATCTCCTTACAAATCTTCACTAAGACGCTCTTGAATAAACATGCCAAAGTCCTTCCAAGTATAAACATATTCACAAGTAGACTAGGGCGATATATAGAACGATATATTCATATCTACTCCTATACGCAAAAGGTAAGTAAAGCCTATGGGTATTATTGTTACCATACTACGATCATCGCTATATGGGGTATTGTAAATGACGGGATTATGTTAATTTCCACCGTGATAGTTGCACGATGTGTGTTTGCTGTTTACACCTTCGAAAAGAGACTATTTTTCGTGCCGGGAATGAGTGTTGCTGATGTGTGTTGTTTGCTTTTATAGCTTGCAGATGTGTGTCCTGGCGAGGCAAAGCATGCTAATGCATAGGTAGGGAATAGCCTGAGTCTGTCCAACGATTGGGGAGGCATCGATCGAGAAAGACACGAGAAAGTGTGCTTCTGGAATACCCAGCTACACGTCTTCATATTCGTAGGCCCCTCATCTCGAACTCACGCTTGCTTGCTCGGACCTAGTGGTAGGTTTCCACATATCTGTGTATGAATAGTGTATCGTTGTTGTTGTTGTTCTCAACCGGGAACCCAACGATCGGGCCGCCGTGAAACCCTCCCATATCTTGTCGTCGTAATCTGCTGGTCTGGAATACGTGGCGACATGGGTCTGTGAGCTCTGGCCTGCGTTTTCGTTATCTTTGATGGACGGGATTGTTCATGGAGGAGCGAAGCGTGCTTCGACGATTCAACACCATCACAGTTTTTCTGCTTGCCAGTGCGAGAGCTGTGCTTCTTCCTACGAGTAGTGGGTGCTTGTCTCGCGTTCGGGGTCTTCGTGGTATCAGCCATCGAGCCTGGCTGCTGCTGCTGCTTCAACTTCGCTGCTCGCGATAAGGATGGCCTCGATACTACATGTTTGGGTGTCGAGATTCGTTTTGAACTCACGGCTTTGACATCTGCCGCGGGATGTGCCTGCAGTTCCATCTCCCTACCCATTTGCCTGATCCAGTCCAGCATGATCGTGTGCCGCTCAAGATCCCGCTCACCATACCGGATAAGCCGCCGTATGGCATCCTCATCCTGCGGCGTTGACCCCTCACTCAGCTCCTTCTTCAAACCGACAAGTTTGCTCTCTGAATTGTTGTAGTGGGCCAGCTGGTAACTTAGAAACTCGTTCCATCGATCGATCCGACTCTGCTGGTCTGGTCGCAGCTGCCGCCGCAGCCGCTGGTGTGCATGAAACTCGCGCCATGAACGCAGTTGGGCGCAAAGCGGCAGACCGCTTGACCACGGAAATGACCGCCAATATTCGATGATCGCGCGATAGTCTTCGGGCAAGTGCTCTGATCGATGGATTTCGAGCCCGGGTGGATAGCAGGGTGGGCACCCTTCGGCTTCGAGCTGTTTGCGTGCCTTGTCTTCTCTCTGGCAGGAGTCACGGTATTCTTCTTCCTCGTCCAAGGGCGGAGTCATATCTCTGAATTTGCAGATATGTTGTTAGCAATATGCGCGGTGGGCATAATCATCGATAAGAAAGGATAGAAGAAAGATGGAATACTTGCCTCAAAGCTGCCAAAAGTTTCTCACACACGGGTGCATTTTCGGTTTGTAGTTGACGTGCTTTGTGTGCAATCTCGAGTCGTTCTTCAGGCGAAAGCTCAGCAAGGCCTGGAATTGTGATGATGCTGCACAGCACGTCAAAAGTGGACCAGGGCGCAGAAAAGGAAGCCTGTACCTTATGTCCTCATAGTCTTCGATTCGTGTCTGTAGAATCCGATCTTGAAACTTAGATACAGTAGGGCTATTCATCCTGGAAGATCCTGGAAGGTGATTTAAGTGCGAGACTTGAAGGCTTCCTAGAAGGCCAAATGGACATTGGAAAGAAGCGCTCTCACGGTAAGACTTATTAAGCCAGGAAAAGGCGTGGTCTTCATGTCACGTGACTAGGGCTCTCGTCTGTTAATGAGTCAAGAGTACATCAACCAATAGATGGACCGAGGTAGCCAAGTTGCGATTAGCGGCCCGCTCGGAACAGACGTAATGATAGGCCGAACTAACCCGAAGGCTGCAGTACGTCTGCCTCGCCAATTACTCGCCAATTAATTGGTAAATAGAACGCCGTGTGCCCCCAGAGTAGGCAACAGATGATAAAGGCAACCAATGAGCCGTTAGACGATTGAGCAATTGGACAAATGAGTCATCAGTCATCAGGAGAGGGCGGCCTCGGGAAGGATCGCCCCACCTTCAAGTAGAGTGAATGTAAGTGTTTATCCAAGCTATGTCCTCCATTCTCAATCTCCATTAATCTTATCTCTAGACTTCCATAATGTCTGAGAACGACCTTTCGGTCTTTGCAATTCTAACAGCCAAGGACACCAGGAATAGGGCCAACACTGCACTTTCACTCGCCCATAACGCAAGATGGTTCCAACCCGCGACTGGGGGTGTGGCAAACCAAGCTACTATTGAAAGCCGAGAGCCTACGCCGTCCCCTGAAGATGACAGCAAAGATGATGGTACCCCTATGCGCCTGGTTCTAACTTTCCCTAAGCTCATGGAGCTTGAGGATCTTAGAGAAGGAATCCAGGTAGGATCGCAAACTGCAACATCGCACGTCCTACTAGGGCATCGAGGCACACCGGGCATCAGTAGCCGACAATATAGCATCGTTGTCAATGACAAAATGCAAATATTCCTGAATGACCGGTCCAAGCATGGGACAGCAGTCGCCTACAATGATGTAAATGCGGACCAGTATCGGAAGCATGAGACCTGGATCCTGGCGTACGAACCTGGCGCGCGAGATCCCTTTGGTCCCATTACTATTCATACTGGAGGTGTAACCATCGGTATCGAGTTTCCAAATCATAATGGCTCGGATGAAAGATACATAGAGAGCCTACGTGCGCTCATAAAGAGAACCAAGGGAAATGCAGTACCAGGCATTCAAGGGCTCGACATAACAAGCCCCCCCGAGACAGAGCCACCCAGTAGAGCCCAAATCGCCACTGGAAGCCTAATTTACTTCAAGGACCAGGAAATAGGGACAGGTACGTTCAGCAAGGTGTACACACTGATCAGGGCTCGCGACGGCAAGGTTTTTGCTGGCAAGGTAGCCTTGCCGCCCACGAACGTGAGGAAGAGACGCCGCGGTGAGATTGACCCTGAGTGGTTAAGACGGATCCGAAATGAGTACACAATCATTAAAGATCACCCACATGTACGTTCCTATCTATTTTTTGTTGCTAGAGATATAAAAAAAGGGGGGGAATTCCGGGACAATATTTCCCCCTTTGCTGACCAAGCGGCAGCCCAACATCGTCCAAGTGATTGAGCTGCGTGAAAGGCCCGAAGTCATGATAGTCATGCCCTACTTTCCATGCGGAGATATGGCGCACGCTGGAATCCTCGCTGAGTCAGAGCTTGTAACCGCTGTCGGCCAAATCATTGACTGCCTTGCGTTCTTGCATAGCCACGACATTGCGCACCGTGACATCAAGCCGGAGAACGTGCTATTCGAGGAAGAGCCATACTTCAAGGTTGTGCTTACCGATTTCGGCCTTTCTAAAGCCATCACAGAGACAACTTTCCTCAAAACGTTTTGTGGGACGTACAAATACTGCGCCCCTGAGTTATTCCAGCCCGGGAACACGTATAACACGTCTGCTGACGTCTGGTCCTTGGGCGTTATGGCTCTTGAGTGGCTGTATGATCTCCCACAAGCACCACCGCTTCCCAAAGCCCGCAATCTACCTGAGAAATGGCGTACTTGGAATGCAACCTGGGTGGACAGCCTTGTCACCTGGCTGGTCGACCAGGGGTCGGGGACGAGCCTCGAAATGCTACAGGGCATGTTGAACGTGAACCCAGAACCTCGGTATACAGCAAAGGCTTGCCTTAAGATGGGCATGGAGAAAGACTTATTCCAACGGCGCTTGGACGACGGGCTAGTATGTGCTGTGGACAGCGCGCCGAACACACCAGGACACGAAGCAGAGGGACACGAAGCAAAGGGACAGGAGAAAAGCGACACGAAGAAAAGGGGGACAAACAGTTAAAGTATTATAGCAATTCAACTAGATAATGACATAGTGTAAAGCAATCACCTAAAGGTCCTGGCGAAAGACGCCTTCTCTACTATTTAACACCCCCAACTATCTAAGTCTATCTCTAGCGCACAGGGGTAAACGCGAATATAGGTCAAGAAGGAACCTATGCACTTCATTCCTGGTAGGGCTATACTAGGTTTTCTCTACTAGACGGTAAGGTATATTCTATTGAGACTAATAATCTTAAAGGGTTTAATAGTATAAGAATACCTTTATACTTTATTTCTAGTAGAGCTATACTAGGTTTTCTTTACTAGATAGTAAGGCGCATTCTATAGAGACTATCGATATTAGAGGGACTAACAGCACGAGGACACCTAAAGAACACACACTGATTGGCTCTATATAAATACTACTATCCTATCAAGCCCTTCTACCATACGCTCCTGTCTAATTCTCTTCTTCTCTTTTTCTCTTAATTACTCTCGACTACTCTCGACTACTCTCGACTACTCTCGACTACTCTCGACTACTCTCGACTACTCTCGACTACTCTCGACTACTCTTAACTACTCTCTTCTTAATATAAAGAATATATTACTATTATAATATTATATATATCTATTAATCTATATAACAATCTTATCTTTAACTAATAGTATTATATCTTACTCCTACTACTACTACTACTACTACTACTACTACTACTACTACTACTACTACTACTACTACTACTACTACCACCAAATACATACCCCCCCTTTTATCAATGTAATCTAGCTATAGAAGTAAAGTTATTAGTCTAGAGCCTAGATTAAGATAGTTATAGAACTTAAGTTAGTCTATATTAGAGTTTAGATTAGAGATAGCTTATAAGAATTAGATGGGAACTAGATTCGATAAAACTAGATTCGATAAAACTAGATTCGATAAAACTAGATTCGATAAAACTAGATTCGATAAAACTAGATTCGATAAAACTAGATTCGATCAAGGTAGTTTTATAGAAGGATTAGATGAAACAACTAGATCGATAAAAAAAGTATAGAGATCTACGTCCAAGTAAGGTGAGAATATAAGGTTAGGTTAAGGCAACGTCAAGTAATGAAGGAACTATATAGATCATGTAACAACCCATGTTATATAGGCGAGGGAGAGGGAGAGGGAGAGGGAGAGGGAGAGAGAGACGGAGCGGGAGGGGTAAGAGGTAAGAGGGGGAGGTGGGGGGAGGGACTATGGATATGGTATGCGACAAGAGGCCGAAGGAATACCTGATATCATGCAAACCCCACGCGCAACTTGGAGTGGGCGATTTTAAATCTCATTCATGTATATACATAGCTTGTTTTTCTTTACAAGGAAAAAAACACAGCGCTCGCTGGCTAATGTACAGGTTTCCCTCTCTTCGGGTTTGAGGGTGTATGAATTTAGACCGACGATGCTTCGGGACCAGAGGAAGAGAGAGAGATGGCGAATGGGAGAGAAATGCATGTTCTACTTGTTCGACGCCGCGTCGTCCTTCTGCACCGGGTTCGTGCCAGCGGGGATCTTCGAGTCCGACTTGAGCACTTCGGCTGGGTTATCTGCGACACGTTAGCCTACCACAACACCACAGATATCTTTTCCCTTTCGATATCAAAGTTAGTACTGACCGTGCCGCGCATACAGACTCCACTCCTCGTCGCCATACGTCCCGACTTTCCCCTCCTCAACCTCCTTCCTCGTCAGGGTCAGCTTGCCCTTTGGCAGGCCCATACTGCCCAAGAACTGCACGCTGTCCTTCCACTCCTTGTCCTTCCTCTTGCTATCCCAGCCAAGTTCACCGGCCATGAGATCGATGACCTTGGGCAGGGCCTCGAGCGCCGCCTGCGCGTTCAGAAACGCCAGACGGGTGCGTCGGGCGAGGACATCGACTGCTGTGCATGCGTATTCGTGGCGCACGGCGTAGCGCACTTCGCCGTCGACGTAAGGGTAGAGAGCGGAGATGCGCTGCCCACGCACGGGGAAGCGCTGTTCGGTGGGTGCGGAGAGCGCGGCGACGGTCCAGGCGCGGTCGCCGTAGGATTCGCAGAGGTGCTTGGCAATGTCCGTCTCGATGCCGTAGTGCTGGATGAGGTTGATGAAGAGCGTCTTGGAGAAGCCATGGGCGCCGACAAGCCGGACGCGGTGCGTTTGGCAGGAGCCGTCGAGGGTGGTGTCGTCGAGGAGGCTTGTGCCGGAGATGCGCGGTGGATCGCCAAGGGGTCGCGGGGTCAGGTTGAACTCCTTGATTGCTTCGTTCACAGCATCTTCAGCCATTTCACGGTACGTAGTCCATTTACCGCCGGAGCAGGTGAGAAGGCCAGCAGGTGAGGTGGTCACGAGGTGATTCCGAACGAGACCTTCTGTTTTCTTGGCCTTGGGATCGCGGACAAGAGGACGGATACCGGACCATGCTGCAAGGACGTCGCCGCGTCGGACGTTGATCTCGGGCTGTAGATATCTTCGGATTTCCGATAAAATCCAGTCGATTTCTTCTTCACCCGCGACGGGATTCGCGGCAATCTTGGTGGGTGCATCAGTGGTGCCGGCAATGGTGTTGCCTTGCCATGGGAGGAAGAAAATAACGCGGCCGTCGGAAGTAGAGGGATCGATGAGACCCATGTCAGAGGGAGAATAGTAGCCAGGGAGAATGATGTGAACACCGGACGAGGGCGCGACGATATCCTGAACAGTAGGCTCATCGAGCTTGCGGATAGCGTCGCAGAACGGACCTGTTGCGTTGATGACGCCTTTTGCGCGGATGGAGAATTCGTCAGCAGCCTTGCCATCCTTCTCTCTCACAATGTCCTTGACACGCGCGCCGTTGATTCGCCCTTCAGCATTCTTTTCAAGGCCAGTAACTTCGAGATGGTTGACAACAGTGACGCCGTACAGAGCCGCGGTCATTGCTAGAGAGACATTCATGCGAGAATCGTTGTGTGCACCATCTGTGCCTATTAGCAAAACCCAATATCAAAAAATCGATGACTTAAATTACCGTAGTATACCAACGCCCCAAAGAGGTTATCCTTCTTCAGCATAGGAAACGCCTCCAAGGCCTTGCTCTTGGTCAAAAAATAACTCGTCTCGATATTCTCGCTGCCAGCCAGGAAGTCATAAAACTTGGTGCCAGCCCAGAAGTATGGCGCCTTCCACCACGTATCAACCGGAATCATGATTGGCAACCAGGACGATAGATGGGGTGCCGTGTCGAGAAAGTACCGACGTTCGCGCAGTGCTTCCTTTACGAGCTTGTATCTACTCTGATTAGCTTTACTGGCATGGCAGGACGAGTGCGAAAGCGTACTGTGAATAGTCCAACTCCCAAACAGCCTTTTCAAGATACCGCACTCCACCATGCACCAACTTCGTACTCTTGCTACTCGTGCCACTGGCAAAATCGTCCCTTTCCACAAGCGCAACCCTCAACCCTCTCGTCGCAGCATCAAGCGCAATGCCCGCACCTGTGGCACCGGCGCCAATGACAAGCAGATCATACTCCTCGCCCGCAGCGCTTCCGCCTGTACTCTTCTTCTCATCCTCTCCCTTCGCACCTAGCCACGATTTCACTTTGTCAACTCCCTGTGCGACATTCTCAACAATTCCCGCGCTCCTCTTCAGGTCTGCAATCTGCTCTTCCCGGCTCTTGATTCCCGGAAACTGCGGCGGACGAAACACACCACCCTCACCGTACGTGGGAGGCGGAACAGCAGCGGCTTCGCTACCTGGTATTGAACGGGGACGGTAAGCGACGTACAACGCGCCTGATCCGACAGCAGCGGCGGCGACAGTATAGGAGAGGCCACGGAGGACGCGGCCACGAGTGGCCATTGTGAATTACGTGGTGGAAAGTCGCTCCAAGAGAGGAGCAGTCGTGGTAGCGAAGACGGAAGAGAAGACGAGTCCGACGCAGGTGTTTGAAGATGGAATGCGGCGCCGTTGAAGCTCAGGCTCGGACGTGGAACTGACCAGGGTGTATCGGGGTGGATCGCAGAAGCGATTGAATGGGGAAGTATACCCGGCCCAATAGTGGATGGATGGTGAGAAGGCTTTGCGCAGAGGTGTCAGTTCCGATGAAGTGTACAGTGGTATAAATTGGCGCCAAGCTCCCGCGAGGGGACATGTGAATGCTCCACCACGCTCGGTCAATGTATATCACAATGGTATAATTTTTCCGAGCACCAAAGCAGCGGGTAGCGAGATGCAGTCATGAGGAGGAGAGTATTCGGCACAGCACGGCAGAGCTGTGACAGTCGAGCGTAACGTGGAGCGAGGGAGGATTTGCATGACGCCGCCGCCACACAAAGAGCGCAAATGGATCACATCGAGATCCGGGCGGCGTCGGCTGAACACCGGTTGGCACGAGTCCCAATCCGGTTAGACAGCTGCGTCTAAACCTTCGTTTCTCGGCCGGATATCCTTGACAGCGCGACGTCCTACGATACATCCAGTACACGAGAAGGAAGAAATTCAGGAAACAACCAACTCTGGCGCATATGTGTGGTTCAAGTGTACTAGAGCTGTTTCAACAAGCATCTAAAAGCCTCGAGAATGAGCACTGGCAAAACGCCAGACGACCGGTGCGGAGCTCGAGGACGACATGCCTCCGGGATTGGGCTTGGAGAGAAAGGCTTATTTGTTATGTATAGGTCGCCACTGTGATTGTGTTGATGGCTCAGTCTGTCAGTTATCATCCCAATTACATAGGGCTAGCTTCATGGTGTTGTCGAGCGTACTGTAGCAAACATACTTGTCAAATGTCAAAGTTGTTAGCCATGCCAGTCATCATCTCACATCAATCACGTTTGAGCAATCAACACATTGCACAGTTTGGGGAAAGATCAATCTTGATTGGTATATACTAGAAGGCAACTAAAGCTGAGTGCATTTTCTAGAAAGCTCCTTGCGGAGTTGAGAGGTAATAACACATCATAGTCGTTGAATCGTGAAGAAGCCGTAGCTATGAGGGTATGGTGATATTCCGCCTGCGCCAATTGAGATATAACCGCTAATGTAACAGTTAGAACAGTCTCTGATTGAAGTCAAGACAAAGAGGAACGTACCATCCTGATGTGAAGATCAAGCCATCAACTTAGATGGACTCCTTGTTGGCCTTGGCAGCACCATCGTGCTTCGACTCGTTGATCTTGTCTGAGGCGGCATCGAGAGCACCTGAGGCACGACCGGTGAGCGAAGTGTCGCCAGCGTTGCCCTTGGCTTGCTCCTTGTTGGCCTCCTTGGAAGCAGCAGCGGCGTTGCCCTGGATGGTCTCCGAGACGTAGTTGACGGCGTTCTTGGCAGAGTTGGTGACCTGGCCGACGATGCCCTCGTTAGGCTTGTCAACGTTGGGGGCAGACATTCTGATTGAGGTTGAGGTTGTTTAGAGGTTTGGTTTGAAAGTTGTTTGTTGAAGTTGTGGATGAGAGTTAGATGGGATTGTGTGATGGAGAAGAGAGAGAGGGTAGGGTGCAAAGAGAGACTTATATAGTGATGGCAGCCTACGCAAAAGTTGCTCTGAGCTTGGACAGCAGCCTGGACGGGTGGGTGCGGCTTGTGAGTGAATCGCACCTGCCACAGTTTGTTGTTGTGGCTCTCCGTGAATTAGGCAAGGGCGGCCAGTTCTCAGTAGTCACTTCAGCGCTTATTCGACCATATTGCGTCATTAGATTGGGTCTTCACGCAACGCCGCAGTCCACAAGTAGGCAAACGCGGTTAATGCAAATTGCAGAGTCAAAAGATGCTAAACTGCCCTTGGATCAGATCGCGATTCCAGAGCATTCGCAGCGAATGGACGGGGGCAGAAGGGCGTTCGGTACTAGGTAAGTCGGTATTGTGCCCCGCCACTTGCTTACGGCCCTTTTCCATTGTTTTGGTTGTGACGTCACTATGAGGCGGGGCAGCTGAGACCCCTCCATTGCTCCTCCCCATCATGGAAGCTCTGAACGTTTGACGCATCGTGGCCAGTCACAGTCGGGCAGGAGCGACACATGACGTACACCAGGGCTGGAAAGAGTCAAGCCACAACACCCCCCAAATATGGTTGTGCAGGTGTGTATTTGTGCATGTGTGGCATTTTGTGCATCTTGTGCAAGTCTGGACGCGTCTGATGAGCCCATTTCGCCATTTTCTCCATCCTTTTTTCCATGGACGCACCCCTGCCTTCCTTCCCTGTTCAATGTTGAATCACTGCTAAGCTTGGAAGGCGTTGGGCTGCATGCAGCTGTCACTTGTTCCTGCTGCATCTGGCCGAATCGCTCGATCTGCCACCACCACTTGGCAATCACCTGGCTACTGGTATTATTGTATGCCTTCTGTAAGCGGTGCAATAGATGCTGCCTCAGGCCCACATGTCATTCATTGGCCGCTTTGCCCGCTCGGCTGGAAGTATGGCCGGGTGCCGCTTCATACTACCACCAAGTGCAACGCTTGTCTATTATCGACGAGGCGCTTCGTATCGAGGACATCAATTCAAACTCATCGTCATGACCCATTTATTGGCCACTCTCTCCAAGCCCCATGTTCCCTGTCTCTGTTACCACATCGTGATGTCATTGTTTTGGGAGCGCGTATCCCTCTGTTGACGCTCCTGGCATGTGCCATTCCTGACCTGGAGAGAGACCTACCTACCACCTTCTCAACCTCCCTGCTTGGGGACTAACAAGGGACACGTTCTATCTTCTTGACAGCACAGTCACCAGGGGACACATATACACCACTTGAACACGAACATAGACTGGTTGAGAAAACTGTGATCTATTGAGAAACATCATACATCGACATACTCCGTAATCTACCGCTTACATGACAATCAGACTTGAATCACCAGCTTCGTCCCCGATACACCAGCCCTCAGCGTATCGAGCGCCTTGTCCAGACTTTCAAATCCTCCTTCGACCAACTCCACCTTCGATCCCACTCCATACTCCCCACTCGCCAGCTTCTCCTTCAGCCATATCTGTCCAATATAGTCAAAGTGCTTGCTTCGTTCCGTCGGCTCGTCAGGACACTTCACAAACTTGACAGCGACACCAGGCTCTCGCGGCGAATCTGGCTTAAAGATGGACGCCGGCGCCGACGCCAGCACCGGCTCCTGCCCATCCTTGAACTCCTTCAGCACATCCAAGATCTGCCTGGTGCCACCAGCAGCATCATACGCATGCTTCAGCACCAGCCCATCCTCGCTCGCCGCAGCGACAATCTGCTGCACCACATCCGCGTCCTTGTAGTCAAACAGCCGGCTCGCACCCAGCGTCTTCAAGAACCCATGGTTCTTCGCACTCGCAGTCACATACGTCGTGATGCCCATGATCCGCGCAACCTGCACCATCGACGCGCCCACACTCGCCGAACCGCCCCAGATTAGCAGCGCCTTCTTGTCCGTCGCCGTATATCTTCCATCCAGCGGCAGCCCAGCCGTGTAGATCCCGTTCATAGCCGTGTAGGTCGCCATTCCCAGCGTGCTTGCCTCCACAAGTCCCATGTTTTCCGGGATGGCAGTCACCATCTCCTTCCACACACATGCATACTTCTGGAACGCGCCGTAGTCTGGCTTGCCCTTTTCGTAGAAGCTCGGTGCGAAGGCTGTGACGCGCGTGCCGGGCTGCGGGTAGCTGGACGGCACCGCGGAGCCCACTGCGACGACGATGCCGCCGATATCTGAGCCGACGATTGACGGGTAGTCGATGGCTGGGAAGCCCCGGTCGCGCTGCATGTAGTCGATGGGGTTCAGCGCGAGGGCATGCACTTCGATGAGGATGTCGTTGGGGCCAGGCGTGGGCGTGGCACGCTGCTCGAAGGTGAAGCTGTGAGTATCCTTGTCCACGAGGACGGCGGCGGTGTGTGTCTGTGGCGCCATTGCAGATCGCTGCGGTGGTGGGATGATTGAGTTGTAGATGTGATTATGTAGTACACTTGATTGGAACTGAATTGTGTGAATGCTTGGAGTCATGAACGAAGCATCCCAGCATCCTCTTTATATATCCCTCCATCCATGCCATGCCCACAGGATATGATTATTGCGGGCCTCCTCTTCGGCCCCGATATCTCCATTCATCCAGCAAATCAACTGATTAACTGATCGACAAACCAAAATAACCAACCAAACTCTCCACAAGCCGTTATACAATTCCACCTCCCACAATACACCGACGCAAACCATTCCTCTTCCACCCTCTAGTCTGGCCCGAATACACCGACTGTCCAATCGATCATGACTGGATTGCCCTTGTGTAGTTCGCCAGGGCGTCGGGGTGTCGGTCGTGTGGTTTTGGGGCCAATGAGTGGGTTTTCCGATGGCCGAGATGGCCGAGATGGCCGAGGAGGTGGATGGGTTGTGGACGGGTGCCTGAGGCAGGAGATGGAGATGTCAGGGCCGAGACGGAGCCGGGGGTTAAGTCCGAGGGCTGGAAGGTAAGGTTCGTGTTCGTTGCTTGATATGTATGCTATTAAGTCACTGGTGATTACTTGTGCCCCCGAAGTCGCAAGTCTTGCTCGCTTTGCTAAAGGTCGTCGATCTTGCTTTTCACATAACTATCCTGCCTGGCCATTCTAGAAGAGCAGAGACGAACAGAACAAAACAGATCAGATCAGATCAGATCAAGCTGGACTGCTCTGCTTTGGTCGATTGCAACAATGCACTGGAGATGACTGATCTGTGTCAAGGTTCGAAATGTATCTACATAGTAAAAAAAGGGGAGAACGCCCTAATGCATTTGACTCGTTTTTGTACATCTATCTATATCTTACAATCCGGGGATGTATGTGTGCTTCATCGTATCAACAAGTGATGCTCACGAAGACGCTGGCTTCGACGCCTTGGGCGTCTTCTTGCCGATATTCCAGCCCCATCCTCGCAGTGTCTTGACGACCTTTGGTGTCACGGCCGCGGTCAGGGGCACGCGGAAGAAGATGAAGGATTTGTGGATGGCGTAGGCCAGGGCCAGCTGTGTCCAGAGAGCTACATGGCAAAGTTAGCATGGTGCATCTAGGCATCACTCGTCAGACACCGGGAAAATAGCTTACTAGCATCCGAACCCTCATTCGCCTTCTGCGCATCCTCAACCTCCTGCGTAAAAATGCCCTCCTTCACCGCCACAGCGCGCTTCTCCCCCTCACTCGCCCCCTTGCCCGTAATCGCCTCAACCGCCTTATCGCCCTGATGTCTCCCGGCCTCGGGCGCGACCAATCTAACGACATCCCAGAACGCCCCAATCACGACGTGTTCGGCGTGCCCGATGCGATCCGTGCCCAACAACCGGACGGCCAGAAAGCAGAACGGGAAGTCGAGCGCGGAGAGCGCAAAGTAGACGCCTAGCGCGCTGTAGCCGTACTCGCGCGACAGCTTCTTCAGGCGTGCGGATAGCGAGCTGGGCTCTGGGCTGCCGAGCTGGGCGGTTGGGTTGGGGGTTGAGCCGGGGGCGGCGGGTTTGCTTGCTGCGTGCGGTGGTTTGCTGCTGTTGAAGCGGATGCGGAGCGGGTGGCGGGAGGTGAAGAAGAGGGGGCGTGGTCGTGCGGGCGCGGGTATGTGTGATGTTTTGGAGTGGGCGGTTATTCTTGTTGCGGTGAAGAAGCTGCGTCGTGGGAGGGTTGAGGAGAGCGTGGTAGTGGTGGAGGAGGGCTGGGGGGCCCAGGCGAGGGCTTTGAGGAGTCGTGAGGTCTTCGTCATGTCGCGAAGTTTAGATGCGACGACGATAGCTCTGCGAAGTTGGGGAGATAGAGAGAGTGTGTGTGTGAGGTTTGGAAGTTTGCAAGGACCCTTAAAGCTGGCGATGATGAGAGTTACCTAAGTGACGTTGGCTTAGCCCTACTCTTGGCGTCTCCACTAAAATTTGAGTGTATCAATTCTTCATTGTTACCGACTGCTGGAACGTGATGCACCATTCTCTTGAATGAAACAGTCTCTACAGCTATCGCCCTCATTACTTCATGATCTGGATGACAATAAGCGTATAAAACATCAGCCATAGCATCACGATGCGGAACCTCCGCATATCACGACACTCTGCGCCAATTTTTCCGGACCAGCTTCTCCCACTAACTGCAACTGCGTGGGATACAACCACAGACGGCGTAATCTGTGCCTTTGGACCGTCACCACTAGAGGCTGTCATTGAACTGAAACGCTACACTGCCGAAGGTAAACAAGGTGCCCACACTATTTCCACCATCGCAACTTGGGACGCGCCATGTCCGAACCCAGATCTGGACTGTGACAGGATCCTGAGCCTGCACTTTCTCACCGACACATCTAGTGTATGTCTTGTCCTGGCAGGAGGGGATATTGTGCTTGTCCGAGAACAGCCGCTTCCGGGGGAAGATGCCATCGAAATCGTAGGATCGGTGGATGCTGGAATTTCGGCTGCTGCGTGGTCACCGGACGAGGAACTGCTCGCCCTGTCAACGAATGCCGGGACTCTAATCTACATGACCAAGGACTTTGATGCCGTTGTCAACATCACTCTGACCCCGGACGATGTGAAGGTATCCAACCATGTCTCTGTCGGCTGGGGCAAATCAGAAACGCAGTTCAAAGGCAAAAGGGCCAAGGCACTGCGCGATCCTACCATGCCTGAACATGTAGATGAGGGTGTCCTCAGCGCTTTGGATGATCGGTCTACGTCGATAAGCTGGAGAGGTGACGGCGCTTATGTAGTCCTCAACACTGTTGAAGACGAGAAGCGCCGCATGCTCCGGGTGTATTCTCGAGATGGTGTCCTAGACAGTGTTAGTGAGCCCGTAGACGGCTTGGAGAGCGCACTCAGCTGGCGACCGTCGGGAAATTTGATCGCAGGGATACAACGAAGGAATGAGCAGATTGATGTTGTTTTCTTCGAGCGGAACGGGCTTCGTCACGGTGAATTCAGTCTGAGATTGAAACCGGAAGAACAAAAGGAGCTTGGCAGCTCCATCGAGCTCCAGTGGAATGTTGATTCTACCATCCTTGCCGTGTCGCTGGCGGACAGGGTGCAGTTTTGGACCATGGGAAACTACCACTACTACCTCAAGCAAGAAATCCGCACAGTTGCCGATGCGAGAAGTGGAAGCCCTATGGGCGTAAAGTGGCATACTGAAAAGCCCCACAAGGTCACGATTTACAATGCAGGTATGGAGCAGTGTAGTCCCGTCAACATGCGTGTGACTGACCAGTAATCAGAGCGCCTCCAAGACATTGAATTCGAGTTGATGTCACACATTGGTTCTACTTCGCCTCCTCACGACCATGGACTTGTTGCAGTCATCGATGGTGGTAAGTCCAGATCGCGCTCACTTATGCAACGGGATCTAAATCTATCTAGCAAACCTGAAACTCACTCCGTTGCGTCTGGCAAACGTGCCGCCACCGGTGTCACTGCACGAGGTGGCCGTAGACGGCAGCATCAAAGATGTCGCTTTGGCGCCGTCGGGGAGAAAAGTCGCTGTTCTGACGCATGATGAGGTCTACACGTACGACTATCTTGACTCAAAGCGACCGCGTATGCCAAGACTGCTTTCGCGCCGTAAGATCAAGTTGCAAAGCGCAATACCCCGGCAGATAGTCTTGAATGACAATGACTGGCTCTTCGTGATTGCTGATGACCTTTACTCGAACGCTAGTCTTTGCTGGCGGGGTGAAGGTTCAGGGGATATCGAGCTTGCTGGTACATTTCCCCTGGATGGAAACATCAGCGGTATGAGTCTGAGCTCCGATCTTCAGCATCTCTGCCTCACGGAGCCAGACGGCAAGGTCAGTCAGTATGAGACCCTTACCGGTGAGATGGAGCGCCAGCCAAGTGAGAACATTCCCGCAAGCGTGTCATCGGTGAGGGTTACACACACGCTTGGAGAGGTGGAAAATGTTGGACATATCGCTCGATCGGAATCAGCCGACAGCGTTTCCTTTGGTCTCACCAATGGTGGAAACTTGTATGCGAATGAAAGGCTGATAGCTCGAAACGCCACCTCCTTTCTTGTCACGTCCGCACACCTCATCTTCACCACCACACAGCACTTGCTTAAGTTTGTCCATCTTTCATCAAGAGGTAAGTCCCCGTCTGGTGTCCAGAGATCCAAGGAGCTAACTGTGCTAGACATGGAAGTACCGGCAGATGAACCTGAACTGGATGAGCGATGTCGAAGGATAGAGCGTGGTGCTCGCCTGGTCACGGCCATGCCTACGGCCTACAGTATTGTCTTGCAGATGCCTCGAGGCAATCTAGAGACTGTGTTTCCAAGAGCCATGGTCCTGGATGGCATACGCAGAAACATTGACAAGATCGACTACAAAGAGGCTTTTCTCGCCTGTAGGGCCCAGAGAGTTGACATGAACATACTTTATGATCACGCCCCGGATCAGTTCCTCCAAAATGTCGGCGCATTTATCAAGCAACTCAACAATGCCGGCTATCTCGATCTGTTCGTTTCACAGCTAAGGGAAGAGGACGTTACAGTTTCCATGTACCGCAATACGTCCAAGGATACATCATCTGATCCTTCTAAGACGTACGCGGCCGTCAATGGAACCAGTCTCCCTGGTACAAAAGGGGGCTCGGCAATTAGTGGCAAAATCAATCGCATCTGTGATGCCATTCTGCAAGAGCTCAGCGAGACACCAGACCTCAACATGCAGAACATAATTACAGCCCACGTCTGCAAGAGCCCACCAGACCTGGAAGCTGGTCTCACAGTCGTGGGTGACATTCGTAGTAAGTCTCGATCAGGTGGTCACGACAGTAATGTATACTTACCAAAGCAACAGAGAACGACAGCGAACGAGCTGAAGCGGCTGCTGAGCACATCTGCTTCCTCGCCGATGTCAACCATCTTTACGATCATGCACTGGGCTTATATGACCTCGAGCTCACGCTCCTCATCGCCCAGCAATCCCAAAAGGACCCCCGAGAATACCTCCCATACATGCAATCCCTCCAAGAACTCACACCCCTTCGCCGCTCCTTCGAAATCGACGACAAACTCGGTCGCCGTGCCAAAGCCCTCGGCCACCTCTACTCCATCCCCGCATTCGACGAATTCAAGTCCTACGCCCAGAAACACGAGCTCTACCCCCAAGCCCTCGAACTCGTCAAATACACCCCCGACCAACTCAACGAAATCATGCGTCTCTACGCCGACCACCTCCACGCCAACGACCGCTTCCGCGACGCCGGCCTCGCATACGACTTCCTCCAAGACCACGCCGCCGCATCCCAATCCTACGCCCTCGCCCACCTCTGGCGCGAGGCCCTCACCACAGCCCAACTCGTCCCCTACACCCCCGACGCCCTCCACGCCCTCGCCTCCTCCCTCTCCGACTCCCTCATCGAAACAAAAGACTTCGCCGCCGCCGCCACAATCCACGCAGACTACCTCTCCGACATCCCCGCCGCCGCCCGCCTCTTCTGCCGCGGCACCCTCTTCGCCCACGCCCTCCGCCTCCTCACCCTCCACGCCCAACCCTCCCTCATCCCCTCCATCATCGACACCGCCCTCATCGACGCCTCCGCCTCCATCACCGAACTCCTCGCCGACATCCGCACCCAACTCGCCCTCCAAATCCCCCGCATCCGCGAACTCCGCGCAAAGAAAACTTCCGACCCCCTCGCCTTCTACACCGGCGATCCCACGTCCAACGACGCCTCCGCACACGATATCCCAGATAACGTCTCCCTCGCCCCAACCTCCACCTCTACCTCCGCAGGCACGTTCCTGACCCGCTACACGGCGCGCAGTAATGCCAGCGGCAGCACGCTCAACACCCAGACGACGCGCAAAACGAGCAAGAACCGGCGGCGGGAGGAGCGTAAACGGGCGCGTGGGAAGAAGGGCAGTGTGTATGAGGAGGAGTATCTGGTTGGGAGTGTGGGCCGGTTGGTGGAGCGGGTGAATCGGACGAGTGAGGAGGCGGGCAGGGTGGTGGTGGGGCTTGTGAGGAGGGGGATGAGGGAGAGGGCGGCGGCGGTGGAGAGGATGATGGGTGAAGTGGTGGATGCTTGTGTTGGGTGTGTGCCTGAGGTTTGGGGCGTTGAGGGGGGAGGGGAGCCGGAGAAGGAGGATGGGAAAAGGGGGATTGGGGAGGAGGAGGTTGATGGTGAGAGGCCGCAGGGGGCAGATGGGGTGTTGTGGGATTCGATGCAGGAGAGTAGAGTGAGGAGGGAGCCGCCTGTTGTAAAGGCGTTTGAAAAGTTGGGACTGATTGGGTAGTAGTAGAATTGTGTTTTTACATTTCTTTTATAGATGGTGGACTTTATATGTCTTGCGTATATGCCAACATAGCATACATGTACAGTGATGCAAATTCTACCTGCCAATCCAACTTTTTGGAATCCTCTATGGCGCCTTGTAGCCCGCCTCAGTGACAGTCTGCTTCAACGCGTCAATCGCCTTGTCTAGATCGTTGCGCTTGGGATCAGTGACGCTGACGCCCATGTGCCCGAAGCGAATATATTTAGTCGCAATCTCCTTGTGCAGACCACCGGCAAATATCACACCTTTCTTCAACAAGGGGGGCAGGACCTGCGACGGCTCCATCTTCTCGGGCAGATAGATGGCCGTCATGCCGTTGGCCTGGTTCTCGGGCTTGGAGGCCAGCTGCTTGAGGCCGAAGTCGGACATGGCCTGCTTGACCTTCTGCGAGGCCTTCTTGTGGTCTGCCCAGCGGTCCTCGATTGGGCGGGACGTTATCTGCGTGAGGGAGGTGTGCAGGGCGTGGATCAGCTGAGGGGAGGGCGTGGCGAAGTAGGACGGCTTCTTGGCCTCGTAGTTTTGCATGATGGGCAGCCAGTTCTTCCACGAGGCAAAGTATGAAGGCACGCGCGTCTTGCGCGCCTTGAAGGTTTCGATGGCGCGGGCAGAGGCCATGAGGATGCTGAGCCCGGCGGGCACACCAACGCCTTTCTGGCTGGCAGTCAGGACGACGTCAAGACCCCACTCGTCGAAGCGGAGCTCTTCGCTTCCCACGCTGCACACGCCGTCGACGACGACGAGAGTTTCAGGGGAGACCTTGTGGACGAGGGCTGCGAGGGCCTTGATCTCGCTGAGCACGCCGGTGGAAGTGTCGACGTGTGTGACGGTGAGGAGCTTGTACTTCTTCTCCTTTAGGGCCTTCTCGACGGCATCGAGCTGCGGTCTGTCGCCGATGGGGGCTTTCAGCTGTGTTGCTTTCGCGCCGTAGCACTCGAAGCAGTCGGCGAAGGAGTCGGCAAAGTAGCCGGTATGCAGCACGAGGACTTCGTCGCCTTCTTCGGTCAGGTTCGCGGCGACCTGGTCCCAGCCCAGCGTGCCGGAGCCGGATATGACGAAGGGCTGCGATTTGGGGTCGGATGTGACGAAGAGCTTGCGGAGCATGGAGAGAGCCTCGCCGAAGGTCTCGACAAAGGGGGCTCCGACATGAGATTGGCTGGGAAGGGTCGTTAGCGATATGGTGAGACAACGGAGAGAATATGTAGTGTTTGGCTTTTACCTAAAGTGACTCATGGACTGGAGGACTTCATCGTCGAACTCGATTGGGCCCGGGATGAGGAGAGTGGGGTGCTCTGGCTGTGACGACATGGTGGAATGGAGTCTGCGCGGCTGTACTGAAGAGTGAATGTGATTGTTGTTGTTGTTGTTTGTGTTGTTGCTGTGAGAAAGTGGTGGAGCGGCGCTGAGATGATTGTGTATGAGCGACAATCGTGACGTCGGTTGATGTTGGGGAGGAAGGCGCATCGGAGCGGGCAGCGTCGCAAAGGGTAGCCGCAGTCGGAGGGGCAAAGCAGCTTCAATTGGAAGGCACGAAGAGGAGGAGGAGGGGTAGTGGGAATAGCCGGGATCGCAGCTAAACCCGGGCGGACGAGATCGCTTTTCTAGGGGATGTGAGGGTGAGTGCAGCAGTCTGTTTGCGAGTCCATTTCCTATGCTGTTATTTCTACTGCTAATATTTTTACTGCTAGGGCCACCGAAGCTGCGGAGAGGCGGCATTGATAGTGACAGAGTCCGCATGGTGACGTTCTAGATGCGAGAGAGGACAATTGGAGAAAAATGGAGAATGCAACAGTAATAGAGACATAATGCAGTATTAATGATACTAAGTGAATTGTCCCCTCTCGCGGTATTGTCGGCACGCCACACATTGTGGCTGGTACATCTGTGGCGCAGCAGTGGCAGCATGGCAGCTTGCTTCTACTCAAGCTTCACCCTCACGATAGCTATCATAAGCATCTAGTCAAGCGCCCATTACCACTCTTTCTTCTGATAAACCCTCAATTACTCCGGTCTACGGCAACCGTCATCTCAAAGGCCTCACGACTGTTCTCCAATATCATCTGTGCCAGCTCACCGGCCAGGCCCGCACCATGACCGCCAGATTGGTGCTATGTCTAGGTGACCTGTTTATACCAGACAGGGCGTCAGTACGTTCTCAATTGCGCCTACTTTACCTTCAATTGTACTGACACCCTCTAGGATATCCCCGCCAAGGTCAGATTTCCAAGCACGAGTCCATACGAACCTTCCTCATCTCACACGGCTGCCTACAGTTCAAGAAGCTCCTCGCACCCGGCAAAATAGGTCAAATCCTCTGCCTGGGCAACATAACCGACAAAGACACATACGAGTTCCTCCGCGGTCTCGCTCCTGACCTACAGATTGTCAAAGGCGACTTTGACGTCGACGCCCCCAATCTCGCGCTCCAGAAAGTCGTCACGCACGGATCGCTACGCATTGGCTTCGTACATGGCCACACCATAATACCGCCCGGAGACGGCGACAGTTTGCTGATTGCAGCGCGGCAGATGGATGTGGATATACTGCTATGGGGCGGAACACACAAGTTTGAGGCATACGAGATGGAGGGCAAGTTCTTTGTGAATCCCGGGAGTGCAACAGGTGCGATGACTACGAATTGGTGGACAGAAGAGGAAGACCCTACGCCAAGCTTCGTGTTGATGGATGTGAGTTTGGCCTTTACTAATGACGGCGTTGCTCTATGCCACTCATCTGACGTGACTGCAGGTACAAGGAGACGTGTTAGTATTATACGTATACCAGCTACGCAAGGACGCCAACGGGGTGGAGAATGTCGCGGTAGAAAAGGTCTCGTTTAGAAAAGGTGGTGCATCATAGGAGGAGGCGATGGTCAATCTACAATGGAATGCCACTTGTGTGCGTACTCGGCGCATACTACAGTCATCCGCCGCATGTTGCTCAAGGTGTTCTAAACATAGCTTGTGAGATGACAAGCTGCAGGACCTCCTCTGATCCATGAGACTGTTCCCCAAGATGGCTGACCTGCTTGTGTGCTCTCTATAGAATGAATGGCAAGGTCGACCAGGACAACGCTCCCGTATACTGTGCCGAAGCCGGGAGGTATCATCGCCCGTTATGTGGCGTGGCGGGTGATACCGCTGCGTACTGTACTGTGCCCTCGACATAACATGTTGGACTGCTTGCCGCTATACTTGAGCCACCCAGTGAAGCTAGTACGCCCTTTTGTTGACGAGGTGCCAACTGAGGGGGAAGAGCTGACTGTTACAGTCAAGATACGGTCCGTCTACAGGATCCTAGCGATGGTAAGAAGGGAGAAGAGGTTACGAGGGAGGAGGGTCGGTGGGTGGTGACAAGGAAGAAGGCTTGATGAGGGCGCAATTCGGGCCTGATAGCAGTTATATGGGTGGGCGTATTGATAGCTCATCGCAATCGCAGTCTATACATCCTCATGACAATGATGATGATGGTGATCACGATCCAAATATCGGAGCCGCAAACAAAGTAAATGACGTCGCTCATATAATAACACCATAATATAATGTATGCGCATGTACCAAACGGATGTGTGTGCAACAGGTCAGGAGATTCGGTAATGATGCGAACAGTATGTTCAATGGTCGTGCTAGACTCGGACAGACATCAGTCTAGCCAAACTGGGACTAGCGCGCTAGACTATCAACTCCAAGTCGAATTACCTGCAGATCGCGCCATGGATGTTTCAAGAACGGACGCTTGGCCGGAATTTGACTTGCGCTCGCTCTGATTGGTCGGCTGCTTTGTTGCCCTTTGACCTGTCTGCCACCACTCCGAGGCCGAGCTTGTGAAAAAGCGCGTTTTACTTGCGTTTTGGCTGCAAGGCGGCGACGACGACGACGACGACCATGACGGTATGCGCAAAGCTGTCTGTCTTCTTAGCTGCCAGTCATGCCTTTGCGCATCACGAATACGTGAGTGTGGTTGTCATCTATCTGCCCATCACCAACGCCAATCTTCTCCTGCAGATAGACAGACAGACACCACAGCACTGTAGCAAAGCAAAGCAGAAAAGAGTAGGAATAAATCAGGCAATATTCCGCTGTGCGTGCGTGCGTGCGCAGCAGCAGGAGATGATGCTGTACTGTACCCACAGTCGCTGCATGGCGCCCCGTTGAAACACCAATCCATAATTGGTGCTATTGGGCATGGGCATGGCATCCCCTGTCTGGTTCAAGCTGGCTGCTATCGCTCTATCTGGCATTGTAACATGACAATTCTTCATCTCAGCTTATCAGACAAGATATCAGGATCGGATACGCTCGGTCTTGTGGGCAGAGAGGAGATGACGTGGTGATCTGGAGCTGGACCTTGAGACTGCGGGTGGTTTGGCTGGCGGGGCGAATGGTCGTGTATGGTGGTGTTACAGAAATGCTGCTGCTGTCTTCACCTTCATCCTACTCCTTGAAGATCGAATGATCGGAAGCTTGGTCTACTATGTATGGGGAGAGGAGGATTTGCCTAGGTATAATGTGTGTTCAGGTACAGTAGAATGAGGATGGTCATTCTTCGAGACGGCAACGGGGCTATAGTCGCATTTCGTCCAGTATAGTTTGCCGTCCAGTATAGTTTGCCTGCACGAACCAAGGGGTAAGGGTTATGGAGAGCAGAAGCCAATAGGGGAGATAGTGTGTTGGCATAGTTTAGACAGCCGATAATTCAAAGAAGCGTCAGTGTACTACAATTGTCTTTTTGATAATTACAGTAGCATGCTTTATCTGTAGACCAGACCAGGACAATAACGATAATGTACAGCTTGCTTGATTAATGATGACAGTGACAAGCCGTGTGGTGTGTGTGTGTGGCGTGGAACGTGCTCACATCATGGCTCATGCTTGTTGATGCCAATTTAGTAGTAAATGTCCCTCTCAGCACTAGCGCCTTGGCAACCCTGGCCCTGGCACCAATTGATTTGCCGCCTCTCCTTTTCTCCTCAAACCCTTCACTTCCTCCCTCGTATCTTCTCTCTCTCTCTCTTTCTCTTCATCATCACTTCACGCAATCCTTCTGACTCGGCAGCTTCGACGTTCGCAGCCTCGCCTTCCCATCCTCTCTCTTCACACGCCTGTCTTCGGCTTCTTCTACTCTCGTTTGTCCTCTTACTCCAGTCCTTTTCCTCTTCTTCTCTACTCTCGCTCCAGCATCTTTCTGTCTCCGCATTCAGTCGCGTCCACATCGCCCCATCCGTTTGCAGTTTTAATCAACACTTGTCGGGTATGTATTATAATCCATCTCAGGAGTCCTCGCTATGAAGTCTTCAGTCTGACCTTACTTGCTCAGTTCACGACTTAATACGACTCGAATCATCAACGCAATGTCTCTCAGATTCATCCTCCCCGTTTTAGCCGCTAGTGCTGCCGTCTTTGGTACGTACCAACCATGGGCCCGATTCGATTCGATGCCAGTAGTCGCCCAACCCCTTGGACAAAGCTAATCTCTGCCACAGCTCAAGACGAGAAATGCAGTAACTCGGCCACTACCACAATCGAGAACAATGCCGATGCCACCGGCCTATCTTCGTGTAAGACCTATACCGGCAGCATTGCCATGGCCACTGGTGTTTCTGGAGATGTGCAGATCAGCGGCCTGAAGGAAATCACTGGTGACCTCGTCGTGGAGGAGAACAATGGCATCGGCTCGTTGGGTGCCAGCGACCTCCAGAAGATTGGTGGAGAGTTCAGATTGACGGCCGACACGCAGCTCGGTTCGTTGAGCTTCCCTAAATTGACCGACGTAGACTCCCTCAAATGGGTTTCGCTGGCCAGTCTCGGCTCCATTGGCTTCACCTCGGAATTGACCCACGCCAAATCAATCACCATCAGCAACACCCAGCTTAATACCCTCGAAGGCATCAACATTGAGACTGTCGATACTCTGATCATCGCCCAGAACCCATACCTCAAGGAGATTGCCATCAAGGTCACCAACGTCTCCACTGAGCTTACCGTCCAGGATAACAACGCTGAAACCTCGGCCCAGTTTGGTAACCTTTTGTCTGCCAAGAAGCTCCAGCTTACTGCCGTCTCGATGGTCGATCTCTCATCTCTGGTTGAAGTAGAGGGCGGACTTGGCTTCACAAACAGTCTTTTCGAGAATCTGGCTTGCCCCAACTTGACGACTGTTGGTTCGCTATCCTTCACTGAGAACAAGAAGCTTAACAATGTCTCATTTCCTCTGCTCGAGAAGGTGGGCGAAGACCTTGCAGCTGGTGGCAACTCCGAACTCAAGGAACTTGACTTCCCGGAATTGACCGATGTCGAGGCTGCTGTCGATCTTGCCGGAAACTTCACCAAGTAAGTTGGACCCAAGTCGAAATCCAAGGACAATTGCTTACAATGGCGCAGTGTCACACTCCCCAAGTTGAACAAGGTTAACGGCAAGTTCAACCTCCAGAGCTCAGAGAACATCACCGACGTCTGTGACTACTATGACGGTCTGACTGGTGACGGCAAGCCTCTTCGCGGAGGAATCACTTGCGCTGGTAGCCAGGACGACCCGCAGAACCTGAACGGCAACCCCTCCAACTCTGACGAAGGCAGTGGTGCTATCAAGCTCGGCATGTCTGCCTTCCTGGGCCTGACGGGCCTTGCCATGTTCACACTGCTATAAACAAACGCTGGCACTACCGCATCCATCATCATATGCATAGACTAATACGAATACGGCGGGTATGGAGGTGTTTCTAGCACAACGACGAGGGCAACATCTAAGTGTTTATTCCCATTGTGCTTGGAGAGCGGACGTGACGTTTGAGATGTGCCACCGGTTCGCCCGCTGGTGGTGTGTGTCTCAACACATGAAAAGCATCGTGCTTTATGGCGGGCTCTTTTGGGGAATACTTTTAATCAAACGACCAGAGAACGAACAGGCAAAGGGAATCTCGCCGCGACAGCTGTGGCGGCAGGTGATGTTATGGTTTCCTTTGAAAGTCTGCTGGGAAGTTCTCTGGCCGTCGCCTTTTGTTCCATGTCTATATGCCTTAGTCCAGATTGAGCAACATGAGTCGTTTTCCTTTTTTGATCATCCACTGACAAGTGTATCCGAGTTGTTTATTGAGTGCGTGGTCAATATCACTATCCGCCTAACAGACGCGTTCTGCCTGTCTGAAGGAGGCCCTCAAGAACATGATACCTGACTCGTGTATAGTGGCTGGATGAGTCGTCTCGCCGTTGAAAGCATCCATCATCCCTGCATCCATGCTCGTCTTCCATGCATGGCCCATCTTCCATGCATCCTCGTCTTCCCATCTCCCTCCGCTCGCCTATTTATTCCATCACCCCACTCATTCCTCATCAATCGCCGCCCAGCATGCATCGTGCCGCATTGGACGGGAGAAGATGCGGTTCATCACTTTTCTGCGACGAGCACGAGTCTGAAGCAATCTTGCGCTCCAACGGCTGTGGGGCCTGCGCAACCTAGGCCTTGCTCTCTCAGAGAGAGCAGGCCACCATCACGCTCCTCGCATCCTTGTACTTTGTGCGCACTTCCAGGACATGTTTGGTAGGAAGACGACGTCCTCGTCACACAGGAATCGGCACGTCAAGAGTCATTCGCATCGCAATAACTGGCTGACTGCCTATCAACTCGCACAACGTGCAATCTAAACAGAGAGCAAAGCACATGGAGCCTCGGTTCACCCACAAGGCTGGCTGTATGTTCGTGTAGAGCGTGCAAACACTACTACTATTATCGTCACTTCTCATGTTGCTTGCCAGACAGACAGTCAGGCCAGACAGACAGCCAGACAGAAGACAGACCCAATCTGCGACCTGGCTACATGGTTGCTTGCGTGTGCTATTTGAGGATCATCACTTTGGATTCCGAGACGTCGTCACTTTTTTGACTCTTTTTGCGGCGATAATGGAGACCCGCTCAACGAATATCCTGCACAGCCAGTCTTTTCTATAGGCTATATTATACGTAGGAGGAGAGAGAACTGCGAGAAATAGATGTCTCCACCGGCTACCGCTAAGCCACGAAACGTAGATGGGTAGTAGTAACCGTTGAAACCTGCACCGCATTGCTCTCCATCCGCTCTCTATCTCTGTCTCTCTCCCGCTCGACTCGACTCCACACGACACCGGACTGAATGCCATACATAGAGAGCTTCACAGCACGCTGGATGCAGTGCAAGCTGAGTTCCCACTTCATCCCAGGTTGATCCCGCCGCGGATACTCATGGAGCCTTCCGGAGACCCTGCGCGCCGCAAACAAACTTGGTGGCCATTGACCACACACACACACACAGCAACTTCACGCAAGGGCGCCTGACTGCTACCTACTCGTCTTCACTCGCCTTGCCCTGTCGCTCCACTCAGTCTAAAGTTCCCTTTGTCTTCCTCTTTGGGGACCGTCGTACTACCTGTGATGTTCCTCGCATTCTGGGACCGTTGTAGACCTGGGATACCCCAACGGCCCTGCAACACGGCCGTGTTTATGGCATGGCGCTCCTCTCTCTCTCTCTCTCAGTTCGGATGCTAATTGGGGACCTGCTGGTGAAATACCCAAATACACACGCACACGCACACGCACACACACACACATATACACACAGACCTTTGGCTCAAGTCTATAATCTCCCAATTCGCATTCTTTTCATCTTTTGCTCTCAACATTACATAGTCCGACTCTTCTGTCTATCTTCCCCAAGTCATTGTTCTTATGCCCTCTTTCCCCCCAATTCCTACAGCTCTTTACTTGGAAAAGCCTGTACCCTCTGCAAGTCCCAAGATGGTACGCCTTCCAGATCTTGACAGTACCAGTGATCTTCACCGGTATACCTCTGGTATGCGATCAAACTCATTACCAGAGAGTGTCAATCTCCAGAGTGGTAGAACGTCGCCAGATAGCAGCAATTCATGGCACACACAATCGACATCCGCCATGGACCAGCACCCTCACGCGAGAGCATCACTTCCATCTCTGACCCTACCCTCTATCACAATGGCTACATCGCCATCACTCCAAGCTCATGCCTTCAACGGACGCTCACCTGCCCCGCGGTCGCCTGCCCCACCGATCGATCAGAAGATTACATATCTATCCACCGCAAACTACGCCCCAGCACGCCCAATCGCGCCCGTCTACGAGCCTCCCGCTCCCCGAAGCCCTCTATGCGGACCGGTACTCAGCCAAAGCCCAACCAGCACACGTGAAAGCACACGCACAACCACAAACACATCTCTCCACGCCCGCTACACCAGCGTACAAGCCAGCCGTATCAAAAAACCCACCACCACCACCACCACCACCACCAC